CTCCTTTCTGGACGGTAGGTATGGATGTTGTGTTCTACTTTGTGGATAATCAATATCCTGACACGATTGTTGCAGTTGTTTCGGCAGTTGTGGCTCTCTTGTTGATAATCGTTGTTCGATTCATCTGGCGCGTTTTGCTTTTGCAAGGCGGCCCATATCCAGGTGATGAGGCAGTGGTTGTTGCTTATCCTGTCTCTGCTGCTGTTGCCGGTAAGTACGGCATGTCCTTTGACGCACTTGTTGCTGATGAGGCTGCTTCTCTCTCTTCCTCTTCTGTTAGTGGTTCGCGCCCTAACCAAGCTCCTCACGAGTATCGTTTCTCTGTTGGTGGCTCTGTTATTGTAACTTGCCCCCTCTTGGTCTCGCCAGAAAGTGATGCAGTTAGTGCAGACTTGTCTTTGGATGAGTCTCGCATGCCTGAAGTTGAAGACGAGACTTACTGCAAGCATGCAAAGGGCTTGAAAGTTGCAAGCAATTGTGATTCTCCTGCTCTTCCAGTTGATAGAAAGCTTGTCTTTTTGTCTTCTGCTTTTCGCTCCATTGATTTTTCGGATGGTACTTTTGTTGCTTCTGCTTCAAATGTTACTGAGACGATGAACGCTTTGGATGCTGTTGTTGGTGGTAGTTGTGTTCCTGATGCTAATCCTTCGGGTGAAGCTGCTGGTAACTCTTCTACTACTAACTCTGGTGCTGATAATGATTTCGTTGCTGCTGCTTGCTGCGGTGACACTCTTGTCGGTACTGTTCGTGGTACCTGTGATACTAGTGTTGGTTTTTCTGACGCTATAATCAACAGTGCTACTTCTGGTGATGTCCAGACCGATGTTGCTCCTGTTGTAGGTGCTGTCGTTTCTGTTGATGTCGCTGCCGATGGTGCTTCCTTTGCTTCTTTGGTGTGCCCCTTTGTTCTTTCTTCTTCTCGTACCGATGGTGATTTAATCCCTGGTAAGAAGAGATTGAGCGATGGTGACTTTGCTCTTTGTGCTCATCAAGAGCAAGCCAAAAAGCGCAAGATAGCTACCATTGCTGAGAGCTCTCTCCTCCCAGTTCTCTTGGAGGCTAGTGCTACTGCTTCTGCCGGTGCAATCTGTGCTGGTACTGTTGCCACTCCTGCTCCTACTGTGGAGCCAATGGATATCTGTTTCCCAAGCCATCCAATGCCAATGGATATCGACTCTCCTGCTGCTCTCCTCTCCGACGACATGGATGTCCTTGTCGATTTCCCTGGTGCCAGTACGTCTTCGTATTTGATGGTCCTAAATCTCATGCCATCAACTACTGCCATGGACGTAGATCCCTGTGGTTTGTGCTCTCCAGTTTGCCAGCCACTTGCCATGGACTGGGCTGCCGATGATGGTGATTTGTTTTCCTTTGGTTTGCCTGCTGCCACTGTTGCTTCTTCAGCTGCTCCTCCTCCCACTGCTTCCACTGCTGCTGAAAGACGCGTCATTGCTCGCCCTCGTGGTCCTTCTTCTGCTCTTCGTCGCCAGATGTTCACAAACGCTGTGTAACAATCCCAAGGGAAACCAATAGCAGTATATGCAGCCAATATTACTATCACTCCTGCTGCTGTTATTGCCACAACTACCACCGCTACAGTCACCGCTGCTGCTGCCCACGCCCACACTTCAAACGCAACAGATATTAATGGCAACTCTGCAGTAAAAAAGAGGCTTAAAAAAGCAGGTAGAATACTGCTAAAATCCTTCTTTATTCGAAATTAGGATAATGTGCAATAAAATGTATATTCTACGTCTCTATTTATATTATTTGGTTTATATCTCTTATCTGGCAGCAGTTTAGTAGTTGCCAGTGATTCCATTACTTTATATATTTTTGTTGGGTCATTTAGTTGTTGATCTGATGGATCAAGAACGGTATTTCAATATATGGTTTTTTGAATCATGCATAAAGAATAGCTCTTTATTGTTGAGCCTGTATCCTTTTTAGGTATATTTATGATACAACACATTACAATACCCTTGACATTTACTTTAGTATCTGTCATCTCTTATTTTAGAGCATTTAACCCTTGCTATCGTCATGCTAATACTATTATTATGCATGCCTATCTGCTGATGGTAGCATGGTTTGATTGAGATGACATTTATTTTGGGCTTTGTTTATGATGGGAATCTAGTCTAGTTCACTTCAGTGCAATAGCATGACTAAACTTGATGACTGGAACTTGATGACTAATTATTATCAATTAGTTTCTTTGACTCCTGAGAACCAAGGTGGTGGTGGACATAGACATAACACTTGAGTCACATCATCACAGATCCAGGAACATGATCTTGGCTCTGTTCATGACAGAAACTCGCTTTCAGGGACAAAAGGTCATAGGCTACCACAGCTCAGGAACCAGAATATACCGTAGATTAGCCATTTGGTGGCCCTACTCATGTTCATTTGTACTGCATATAATGTACTCCAATGTTCGATTCAGTCAACAATGTTGAATGACACGGTTTGAGAAGTTATCATATGATGCATTTCACAATATTATTTATGTTCTGATACTATAGTATGTTCTGCACATACATATCTCACCATAAATTCCTATATGAACAACTTTGTTATAGATATCCATGTTAATTCTTTCATATATATATATATACGTAGGTCGTCACATAAATACAGACATAAAGCTTGAGATACTGAGAGGCACTTGTAATCAATCCCACGGCAGACTAACTCACAGTTTACACGGACGGTAAAACCTCCCAAGCCGACAACCAGCTGAAAGACTATTATTGAAATAGTTCCACCAACAGCTTTATTAATACAGTAATAACGGACTACAATTTAGGCTTTACACTCGATGCGAATAAGTCATTGCTTATATTTATTTTAAAAAATCCGAAAGAACCTAATAATTGTCTAAATGCGTGAAAAGCATCATACATCTCATTAATTGACCAAATTAAAAATTTTACATAAGCTTATTACAAAATCAAGGCAATCGACAAACCGAATCTCGTCTTTCAGAAAGGCAAACTGGTGGTACAGTAAACTGCCATCACAGAGCAGGTGTCAGAGAAAGTATGAACTGCAAGACAATGAATCTGTCCCCATCTACAATGAGCACTACGATTAAGAGAACAGGCTTTAATGATGCCAGATTACTTTTAAAACGTTTTGGAGCTCCATTGAAGAGGGAGATTAGTCCCAGAGAGACGGCTCGTACGACAGCTTCGTCCTGCCCCATTGTTACCAGTACAGAACCATTCCAAGACAAGCTTGGATACCAATCTATCAATTTCAGTTGAAACTTTCAAGAAGTATATGAAACTAATTGGCTATTAATTTTACAAGGCTGCACACAGGCCAGCATTGGCGCCTAAAGACAAGCAGAAAAAAAACTGCCTTGGTGTTTGGACAATGTTGGATGGGGGCTAGATCAGTGGAAGAAGGTTGTTTGGTCCGACGAGTCCAAATTCATGGTTGTCGGCACACATGGTCATCATCATTATCAGCATTAGAAAGACAATTGCTCCAGTCAGCAGCAGCATCGCACCCCGTTGCTGCCACCAAAACTCATTCAAACTCAGTTGATTCATTCTGATCAATATTGGCCAAATTTCGTCTTTTGTGGACTTCTTTAACTATTTTGTGATATTTGACTATACAAATGGTGATTACCATCTGATGCTTCCTAATACAATCTTGGAATGTTCTTTAAGGCGCTTCTAATGATGCCAAGTAAAATAGATGTTTTAACTGAACTTATTGAGCAATTTGGTAGAATATAATATACGGTTTTTGGCCAAAATGTCAAAACCTTGCATATAAAAACCTCATAAAAGCAATTCCAGAAGTTGCTTTCGGTTGAGGGAAACATTTTGATGTCATATATACCATAGTAAAATCCTTCATCTTCAAGGCAAAAAACGCGATCATTTAATTTTCAATAAAAACCATGAGGGGTACCTCATGGTTTGAAGTCGATTTTTGTCCATAATTTTTTGGTCCCCAAAAAGTTGAGCAACAGTGGCAATAAGTAATTGCCAGATGAGAGCAACTGTTTGGTGCTATTCTGACCATTTAAAACGGTCTTGAAGGCGAGAAAACACGGCTTAAATGCATTATTCAAATCTTGCTCTATCATGGACACTAAGGAATAAAAAGGGGATGTACAAGTATACTGCTTGCCCGTATGTGAAGTAGCTACGTGTACAATAGTATAGACCTAGGAATCCTGAGACGCATTTCCAATCAGCCTTCGCGGCACTGCGACTCTCAGTAAAGAGACACAATAGAAAGTAGATGATAGAAAACCAACTGAGGGACTATCATCATTGAAACAACAACAGTAGATTGACTTACAATAATAGCAAACCATCGCTCCATCTATTTCTAAAATATCTATACACATCACTTGCAACAATCTAACGTGTCATCGGATTTGGCAAGCGTACCAAAAATATTAGGATCCTACGGTGTATTCAAAAAGCTTTCAAAGGAGCCGTATATTTCATGCAACTAAAAAAAAAAAACACATCTTCATTTCGTACGCAGTAGAAAGCTAATACTTCACTGTTTTATTTCCTTCTCATAATTTAAGTAATCCAGCATCTCGTTCATAGTTCATGGCTATTTAACATATTAGAGCCTCCAGGTTTAATAGCCCTGAAAGCCAATCTCATGGAAGCATGACCCTTAATAAAAAAAAACATATATGACAACAACACATTTCACTTACTTTAAAAGAGCATTAGTAATAAGCGGAAAAGACATGAAACTCGCTTGTTTGGTTACTATGATGGTAGTGACACTTTCCAAATTTCGTTACTTTATAGTCTAATCCGGGCTTACGCTCTGGATTACAAGTGTTACATTAAGCCAGTTAGATACTCTACATACTATCTCCAGCCAATCAATACAGCGACTGATAAGAACGCGTAAAAATTTTTAATAGTATATCCAAAATCTTTTTTTGTATATTGTTATTCCCCATCTTTTCGCTTTTTCTATTCGTAAAAACGCTATATCTCAACATGTTCAGCCTTATTAGCTCTGCTCTTATTGCTCTCGCTTTGTTGATGTTCTTTATGACACCAGTTGGATTATGTCTTTTGTTGGCTTCTCCTTTCTGGACGGTAGGTATGGATGTTGTGTTCTACTTTGTGGATAATCAATATCCTGACACGATTGTTGCAGTTGTTTCGGCAGTTGTGGCTCTCTTGTTGATAATCGTTGTTCGATTCATCTGGCGCGTTTTGCTTTTGCAAGGCGGCCCATATCCAGGTGATGAGGCAGTGGTTGTTGCTTATCCTGTCTCTGCTGCTGTTGCCGGTAAGTACGGCATGTCCTTTGACGCACTTGTTGCTGATGAGGCTGCTTCTCTCTCTTCCTCTTCTGTTAGTGGTTCGCGCCCTAACCAAGCTCCTCACGAGTATCGTTTCTCTGTTGGTGGCTCTGTTATTGTAACTTGCCCCCTCTTGGTCTCGCCAGAAAGTGATGCAGTTAGTGCAGACTTGTCTTTGGATGAGTCTCGCATGCCTGAAGTTGAAGACGAGACTTACTGCAAGCATGCAAAGGGCTTGAAAGTTGCAAGCAATTGTGATTCTCCTGCTCTTCCAGTTGATAGAAAGCTTGTCTTTTTGTCTTCTGCTTTTCGCTCCATTGATTTTTCGGATGGTACTTTTGTTGCTTCTGCTTCAAATGTTACTGAGACGATGAACGCTTTGGATGCTGTTGTTGGTGGTAGTTGTGTTCCTGATGCTAATCCTTCGGGTGAAGCTGCTGGTAACTCTTCTACTACTAACTCTGGTGCTGATAATGATTTCGTTGCTGCTGCTTGCTGCGGTGACACTCTTGTCGGTACTGTTCGTGGTACCTGTGATACTAGTGTTGGTTTTTCTGACGCTATAATCAACAGTGCTACTTCTGGTGATGTCCAGACCGATGTTGCTCCTGTTGTAGGTGCTGTCGTTTCTGTTGATGTCGCTGCCGATGGTGCTTCCTTTGCTTCTTTGGTGTGCCCCTTTGTTCTTTCTTCTTCTCGTACCGATGGTGATTTAATCCCTGGTAAGAAGAGATTGAGCGATGGTGACTTTGCTCTTTGTGCTCATCAAGAGCAAGCCAAAAAGCGCAAGATAGCTACCATTGCTGAGAGCTCTCTCCTCCCAGTTCTCTTGGAGGCTAGTGCTACTGCTTCTGCCGGTGCAATCTGTGCTGGTACTGTTGCCACTCCTGCTCCTACTGTGGAGCCAATGGATATCTGTTTCCCAAGCCATCCAATGCCAATGGATATCGACTCTCCTGCTGCTCTCCTCTCCGACGACATGGATGTCCTTGTCGATTTCCCTGGTGCCAGTACGTCTTCGTATTTGATGGTCCTAAATCTCATGCCATCAACTACTGCCATGGACGTAGATCCCTGTGGTTTGTGCTCTCCAGTTTGCCAGCCACTTGCCATGGACTGGGCTGCCGATGATGGTGATTTGTTTTCCTTTGGTTTGCCTGCTGCCACTGTTGCTTCTTCAGCTGCTCCTCCTCCCACTGCTTCCACTGCTGCTGAAAGACGCGTCATTGCTCGCCCTCGTGGTCCTTCTTCTGCTCTTCGTCGCCAGATGTTCACAAACGCTGTGTAACAATCCCAAGGGAAACCAATAGCAGTATATGCAGCCAATATTACTATCACTCCTGCTGCTGTTATTGCCACAACTACCACCGCTACAGTCACCGCTGCTGCTGCCCACGCCCACACTTCAAACGCAACAGATATTAATGGCAACTCTGCAGTAAAAAAGAGGCTTAAAAAAGCAGGTAGAATACTGCTAAAATCCTTCTTTATTCGAAATTAGGATAATGTGCAATAAAATGTATATTCTACGTCTCTATTTATATTATTTGGTTTATATCTCTTATCTGGCAGCAGTTTAGTAGTTGCCAGTGATTCCATTACTTTATATATTTTTGTTGGGTCATTTAGTTGTTGATCTGATGGATCAAGAACGGTATTTCAATATATGGTTTTTTGAATCATGCATAAAGAATAGCTCTTTATTGTTGAGCCTGTATCCTTTTTAGGTATATTTATGATACAACACATTACAATGCCCTTGACATTTACTTTAGTATCTGTCATCTCTTATTTTAGAGCATTTAACCCTTGCTATCGTCATGCTAATACTATTATTATGCATGCCTATCTGCTGATGGTAGCATGGTTTGATTGAGATGACATTTATTTTGGGCTTTGTTTATGATGGGAATCTATTCTAGTTCACTTCAAACTCTGCTACCAAGAATAACCAGATGAGTAATGAGGTCAAGACACCAATAATACAAGCAGCACTCCGCCAAGACCAGAGCTTGAAGAGTTTGATTTAGATCTTCTAGATATATTGGATCCATATATCTATCCAGAACCAAATGCAACCTTTGATGAATTTGAAGGCTATAATTTTTTAGAAGGCATTTGTTAAGCACAAAGAATAAAAAGATTATTATTTGTAGCTTATAAAAAATGTTCGATATTATAAAAACAAGAAAAGACTTATTTGAATAAGATCAGACACAAATACTAAAGATTTATTGATGAAGACAAGAGTTATTCTACTGTAGGGGGGAAAAACTGTCCCGTTCGTTCAAATAATCTTGACTTTCACCCAGTATATTGCCAAAATTCGGAAAACAAAGCTACCCCATACTGCGTTCGATAGAACAGCTAACAGGAATTACAGCAACATAAAAACCTTATGGTTGGGCTATACTTTAACCTCAGTATAACCAGCCAAAGTGGGAAGTGTCAAAAATGTTAGGTGGATAATTCTAGATGATATAAAATGGTTGATATCTTTACTTCCAATAAACGTATCGAAGAAATCTAGAAAACTACCCGCGGTATGCTCAGGATATTTAATATCACAGGAGCATTCTAAAAGTATAAAAGAAGCTAGTTTTTCATATTTTTTTCTTTATTTCTTTGCTTTCTTATTTTTTTTTTCAAAACTTTCATTATGCCTGCCCGTTTAACACAAGATTTGCGCAACACTCTCCAATCTTTGCTCTAACGTGGTCTTTCGTTCTCAAAGATAAAAAATATGTATCCAGGAATCGGTAACTGTACTCTTACAAGGCTCAGAAAACGCTATTGCCCTGACCTCGCTATATGTTGGCGGAAGACCTAAAAAACTTGGTGCTAAAACTATGTCCCTAGTGTCAAGAGGACTTCGATCAGGTACTTGTAAAAGTCCCGGAGCAGCGCAAGAAAGTTTAAAATTGATGGGTCAAGATATGTCAATTGGTGGCATCCGCAAGTCATTGAGAAGAAATGGTCTTAAATCTCGAAGAAAAGCAAAGACCAATTTTGTTAGCAAGACAAACAAGCGGCTTCGATTGGCGTGGGCTAAAAAGCATAGGCATCTTACTATTGCTGTTTGGCGTCGTTGAGTGTTTTCGGATGAAGCAAAAGTAAATCTTTGGGGCTCCGATGGTAATTCTTTTTTACTAGACGAATGGTGGTGCTCGAACCATGCAGCCGTATTAAGTCAAGTCTCAGGTGCAGGGAAATGACGGTGGAGTCATGTTCTGGAGTTGCATAACAGCGGAGGGGCCTAGTTATGGTACTACCATTATCGAAGGCTCAATAAACTCGGGCTTGTATGTCGATATTTCGAAGACATCATTGGACGACACTCTTGAGCACTTTGGGAAGACGCCATCTGATGTGCGAATTTAACAAGACAAAGCAACACCGCATACCTCGGGCATTACTAAACAACGGTTCACCGACAATGGGTTCAACGTAGACGAAAATATGAATTGTCCACCCCGAGGTTCCGATCTTAATCCCATTGAACATGTATGGCATCTCCTAAAGCTTCGTCTTAATAAGGGTTCCACTAGACTCTTTACAAAAGAAGAACTAGAGCGGCATAGTTACATAGAATGGTACAAAATAACAGAAAAAGAGTGCCAAAAATATATTGACAGTATGCCTGCCCGAATCAACGCTGTCACCAAGAGCAAAAGTGGTTCAACTCACTATTAATGATTTTATAATATAATGTACATTTTTCTATATTTATTTTTTAAATAATAAAATCATTCGATTTTAGTTTTTGAAAAAGTCATAAATATGTATAGATAGCACTACTTTCTCTCACTCAAACGGTATATATATCTCGACTTTGTATACAAAGAAATGACTAAAAACTAATGCAAAAAGACAATTTTTTAAACGAACGGGACAATTTTCCCCCCTACAGTAGCATGATGGATATAACGTAGAGCTGTAGAATGGTCTTTGTCTTGTGCAAATCCGATCAGTACTTGTCGAGATACGGCCAAAAAAGAGTATCATGCAAAATCGTCGATTTTTGTTCAAAATCTGCGCATGACAACAAGGAAAAAATCTAGTGACGATTTTTTGGTCAGGACAAGATTGTCAATATTTCAAGGAAGAGTTATGTCACAGCCTCAAGCAAAGGCTCATTCGATAGGAAATCTTTTGATCTACAATGTTTAGTAATGCTTAACGTAATGTTTTGACGACTGATACTGATTAATCTTTAGAAAACAGTCAAAAAATCGCAAAAACAATCGTACCAAATATCAGGTGAGCAATGCACACCAGAGACTTGATATGGATACCATTGGATTTTCCTTGCAATTCTCTACAAGTTTCATATAAGTTTGAAGGGGTGATTACTATCAAGAAACGCGTAATCTTAAGGTCGATAGATTTCAGAACCCCATGGATCCTCATTCAGAACAATATAAATTGAAGCTCCGTTGACCTTCCGCATGTGTACACCACACAAGTACGCATTTGACCCAGCATTTTAAAAATGGGACCGTACGGAAAGGGCCATATTAACTTGCTGGTTTCAAGTTATCAATAGATACTTGACATGATGAGCAATTTCGTTGTCAAGACTAGACCACTGTAGCTTGCTTTATTCAAGAATAATAAGATTTGCAATTTAAAGTATGCATATTACCCCACTTAAAGATAGCATTGTTAAACACAAAGAATATATGGGCTATAATTTATGGCTTATAAAATTTTGTTGATATCACAAAAACAAAAACAAAAACAAAAACACTTATTTGAATCAGATCAAACACAAAAACTAAAGCTTTATTGATGACGACAAGAAGTATTCTATTTATAGGATGTCCAAAGTAAAAATTTATCTTATACAACGCTCATCATATCTGGTGAAGAACCTCAGCACCTAGATAGCTGAGATGCACTTCCATGTTGTTGCACAACACAGACCTATCTACCCATCAAGAATACCTTAATCTTTATAGACACTTGTCGCCTTTCTGGCACAACAGTAGGATTCTACCTCGTATATACAAATGAAACTCTAATCCCTCCATTGCACAGCAGCCAACACTAGCAAACGTTAGAAGTAGATTTATTATGTATTCACTCAAGCGTACGCTTCAGACGGTAAATGATGCCTCAAAATCAACTCCTGGTGAGATCTGCGAGATCTTGTGAAGTCCCCGTATTATTATGTGCTTTTTCAATTTGTATTTTCAACCATTGTTCATTTTCCAAGAGATTCGTATCAGTGTTATGATATAGAAGAGCGACTCTATTTCCAGCCAGGTCTGATAAAGTAACTGCATATCTATGTAACAGTTCCAATTAGGGCAGAACTTTCTACCTCCTCCTCCTTCTCTATTAAATCGAATGCCTCCTCCTCGTCCCTCCCCTGATGCAATTCACATAGACTAGTATCTCAGTGGCAACACAGCCACTATAAATAAATCAAATGCAATGCTAGGTAGATCATGATGAAATGTTTAAAATCAAGAGCTACCTCTGATTATGCATTGATCTGCATCCGTTTCTTTGTTTCTTTATCATATGTCATGCATCCGCTTCATATAAACATTTCATAATTAGAGCATATCGTTCAACCCAAATAATTGATTCAGCAGTAGCAGCAGCAGCAGAAACACAGCTATAGTTTGTCTGCAGTTTTTGAGTTCAAAGAATCCTTTTACTCAAATGATGAATGCTCACTGTCCTCCCCTTGATTCAAATATTTTCCTCTCATTTTTATTTTTTATTTTCTATTTTGACAAAGGGGAGGCATAACTTATTTATAGCATCACACTGTATGTGACATGTACGAATTATATTTTGCACCTTACATCCAGTACATGTATGGAGAGGCAGCCGCTTCTTACATTGCTTGGGTTTCTCACTCTCTCCCTAATTACTGCTGTCCCAAAAGAAAAACTTTATGCTTTAGATAATCTTTATTACTAATCTACAATGGAATAAAAGATCATATAATATATTAACGATGCTTATTGTGCGCAAAGAAAGAAAAAAAGGGGGGGATAGATACAATGAAAAAAGAAAGAAAGTGAATACAAAAAAAAATGAATGGTTTCTTATTGCGATAACTTGACGGATTTGATGACATTTGTCTTGACACCACTCATTTCACCACCATAGCCAGCAGTTTGAGCCTTGACAACAGCTCTTGTGGAAGACAACTTCTTCATTTGCTTGGCATACTTGTTTCTATGCTTGACACGAGCATTTCTGTTCTCCTTCTTACGATGAGGTGTCAGACCCTTGTTCTTCAACATCTTGTATGATGCCAAACGCTTATGACCTTCTTCAACCTCGATATCGCGACTTTCAATGGGTGCACGCTCTGCTTCATAGCTTTCTTTCTTGGCACGTTTGATAGCGTCCTTGTTGGCCACCACATCTGCATAGTATTCATCATCTGAGTCTGCTTTACCATAGCGAACTTCATTAGCTGCCGCCGTGTCATCTTCATCCCAATCAGCATTGTCCAAATCGGCCGATGTATCTTGTGGTTGAGCAACGCCTTTACGCTCTTGCTTGACGCGGTCTCTGTACGGTAAATCAACATCACCTTGATATTTGCTAGCATTCTTGGCTTGTTTCTACATGACAATGGTCAGCAACGTGTGCAGGAAGATGGAGGTTTCCACACTTACAGAATCAATTTTAGCGACATAATCTCTGATGGACTTCTTCTTGGCGATTTTGTCTTCCATATCCAATTCATCCAAAGCGTCTAATTCTCCAAAGTCATCACTGGCAGCTGCTCTCTTACGTTTCTTTGCCAATTTCTTCAGACTCTTGAATTCTTGCTCAATATCTTGAATCTCGTTCAAAATGTCTTGTTCGTTCTCGGATTCATCTTGCTGATCTGACTCCAACTCTGACTCTGCCTCTGATTCATGAGCCATAGCAGCAGAAGCCTTACTCTTTTTGCTAGATGTCTTCTTCTGCTTGGGTTGTTTGGCGATAGTGGTGGGCTTATCTTCTTGATCTAGACCAGCGATGAATGCCTCGATATCTGATTCGAGCTTCTTTTCTAGACTCTCCAACTTCTCCAGAGTTTGACGCAGCTTGAATAGTGCTTGAATGACTGGATGTTCACGAACATCATTTGCTTCTGATGCTTTCAATGCGAAATAAAAAGAGATGTTGGTCATGTAATTCATCAGGGTTTGGTATTTGAAGAATAAAAACTGAGCAGCAGCATCTTGCTCTTTCTTCTTTGACTGAATCTTCTCTACAAGTGGCTTCAATGTATTCACAATTTCGACCTTGTCTTTGAATTCATCCAACAAATCAATCAATTCAGGCGACTCATTCTGGATAATCTTGATTTTTTCTGCGACAGGAAGGTTTTTGCGGCGCTTTTCCACCTTCATCACATCAAAAGAAATGTCCTCCAACTCTTTGCTGACATCTTCCACCAACTTTTTATCAGCGTCAGCGTCTTCATCGTTGCCAAGACCCCATCCAGCCAAAGCATCATCCACAAAATCAGCTTCGTCCATATTGGCAAGTTGCTCTTTCTGAATTCTCAATGCTTCCTCTTCTTCTTCACGCATTTCGTCAATATCACTGCCTTCGTCAGCGTCGTAGTAGGCCTTCTTGGAGGTGCCCCAGGTTTTGTCTATCATGTCAAAAGTCAATCATCGCATTCATATCAGGCCACAAGTCAGTCCTACCATCAATCTCTTCTTCCTCTTCATTCTTGCCAGTGATATCATCGTCAGAAAGTTCATCCTCTGAATCCAGGCCATCTAAACCATAAATCTCTCTATCACTTTGTTCTATCACTCTAAAGTAAGTCGCAATGTTCAGATCAGAAGAGCAAATGTCCACTCACCTTCATCGCTTGCTTGATCTTGGTTCAAAAGTACTTTCTCTCTATCGTCATGAACTAAACCAGAGTATGAGTACAACTGCGAAACTATGCTGTCAAACTATCGACTTACAGTCATCCTCTGAATCATGCTCAATGTCGTCCCAAGTTCTGATTGCGTTGACCTTGTCGTCCTTGGACGAGTTGGCTTCATTTTTAGCTGCATTGCGGAAGACGGGTGTCTTTTTCTTTCCCATGATGTGTGTGTGTGTTTTTATTGTCGAATAAACAGCAATTTTTTTTCTTTTTTCATCAAAAGTTGATTTGATTTTGCAAGATTTCAAGTGGCTTGCCTCGGGATGAGAAATGGTCACATTCAAGCAAATGCTTCTCAAGCGAATTATAGGGTCTAGCCGGACAATGTAAACCAAGACGCAGCATAAGCTACGTTGCTTTTTTTCAGTCAAATATGGATCAGTTAGAACACGACGACATTATCAAAAAGAAGTACCTAGCTCGTGGGTCAGGAGATGCTGCCACAAAAGCTTATATTGCATCCAAATACCTGAGCGGACCATCAGATGAAAAGAAGAAAAAGAAGCGAAAGAAGACGCATACCATCAACAATATTGGCATTATCGATGAAGAAGACATGAGCTGGGAAACGGCAGCAGACACACAGATTGAAGAACTCAATAGAAAACAAGAGCAGGAAAAGTTGGAACGAGAGGCTATACAGAACGCAGGAGGTGTCTTCCGGGGCACAACTGCCAATTGGGAGACGATTCAAGGAGGAAAAGAAGAGGAACAGGATGAAGAAAAGGAAGACGAACAACCCCAAGTGGTGCAGCAGCAGCAGGATAATGATCAAGCACCTCGTATGTCTAACGGACAGAGAGCAGGTGTGCTGACGAAAGCCCAAATCAAAGCAGAGGCTGAAAGAGCAAAGCATTTGGAGAGAGAAGCTATGGAGCGATTATCAAAGCAGGAAGCGCATGATGCAGATACAGTATACCGTGATGCAACGGGTAAAAAGGTGGACCCGAAAATGAAGCGAGCTGAGGAGGCAAGACGTCGTAAAGAACAAATTGAAAAAGAAGCAAGAAAGATGGAGTGGGGAAAGGGGTTGGTTCAGCGTCGAGAAGCAGAAGATGAAAGAAGACGACTCGAAGAAGAGAAGCACAAGCCGATGGCTAGGTAAGGAGGAGATGATAAAAGGGATCCAGGGCTATATCGCCTAAGCTTGTTGTTGTTAGGTATGCTGATGATGAAGATCTCAACGAGGAACTCAAGGAAAAAGAGAGATGGAACGATCCAGCTGCGGGGTTCTTGACAGTAAGTTTATCAGCTTTTTTTTTTTCTTCAACGCATGAATTGAGGAGGTGTATATATATATATATATATATATATATACTAATACTATGTCTTGACATACTAGAAAAAGACGACAACATCCAAGGGAAAGAGGCTAGTGAAGCCAACCTACAAAGGCGCCTGGAAACCAAACCGATTCATGATTCCACCCGGGTACAGGTGGGATGGCGTGGATAGATCAACTGGATTTGAAGACACATTTTTGTTACAACAGAACCAAGCCAAATCATTTGCAGCTCAAGCTCATGCCTGGTCAACTGAAGATATGTAGTATAATCTCTGTCTCTACTCCCCCTCTCTTTACTTGCTATAAATATACATTATGTAGCGTAGTGGCTGCCCTAATGAGAGAGCGATTTAACATTTATACACATATATCATACATCTGCCTCCTCCCCTTCTTTCTCCTGCTACTACTGCTACTCTCAGTTTGTTTGTAAAATAAAAACAGCTCCTATTTCAATTTATGAAGTTCTAGGAGTTTAACAGGGGGGGCAGGGCAGCTCTTATGTTAAAAAAAAAATAAGGAGGTTATGCTTTAAGAAGAATTTTGATAGATGTAGAGGGAGAAGTCAAGTTCGGATCAATATAACTCATTGTGATCCTCAATGAATATGCAAGCGTATATCTATAAATTGTCAATAGGCTGCAACCAAATGTAAAAATGATCTGCATTACATCAAAGACAACAGCAGCATTATGTGCCTCTCTCTTTCTCTCACACACACACACACACACACACACACACACTGATAGTTTCTCTTAATGATCATTTTTTAGTTGGATTGACACATATATAAAGGATCCATTAATTTCATGTCAATTCCCTCTTTTTTAATTTTAATCTTAAAAAAAAATACTGATTTTACAATGCATTCTTCTTCAACTGTGTTACCTCCAATTTCTGATTTATTCAACAATAGCAATAGCACGCATAGCATGTCCCGCTCTTCAGTACTTGATATAGCTAATTTACTCTCATCTCCTGCTACTTCAGAGGGCGACTACCACCCTCATCAGTATCACCATGATCACCAACATCATTCTCATGCCACCACGCATCAACGCACTGGTACGAATCATCGTGATTTGAAAGCCAAGCGAAAGAGAGCCTCTCCAAATCAATTAGTAGTTTTAAACCGTGTCTTTAACCAAACTTACTTTCCATCCACCGAGATCCGTATTGCACTTGGCAAGCAATTGGGTATGAGTCCTCGTACTGTGCAAATCTGGTTCCAAAACAAACGCCAAGCGCTTCGTAGTCGTGGAAGACACGATTCACCACCATCTTCATTCTATCTTCCTCCCATCTCACCACCAAGATCACCTTCATCTGAACTTTGCCAGCCCAACTTTTCCTTGCCTCCATTAAGACTAATCCCTCCATATTCACCTCACTACCAGCAACAACAAAACCATCATCAATATCACCAACAACAACAACAGTACTCACCTAGCATGTCATATCCCAGCCCCAATTCCATCGACCATCTTCCTTATCGTGAATACTAAATGATCACAACATACCAACCACCAGCTAATTCAATACATGCCAACTTTTATCTCTCACTCTCTCTCACTCGCTTCCTTGCCCATTCAACTGTGTGTAATTGTCCTTAAATATGTCCATGGCTCCTCTTCTTTACATCTTCTACTTATGCTATCTATTCGTTCTATATATCTGTATATGCCTACGTAATCTCTTTTAAATTATTTGTCTAGTGTTATTGCTTTCTCTTATTTGTGCAAAATCCATCATTATCATCACATCTAACTTAATATACTATAATTCTTGCTGTTCATAATAAAACCCTTCTAATCTACTCCTCAAATGAGCTTGTCAAATGTAAATGCCTGTCTGTAATAATAAGACTCTCAAATGTGTGTGTGTGTGTGTGTGTACAACTAGACAAATCCACACTTGGGTTATTCACTCATGTATTCATACAATTTTTCGGATCACCCATGGACTCGGTTTTGTTATTGTAGAATATGCATCAATGATTTTTTTTTTTTTTTTTTTTTTTTTTTTGCAACTTGCAGGAGGTGATGAAAAAAATAATACGCTCATCCCCCCCCCCTCCCCTTTCGAATGTAAAATGATCTTGTTTACACTAAAAACCAACTTTTTTTTTGCTGCTGCTGCTCTATGTAGAGTCAGCATATGCAAACCAAAAGCCGTCTGTCAGGGTATAGTTCATTTTCCTACAATATGAAAATCCTTAAAAAAAAACTTGTTTATATGACAATAAGAACCTGCTCTCTTTTTGGATCAAACATTAAACTACTCCCATGTATGCGACCTCCACTGTCCTTTTTTCTTTCTCTTCCGCAACATTTGTTCCGTGAGAGATGTACAAAGAAAATGCATGCAAAATGAAGCTCCAACTTGCGGTTGAAAGTGAGAACAGCTTGTTATCCATCAATCCGGGTAAGCATGTGGTCAGTAAAGTACAAGAATAGGTGTAAATAGAGTGTCATTGAAATCAACAAGACGTTGCTATTGTTCGTAATCTCTCAAGACAAATGAAGGTCTTGTAAAGTAACTCAACTTTCGCATGCAAGGGACCCATGGGCCATTGATCGAATTGACTTCATTGAAGCAATATACTGTATAAAAATATAGAGCTCCTCGTTTTTTTCTTTGCGATAATAACACCCCATGTAAATTATTGCAAGCAACTCAATTCTAAATACCATAAATATATAAATATGTACAAATCAAAGGGGACGAAAAAAGGATGAGGTGTTATTTGAATAGAGCGGTATTATGTGTGCCATACTTGAAAGTTGCAGAAATGTTTGAGCCTACTGGACGATATCAAAAGAAACCTAGACCGTCAGTTTGTACACATTCACGTTTTATGATGTGTTTGCAACAAACTTTGTGACGATGGCTGCTTTATCCGAAGTTTGCATACAAAAGCTTTAAATACTTACTTGCCACTGTATATATATCAAAAGTGTACTCACTAAATGCACAGCTAAAGTTTGATTCGAAGCCACTAGATTCTGAAGCCAATTTACTATTGGCAAGATTCATTTCAATCATGTGAATGCTGTTTTGCTTTATGTACTGATCGACTCTATTCCTATGCCCAAAAAAGACACCAACAGCAACATGGATGATTATCTGATACAGATGCGAATATGTGAGCAGCCTATTTTTAATGCGTCTTGCCTCCTCAATTCCAAGCTCTACAAGAAGCATGAATACATACACTTAAAGTAGCCACAGCCATCATAGCAGTGTGGATACTGGAGATTCAAGCTATAGTGTTTTTGTTTTCGCTCTCCTTCTAACCCTATCCCGAAAGAGCATCATCGCTACAGAGCAGACGCTATAGTGATATTTGGACAAATTTAATTTGTAATTTACATACGTCCATTTATATAGTGAATGTGCGACCATAAAATTTCAAGCAAGTATCCGCTATGCAGATGTATAAAGATTGTATGCACAGGTCTTCCAGGGGTAATTATTTTCATTCATATTGACCGATTTTGTTACATTGCTCGGATGCACAAAATGCAAATACATAATTCTGAACGTTTTACGTCTCTCATGCCCCCATAGTACCGGATGACAAGGATGGGATTATGTTTTCAGGCAGAATTGAGATTGCATGTTAAACAACTACTTGTCCGCAAATGGCTCCTACAGCATCTAATCATAGTATATGCTGTTTAACATCAACTATACTCTCATCATTGCATTACTGCTATGAATGATATGTATGCCATAAGATACAGGAGACTTTATATGAAGGAGAGGGGGGGGGAATATAAGGGGAGGTGTTGGGTTGGGTGTTGAGGAATCAAGTGTATGCACCCAAGGGAAAAAAAAAAAAAAAAAAAAAACTTGTTTCCAACATGTCACTCCTATATGTAAACGCTTGCTTTCCTTCTTTGACATGTATACAAATGTCAATTGCTTCTTGTACTGTGGATATTATGTCTCCGGAATAGAAAGGGGATCTAACGGATTTTTTTCTTCCCTCTCAACCAAGGAGAGAGTGGGAGGGCATGAGTGATGGAAAAAAAAAAGAAAAGAAAGCCATCCATTCAAGACAGTTGTGATTGCAATCAAAAAAAGCACCCACCATTCCCGCAAATAGCATCAATTTGCACAAGCTGCTAGGCAGTTGTGTTTAACTAGCATCGGATCTACACATTATTGATCTGATGCCCGTAATGTCACAATAGATCAAAGTCTAGATTGAAATCCAAAGAGAAAATTGGTGTAATTTCATGATTCTGGATGAGTATATGCATCATTGCGCGCACGTAAGCAAATATAGCTTTTGTTTTGTTCATTGTCAATGATGGCGATAATGGCTATATCTCCCTTTCCTCTCCTTCCCCTCCTTGAAACATTAAAATAGGTGCCGATATTTGACATGTATCGATCAACAAAACCTGTATTTTCATTGTATCTTTTTTAAGATAGATTAGCTTTGTTGATGAGTTCATTTGTAAACTGTAGTAATGCAGTTGAGATTGTATCGCGATCTCTCTTCATCAATATTTAACTTGCTTTTTTTTTTAAAAAAAAAATTGGTTAGGCTTCACTGTACAAAGAGATGGTCCCAACAAGAATTGAACATGTAGCAGTAAAGAATGCCTTATAAACCTGTGTCCTTATGTAGACATTCGTCTTTTTTTTTTTTTTTTTTTTTTTTGCATTGAATATACTTGGCAAAATCAAGTGTATATACCACATAGGACCCAAATGCACTTGATGTTCACATTGCCGTGACGTTTAGCTCAAACATCTAAGAAACGCAATGCAAAATGTCAAAGCAATAATCAACATTTGAGCTTAAGAGAAAAATTGCCTATCATAATAGACAGTATATGGGTAAGCCATCTGACAAAAATCCTTGCTTAGCGACCCTCGCTGAGTACGTATATAGAATTTAGTCAAATGTGAATTTTACATCTGAATGGTGCTCATTTTAGAGATGACAGCATCACAAAGGTTATACTAAGCGCATTCTGTACAGTGTGAAACTCTAAGCGTGTATGTATTCTTGTGTTGTATCAGAATTTGTATTAGATCTCAGTATTCATAAGCACGTTGCACGCTGTTGCAACGAAAGGGAAGACGTGCGATTGCCATACCTTTATATCATTTGCTTCCTGTTTGTTTCCGGATCACAGAGTCCATTTTATCTTACAGAAATGTTAAACTCTTTTAGATCACGAGATTAAAAAGAATCGCTTTGCACTCTTTGGATCACAACGTCTAGCATTTGCAAATCGAGGCTGTTAGCAAGTATCACAAACGATTTCGAAGTTTTTTGTATTACGTTGAACATGCTAAGCAAGAGTGAAATGTATAAAATGTCGAACGATTCATTGCTTGATCCAACTCTTTTATCATTCTTCTATTATAACCAAACATGTGGCCATCCATCAGTGCACTAGTAAACGATCATGCAATGGCGTTTGCTCCATTGATATATTGGATTGTATTTGGCGCTGCCATGGTGTACTATTGTATTAAGCACCCTGTGTACCGCAACAGGATCTCTTACATCTGCCTCTTAGCTTCCATCTTTGGTATCATTGCATCTATTCTGTCTATCCTGTCAACAACGTGGGGAGCCAGCATTGAACAGCCCGCCTATTTCGTTTTCCATGGCTTGTACATCACATTTGCTTTCCTGCCATTTATCGTTGCCTTCTATACCCGTGAAAAACAAACAAAACAAAGCAATGCTGGAAAATACACTGCCTATCTAGGGCTATTATGGGCTGCGGCATGTATCTTGGGAGGCCTTGCTACAACCATCATGGCTTCTATTATCGTACATCAAGGCTATTTTGAAAACGAAGGGTTGCTTATAAGACTTTCTGGAGGTCTGTATTTCCTAATACTGATGACTTGGGGCTTTATCGCTGTCATTCTTCTGTTGACCCTGATCTACTTTAAGCGTCTCACTGAAAAACACGCTCGAAGCTCTGCGCTGACTTACGTGCTCCTGAATTTGCTATCGACACTGATACTCACAATCTTGGGATTTGCACCTCTAGAGTTCAGCTTCTTTACTTTAAATGCGCTTGGTTATATGAGCATATTCCTGGTAGACCTTCCTAATACCATTGCCGTCTTTGTTGCTTTCCACATGGGCCACTGCTGGATAGGCGACAACCAACGTCATTTGATCAACAATGATGTTCATAATATCCAAAGCGATCAAGCACATCATGATGGCAACGTTGATGCTAATAATAACGATGGCTCCAAATATGAATTATCAAGCGGCGTATAAGTTATACAGAATAAAGGAGTATGAACTATTGTTAAATTTTCCATACATATAGTTTGGTGGTGAGCCAACCTCACTGGCGTTGTCAGATACAAACATGCCCAACAAAAGCAAAATAAAGCATTTAGACTAAGCTATTGTTCTTTCAAATTTGTGATCCTTATCTAATCAGCATCGCAATCATCATTGTCATCATCAAAAAAAGCATTTGGGTCAGCCAGCAGCAGCACCACCACCAAGAGTAATTCAAACTCAGATTAGTTTTTGTATTGTTCAGGAATAAAGGGACCACTATAATATGTAGGAAGAAGAAAGACTGACGTTTATTGATGTGGATGCTTGGATCTTTATACCATTGATATGGTGTTACACGACATCCCACCGCTGTGATAAGATATAGAATTTAAATAAGGACTATGATATAAATGTATGAATGAAAATCGCGTTAAAAAACCTAATATAGGAAAAAGCTTGATGATAGGTAGAAGTTGATCAGTGAGATGGTTTCAGAAAAGACACATGGGTGTTTTTGTGTTTTTGACCTGTGGCATCATTGATTACATCGTATCTTGTGGTGGACAGGACCTTCTGTATTGTGCAAGGACCTATCCAATCTACTTGTAGTTTTCTTGGATTGTTGCGAGTGGAAATACGATTGTTGAAAATGTATACTTTGTCATTGATTTCAAATTGTGGTGTTAGTTTTTGATTATCATATATTTTCTCCAAATGTTTGTGTACATGTTCAAATGTAACTTGAAGCTTGATTTGTAACTGTTTCGCGAAGTGTGATTCCGGGGTGTCTTGTTCATTGTATGAATCCGGTAATTTCTCTGGTATTATCGTTGATAATGGTGTGCGTGCTGTGCGCCCGTGGACCAACTCAAATGGGGACGTCTTGATAGAATGGTGATACATATTGTTGTATACAAATCGAATTATCCTCAAGTTGCTGCTCCATCTTGTAGAAATCTGGTTGATATCCGTGTATGATAAAATCATTGTTCGTAGTGTTTTCATGAATCGTTCCACTATCCCGTTGGATGATGGATGATACGGCGGTGTGTATACGATGTTGATGTCTACATATCTTGCTACTTGCTGGGTGAATTGTGATCCAAGGCTGTTTCCGTTATCACACATGATCTCGTTGGGAACGCCATGTCGCAATATAAACTGAGTGTACATGATGGAAGCCAATTCTTGAGATGCTGTAGACCTGGTAGGATATAGTTCTACGTATTTTGTGAATGTGTCTATAACCACCAACACGTATTGATGTCCCGCGCTTGACGTTGGCAGAGGACCAAAGTAGTCGATTGCGACCTTGATGAACGGAGCTGTTCCATGGGTAGTGGTCATATTATGCTTAGTAGCAACATGTCCCTTGATTCTTTGACAAATTTGACACTTCTGAATATAGGCATTGATATCATGAGTCATGTTGGTCCAGTACAAGTGCGCTTTTACCAAGGAAGCCTTGGTCTTGGCGATACCGCCATGTCCTGCAAACTTGGAGTCATGATGTTTGCTGATCAGATTCGCTACCAGATGGCTAGGTACCATTATGTACATGTCTGTGGCTATGGTCTTGTGCTGTTTGTTTTCTACCTTGTATATTATGCCATCGACGACTTTATGCTTGGAGTACTTGACATTCGTGTTGTTAAAGTATGGTCGTAACATGGGATCCAGTCTTTGTTCCTTGGCCCAATCGATGTCCGGATGATGAGAGGCAATTGCATGAATCGCAGCACGAGATAGTGTATCCGCAGCATGGTTCACCTTTCCAGGTATGTATATAACCTTGAAATCATAAGCCTGTAGAAAGAGGCACCATCGCCAAAGTCTGGGTTGTTTGTCCGCATCGGTATTAAGAAGCCACTGGAGGGATGAATGGTCAGTGAATACGGTAAATTGGTTGCATTCAAGATACATTCTAAATTTCTTAACCCCAAAGATGATGGCTAAAGCTTCCAATTCACGGATGGAGTAGTTTTTTTCAAACTTGGTGACACTGCGGGATGCGAAGGAGAGAGGGTAAGGTGTGTCATCGTACCGTTGGCAGAGTATGACAGCAATGCCTGCTGAGGTGGCAGCATCGCAATGAAGCTCGAATGGAAGTTTGAAATTGGGTTGTTTCAAGTAAGGTAATGCAGCGAGAGACCTTTTGAGTTCTTGAAACGCGTGCTCCTGTTCGGATTCCCAAGCGAATGGTACATCTTTGATCTTCAAGCGTCGAATTGGTTCCACCATTACTTGATACTTGGATATAAACTTGGAATACACTCCTGCCATGCCGAGTAACCTTTCAACCTCTTTTATATTTGTGGGAGCCCGTAGATTAGTGATAGGTGTAACTTTATCCATGTCAGCATGGACACCCTGATCAGAGACAATGAAACCTAAGAAATTGATTTGATTTAGCCCAAATTGGCACTTTTCAATGTTGATGGTCAAATTGGCTTCCCTCAGTCTCGTTAGGAGTTTGCGTAACTGGAGCACATGATTGTCAAAGGTATCAGAGAACAGTATGGTGTCGTCTTGATAAGCGATAGCAGTTCTGTATCTCATGTCCCCGAGTACCTGATCCATTAATAATTGAAAGTGTGCTGGGGCATTTTTCATCCCCATGGCCATCGTGTTAAAAACATATGTAGAGTTAGGTGTTACCAGGGCACTCTTGGGCTTGTCAGCAGCAGCAATGGGAATTTGAAAATAGCCTGACAGGAGATCTATTTTTGAAAAATATTTTGCGTTGCCCAGAGACTGCAGTGCATGATGGAGGTTGATAAACGGATACTTGATAGTCTTTGTGATCGCATTTAGTTTGACGTAGTTTCCGCATATGCGAAGAGAGCCGTTTGGCTTAGGGACCGCTGTTACTGGGAAGCCCCAATCCGTGAAGTTGACTTTGCTGACAATTCCATTGCGTTCCAGTTCAGAGAGCTTGGCGTCGATCTTCGATTGTATGTCAGGATGGTAATGTCTTGGTCGAATGTAAATGGGAGGATGGTCTCCCGTGTCGATGGTGAATTCCATTTTGGTAGTAACTGAGGGCTTGTCCGAGTCTTTGCGTAATAATTCTTTGAACTCTTGTAATACATCTTGTATCCGAGCGTCTTGGGAATCGGTTAATTGGATGTTACAACGCCTCGTAGCCGTGGTCTCGTAATGTAAGTTTATAAGATGATTGTCAGTTTGTAGTGTGAACATTTTGAGTTTAGTATTCATATTGACCTGAAATCTGCACATGAAATCCCAGCCGATGATAGCCTGACGAGCCAAACCGCGTATAACATGAAATTTCGTTTCGTAACCAAAAAGATTCAATTTAGTAATACCCATCGTTTGTGCTGTACGATTGTTCACGTCTGTGTAACTGATGATCTGATTGTTGTCTATTGTCAACTGCAGTGTAACGCATGTGTCATAATCCATGGCAGTGATAGCAGAACCTGTGTCCCATAATGCATGAATAGTGTGATCTCCAATGACGATTTTAGTTGTGGGAGTGAAACTGTCATGTTGAGTGGTTCGAATAGCATGCATGGAAGTAGCACGAATGTGATTAAGAGGAACCGGGGACCCCAATTCCATTAATCCTGAGTCATCCTCTGGGTGTTCAATAGTGTCTGTCTGATGCACAGAGGATGCCTGTGTGGGACATTCGTAATTTCGATGTTCGCCGAAGCAGTGACCGCAGACAGGATGTCCTTGTTTGTTGTATAATCGAGGTACAGGATCCGGAGGAAATCGTGAACGAGGTTTGGAATTGAATGACTTTTTGCTATTTCTGAATGGTCTTTTAGTACTTTTGTCTTTGTACGAGTTTGAGCTATTAACATAATCAACTTCCATTGGGTCATCCATCGTGGATTGAGTGTGGGATCCCGAAAAGTGTGCTTGTTCATCAGTATTATCATTGAGCCTAGCCTTGTGTTCAAAATCGATGGCCTTCGTGATAACTTCTTGCACCGTTGTGACCTTAGCGAGTTCTACATACGCTGTTAATGTAGCACGTAATCCTCTGTCGTGTAGCGATTGAGTAAATAAAGATATTTGATGAGCATCCGAGATATGATTATCCGGCAGCAGACTTAGCAAATGTTTCCATTTAGCACTATGTAGTTTGATGGACTCCTGCTTGGGTTGTTGACATCGCTTCAAATTGGACTTGAACTCTCGATATTCCTCGTCGGCAGGACGACCAAATTGTAACAGCATTTGTTCAGTTACGTTGGCCCAGTTTTGTCTGACTGAGGAAGGTAAGGTAGGTAACCAGTTTTTGATGACGGGAGGCATGAAGCGACCTAGTTGGACGGTACAGATATCCATGTTTTCAATGCCTACGAAATTTGCCTGTAATTCAAATTCTTTGATGTAGGTACGTAAGCTAGAATGCAATTCATACCGTGGCATGTCAATAGACTTGACCTTTTCAAGGTTCATGTATTGGATGAACTCCTTGGTGTTGGAATCGGCCATGTTAACGGACTGTGGGGTGGTGTGATAAGATGATGTGATAGACGAGGTACTGTTTGTTGTGGTGTAAACCTTTCGAAGGGATGCGATAAATTTTACTTGCTGCGTGAAGTAGTTTTTTGGTTCTGTTGTTCGGGCCTGTTTGCGAGTAGGTGATTGCAGCTGTGTGCTGGAGCGATGTTTTGTGATCTTGCGATATGTGTGATCTTGCGATATGTGTGATTTGGTGTAGTCGAGTGTGAGCCTTTGATATATCTAGTGGTTTCCGGGTTCGAGAATTCAGTTAGGGAGCCTCACCATGTATTGTTCAGGAATAAAGGGACCACTATAATATGTAGGAAGAAGAAAGACTGACGTTTATTGATGTGGATGCTTGGATCTTTATACCATTGATATGGTGTTACACGACATTTTTATTTTCAAGATTGGACAGATTTTGTCTTTTTTTGACTTCTTTAATCTATTTTATGAGATTCGACTATATAAATTGCGATGATCATCCGGTACGCCCTTAAGCTTTCTAAGAGTGCTTTTCAAAACGCATCCAATGGTACCAAGTAAGATAGATGTTTTGAATAAACTTATTGAGCAATTTACAAAAATATGAAATGATGCTTTTGGCCAAAATGCCGAGATTTTACATATAGAAGCTTTACAAAAGCGGTTTCAGGAGTTACTTTGGAACAAGAGGAACATTTTGATCTAATATGAACCATAGTAAAAGTCTTTGCTTTCAAGGTGAAAAACGCGATCGTTGGATTTTCGGAAAAAAACCATAAGGGATACCTCATGCTTTTTGGTCGATTTTTGGCCATTTTCTTTGGGTCCCCAAAAAGTTGACCAAACGCGTCAGAAAGTTACTGCAACTTGAGTACAATTGTTTGGCGTCATTCTGGCAACCCAAACGGGCTTTTAGCGCGAGAAATTACTGCTCAAGTGCCCTCAACTTTGGTTATGTCTTGCATAATTTTGAGCAGTAAGAGGTGAACCAAGTATACTGTCTGCCCCAACACGAGCTATTTTCATTGACACAGATATCAAGCATCGTAGAAGTGCCAAATCCACAGTCGCAGGGAATTTTCACATGACAATAATTGTTGGAAAGAGTAAATATCAATAGGATGAACATCTTTATGAGTGTAAGGAGCAATGAATGCATCCACACCTCTTCTCCATTGGCCAGACCGAAGGCTGGTACTAGATGTGATTACAAAATCTTGTTTCAAGATAATGGAACAGCATTGCTTTTGTTTGTACAGATAGATGGAATAAGAACTGTGATGGATTGCAACGCATGCTGGCCTAGATAAAAACTTGATTGACATCAATGCAGTCCTGCTACAACAAGATGAAAGCAAGCATGTGACAACATATGGCGTAAGACACTTGTGTATATCAGTTTACATGATCAAACACTGAATGAAACCCCCTTTTTTTCTTCGCCACAATCAAATACGTGAAAAAAAAAGATAGGTCAGTATACATACATGACTTTACGGCGTCTTGGAGAGTTTTAACATCGGTTTTCACATTGAAGCAATGTCCAACCATAGCATGCCAGATCCTACATTGGAGGAACAAGCTTCTCTGATTGCTTGTTTTAAAAAAGTGAATCAAGAACTCAAGGAGAGCCATCCCATCTTGCTCAGTTTGGTGCTCCAGCTGTCTCAAGTTTGTTCAATAGCTGTTGCTCAATGTAATAAAGGGCAGCTCAGGGGAAAGCACAACAATAGCGCAGAGCAACACCTCCAGAATGCAAAGAGATTGAATCATACATTGTATGCGAAAATAGCTCGTCTATCAGATTTGGCTCTTATTGAGAGAGACACTATGGCTCTCTATCAAGATTCACACGACCTACCTATGCTTTCCAGAGGCCAAGAAGAGCTTGCTGCATTATTGGACCAGATCTTTGCTTTCTCCAAGTATCTGGACATGTCATGCGCTACCCTTCTTGACCTCATTTATGCGCCTCCTTTTTCCTCTTTCAATAAACTTGAATCCAAGCTCTAATGGAAAAGGTAAAAAAATCAATGGCTATTATATCAGGTAGGAAAGAGTATAAGAGCGTTTGCATAAGGGGTTGGCAATTCTCATCATTGTGGATAGATTACAACATCATTGAGATCGAGTCAACAAGCCAATATCAAATCAAAAAAGTCAAAGTGAACAGCCTACTCAAATCTTGCATGGTCATCAATAGCTGTCTAGCATTTGCTAAATAAAGTACACCAATATCACAATGCTTACTCCATGGAGATTGTCTATCAAACACTGCCCGTTTGGCTAGGACTTGCCTTGACGAACAGATGTCGTTGGCTTTCATTTAAGCTTTTTTTTAAGCCATCTCTGTTGAAGTGTGATGAAAAGATGGACGACTTTTCAGGCCATTTCTTAGCACACCCTTCTACCGCACCTGATCCAGTATACTTGTGCTTGGGGTTTCTCAGCAGATCAACATCTACTATATTACCATCACCATCACTTGTTGGATTCAGATTAAAACTCATTAAATTGTGGTATATCCCCTTTATTTGAAGTTGCCTAATCCGTCTCAGTTTCGGAACACTCTTTATTTGTTACACACATCTATAAAGGTTTTTGTATTTATTTGTGAGAGAGCTCATACTACTCGGCTTTCTTCTTTTTTTTCTTCTTCTTTAACTCTATTTTATATATATATATATATACCAACGTCAACCAACGGATCCAATATATATATATATATATATAAATTGTAAATATGGATAGTCTATCTTCAGGAGTGGCACAAGCTGTTCAAGTATATACAAAAGGCACAAAAGCCTGGTTTGAAGACGAAGACGAGGCTTGGGTGTCAGCCTCCGTGCTATCAAAAGAAGAATCAGGCACGGGTGTCAAGATTGTATTTCAAGACGATAAAGATGAAGGAAGAGTAAGTTTATTCAAGGCATCGTTGAGATCCAAGATGCCAACCTTTTTCTATTCTTTCTAGGAGCATGTCTTTGAGTGCACCTATGCTCTACTCGAGAAACAAAAAGGTGCCAATTTACCGCCACTTCGTAATCCACCGAGATTAGAGAACACAGAGGATTTGACCAACCTCAGTTATTTAAATGAACCTTCAGGTAAGCAAACGAGTCAACGCATCCAGGTACAAGAGTACTGAAACGCTGTACCTTTTTTTTTCTCTCTTTTTTTGCTAGTTTTAAATACAATTAGAACACGTTATTTTCAACGTAATATTTACACCTACTCTGGCATTGTTTTGATCGCAGCGAATCCATTTGCCAGCGTACCATTGTATGAACCTGATATCATTCAACAATACTCAGGCAGAAGACGTGGTGAACTAGAGCCTCACTTGTTTGCCATTGCAGAAGATGCTTATAGATGCATGGTCAGAGAGAAATCAAATCAAACGGTGGTTGTATCTGGTGAAAGTGGTGCAGGTAAAACTGTATCTGCTACTCACATCATGCGTTATTTCGCTACGGCTGATGATCAAGAATCCGGAAAAATCAAGGATGTTGCTCAAGGAATGACAGAAGTAGAAGAACAAATTATGGGTAAGGTCTCACACACACACACACACACACACACACACACAAAAGCTAAGCCCTAGCCTTATTACCGTAACCGTGTCGTCCTACTAACCAAGCATTTCCTTAGCCACAAATCCTATTATGGAGGCATTTGGTAATGCTAAAACAACGAGAAACAACAACAGTTCGAGATTTGGTAAATACATTGAAATCCAGTTTGATAATCGATGCAATATTGTGGGCGCCAAAATCAGAACCTACCTGTTGGAGAGATCAAGATTGATTTTCCAACCAGAGTCTGAAAGAAATTACCACATTTTCTATCAGGTAAACGTTTTACAGACATTGACTACATGTTTGACTCTTTCCTAACGCTTTGAAAAAAAAAAAAAAAGCTCTGTACGGGCGCTCCTATCAATGAACGCAAAAATTTGGAATTGGGCGATTGGAACAAATTTCACTATCTCAACCAAAGTGGCGTTGGATCTATTCCTGGTGTAGACGATGCTGCTGAATTCGAGCTGACACAAAAATCCCTGTCTTTGGTTGGTATCTCTGTGGAAGCACAATGGCAAATCTTCAAGCTCTTGGCTGCCTTGCTTCACATTGGTAACATTGAAATTGCCGGGCGACAAGATGCCACCTTGGCAGAAGATCAGCCTGCCTTGATCACTGCTACTAAATTACTGGGCATCAAGACATCTGAATTCAAGAAATGGTTGGTCAAGAAGCAAATCATCACTCGCAACGAAAAGATTGTCAAGAACCTGAACCCCACACAAGCAACTGTTGTCAGAGATTCCGTGGCCAAATACATTTACGCTAGTTTGTTTGACTGGTTGGTCAAGGTAGTGAATGACAGTCTATCATGTCAAGAAGAAGGGCTGGTGCGTACCTTTATTGGTGTGCTGGATATCTACGGTTTCGAGCATTTCAAAAAGAACTCGTTTGAACAGTTTTGTATCAATTACGCCAACGAAAAGTTACAGCAACAGTTCAACCAGCATGTCTTCAAGTTGGAACAAGAAGAATACGTCAAGGAAAAGATTGATTGGAAGTTTATTGATTTCAGCGATAATCAAAAGTGTATTGAGGTCATTGAATCCAAGTTGGGTATCTTGTCCTTATTGGATGAGGAATCAAGAATGCCCTCCGGTACAGATCAGGGCTTTATCAACAAGCTGTATTCCAGTTTTGCGGATCCCAAGTACAAGGGTTACTTCAAGAAGCCTCGTTTCTCCAACAGCGCCTTTACCGTGGTTCATTATGCGCATGAAGTGGAGTACGATGCGGAGGGCTTTATTGACAAGAACAAGGATACAGTGCCTGATGAACTCTTGACCTTGCTACAAAATGCTGAGTCGACCTTTTTGGTGGACATGCTTCAAACAGCCACTGCTGCTGCTTCTGCTGCCAGTCAAGAAGCCAAGGTAAATATTGCAGTGTAGATGATGGTTTAGCACATTCAATTAACCAACATACATTCCTACAGCCTACGCCTGTCAAGAAGGTGGGTATGGCCATTGCCAAGAAGCCGACACTTGGTTCTATCTTTAAGCTCTCATTGATCAGTCTGATGGACACCATCAGCAAAACCAACGTGCACTACATTCGTTGTATCAAACCAAACGAAGCCAAGGTAGCATGGGGGTTTGAGCCCAACATGGTCTTGTCGCAGCTGCGTGCTTGTGGTGTGTTGGAAACCATTCGTATCAGTTGTGCTGGTTACCCTTCGCGATGGACATTTGAGGACTTTGCAGAGAGATTCTACGCGCTTGTCAACTCACAATACTGGGATCCTAATCTGTCGCCCGACATCAACAAGCTGTGTCATGTCATTCTGGACAAGTACATCAAGGACGCTGACAAGTACCAGATCGGTTTAACCAAGATCTTTTTCCGTGCGGGTCAGTTAGCCTACCTTGAAAAGTGCAGACGTGAGCGTTGGGATGAATGCACCATCTTGTTGCAAAAGAACATGCGTCGTTTCATTGTGCGTATTGGCTACCTTCGTAAACTGGACCTGATCTCTCGCTTGCAAAGAGTGGCTCGACAAAAGATGGGTGTCAGAAAGCTGGAATTGGCGCGTCAAGAAATCGCTGCCATCAAGATTCAAACAGAGTGGCGTCGCTACATTCAACGCAAACGCTACTTGAAGCAACGTGCCTTTGTCATCCACTTGCAAGCTGCTTGTCGATCGCATCTCACACGCAAGACCTTTGCTCACATCAGAGAGCATTTTGCTGCCATCAAGATCCAAAGTTTGGTACGTGGATGGCGTGTGCGAAAGGAGTTTTTGGCCAAGCGTCAAATCGCCATCCAAATTCAAACCTGCATTCGTCGTCGCTTGGCTCGCAAGGCGCTTTTGGCTCTCAAACAAGATGCTCGCTCTGCCAACCATTTCAAGGAAGTCTCTTACAAGTTGGAAAGCAAGGTGGTTGAGCTCACACAAAGTGTCACTCAGTACAAGGATGAAAAGGATCAATTACGCCTCAAGGCAAACGCTCTCGAAATGCAAGTCAAGGATTGGAGCGAAAAGTATGAAAAGTTGGGCGAAAAGGCACGATCTCTGGAGCAGTCTGCTGATACCTCTGAACTGGAGCGTCAACTGGAGAGCTTGCAGGTGGAGCGTAACGGTATCCAAAACGACTATAGAAACTCCTTGGAACGCATCAAAAAGCAAGACATGGAGATCACTCGTTTAAATGAAGAACTACAGCGTCATAAGGACGAAATTACCAAGCTAAAGCAAGCACACAATCAGCAACAACTGAGATCTCCCGTCAGTCCTAGCAGTGCCTCCCCTTTTGCTTCTGCTGGTGATGAAGATGTGGCTGAACTCAAGAGCCAAATTGTTGCTTTGAAAGCACAGTTGTCTCAATCGCTCAAAAACCATCCCAAGCGTCAAGCCTCTATCAATGCTTACCGTACCTTATCTCCTCAACGCAGTAGTGACCGACGTGGCATGTCGCCTGACTATAACCGTGGCCGTTCGCCCAGTGCTGATCCTCGTAACCGATCTCCCAGTTCATTGGCTGTGCGTCGTAACAGTATAGGTGATAGAAGAACCGAACCCCATAGTAACAACAACTTGACCCACACTGGCAGTGCCGTTGCTGGTGCTGGTGCCGCCAAGATGATCTATGCTGAACCTGAGCAAATGATACCCAAACAAATTGGCCAACGCGGTAGCCTGGATGCAGACAAGATTGGCAACCCAGAAGAAGCCATCAATGCTTTGTTGCAAGACAGCGAATTGTTAGAAGAAGAGATCATTGAGGGACTGATTCAAACACTCAAGATTGTGCCCCCCGAATTACAGAAACTGCCTGCCCGTGAAGAAGTCGTGTTCCCCGTGCATATCATTGGTAAAGTCGTAACACAAATGTGGCGTTTGGGATATCTGGTGGAATCCGAGCGCTTGCTGTTTAGAGCCATGGATACCATTCAAAAGGACTGCCTGTCCTTTACGGGTGAAGATACCATTGTACCTTGTTCTTACTGGTTATCCAACACACACGAGTTGTTGTCATTGGTGTATTCTGTGGAGCAAGAATTGGAGAGAGAAATGCACTACAACTCGATCCATGGCCGTCGTGCTGTTGGATGGCATGATTTTGAGAAACTGGTGTCTACCATGAAGTTTGAACTGCAATGCTTGGAAGACAACATTTATCACCACTGGCTGTCTGAGCTCAAGAAGAAGCTCAACAAGATGGCGATTCCTGCTGTCATTGAGAACCAGTCTTTACCTGGCTTCATTGCTAGTGACTCGAACCGATTCTTTGGCAAGATCTTGTCCAGCAACAACCAGCCAGCCTTTTCCATGGACGATCTCCTCAACTACTTGAACAGAATCTATCGCACCATGAAGTCCTACTACGTGGAACCCTATGTCATTGAACAGGTGTTGACAGAGCTGCTCAAGTTGATTGGTATCACCACATTCAATGACCTGGTCATGAGACGCAATTTCAATTCGTGGAAGCGAGCCATGCAGATTCAATACAACATTACGCGTCTGGAGGAATGGTGTAAAGCCCATGATGTGTCAGAAGCCACAAACCAATTGGAGCATTTGATGCAAGCGACAAAACTGTTGCAGCTCAAGAAGGCTACGCTGGAGGATATCAAGATTATCTATGATGTGTGTTGGTTCCTTGCTCCTACTCAGGTGCAAAAGTTGATTCAAAACTACTGTGTTGCAGATTATGAGGTTGGTATAGATCTGGAGGAGATATTGTATTGTAGTATTCACGTTGTATGTACAGGATCCCATCAGCAATGAAATCTTGAGAGCTGTTGCTTCTCGTGTTAGTAGCAGTGATACAGGCGATATCTTGTTGTTGGATAATGTGTCTATCGAAGACAGTGATTACGATCAACCAGAGCCACACAACGTGGTAGCCAGCTCTTATATTCCCAGTTATGTAAGTGTGCAGTAGGTGCGTTTTGAGCCCATGAATTAAGCAAGCTGTGTTTTCTTTCTCTAGTTAAACTTGCAACATGTCCAAAAGCTGATTGCCTTGGTGACTTTGAATGAAAAGCATAGACCTCAACGCATGGATTCCATGTAGTTATATGAGCCGTATGTAATTTTACTATTATGAACCACATCCCAACAAAATATCTTTAAAAAAAAGCCTTTATTTAACAACTATATATATATATATATATATACTTACATATGTTTCTATCTTGATATTTTAATCCAATACACCTATACTTCAATAAACTACTATTTGCTATGTGAATGCCGACCATCTTCCTCAAACATCTCTTGGTCATTTCTCAGCAAGGCCCCTCGGGATGCTTCATACTGTAGAACCCATCAGTGATAGTGACAATAAACGACCCAAATCATTACTGTGACAACTGTGATCGAAGGATGAAGACCACAAGGATGTTGACGCAGCATATAAAGCAGCTTCACGAGATCAAGTTACCAAAGAGAAGAATGAAGAACCGTGGAGCCACGATTGATCCAAATGTCTCATTGGTGTTGTGCAAAATGTGAAAAACTATTACTCAAAACAAGTCTTCCAAAGATTGCAAGAAAAATGTTTAGTCGTACATTATCTCATCTTGTGAGACAAAGAAAGCTTCCAGTGCTGTTGTTTACATGTAGATACTTCTTTTTATTTATTTACTTATCTAGATGAAAGCTTTACGAGAATACTCACAATATAAATACATGATATGCTTTCGTAAGTCAGCTTTATCAACTATAAACTTATATCGCGATCTAACGTCTGGCAGGCGTTAATCTTGATGGAAGTATTAGACTATTTGGCAGCCCCACTAGTGTGTCGAAGTTGGAAACCTGGTCAAACGTATTGTCTAGCTCAATATCTTCGATTTGTTTACGCTTTCTGACTTGGCATCTATTAGGTGGAGCTCGACAATACGGCCGGCGAAGATTGTGGATTATTTGTTGAGAATATCTTTTCCAAATATTTCGAATTACACTCAAAAGATAGAACGCAGTTGTCTACAAACGAGACCATAACTCTATCCTATATCCTGAAATACTTCAACGACACCAAAATGAAGTTAACTAACGATTTGAGCCTCTCACTAAAGTCATTCCAAATAATAGTAGTATCGCCCGAATTTGCCAAGTGGAATATAGACCTGTTGCGTGCCTTGTTTTTGGAGACTGGTTGGATCACAACGAAAGATAGCAATAGCAATAGCAAATTGATGCTGGTACCATATATCGAGGCATACTTGAACGCTTTTCAAATGGTTGATACACGCAAGGAGTCTTTCCAGAGAGAGGCAAAATATATGTTACTGTCTAGACAAACAGCGGAAGAGAAGAGCAAAGTTATCTATAGAGCGACCTGTTTTCAGATGCAATGTGCAAAAGAATTACTCGCAGCAGGATCCAAGAAGTTAGCATTCAGTGATTTCTTACTTGTTCCTTCCATTCTCGGCAGCAAATCAATTTGTTTACCCACCATAGATGAGGCGTTGCTGGCTGCAAGCAAGAGGATTCTCACAGAATTCAGAGACAATTACAAGACGCAACACGGAATCGATATGAAAGATGAGCTTTCAGAAGATGAAGTTTGTGAAATAGCAACCGAGCTTGCAAATATTACTCCATTGAGGTGTGTGATTATGAATATTGCATTAAAACAAAGCTTGTATGTCTAATATCATTAATTCGCGTAGGTGGAATCAATATGGCGAGATTGGCAAAGTTGGTGAAGATGTATCATCTGAAACGCTTGCCAAAGACCAACTCCAGGATCTCAGAGAGTATCCAATTAAGCGTTTCCTCATGGATTTAACCCAGGACGCCGATGTTCAGCAATATACGAAAGCAGTCTGTGATTTCTTACAAGAATCTTTGGAAGAATCTGGTTCAATCAAGGGCGCACCGGATGGAGTTCGTAGGATAATTCTCGCTTCCGGTCATTTGGAGAATCAACATGGTTTCTGTATCGAGAAAGCCCTACTACAAGCAAAGCTCATCAAACCAGAAGATAGATTTACCAGAACTAACGTTGAGAATGGAATGCTACATAGACCGTTGAAAATGGCCCAAATCGCAAATGCCCTTCTGCCACCCTTGATTCAGAACGAAAAAAAGTCTGACGGAAGCATTTTCAGTGGTAGGCCAGAGGATGGCAACAAAAACCCATTACCTTTGAACTCCTTTTATCTACAAGCAAACATTGGCGAGCGACTAATCCATTTTATACTAAACAAGGTAGTCAAAATACCTTCGCCTGGAAACCCGATAGAGTTGTTCACTGCACTAGAGAAAACTGTCAAGATGAATGATATATTGACTGCAGCATCTGAAATTATGTGGGGCCATTATCAACAATTGGAATCAGACGGCCATCTGGAGGCATTAATTACTTGCTGTTCAGAGCATGAGGACATCAATCTGTCATTAGGCCATTACAAGTGCTTTACTGCAAACTTGACGAATTTGATCAATAACTGGGTAAAAATGACTGATGCATGCAAAAGATATCCTATTTACAACAAGCTACATACAGTTTCAAGATAAAAGCGCTATTACAAATGAAGAGTTAGACACGCATCAGATGGTTTCAATCAACAAAAAATGCTCTTGCGCTCTCAAGATAACCCATCGAATGCTGTTAGAGACAGGACTGAAGCCTGCAGTCTCTAGCATCGCAGGGATCATTGTGGGCACCACTCTTTCAATCGACCACTTTGGCCTGTATTCAATCTCTGCATTATTTGTTAAAGGAGGTGCAAATTTTGTTGACAATGTGTATTGCTCTGATTGCCTTCAGCACCATTTAGAAGAAAAGCTTGCAAAGTTCTTTCACAATCACCATCGAAAGTTGGTCATGTATTTCGTTGAAAAGGAAACAGAAGATGTACTGAAGCAATATCTTGTCAAAGGAAATTATAAGCAGATCAACGGTTCAACTTACGCGATCAACATGGAAATTGATACACGCGAAAGTTCTTTTTCATTTGGACTACTGAATGATCACAGTAGTGTATACAGAGATATTTGGGGAATATACTATCCTGCAAGAAATTGGAATGCAAGCTATCTCTTCAAATCAAAGTACACTATCCTGAATAAGGGCAACGATCTACCTAGCACAGGCTTTAGAAGATTGTTTTTATCCAGGTGGAAATCCGCAAGTGTGGGTGAGTCTTCTTGAACAAACCTTCATATTCAGCAAGAACCTCAAAGCTTTTTTTAGATGTCAAAATTTCGCTTCCTGGTCACACATACCAAGTAAATGTGATCCACACCTACTTTGCTCTCGGTGGCATTTGCTCTTATATCAGTATAGACATCTTGCCGCTTCATCATTCATCGGCTGTGAGGATTATTGTATCCTGCTTTGGCACTTCAAAAAAAGGAGTTGTGTTTGAGAAATCTGAGTCGATTGACATTCAGGAGAGGCTCTATTTGAAGAGGCATTGACATTCGAATCACTAGGAAATATATATATAATCTATTATGCGATACATCCGAGCATTTCTACATTAAAGCTTATAAATATCTAGAAGAGCGCTGTCAGCACTGCTTGCTGACTGCACAATAACTCCATACTCAAACACCAAAAATCATAAAGCAAGATATCAACATCCTAATCATTACTACAGAGTTTGCGACACATTCCTCGGCCCAAAAGGCTCTCTCAGGCATCATTCAAAGGCTGTACATTCCACCATAGACAGGGATTAAGCAAAAGAAGAGATAAAACCGGATGGTGATGATCTCAACAACTACTGCTGTGTCTGCCAACGCATATTCACGACAAAAGAAAAATGATCGTAGGCATTCATCAAATGAGTATCAGAGAATCATATAATCCGAGCAGTTTTCCTGATCCTCTTGATGCCAAATGGTATTACTGCGTTTGCAAATCCTACTACGAGGACCGACCTAGATTCAGGGTACATTGTAAATTGACTCATGGTATAGCGCTTGCGCGTCTTGTCAAGACCTACGCGAATCCCAGCGCAACGATAGGCATGAATGAGCCAAATCACTACTGTGCCAAATGTGATAAAAATCGAAAGAGCAGGGATGCATTTGTTCAACACTTGAAGAAAGTTTATACAATGAAGCTGCTATCCAAGTTAATGAAACGTCTGAAGCTACGATTGACGTGAATGACCCCAATTGCTATTGCGCACAGTGTGAACGACATTATCATTGCAGGTACTGCTTCAAAACACGTTTAAAAGTGTCTCACTATCAATAAGAAGAGTTGGGACAAATGGCAGATACTACCTCTCGTTTACAACAAATAATAGTGACATAAATAAAAGTATAGGGATGTGTCATGCAAATTACTTTTTTCTTTTTTTTTTATTTAATCAACAACAAACTCATGGAAGATCTATCTGTGTCCACCTTTTGGTGAGCTTCTAGCGCTGCTTTTTGGTGAAAATGGTGTATTTGAGCCATATGTGTCATTGTGACAAGTGGCAGCAAAGTTCTGCCATTGAGATGGCGAGGGAGCAGCAGCGTTGTTACCTGCATCAGATTGAGGTGCAGGTGTGGTTGCATTTCCTGGTGATTGCTGCTGTGCCTGTGTCATGCTAGTGGTATCTTTTGCTTCATCATCATTGTCTTGTTTAAGGATATCATGCTCATCATCTAAAAGATCTGCATCAGCAAATCGATCTTCTTCGTTATCCTCTTCCTCCTCCTCCTGCTGCTGCTGCTGCTGTTGAGGTTGTGGCACGCTGTTTTCTAGAGGCTTGGTGCTACTGTTGTCATTCTCTGATTCTTGATCCTGATATTGCTCACCATGAATAGCAGCATCTTCGCTTGCTTGAGATTCGGATCGCTTTGATCTATCACTCTTGGATCTCCTTGACTTCTTTTTGCTGCTGTTTCTCTTCTTTTTAGTCGTTTTTTCAGTGTCCTTGGTGGCTGTTTCGTCTGTTTCGGGTGTTGAATCTGCTTCCTCATGTGCTGCATTGGGATTATCAACATGATGATGTGTCTCGACAGGAGTTTGATCTGGCAGATGTTCAGAAGCAGATGTTGCTGCTGCTGATGTCTCAACGCCGTCGGTCTTGGCTGGCACAGTGTTGGTATCGTCTACAATGGCATTTGGGTCGGTCCAAGCACTGCTAGCCGTATCCTCCTTCAAATCCTTGGGTGCAGGTGGTGTTATATCAGCCGTCTTGGACGATAACAGAAAACCGGGAATAGGGAGCGTAGGATCCACGGAAGGCATACTGAGCTTGGGATCTCCTACCATACTCATGTGAGGCAAGACGACATACACGGGAGGTACGGATGCGATAGATGGTTCAAAAAGAGTGGTTGCAGAAAGATCGCCCATCTTCTTTTGATGCTCGTACATGCCTTGACCTGCTATACAATGAGCGATTTGCATGATTTCCTTATAAGTCGTATTGAATCCATCTGCCACAGGTTCATTGGCTTCTTTATACAGCTTCAAGGCGATATCTCGTGCAGTGTTTCTGGCTTCATTCTTCACCATTTCTGAATATTGCAGCTCATGGCGAATTGTGGAGATGCCGCCCATGGATCCAGCGACCAATTTATCGGCAAGGTAAATGATAGCTTCGGACTCCAATGTTGGATACGCATTGGCAATCAACGGCAGAAATCCTTGCTGAGCGATGCGCACAAGATAAAAGAAACGGATCACAGCAAACACCTCTCTTTCTCCAAGCAATCCATGCTAGCAATAAGTATGATTAGTCTCCATCCACATGTAAACGTGATGCCGACACACCTACATTCAAATTCACTCGTCTCCCACTGGCAGGGTGTTCCACTTTGTCGAGCATCTTTTCTAATTTCTCCAGCACTCTCCTCTCAATCTCTTGATCTTGCAAGAATTCTAACTCTTGTTGATTCAATATATCGCCAGCCTTTTGCCGAGCACCGAGGACATATGCCAAGCGCTTTTGAGACATGTCACTGTTAGTGGACATAGTTTCAAGTCATCGCTCCGAGCGAGCAAACCCACTTACGACATTGTCTTTGGTCTCCTCTATTTGAGAAAACAAGAACGCTCTTAAACGCGAGTTGATTCTTCTGTCAATATCTCCAGAGCTCATGTGTATCTCCTTTGTTTGTTAAAAAAAAAAAAAAGCGTGTGTGAGAGAAAGAAAGAAAGAAAGAAGAGGCATTTGACATGTTCAGATCCTGTTTCTCTTTGAGAGAGGCGAGGTCACAGATAGTGCGTCACCTTGGAGAAAATGTGATAATTAAAAAAAAGGATCTCCAAAACAGGAGAAGAAAAAAAAAATCTCACAGCTTTTTCTTGTACATAGTTTAATCAACAACCATTATAAGCAAAGTGAAGCATAGTAAGGCCTCAATCTATTTTGTATTCTGTTATGGTAACTTTGCTTGTTAAAGCCTTGCTATGCTGTCATTTGGAAGAAACTAATTTGAGTGTAGTATCAACAGATTTATGAGAATTACGGGCAGCATCACCCACAGCAGCCACTATCACAATCGCATGCGCAACAACAAGAAGACGATGGCAGTGCAGATCATCACAGCAAATCCATCTTTTTTCATGACACTAGCAACTCGAATCAGTCCCATTATTCCTCTCCTTTGAACGGCACATTCAACCTTAGATACCCTTCATTTGATGCCTCTAGCTTTGATCCACATGCAACATCAACAGCAGCCTCGCCGCAGTATGATCCGTCGCAGGCATCGACATCAGCATCTACTCGAGCAGAAGACCAATCAGCCATCCATGCGTTTAGTCACTTTCATGCGGTAAATGTTTGCTGTAGAGTCTGATTTTTGAGATTTTATATATTAAGACTTTTTTGGTTTGCTGCAGATGAGTTCGCCTCAAGATCTGGTAGCAACTTTGACAAACACGCCCGTCTTTAGTCATGTCGAAATTGGTTCAACAACAGCACCGACGTCTTCACCTATCGCTACTACCACTGTCACTGCTACCACCATTCTTCCGCCTCTCAATACAACGCCGATCATCATGGCTCCTCTGCAACATCATCAAACGACATCACATCAGACGTATCTCCTAGCACAAAAGAAACCGCTCAAGGGATCGCCTCGACCGTCTCGAGAACGAGCACCGTGGACGCCTGAAGAAGACAACCTCCTGAAACTAGCAGTGCAATTGTATGGCGATAAGACGGAGAAATGGGCCAAGATTGCAGCCTGTGTACCAGGCCGTACGAATAAGAACTGCAGAAAGAGATGGTTTCATTCACTGGACCCGTCTTTACGCAAAGGGGCTTGGACAGAAGAAGAAGATCAGTTGTTGCGAGAAGGCGTGAGCAAGTATCCCAATCAGTGGAGCAAAATTGCAGACATGCTGCCAGGTCGCACAGATGATCAGTGTGCTAAACGCTGGCGAGAGAGTTTGGATCCAAGCATTGATCGAAGTGAGTGGACGCCGGCCGAAGATACCTTGTTGATGGAGAAATACGAAGAGTATGGATCGCAATGGCAAAAGATTGCCTTCTTTTTTGATGGACGGCCTGGACTGCATTGCCGTAATCGATGGCGCAAATTGCAGCGCATGGTGCAAGTAAAGAAGGATAAAGAAGGCAATGTCAATACATCGTTTTTCAATACCATGGCAGGAGAGCAACCGCTTCGATTTCAGCATACAAATCCTACTTCTTTGGCTTCGTCGTCGTCAAAAACGATCCCTGCCATGCACAACAATGCCACTTCAACGACACCACATGCTGCTGACAGTAGCACACCGTCGTCAATACAGCCACATGCCACACATCAAATGCCACATCGCATCAACTCGACAGACGCATCACAGTCATTTCAACATTTAACAACGTTACTACAACAGCAACAACAAATGCAGCAGCACCAAACACAACATCATTCGCAGCAAACAGGGCAAGATCCATCCGTGTTGGCACAATACACCAACAGTAACAGTACACCACCGACGCAAGAAGACTATGACGACTATGGCAACGGACTCAAGCCCTATGGCTGTGATATACCTGGTTGTTATGCTGTTTTTGCAGACTCATCTGGTTTATTTTATCACATGAAGAACACACATCCCAACTTGCATGGTGTTGGAAAACCTTTTCGATGTGCCATGGTCGGATGCACCAAAAAGTACAAGAATATCAATGGTTTGCAATACCACATCAAGGACGCCAAAGGGACTACAGGACATGGCGGTGGTATTTTGGCAGATGACGATCGTCCTTATCGTTGTATGATTGGAACGTGTAAAAAGGCATATCGCACAGCCAGCGGGTTTAGATACCATCAGCAAAATGGACATCAAATGCAGCAACAGCAGCAACAGCAACAGCCAGCAACTATGCCCATGTCGTCTGCTACAGTTGTTTTGCCACGACAACAACAACAGCAGCAGCAGCAGCAACAGCAGCAACAGCAGCAACAACAGCAACAACAGCAACAACAGCAACAACAGCAACAACAGCAACAACAGCAACAGCAGTTTCGCATGAAACGGGCTAAATGGGTCATGGAAGGTGTTTGACCTTTGCCTTTCTACTCTTTTATTTAATCTCTCTCTCTCTCTCTCTCTCTCTCTCTTGTACAATTACTATCTCTTATTTATTACATATATATATACGGTATACAACACGCATATACATTTACAATAACAACAATTGCTTTCTTTTTCCCTTATAATACTAGTTCATTTTGCTTTAAAAAGAAATAAATCAATTCATCGAATTGCAGTAATACACACTCAAAAAAAAAAAAAAAAAAAAAAAACAACACCCCAAGGGATATATTTGAGCCAAACATTGTAGAAGCATACAGAAGATGGGAGGAAGAGAAATAAATAAGGGTGCCGTGTTGTAGAGAGAAGGAAAAACTAATACAAATAACTAGAATAGATATATAATAGAGAAAAAAAAAAGGAGCGAGCAGTAATGATAGTATAGAATCTGTGCATAAAATAAACCAAAAAGAGAGACCTTATGTTGCGATATTGGTTTAGTCGGTATGATCAAGCTTACGCTTCTTGTTCTACTCAAACCATGTCAATATCTATGCCTATAATCTCTCATTTTTTGAAACTTGCCTGTGATAAATCTTCAGGAGGAGGAGATGTCAGACTACCTTTCTTGACATCCACGGCTTTGGGATTAACAGGAAACATGGGCGTCTTGACGTAATCCTTCAACACCGTCTTCCATAACTGCAAACCTTCATCATAAATGTTGTGCTCCACACGCACCTCTCGGTCAAAAATCATGGCATGTCTGTCTCTGACGTCGTTTGTAATATACAAGGGCCATTCAGGGATACCATCGTGGTTGGGACTACCGGTCTTTGCGAAATTGATAATGGCACCCGAGATTTGCTTGGCAATACGATCTCTTTCAAAATCATCACCGGGACCCAAGAACGGATTATCGGTCCAATACATGAGATTGTCCCAAGAAAAGACAGAGTCCACCATGTGAGCTGCCTTGATGACATTTTGAACATCGTTGGACTCGTAATCCCATTCATACAGATACACCTTGTGTCCATTGGTAGCCAGGTTCTCAGCAGTGAGCATGGTAGCAATACGACACATGACATCCGAACACATGTAGCGAGTTACTTCAGAGGGAGGCGACATGGGAGGCAAGATTTCTTGCTTGTAAATCTCATACGCTCTGCGTGCATTCTTGCGACCAAAGATGTGAGTGAAATAGCCACGCACAAACATGGTATCGTCCATGTCTTGGAAATTGGGCAAGAAGGGGAAGAAAAAGTTGAATTCATCACGGGTGTAGCCAATCACCACCTCCAAGTTTTCATATCCTTTGGGTAAAGGTTCATGGAAAAAGTGTTCAATCAAAGTAGAGGGCAGTACTTGCTGGTCTTGGTTGGGACCAATGGGTGCTAAACCTTCCAAAAAGTTGGGCCAAGTGGTCATGAAGGTTTGAGAGTCTAAAAACGTTTCAACTTCGACCGCTTGCAAGTCTTCCACCAAGTTTGATTTATCCAAAGCAAGAGATCTGGCGAAAATGTCTCCCTTCATTTCAGCCCATTCTTGAGGACTTACCATAAACATGGGAGGCGATTGCAAGACAATCTTGTGGAACAGGCCGGCTGTGTTTTCTGCCAAGATGATGGACATGATGCAGATAGCTGTTCGAGCCTTTGGTTAGTACAATCTTTTTCTTGATCCATGATGACAACTTACATCCAGCAGAGGAGCCAAAGGCAGTAACATTATTGGGATCACCACCAAATTCCGCAATGTTATTTTGAACCCATTTTAATGCAGCTAAAAAAAAAAAGAGAGAGATCAAGTTGTTATTACCTCCTGATCCACTATCCCCTCCCCCCCCCCCCCACACACACACACACACACACACACACATTCGCTTGTAGTACTTTACCAATTTGATCCAATAAACCTAAATTACCAGACCCTTTTAAATCTGAAGAAAGATGATCCATTGACATCCAGCCAAGCGCACCCAATCGATAATTGAAGCTGACGATAATGGCATCATTTCTAGCCAAGTTGGTGCCGTCCCAGAAGGGCTGACTCGAGCTACCACTGTATCATAAAAAAAAAAAAAGTAAATACTGTTGTCACCCTCTAAATCTTAAATGAGCCCTTGTCGTACCTCATACATGCACCTGGATGAAACCAAACTATGACAGGTCTCTTTGTGTTCTTGACAGTATCAGGTGTCCAAATATTCAAGTAAAGACAATCTTCAGATTGGTGATCGATCTGAACGCACATCAAAGTGTCAAATGGCATCGCTGTTTGAGGTGCTGCTGATGCATGTTCGATACACAGTCGCTCTTCATCGGGTGTGTGGAGCTCGACGGTAGGTTGGAAGCGAAGCGAGCCAATCGGTGGTTGAGCGTATGGAATGCCCAAGAAGACCTCGACTTGGTTGCCTTCGTCCTTGAAGCCTTGCAGTTTACCTGAAGTGGTAGGGATGACTTGAGTTAAAGGAGCGTCGTAAGGCTGCTGTTGTTCTTGCATCTCAAGTTGTTGCTGGTTTTGCTGATCCTCTCGATGTGTCGACATGGTGTATGTGATTAATAGAAAAATGGCAAAAGAAAAGGAAAAAGCAACAGAAAAATTTTAGGCGGCCTTTTTATCAAGGAACCGAGCGAGTTGCACCTCTCTCCCTATGAGTTTGGGCTTCCCACACACATTGTATCGAATCCCCCCTCCCCCCCACACACACACACACAGACGCGCAAATACGAATCTCTCTCTCTCTTCCTCCCCAAAACTGAACCTACGTGTGCTTTACATACATCTAGACACTTGAGCCCCTTTACTACATGTATGATACTATTGGAAAGAAGGTTCAAGATGAAAATTCCATGTTTTATTGATCCGTGGGTATTTGACTTTTGAGGAAGCCCAGTACAAGAGGCACCATGGAGTTCTGTACGACCAATTTGACAATCTCATATCCCCTCTTTGTCACCACATTTGCTGTTGTCGAAGTTGACGTTGCTGTGGTCATGATAGAATTACGATCGTCTTCCTTTTTCTTTTTGGCTGGTAATAGTAAACGCATGGTTCTATCATGGCGGTTGTTGGGATCGTCGTGTTCTGAGGGACTCGTAGTAGCGCTTGCATTATTATTGGACGTTGTGCTGTTGATCGTTGTGCTGTTTTTATTGACATTGGCACTCGTGTTGTTGGTCGTTGTGGTGGTGCTGGTACGAGCTGTTCCTTTTTTCACCTCGTCTGCTAATAGCACCTCCTTTAAAACCTGTAAAGCAACACGGGCTTCAGAGCTCATATTGTGTAATTGAGCAATGCTGGTTGGATTGCGCTCCTCATTGACATAACCGCTCAATCGCTTCAAAGCCCCTAGCCACTCGAAGCGTTCCTCCTCTGTCTCGACACTGAACGTGTATTTGCGGTTCACCATATGTGGCTGTCGCTCCGTTTCGTCGTCGTCGTCGCCGTCATCATCATCATGTTGCTTTTCATCTCTGTTTCTGCGAGTCGCATTTCTAGACTTCTTGACAGACTTGATGTTGGTGTCTTCTTCCTTTTTGCGGGTGCCTTCTTCTTCCTCAATTAGCATTTTTTTCTTGTCCTTGTCATGATCCACATGCTTGAAGCCAATTTGGAACGTGTATCGCATAAAGGGTCTTTCCACAACCACACTCTTTGTTCTAGGCAAGGTAGGACTCACATAATTACCGGCATTCTCACCCGTCTTGATAAACATGAGCGATGTTCTGCCCAGTGTGTTACCTGTGATGGTGAATGTTTGGATGCAAGACTGAGAGAAATCAAGTACGTTGGGCTCAAACACCAAATCTTGACCACGCAGCTTGATCTGCAGACCTGCGTCAGGCGCTGGGATAGAGATGGTGATGGGATTGGAGGGAAGCCCCTTGGTGAGTCTAGTAGGCAATCGATGCGGAATCACGGTGATCACTACATCCTGTGAACCTTGTTGCACGGAGGGAGACACAACTTTAGGTCTCCCTACGCCAGCGTTGTATTCCTGTGTTATTGTCTGGATCCTTCTGCCCGTCTTGTTGTCCCATCCAGTTTCCAGTCTCTCCTCGCCAATCGACTTGTACATTTCCTCCATAAACTCACGAGGCACCAAGTGGTACTGATCATAGTAATTCCAACGTTCCAAGAAATCGTCCAATGTAGGCTGACTGTTGCCTCGTGCTCTCAGGGACATAATGTAGTGCAATGGCTCCACAGCCACGCTTTGGCGCGCTCTCGATGTTGTAGCCGACGTAGAAGGTTTCTGCAAAGCGTTGGGTCTCTGGTAATCAATCACACTCATCTTTCGCTTGGCTTGACGGTCTTGACGTTCCTTGAGCTCACGCGCATACCAAAACACATCTCGCTCAGATGTCGCATCGTACCAGCATTCGGCGTTCAGAAACAACATGGCCACCACCACCTTGACCACCATGTCTTCATGGAATTTGATGACGTTTTGATTGGCATCGTGCCATTTCTTTGCAAACCGCTCAATCAAGTACTCGAGTGCCTCCCAATTACTGGGTAATCGAAACGTTGTCAGTAGAATACGCAATGCCTCGTCCAACCGCAATCCCACCAAACGGAAGCACTCGAGGAAAGCATCATACACATCGCTGTTCTTGAGATCCGACAAATAGTAGCCCAGTTGACGACGATTGAGATCGGGTGTCTTGAACAGGAAATTAGCAATGCTGAGAGGATCGTTGGTCAAGACACCTTTGTCGATCAGATACTGGATACCCAAGTTGGCGTTGGTTTCGAATTTCCGTAATGCAGATGCCATGATGGGGTGGATTTTGCGAGCAGGTGGTAATATGGGCCTTCCATCAGGGCCCATCTCAATGGTGACGGGGCTTGCATTTGAGGCATGGTAAAGATCGTCTTTGCTAATGTACAGGGTCAGTTGGCCCAATTGCACAATATTCTTGACTTGGAACAGTGAATGTTCATTGGGTCGAAAGCGATATCGGTTCTTTTCCTGGCTGCTGCTGCTGCTGCCGTGTCTATTGGCACTGTTGTTGCTACTGCTGCTGGAACTCACAATGATGTTTTCATCCATGATGGGCTTGCAAATCAATAGCAAGTCGTTGAAAAGAAAGAGATAACGGTCTTTGACAGTATTGGCATTGACGACTTGGAAGACGGGGGTATGTAACAGATGCTGTCTGGGTGGATTGGGTAACGGTTTGGTGGATGGTTGTTGTTGCTTGGCAGGAGGTGTGGGTGTTGCTGCTGCTGCTGCCGGTTGAGATGGTGTTGTTGCTGCTGCCAGTGGTGGTGCTGTGGTTAATAATTGCTTGATCTTTTGCACAGAAGGTGACAACGTGGGCGCTTTTTCATACATGTCGTTATAGTTTTGTGCTTTCATAAGATCAAAAATGCCATCTGGTGGCGGTGCTGGTACTGTAGGGCCTGATGTATTAGTGGCAGTGGTAGAGTTCACATTGGTTGGTGGAAACGACAATGGAGAACGAGATCGACGTGAGCGTTGAGTAAGCGGTAATTGCAGCTTTTCCAACGTCATGGTTGCATCTTCCTCGTCTGAGAGTTCAATATCGCTGTCCTCAGCACGTTGTTTCTTCTTTTGGCATTGAAGAGCGCTCAAGGGAGACGTTGTCGTCGTACTAGATAAAGCAGGCTCCTCCTCATCATCTGTGATTATACGAGCCGATAAATTACCTACTCGTTCCTTTTCATAACGATGTTTGAGCGATTTATACAAAGATCCATCCATGTCGGTTGTTCCTGCTGTCGTGGTAGAGAAGGAAGGCGTAATGAAGGGCGACATTCCATAATGTGAATCAAAATCAAATGAGCCTGGACTGAAAAAAGCGTCGTCGGATGCCTTGAGCTTTTCCCAGTTACTGAACGAGCTTGGTACAGCAACGCCACGGTCAATGAGACGCTGCGTAAAGGAATGAGAGCCACTGCCTACAGAACTAGCCGAGTTTTTGCGATTGTTGTTGTTGGTCGTATTTGCATCCAAAGTGTCTGATTTACCATTGCTGTTGCTGCTGCTGCCGTAAATGGATGTTTCACGATGCGATGAGGATGGTTCGCTTGAGAGTGTGTACTCGGAATTAGAAGAGTCCATAATTAATTAGATGGTGTGAAAGAAGAAAAAAAAGGACAGGGTATACATATATATATATATATATAAAGTTGAGATGTAAAGAAAGAAGAAAAACAATACACACACAAAATGCGAAATTTAAGTCTACCTCGTGCAGCCAATTAGATCAACCTTGCGTTTGAATTAAACCATGAGCGGATCAAGTGGTGAATGTGCCATGATTCATCCATGCCATGACATAGATGACCCGAATGCATCCTTATCATTGACAAACAGTGCTACAAAATAACAATCTGTTATAATATCCACAATGATTCTTATCTATATAATGTCATTTCTTCTTCAAACAGAGTCTCTCTGGAATGTCGATATAGCAACATTTACCCTCAAGTGAAAGACATTGAGAGGCTATTATTATGTCATACGAGCCATTCGACACTTTGAGTTGTTTCCTAACCTACGCTTCGCTTCGGTGGAAACCAACCTACGTTCAAGCGGCTCGCGCTGCTGCGGGCCTTTGGCTAATATTGCAAAGTTAATAATAGCTAAAATGCTAAAAGAAAGCTTGATTGCTGATTGATATAAAATCACTAATCATATGAGTGTTTATGCTTCAGATGCTTCTCTACCTTTGCTTCGCCTCGATGAGAACCAACCTGCGCAGCGGCAGCTCGTGCTACTGATTGCTCTTGCGTATCTTATCAAAATACTGCTACTTTTATTTTGATCCTCCACTTACACATGAAAGCCCTTTATATTAACTGTGGATCTGATTCTTATGTGATGCTCTACATCCATATACACGTAGCTATTTCATATACGGGCAAGTATCATACAGATATTACCCCTTTTTAGTCAAGAATGTGCCTAATACAGCAAAATCTGAGCGCCTTTGAGCTGTGTTTTCTTGCGTTCAAGGCCGTTTTAGATTGTCAGAATAGTATTAAACAATTGCTCTCATCTGGCAGTTACTTTCTGACACCTTTGCTCAACTTTTTGGAGATCAAAAAAAACATGACCGAAATTCGACCAAAAAGCATGAGGTATCCCCTCATGGTTTTCATCAAAAATCAAACGATCGCGTTTTTCACCTTGATAACGGAGACTTTTACTATGGTATGTATTACATCAAAATGTTTCTATCGATCTAACGTAACCACTGAAATCATCTTTGTGGGGCTTTGATACGTAAAATTTCGACATTTTGGCCAGAAACCTCTTTTCATATTTTTATAAATTGCTCAGTAAGTTTATTTAAAGCATCTACTTTACTTGGTACCATTGGATCCGCCTTTAAAAGCACTCCAAGAAAGCTTAAAGACGCAGAGGATGATTATCATAATATACATAGTCGAATCTGCAAAAATAGTTCGATCGAGTCGAAAATTCTCAAAATTTGGCCAATCTAAAGCAGAATATGAGCCTGCGTTTGAATTAATTTTGGCTGGTGGGGCCGGCTGGTAAACTCATGCCCTTCTAATCATGAAGACAATACAGTAATAATAGATGCTTTTGAAACGTATGGAAAGTGGGTGGAAAATCACATAGCACTATCGTTAGTCATGCTATTCTGCTTGGCGACACTCAAGAATCAAAAAGGCTCTCTTGAGGCCGGTGCTTGGCAAATCTTCATCTTTGTTCAAAAATAAGCATTCAGATCAGAAGAAGTATTTGGATGTCTTGGAATCCGAACAGGAATATATCCCTAGAAGATCCCTGTATCCATTGAGGCCATTATCCAAAACTCCATATGAAAAACGCTTCCTGTTTGTTTTGACAGACAAAGAGATGCTGCAAGTTGAACTTGATGTATGCGTATAGTTCCCTCTAACAAGGTACTGCCTCATCGCATGCTCTGTTTCCTTGTCGACAATCAATGCAGGTAGTTGATATAGGCCAAAGTAATCGATGGAAAGGGCGTCGCCCACAATGGTTTCTGCGATGCTGGAAACTACAGGCTTCAATCCTGTCTCTAACAGCATTCGATGAGATACCTTGAGGGCACAAGTGCAGTTTCTGTTGATTGAAATCAAGTAATATGCGTCTGGTTTACCATTTGAATGAGTACTTGTGTTTTTGGATTGTGTAAAGCCTGTTGTATATAGCTATATTTTGTATATATCGTTGGTCGCTCTGTTTGAGCTCCCATCTATTCTGATATCCTCCCCCCCCCCAATCCTCATCTACATCTAGCAAATGCTGCTTTAATATATAAGCGCAACCAAATTTAGTAACATTGACATACAAGAACATATCAGGTAGTCATATTGTGAGTAACTAAGCAAGTTTTCTATTTTGCTCCAAAAGAATCGAAAAGGTACAAGACAGAGTTCAAAGTAGTACCTGCAACTTTTCTATGAGATTATGCATCACCAAGCACCTTTTTTTTCATAAAATGCGCGTTTTTTCTTCAGCAACAAGAGTTGAGCAGTTGAATCTGCATTTTGCCTAAAAGAAACAATGTATTGAACCGTATCAGATTTAATATTTGATTGTTTTCATGATAACTGAGGCATTGATTTTGCCAGCAATAGCCAGCCAAAACTAATTGATTCTCCGCTCGGCATTCTTCTCACCTTTTGGACACAATTTGATTTATTTTGCAAAATTGGACTAATATATTGTAATGGTTAGGTCCTACTCCTTTAAACTTTCTTGAGGCATTTTTCAAGGCGTATCCGATGGTGCTAATAAAAAGAGGTGTTTTGAACAAGCTTATTGAGCAAATTTGAAAAATATGAAATTATGTTTTTTTTGCCAAAATGTCGAGATTTCATATATGTAGGTCTCGCAAAACTGATTTCTGGGAATGCCTTAAATCGAGAGGAACATTTTGATTTAATATATGCCTTAGTAAAAGTTTCCATCTTTGCGCTCAAAAACGCGATCGTTTAATTTTCGATAAAAACCATGAGGTACCCCTCATGGCTAGGCGTAGACTTTTTAATGATCCCAATAAAGTGGAGCAAAGGTGTCAGGTAGTTACTACTAGGTGAAAGAGAATGTGTGGTGCTGTTCTGGCGGTCTAAAACGGCTTCTAATGCGAGAAATCACTGCTTAAATGCACTCACATTCGGCTGTGTTTTGCATATGTGCGAGCAGTAAAAGGCAATGCAGGTATGCTGTCAGCTTGTAAATAGATTATTCTTTCTGAGATAGACGTAGAGTATCCTGGAAAGAGTCATATTCACAGTTACAGATTGTTCATGTATAGCTTTTACGTGGTTTTAAATGCTGAAAGGCTAAATTCTAGCTATATTAGTAGGATTGTCAAGGATCAACTACAAGCTGTGAGGAACAAGTCGGTGTCATTCCTGTGTCTAATCATGTTACGTGAGAGAAGATCAGTCATCAGAATTTTGCATCGCCAGTTATACATAAAATTGACAAGAACAAGTAAATTTTAGGTGATGAGTGATTGAAGATGACTTGTACCGATTATTTCGCATGCTAATTGTTATAGACATTGCAGAATAGCTAGAAAATAACAATCAATTGTATTTTCGGATCAGATGCTATTCTAACTTCTGTCACCACTGATCCCTTTCGATCTCAATGAAAAACCATGGCTATGGCCTGTTGGTATGCCACAACAGACGGATCAAATACACCAATACCGCCATCAAGCAGCACTTTTAAAAGTTAAACGTTGGTAGGTTTTTTTTTTTTTAGAAATTTAATGAGTAGAAATGTTTGGATGAATTGCATAATAGACTCGATATGCTTTTGCAATTCAAGTATCACTTTCTCTTTAAATGTAGCCTCTCCTGAATTTCTATCGACTCAATTTCCTCAAACACTTCTCCAATGCTTGAGGCCCCAAAGCAGGATAGAGTAACCCTCATAGCCGATGAATGTAAAAGTGGCAAAATGGCTATGCTAATATAGCAGCTATCTTGACCGAGCACAAACTCAGCTTGGATCACTTTCAATTGGAATGTGTGAGCAGGAAGCTGGATATTCAAAGCTAAGAAAACCTTTAGAAAACTACTGAATATAGAAATTTCATCAAAAATACTTACTCACAACTGCCGTACGACGGTTAAGCAGAAAAAAAATCCTTTTAAAGCCTGTGCTTGGTAAATCCTTGTCCTTCTTCAAAATAGTGTATTCAGAATTGAAGTATTGTACTCTTCGAAGATTCGAACGAGAGTATGTTCCCGGAATATCCTGGTATGCGTTACGGTAATCATCCAGAAGTTCATATGTAAAAGAACTTTTTTCTGTTTCGATTTTCATGCTGATTGTGTAAGTTGAACCAGCAATCTGCTTATAGTTTCCTTTGACAAGAAATTGCTTCAGTGCATGTTCTGCTTCCTTGTCGACGAAACACATGGCAGGCTTTTGTTGGTGGTTTTGGAAGAACTCTGCAAGTTTTTCTTCTAAATGGTGCTGAAGGCAATCAGAGCAATACACATTGTCGACGAAACCTACACCTCTTTTGACAAACAGTGCAGAGACTGGATATAGGCCAAAGTGATCGCTTGAAAGAGTGGTGCCCACTATGGTTTCAGCGATAATGGACACTACAGGCTTCAATCCTATCTCTAGCAACATTCGATGAGTTATCTTGAGAGCACAAGGGCATTCTTTGTCGATTGAAATCAAGTGGCATGTGTCCAATTCTTTACACGAGAGTGTGCTTTTGTTTTGAAACTATGTGTAAACCGCTATAAATAAGTGTCTTTTGCATACATCAGTCATTCTTACCCAGTTATTGATAAAATTCGTCAAGTTTGCAGTAAAGCACTTGTAATGGCTTAACGACAGTGTGATGTTCTCATGCTTTGCACAGCATGTAATTAATGAGTCTAGATGGCTCTCTGATTCCAGTTGTTGATAATGACCCCACATAATTTCAGATGCTACAACCAGTATGTCATCCATTTCAACTGTTCTTTCTTGTGCAGTGAACAGCTTTACAGGATCTTTGCACAAGGATGCTTTGACCACCTTGTTTAGTATAAAGTCGATCTGCCGTTCACCAATATTAGCTTGTACATAAAAAGAGTTTAAGGGTAATAGAGTGCTGTCGTTATCTTGCCCATCGTTGAATGCAATTTCATTGGACTCTTCTTCGTCCTGAATCAGTGGTGGCAGAAGAGCATTTGCGACTTGAACCATTTTCAGCGACCTAGGTAGCGCGCCATTCTCAATGTTAACTGCAGTAAATGCATCCTCAGGTCTGATGAGCTTTGCTTGTAATAGGGCCATCTTGATATAATAACGATGATGACTTTTCAAATGACCAGAATCGAGAATTATCTTGCGAACTCCATCTGGTGCGTCCTTGATTGAGCCAATATTTTTTAAAGATTCATGTAGGAAATCACAGAGACGATTTGTATACTGCTGAGTATTGGCTTCCTGTGCTAAATCCATGAGGAAATACTTGGTCGGATACTCTTTGAAATCCGGGGGTAGGTTTTCGGCAAAATCTACATATCGTAAGTTATTGCTAATCTTGTTAATCGTGCCTTCCAGATTCCACCTATGTAAGTTGGTGATATTAGATACATGAGGTTTGGTTTGATGCAAAATTGATAACCACATGCCTCGTTGGAGCAATGTTTGCCAGCGCAATGGCTATTTCAGAGACTGCAGATTCTGAAAGTTCATTCTCTGTATTGATTCCGTATTGCATCTTGTAATCGTCTCTGAATTTTGTTATGATCATCTTGCTTGCAGTCAACAGCGCCTCATCCATAGTGGGCAAACAAATGGATTTACTGCTAAGAATGGAAGGAACAAGCAAGAAATCACTGAATGCTAATTTTTTAGATACTGCACTTAGTTCTTTTGCACAATGCATTTGAAAACAAATCGACGTGTAGATAACTTTGCCTGCCTCTTCTGCTGGTTGTGGAAGCAGTAACATGTACTTCCCCTCTCTCTGGAAAGGTTCATCGCACACACCAAGCATTTGAAAATCATTCACGTATGCTTCGATATATGGTACCAGCATCAATTTGCTATCGCTATCTTTTGTTGTGATCCAACCCGTCTCCAGAAACAAAGCACGCAACAGGCTAATATTCCAGTCAGCGAATAGAGGTGATACTACTACGATTTGACTTGACTTTAGTGAGAGGCTCAAATCGTTAGTTAACTTCATTTTGGTGTCGCTAAAGCATGTCAAGATAGAGGATAGTGTTGCCCTCTCTGTTGCGGATAGCTGTGCTCTATCTTTTGAATGTAAATCGAAATATTTGGAAAAAATGTCTTTGCCAGATAACCCGCAATCTTCCCCCGTCGTATCGTTAAGCTTTATCTAACGGATGCCAAGTCAGGAAACGTACAACAAGCAAAAAGATTAAGCTAAACAATACATTCGGCAAGGCTTCCAACTTTGACACACTAGTGGAACTGCCACGTATTTTAATGCTTCCATTAATGTCAACGCCTGTCGAAAGTTAGACCAGGATATAAACTTAGTTGATAATGTTGACTTACAAAAACATAGCACGTACTTATACTGTGAATAATCACCTAAAGTTTCCATCTTGGAAGTTGATTGAAGAAAGAAAGAAAGAAATACAAAAAGGTACCTACATGTATATAACAGCGTTCAAAGCCTCTTTGTCTCACAAGATGAGGTTATGTAAGACCAAACACTTTTTTTTTTTTTTTTTTTTTTTTTTACTTGATGAGCGTTATGTTCATTTAATGGCAGATGATATCACCCCATTTACTAAACACAAAATCGGTCGATCCTCTCACCGACTGCTTGTTCTCTAACCAAAGCAATCAAGACATCAACACCAACCTTCAGCACATGTCCAAAGCTCATGGCTTCTTTTTAACCGATATTGAACACATCAAAGACGGCCAAGGACTGATCGAGACATTGAGTACCTTGCATGTTGCCTTTGACACCTTCCAGCTGATTGATTTTATCATTCATTTTCAGGTCTCTTCTGCTGATAAGAGTAGAAGCGTTACAGATCACCGTAAAATACACAAAACCTACCAAGGATCTTTCCAGTAAGCCATTCACCATGAACTGTAAGGGTCTGAAGATATCCGTTTGTTTTCGATTTACGTCAATAGCCTAGTATAGCGTAACCTTATAGCTTTTGAACGAACGACCTAATGAAATACGCTCATATTTGCTGCTAAATGTTATATGATTACCAAAAGTTCAACATTCCACGATGCCTTGATGGAATGCAATGTTCAATGAGTGAGTAATAGACACTATGAGATGGAAATTATAGAGATTGCCATTGATTAGGCATATATCTATAATCTAGCAATGCCGTGCTCAAAGCACTTTCGGTTAAAAGATATATACGTTTGATATTACTCACATAGGCTGTAATATCCTGATTCGAATCATAGAGCAGCAGATCCTGGACAAATCCCCTCATAACTGATTGAATTGAGCTACCAAAATACACTAGTCAACAAGTTCCAGGTATGTATAACCCAAGTTCTTTGATATAACATAGTGGCCATCAAAAACTGAAGACAGATTCACATATGCAAAGTTCTCGTGATGATGAAAATAAAATTCGAGTTATTTTGAGGGCACAGCAAGTGCAGCTTCTGGTGATGCAGCATCTTGCTACTGCCCTTTGCTCATTTCAGTAATTCTAAAAGTCAGTTTAGATAGTCCAAAGGACACTGCTCAATTGCTGTCGGTCAGTATCTCTTCCCTTTTTCTATTGACCAATGGTAATATAATTTCTTTTGTCATAAGTATGATCAAGAATAGTTTTAATGTCATTATGGCATAACCTCATTATATATATATATATATATATATATATATATATTAACAAACCCGTATTCTGTGCTTTTATTCGAGTCAAATACCCATACGAATGAGAGCTATCGACAATTTTTAAAAAAGGCAACCATATTGTAACAATCAAACATTGGTTATAAAACGTCCAACGAATCTCACGAGAGAGTGGGGGTGGGGAGGGGAATCTAAAACTTAAAGCAACGTCGTGCACAAAATTAACCTTTCTTTTTCTCTATTTCTAATCGAGAGTCGTTTATCATCATGTCAACCGAACCACCGACTACAACCACCAACATGCTCTCCATCAGCTCCAAAAAGACAGAGCGGATCGTATGGACACCGTATCTTCGAGAATACATATCAAATGGGTACGCAGAACACCCAGACCTGTACACTGATGATTTTCGAGTATTGGACGAGTTACGAAATGATTGTATCTACATGGAAACCAACCAGAAAGCCTTGAATCGATTGATAAAGTACAGTAGAATTGCTGACTTGTAGATGGTGGTATTTATTTCTTGTTGTGTGTAGGTATTATGCTCAACTTGTGTTTATCAGTGCCAAGTTTCCCATTGATGTAAGGTGTAATTTCCTATGGTAGAGCGCACCTTTTATTCATCGCATGTGTGTATGTGTGTGTGTGTGTGTGTGTGTATAGGTTGGCATTGAGTTTCCTTGGTATTTGACGTTTGGCGAAGGACAAAAACCAGGTAAAGAGAGTAAATGGAGAAAGGGAGAGGTGCACCTCGTATTCACTATGCTATACAAAATAGTGTCGCATCGAAACATGAACTATGAGAAAGCATGTGTTCTTTATTCAATAGGTGCGGTTTATAGTCAGCTGGGCAATGCAGAAAATAGATCCACAACAGAAGGTATCAAAAGAGCATGCAACTACTTTCAAGTAAGTGTTGGTCAAGTAACCAGAGAGAGGGGCATCCTAAACTCACCATCATCTCTAAAAGCACGCCGCTGGTTGCTTTCAGTTATTACTCGACACAGTGGTACCCGAGATGCGCATGGCACCTACCATCGACATGTCGCCCTACGCACTACAAACATTGATCAATCTCATGCTCGCCCAAGCACAAGAATGTGTATGGCAAAAGGCCGCCATGGATCAGCTACGTGATGGCACCATTGCACGTCTTGCCCTTAAAATAGCCGAGTTTTACGACGCTGCCTGTGAACTGGCTTCCAACTCGAGCATCAGCAACGTCTACCCCAAATCCTGGCTGACCCACATGCACATCAAAGCACTTCATTTCAACGCAGCAGCTCAATTTCGAAAATCATGCGAATGTATATCGCAGGACAAGTATGGTGAAGAAGTTGCTCGTTTACAGCTAGCCTCTGAATTTGTCAAGCGTGCCTTTGAGCTCAAAAACAACAAATCCATCGCACCCTCTGTCATGAACGATCTCAGGAGCTTGCAGCACATTATCAGCACCAATTTAGCGCGTGCAGAAAAGGACAATGATGTGATTTACCTCGAGCGTATACCCTTACCGGCTGCATTGCCTGCCATCACCAAGACACAAATGGTCAAGGCACAGGCGCCCACGGAGATTGCGGATCCTGTCTCCTTGATGCATGATAAAGATTTACCCCATCCCGTGATTGGATTGCCCTTGTTCCAGAAGCTGGTTCCCTTTGCTGTACATCAAGCAGCCAGTGTCTATGTGGACCGCAAAGAGCGTTTGGTCAAGGAAGACATTATCCACAAACTAGAGGAACTCAACAGCGTATACCACAGCTCGATTGAATCGTTGCATTTACCCGCCTTGCTGGCAACTACAGAGACATCCACTGGTCTGCCTGAATCCATCATGCAACAAGCAGCTGAAGTTAGAAGTGGCGGCGGCTCTCAGGCACTCTACGACATGTGGGAACAGGTGCAAAGAGCCTCTGCCAAAAATGCTGATATACTGGAAGATGCGTTTAATGCGCTGGATGAAGAACACGAAGCAGATGAAGCACTCAGGTCCAGATACACGACCGAATGGCAACGTCCTGAATCGCACATTTTGACACAACAACTTGCCGCACAGGGCCAAAAGCACAGACAGACATTGACGTCCGCACAAAAGGCAGACTTGATTGTTCGCAACAAACTAGACACCTGGGCCAACATCATTGACGTTCTTTGCTTGACGCGTGAAGAACTCGAAAGCTCGATCCCGTCCAGCGAAGGCAACTCCCCTTCGGACAGTTTGATGCGCATCAAGAAATTGGTCGAGGACATGAACGTTAACATGCGATTGAGAAAGGACCTCGTGGATCAAGCGAGAAAGATGTCCAACGCAGACGACATCTCACCTGCTCTCTTGAAGAAGGCTGCTGAACTCACAGCCAAATCACCCATCATCAAGATTGAAGCGGCTCAATTTGAGGACTTGTTTGTGGACGAACTCAGAAAATATGACACCTTCATCATGACAGTGGATCAGCAGGATGAACAGCAGAGCACGATTTTGAGGCAATTGAACGAGGCCTATCATCAGTACAAGGCGCGCGTGAATGATCAGTCCAGTGGCGCCAAGAGAGAAAAAGCGCTACAGAATTTGAATCAAGCTTATTTCAAATACAAGGAGATCAAGACAAACTTGACAGAGGGACTCAAGGTGAGTGGTTCAAGTTCAAGTGCGTATATGCAACTGACTCGCTGTTTGATGTCTTGTAGTTTTATGGAGACCACGCCAAAGGGCTGAATACATTCTGCGACACCTGTAGAGATTACTGCTATAGAAGACAAGCTGAATCAGAGCAGCTTGTAAGGTACAGTGCGATATAGATTGTGTTTGATGGTTGCAAGTTTATTCACTAAATGACCCTTAGGAAATTAAGCCTTGGTATGGGCAATCTATCACTCCAAGACCAAGAGAACCATCCACAGCAACCACAGCAAAGCAACTGGTCTCGCTGGTAAGATTCTAGTTGTTTTGCCAGTTTTCCCAAGCTTCGTAATAGGCTTTGTATTCATCTGTTGTCATGTTTCTTTGGTCTTCTTCTTGCACTTCATTCAGTGGGATCATTTTACCATTTACTATACATTCTACATTAATACCACATCCTTTCTTTCTCTTTTTTTTTTTATATCAATAAAGAATCCACATTACCAGAGACCAAAGGCACATCTTCGTCCTCTTCAAACTCTTCTTCGCCTGAATTGGTGGGCTGTTGTTCTTCAAATGTCTCTACTTGTGCAGTATCCACTGTCTCAAAGACATCACGGTCCTCTTCCAATGCATTGCTATGACTGAGACTCTCATAGTATTTCGCATAATAGTCTTCTGTATCCGCATCCATTTCTGCAGGGCCCACATCTTCAAACGTATCCTCTTCATCCTGCTCTTCTGCCACTGGCCGATCGCCGGTGCCCACCAAACTGGTACCTGAAATGGTCGACTGTTGATGCCAGACCGGCAATGCGTTTTGCTGTCTCTTTTGCTCTGCTTCTTCCATCTTGGCACGTCTCGCTGCTTCATTGTCCATCTGCAGGTCTACAATGATATCGCCCTGTCCTGCGCCTGTGTCTTGTGCAATGGCCAACTCGTACTCGTCTGATTTACTAGCTCGACTACCGCCTGTATGCTTGTAAATGTAGCTGGAGGGAATCACAATGCTATCTGTTTGTTTCAGCAGTGTAATGATGGGCTGTGATTGTTCTCGTAGTTTGGTCAGGATTTGCTGGCTTCCCTTGACATTCTCTGCATTATCGTTCTCCTCCAAGACATGCTCACACACGTCGCAGTGGAACAGTTGGTCGGTCATGTCCACCAGCGAAAGGACGTCTAATGGCGTGAACTGCTTTTCACAATTGTTGCAAATATAGCCCTTGTTCTCTGACTCGGTTCGTAGGTTATCGCGCACCAGTGTCTGCATTTTGAACATTTTCCATTTTACAACATCCACAAATTCTTTGTAATCAATATAATAGTAATTTTTGGGTATTAAACGTTGATCTTGTTTTCGAGGTTCCATTCGGTTCGCCCTGTTTCAAGGATAAGTATGTCTGATTTCGATTGGTACAGTTACCAGAAAGCTCACATCTTGATCAGTCTGTCTTCTTTCAACTTGCCGCAAATTCTGTGAATATCACGAGGTGTCATTTTGAGCGTAAAGACTAAATCTTCCTCACGAACGCCATTGGTATTGGGTGGCGCATTGTTCAAGGCATCCAGAATAGCAATGTATTTAGGGTCGTAAAATGCTCTGGCAACTCTTGCAACAAGGGCTTTGAGAGTATCCATAACACACAAATGCAGAAAAAGAGAACTCAACTCAACAACAAAAAAAAAGTCATTGAATTTTGTAGGTGATATAGTGTGTGACCACCTAGCATTGTCAGTTATCAAGCTTTAATCTATAGATATATCAAAAACATCATACTGCAGTGACAGCTGAAATATCGTAAAACAAACAGCCGTTGGTAGATGTGCCCTCCCAACCCCGATTACCAGACGTTGTAATCATGTATTTGCAAGTAGGGTCAATCGAAATGTGTGAGATAGTGCCGCCATGATGACCCGGTAAGATGCTGAAGGGGATGGTGGACGAGAGTTTGGTGGACGGTTTAGCAAAGCCAGGTTCCGTATCAGATCGAATGGTAAAGTTGGATTCTATGGTGGTGTTCCATAGACGAATGTTATCATTGGAGGCACTAATATGCAGCGTGTCAGTTGTTTCTATGAGAGTTTGAGCATTGTATCCCCCTCATCTTACCACACAATATGCTTGCCATTCGGCATGCTCTTGACACAAGATACAGGGCCTGAATTGGCGGGCATACGGAAGGATTGTATCCACTTTTGTGAGGCAAAATCATATTCATCGACGGTACCATTTCTTCTACCAGCATAAATCTTGGTGCCATCTGCATTCCAACATGCCTAATTGGTGTCTGTTAGCAACGCATTGACTGGGCATCCACATCTCAACTACTCACAGACAAGCACCATGGTGGTGTTCTGTCAGGAATAGGCAGCCTTCTCGCTTGTTGAGCAGGTTCTCTTCTATCCCACAACAGGCACTGACCATCCATGCTTGTTGTCATAAAAACGTGCTCATTTTTCCTATTCCACAACAACGCAGCATCATCCTCTTGATTACTACTACTAGTACTACTACTACTAGTAGTAGTAGTAGTAGTCGAATACGGCGTATAGATGGGTTGAAATTCTGCAGACGAGATTTGTGAATTATGACCATCATAGGATCTCACTACAGATCCTGTGTTGAGGTCCCATTCCAATACAGATTTATCCCAAGAACCACTTATCACACTCGTCTCACCTGGTGTGATCATCAAAACCGATACAGGCGCACTGTGCTTTCGAAGCACATGATGGCATTTTCCTTCTTCATGCCGAACCGACGTCAGGTTGATAGATCCATTTTCACAGCCTTGCACTGCCCAGAGTGCTTCGGAATGGATATCCAGACTGAACACAGGTGATAGCTTGGGTTCTCGTGGCAATGTAGTTGATACGGGTGCTGCTGCTGCTGCTGCGGGTTCCTCTGATCCGTCCGCCGTTGTTGTCGGTTTGACACTATCTATAGAGCACAATGTCAATAAGGGGGAGGGGAGGGGTCTACATGTGATTTCTCTTTCCATGAAATGAAACAAACCTGGTATTTCCTCATTCTCCCACCAACTAGACAGCACACCAGCCAATGTCACTGAATCCACATAATTGTGTCGATGTGCTTGTGTCAATGCCGTCTTTCCATTCATCGAAGCAAAGAAATCCCATTTCCGGATGTATCCATCTTCTGAACCCGTCAAGACCCATCGATAACAACGAGTGGTTGCCAGGCTAGAAATGGGTGAAGGGTGAATAGCTGCTGCCTTGGTAAGAGTTAGTATAGGTTCCCCCCCCCAACCCAACCCAATGGGCTCACATGCTCAAGTTGTGCTTGTTTACTTTACTAAAGGTACACAGTCATAAGAGGCACAAGTCAAAAGTTGGGGATCTAGCATTTCATTGAGCTGTCTTGTGTTGTTGAAGACCACGGTAGAAGAAGACGGTTGCAATGGTGAGGGTGCGGGTGAATTTTGTATTGAAGGGTCTGTTGTTGTTGTTGTTGTTGTTGTTGTTTTTTAAGGAGTAATTAATAGGGGTGTTGGTTATATGTTAGTATGATTGTTTTTCATGGGGGGGATGATATCAACCTTCAATGTCCATCATATCATCTGCAATGCTTTCCATTTGCGATGTGGTATCGTCATTCAAATCAAGGTCCTCTTCATCAGACGACATGTTGCTAGTTTAGTTTTGATGATTGTAAAAATGAGCAGGAGTGGAAAAAAGAACTTTTTCTAATCGTGTATCATCATGCACGCGGCGGGCCTACATCTCTCTCTTAAGTGTGTGTAGTCCAGCCATAGCAATCTTTCATGGATCACACATTGGCGGGTGACTCCAGCACCAAACCTGAAACATCATTTATACTTAATTGATGACAAGTCTCTTGTTTCAACATACAAAAAGTAGGAGATTGGCTTGAAAGATAATTTTTAAGGGGTTGGCCAATTTCTCACTCTCTCTCTCACTCTAAAAAGCCCCTCTCTCTTGCTTTTGCTGTGCTGACAGAAACATAGATAGATTGATTTGTGTGGATCTTCCATGCTAAAAAACATCATTCCCCTCCTCCTCCTTGGATATTAAAATGACCTTTTTCATATTTTTTTTTTTGATCCCCTTGAATATATAAAGAATACTTACCCCTTCTTTTTTTTCCCCTCTTTCTCTCTCTCTCTCTCTCTCTCTCTCTCTCTCTCTCTCTCTCTCTCTCTCTCTCTCTCTCTCTCTCTCTCTCTCTCTCTCTCTCTCTCTTCCCTTTCTTTCTTTCACTAGCGCATTTACACTCACTCACCCAACAGCAAACAAAAATGACCATCATTCTAGGCACATTTGGCGCATTGTCAAAGCCATTTTGTTTGTACACTTACAATTCGTATCATTACTTTTGTTTGGATGAAATCAACACTATTTATTGCCACAATAACCTCACAAAAAAAGCATCTGCCATTCATCGCATCTACAAGGCAGCACCCAATGACTTTATAAAGCACAAACAAACGGGTCACATCTTTGTCATGACACGCACCATGCCTCACATTGCTCGCTTGTTCAATTGCTATGCACTAGCTGAATTATGTAAATTATCCACAGATGAAATTCTCGCTCGAGTGGCTGAACCTCTCCTCAATCTAATTCAGTGTGACCAGTGGCAACATGCTTTGTCTTATCACGTACTTGTGGAACGCGGCGGCAGCAATGACGATCTTGTTGAATTCGAATCACTGTATGGCAATGAATGGGTGTTTACTAGCACCGTGGCATCGTGTGCGACCGATACTATCACATCACCGCCAGTCAACAAGACAAAGAAAGCGTAAGTTGGGAGTGTGTGCAAGATGAGCATGGTCACTCATCAAGACATTCAGTAGACTACGCACTTGCTATTACGTGCCAGCAGCAGAACATAAATCACCATTGTATCGATGGCTGTCCTCCAATGTCAATGACTTGTCTGCACAAAGAGCTAAAAGACAACAACAAGCCATCATTGAGACGCGACAACGTCAAGTCGCATTTACCACGACACCCACCAAATCATCCAAAAAGAAAATTGCAGGTCAATTGAATCCACTTCCTCTTCCAACAAGCCCTCCTACCAAAAGAAAACCATCGTCGTATTTGCAGCAACAACCAAGCACAACCGCAGCAAAACGACAAAAGACATCTTGCTCCTCGTCTTCAACACCACAACCACTTCCCATGATTACGATGCAACAAAATGATCATCCCAGAATAGACCACGGTAATGATAACCTGCATTTGTTGGCCACACAGGCTATGCAATTGAGAGGTCTGCCTCCAAGCCCATCACCTGAACCCGCCACGTTTAAAAACCAACGATTACCATCATTACAAACCATGTTGTCTGAGTTAAATCGTCCGCATCATCACCGTGTGGTTCCATTTAGTGAAAGAAGAAATATGGATTCTTGCGCATAAACATTTTCTGTCTCTCTCTCTCTCTCTCTATAAACATTTCATATATACACACATTTTACATCCACATTCACCATATATACAAACATTACACACACACACACACACACACACACACACGCACGCACGCACACATTCAATAAAGTAAACATACAACATTCTTTTTATACATCATAAGGGGGAGAGAATCAAAAGAGTCGAGTCTTTTTTTTTTTTTTTTTTTTTTTTTTTTTTTTTTTTTTTTTTTTTTTTTTTTTTTTTTTTTTTTTTTTTTTTTTTTTTTTTTACAAAGGGGCAAAAAGGGACACATTGAGTTTGTTTGTTATTACCAGGGGAAAAAAAATCTTGTGTAGTATGTGGGGATGTGACCAGAAGAAAAATGGCTTCTTTCAAGACCTCTGAGGATACCATATATGCCTTGATCACTGTATTCGACATTCTCAAAGAAGGGTGCACTTTATTAATGCTATCAACCAGGTAGCTCAGATTGATAAAACAAACAAATCCAAAAACCGTATTCATAGTCTTTTAGAAACATGTGTAAAAATGCATAACGATCAAAGTTTGCTTTCTGCGATCTCTTTCTGGTTATGCTACGAATGGCTCTGCTTGTATATTGCTTTCTAATTATGGATGATGATATTACTATACAACTGGGTAAACGTGCTCCTGTTTCATCGTCATCATCCTTGGAGATCAATGTTCCCCTGATGAAGGCTCTTCTCCCTTTGTAAAGCTCTGTTGGTCTTTTTGTCGAGCTTTTATTTGTTGGCTAATGATGCCTTTTTTTTTTCATGGCCGTGCTCTTCCATGCCATGGCCTTTTAGGAAAAATGCCTTGGTTGAGATCAAATGGCTCTATTCGATAGAGTGCGTTGAGCTTATAGACTTTGATTTTTGGTGTAATCTGGCCAAGTGTTGGCTGATCAGCTCAAGTCCATCAGCCTCTGCTTGGCAAAGAGCGCATTGAAAGAGATTGCTCTTGTCGCACTTCATCGTAAGGACAGTTAGCTTGAATTAGAAGCGTCAGGTTGAATACAGTTAGATATACTACTCATTGTAATACTTACGGCCATCCTCCTCTTTCACAAGCGTGCTATGCACATTGTACCTGTGAGATCGCTTTGCAGAGCTACTGCGAACCTCTTTCAATCAGCCCAACAGCTCTATAAATGTTTGAAGGATTTGATGAATTCAAGCAGACAGAGACAAAAGGTATACATAAGTGATTATATAAAGCATTTTGAACAGGCTTGGTGGAAATCCACAACATAAACTACTAGCAGTTTGATTACATACCCAGATGCAATCCAACTCTGTTACGTGAGCTGACTTGACTGAACTTGTACAGAGACTGTTTGAGTAAGATAGCGTTCCAGAAAAAAAAAATGCATTTATGTATGTGTGTCTTCATTACGCTGAAAAACGTTTTCCAATTATGCATCATTACAAATTCACCTTGAAAAACATGTTTCAAGTACGCGTCAACACAAACCCTTTTTGAAAAATGTTTTTCGAGCAGCATTCTTCGAGTACCTCTTACTACTCAAAAATGTACAGTAGGCAGCGAAAATTGGATGCATTTGAGCAGCAATTTTTCGTCGCATGGGCAGCTCTATATCTTCTCATTAGCATCAAACAAGTGCTCTCATCTAGCAGTTACTTCCTAGCACCTTTGCTCAATTTTTTTGGGACCAAAGAAATATCGCTAAAAATCGGCTCCAAAACATGAGGGATACCTCGTGATTTTCATCAAAAATCAAACCATCGCGTTTTTCATCCCCAAAATGAAGACTTTTACTATAGCATGCATAAGATCAAAATTTTTTTCTTGCTGAATAACAGCCCCTGAAAACTTATTTGTGAAACGTTGATATGTAAAATCTTGACATTTTTGCAATAAACCTTGTTTTACATTTCCAGACATTACTCAACAATTTTATTCAAAACTCTTTTTACAGTAAACACTATTGGATGCGCCTTGAAAAGTACTCCAAAAAGCAATTAGAAAGTATTGATTGATCATTACAATTTATATAGTCGAACCTGGTTAAATAGGTCGAATCGAATCCTAAAAGCTCGAAAATCGACAAATCGAAAGAGAAAGCCAAGCGGGGGTTTAACCAGTTCTGAGAGGAGTGGTTGCTGGGAAGATTGATGCCCATCATGAAGGCAGTTGATGCTCTTGAAGCTAGTAAGAAGGGAACCGTAAGTTGAAGAGTGTTAGAATTAAACCTAAATACTCTTTTATTTTGCTGTGCATGTATATAACTGGCAGTTTCATGAATTAAATACCAACGGACAGCGATCCAATAGGTAACACTGCATCCATCAAGAGTGGCTTTTGTCCAGTGGAACCAACTAAATGGAGAAGCACCCGGATTTTTGTGCTTGTGTACGCTACTTTACTGCAGCAATCATTGTTGCATGATATATACATATGCTGTATTCATGTATTGGACTACTAAAAAAAAATAGTACTTGCTTAAAGTATGAGTGCATTTGATAAATATTTTTGCCATGTTCCGTAATGTTTGTTGCACATAATCTCACCTTGTGAAGTAAAAATATTGAATGCTGCTCTATTCTCGCATGCGCCTTCTTCTTTCATTTTTTTTTTCTTTTTTTTTTTTTTTGAACAAGATGGAGAATTTGCTCGGGTACTCACAATACGACTACCTGGTATGTTTATGTAAGTCAGCGCCGCCAGAGTTAATTTAGCCTGCATCCTGACGCAACATTTGACAGATGTGAACAGCTCTGGGGATATTACATTACTTGGAAGCTCAAACAAAGTGCTCAAAGTGCAAGACTGGATAAATGTAACGTCCAACACGATAGGTTAGGTGTAGGTGTACGATTTTCAATTTGCATTTGCTTGATCAAGTCTTATGATTTAGTGGATGGAAATCCAGTAATGCTTGTCAAGGATATCTTTCCGAAATATTTCGAATTGCATTCAAAGGACAGAGGGCAACTGTCAGCATCTGAAATGCGGGCTCTATCATCTATTTTGAAGTATTTCAAGGACATGAAGATGACATTAGCTCATAAGTCGGGTCTCTCATTACGGACATGTCAAATCATAGTTGTGCCGCCCGCCCTTGCTGATTGGGACATACGCGTGCTACGTACTTTATTTTTGGAGGCTGAATGGGTCACCTCAGAGGAAGGTGAAAGCAAGTTGATGCTAGTACCATTTATTGAAGCAAACATCAACTATTTACAAATGTTTCATAAGGGTACAAGATGTTTTGAAAGGGAAGGGAAATACATTTTGCTTTACATGCAACCAACCAAACAGGGGGACAAGATTATCTACACGGCAACATGTTTTCAGAATCAATGTGCAAAGGAATTGGTTGCAGTATCCAAAAGACTAGCATCCAGTGATTTCTTGCTTGTGCCCTCTATCCTCAGTAACAGATCAATGCACTTATCCACAATGGAGGATGCAATTTCAAGTGCAATCAAGGAGAAAATAGCAAATATCATGAGCAGCTACAAGCTGCAATCTGGATTCACAGTGGAAAATGAAGTTTCAGAATTTGAAGTCCTTCAAATAGGGATCAAGATCATAGAGACGCTTTGCAAGACAAACCGGCCATCGGTAACTAACTTGGCAGCCACAAACCACACATAGTCATAACACATTCAAGTAGAGATCTTCAGAAGTAACAATTGGTGATCTGATACCAAGTATTGATCTTGACCGTGATCAACTCCAAAACCTCAGAGACTATCAGGTTAACCATTTTCTCAAGGACTTGACTCACGATGCCAATGTTCTACAGTACACTAGAGCAGTATGCGATTTTTTGCAAAAATCAATGGATGAATATGGCTTGAAAAATGCGCCTGATGGAGTTCGCAGTGTAATCCTCAGTTGTGATGATAGAGCATTTGCAACCGGTTTACAATGCTTTTTCATTGAACAAGCGCTCTTGCAAGCGAATATTATACAGCCGGAGGTTAGCTTTACCACAACTCGATATCGGACGCCTTATCGTGAAGGTGCACTACAGAGGCCATTGAAGATTACTCAAATGGTCAATACCCTTCTGCCGCCATTGGTTCAGAACGAATTGTTCTGCAAAGCTGTGTTCAATGATAGCCAGGCGGATGACGGTATATTATTGCCTTTGAACTCTTTTTATCTACAAGCAAGCATCAGTAGGCAACATATAGAGTTTATTCTGAACAAGGTTGTCAAAATACCGTCGCCCGGAGCTCCTGCAGAACTATTCACTGTACTAGAAAGCACAGTTGAAATGGATGATATATTCGCCGCAACATCTGACACGCTATGGAGGAATTACCAACGGAAAGAAATAGAAGGCTATTTGGATGCATTGACTAGCAATTGCCTAAAGCACAAAGGTACTGTACTATCATTAGGCCATTATAAATGCTTTACTGCAAATATGACGGATTTCATCAATCGTTGGGTAAGAATGATGAGCATATGTAACGAAAGCACCTATTCACAATAGAGCACATGCAGATCCAGCACAAACGCACTCTTTCAAATGGCGAACTGGACACATGCCACTTGATTTCAATCGACAAAGAATGCCCTTGTGCTCTCAAGATAACGCATCGAATGTTGTTAGAGACAGGGCTGAAGCCGGTAGTTTCCAGCATTGCAAAGACCATTGTGGGGACCACTCTTTCAAACAATCACTTTGGCCTATATCAGCTCTCTACATTGTTCGTCAAAGGAAGTACAGACTCTATCAACAGCATGTATTACGCTTATTCCCTAGAAAATCATATAGAAGAAAAGCTAAGAAGCCTCTTTCAAATACGCCAACGGAAGCTTACCATTATTTTCGTCAACAAGAAAAGCAATCATGCAACAAGACAGTATCTTGTCAGAGGAAACTATAAGCAGATATCAAGTTCAACATATTCTATCAGTTTGGAGATCGAAACAAACAGATATGGATACTGTCATGGGCTTTTGGACGATCACCACAATGTGTACAGAGCTCTTCCAGGCATATATTCTGATTTGAAGCACTCTTGGGAAGCAAGCTACCTCTACAAATCTGAATACACTATACTGAACAAGGGCGAGGATGTACCAATCACAGGCGTTAAGAGAACCTTTCTAATTCCTGAATGCCTCCACATAATCGCAGGCAAGGTTTCCTTACTAGACATGTAAATACAGGCAGCAGTTGCTAAATCCACTTTTTTTTTTTTTTTTTTTAGAGTGCTCCATCCCGATCTCTACCCGGGATGATAAATTTCGTGTTCGAATTAGTCAAGATGCATTTGCGCCCATGCATTCTCTCTGTTATATCACAATCGACATTTTGCCAGTTCATCACTCTTCGACTCTGAGGATTGCTGTTTCTAGTAGTACGACCTGGAATCCAAAGTTTGTGCACGAGCAATACCATGCGGTCGACATTCATGAAAGACTTTCTTTAAAGAGAAAATGATATTCAGTTCTAATCAATGGATTAAATAGCTCTCTTTTTACCAATTTATATACAAGATTTACAGTATATGCGTTCAATTTTGGATAACCTTTTAGTGCTGCTTTTTGGCGGTATTAATATATGGACCACAGTCTACATCATAGCGGCAAGTTGTAGCAAAGTTCTGATAATGGGATGATGAGGGAGCAGCATGATTAGCAGCATGATTAGCAGCTTGATTAGAATCCAATAGACGACATTCCTTTTGCATGATCACTCTCAAGAACAAATGGCAAAATGGGACAACAATTGAACAGCACGTTGAAAAGGCAGTGCATGCAGCATAAAGACCATCACGTCTCATGGTCAGTTATGTCAAGATGAAAGGGATGTTTCCTTTGTGGTGTGATGGACATCATTTCTTTCATCTAGCTTTCATGGCTTTAATAGCACAGTGCATTTGAATCAAATACAATACGTTTATTTGATACCAAAATACTTGCGAAAAAAAAACAATGCTTCCGCTGAATGACACCCTTCATCTCCTTAAAACCAATCCGAGTCCTCTTGCTACATTACAATGTTAGTGAGAAGAAAGCACACTCACATAGAATAGACACAACTTACAACTGTAGTGTTTCCATATCGATCAGTTTCAGTCACTATCGATTGTTCGTCAGATACATGTTACTCGTCTCTTTGTAAGTTGGTACCGTACCTGTTGTTTCATCATGAAACCAGCCATCCTTTCTCTCTGTTGTGATTGTATCGCCGTATTGATCTAAATATATATAACATTCGGTCAACATGAGTGAAAACCCCCCCCCCCAAAAATGGATAAATATACCTGTTTGAATAATTGTCTGCTTATTGTCACCAAACCAGCCATTATCTTCATTGATGACAGTGGTATTGCCACTCTCATTATATCCACCATATCCGCCACCGCCATAGCCTCCGCCGCCACCGTAACCTTGGTTATAACCACGGTTCTCGTCTGTAATATTAAGTATGAATTGGAAATCCTGTAAGTTGCATCAAGACATCAACTCACTGTATCTGTCATCTCTCTCTTCTTGCTCAAGACGAGTAATACGGTCATTTTCGTTTTCCTCATGCTCAACTACTTCGTGAATAGCAAAGCCTGCAAGCCCTGCTACTGCAAGCCCTGCTGCTACCTTCATACCGGTGGACATGCCAGGCTTTTGCTTTTGCTGTTGCTGCTGCTGCTGCACTCTTTGTTGATCCTGTTGTTGAGGCGAAGGATAACCTTGATAGCTATTTTGAGGTGGTGGCTGCTGATACCCTTGAGGTGGTTGTGGATATCCTTGAGGCGGTGGTTGCTGGTATCCTTGCTGATTGTAGCCTTGTGGAGAAGTGTATCCTTGTTGGGGTTGGGGTTGAGGATAACTACCATAGTTGGGTGGTGGAGCACCGTAGCCTCGATTGCTCTGGCGTGGGTCTTCCCATGTGGTTGTTTGGTTGTTGTGATCAATGTAGTAACTTTTTGTGCGTTTTGCAGGTGAGCTAGGTGATACGAATGCTAATGTTATGCCTAATCTATACTTACTATTGACCATTGGGAGCTTGACGAGCTTCCCATCCAGGAGGTAAAGGAGCAGACATAAAGATAAGAGTTGAAGAACAGAGAAAAGAAAAGGCTATTAGCCAACACTAAGCATCACTCTTTTATATACAATACCTTATTGCCTGTGCTTACCAAGTGATTCTTTTACTGGTCATACATACACAAGTATAATGCTATTTTTATACACAAATGAGCTTATTTTTGCGGCAATTTCAAATGGACAAATTTAGATAATATGACCCGAAATGTTCATTTTGTGAATGCGCATTCAATTAGCATTAACGCTGATGCTTGATGTAATTTGCTGTTTATAAGCAAATTATTTCAAGCATTTGCGGATATCCTTTAGCAATAGCTATCTGGTTTGCGCCTTGCTTTCTTGCGCAACCAATGATGATTAAACTCAAATGTTGAGAGCACGAGTCTTGGCATTTCTCAAACAATCGTATTTTTTTTGCACACAGTTATATTAAAGCCTCCATTGGATGGTGCATCGACTATTTTTAACAGTGCCACAAGGTCAAATTCACCAAATCAGGTATATTCATTTAGATTAAGGTTGGCCTTGTCTAATATACTTTATCTATTTGATAAAATCTGAGTTTTTGCGTAGAGTGATGCATTTACAAAATAATGATGAACAAACTAGGGACCAGCCACAACGTAGTGAGCATCTTGTTTTGAGATCATAATTTTGGAGTTTTACAGCGAAGGCCAGAGGAAAATCGGAACCAAAAAAGGTTCGTCAAGGACGAAAATCATTGTAAACATCACTTGTTTCTGACTGCATGATGAGAGCTTATTTGTTATGGTGGCAAACGAGCTCAGTAATTCTTTTTGATCCAATGAAGAGCTTATATAGAATGCTACAGTATACATCAAGCATCAGTGCAAACATATATATGTCTATTTTTATGCATTTAAATATACCAATTCTGCAGTGCAATCAAGCTTGTTTGCTAGAATCATCTCAATTTAGGGCTTCTTTTAGCTCTTTACTGGAATTAATATTGCATCTTGATGATATTCCTGGTTGCCCGAGTATTGTTTCCAACATTTCTGCTGTGTTGTAACAGAAATCTGTGTTTTTGCCGCTGTAAACTCCAATTTGAGGGTTGGAAAATCGACTTTTCAAAGGAAACATCGTAGGTGCCCAGATGTGGCCTCATTTTGAAGAGCAAACACAGGGGAGCAAAAATTAATTAATGGGAACAGTGGGTTAACTTGACAGATCCACAGATAATAGTGTCAAAACACTGGTATTTTTGCAGTCGTTACTTTACACTTTCCTTGCTTGATTATTTGACAGCAGATGTAGCGACTGAGAACCTCTTTATATGCCCGTCAATCCCCCAAAATAGGCCTATGATGGTTCTAATATAAAGACTTTACCATCAACATGAGGCATGCCAAAGCGATTTTCCCTTTATCGTAAAATGTGCAGCATAGTTTTGAAGCTATACCACACCGCAACAAAACATACCATAACCAAGCAATTATAAATACAATGCTTCCCGACATCTCATCTATTGATTTATTACTCGCAATCACTTGGAATTAGCAGTTTTTACCAGCTTTCGTATAAAGGTTTTGCTCAAAATTGGTTTAAATCGAAAACCATCTGTTTCTCAACAACAACCCATCCAATCTAAAGTATAATTACAGCATCGTTTTTTTTTCGCAAAATGAAGGCATAGGATGATGCTATCTTCAAAGCGAGGGCATCACTATTTTAAAATTCAATTTTGGATGGCTCAACGTTTTGTACATTCGTTCATTTAGTTATAGTGCAATGACTTGTTGACCTTGTGCTAGCAAACCCTACGAATCACTGAAATCCAGACAACTTGATTTGCCCAATAGGAGCATTCAGGAACCAAAGTACAACCTGTTCTTTGTTGTAGCAAAAAAAAAAAAGAAACCCAACAACACCAGCAACAATGATGGACTCATTCATGCACATTTGACTCATTGTCTTGTATTAATATAAAAAGACTAAGAATAATATGAACTGATGCTCTCCAATCTCTCAACAACAAACAAAAATCAGTCAACTCCATGGAAAAGGAACGAGCTAGTGCCATTATTATTAGTCTCTTCTTTGGCGCAGGTCTTATAGCTATGATTCTGGTCTTTATATGTGTCAAATGGTGATATCTCGATCCAGCATGCACGTGTGGTGTATATCAAAAGTAGCCCCTGAATACTGTTAAGAGTATAACAAGTAAATAAATGATGTTGGTGGTACAAAATCGTCATGATCTATATACACATTATTTGTTTGTTGTATTCACTCAAGAATCAAGAGTATTTAACATGATGTGTTATTAAGTCAATACTTTAGTAAATCGTTAAATCGACCATCATCTGGTGATATATGATACAGATAAGGGTTTGAAACATACTGTAATTGAGTGATACCATCAATTAAAGATAACTAGATATCGGAGACGTAAAGAAAAGCATACTAAAATACACTATCAATGTGACACTTCCTCCTTCTCCTCATTCACGTTTGGCTTGCTATGCTGCTATAAATTTCATGTAGAATGGGATTTCTTTTTCTTCTTGTTCTCACTTTTTTTTTAATTGCATTTTTTTAACGAAAGATCAACTTTAAAAGATGGCTTCAAGATGGAAATCAAATTCCTCAATGTCATCATCGACATTGGAGGAGGACAACATTGCAACTGAACAAGACCCATTACTTTCCATTCAAAACCGATTGGAAAATCGTCATAACGCTGTGAACAGTGCCTGTGGCTCTTCTTATCGACAAGGTAATAATAACAATAAATTTAATGGCAAGAATCTGTCTACTTTGCATAATCAAACTAGCACTATTATCATCATCTGGAACCCCTCCATAATGTCTATCTGCCTTTCTTTCTACCCCTTTTTATTTTATATATAAATCCCATCTCGCTTTCCCTTGTTTTTTTTCTTTTTTTTTTTTTTTTTTTTTTTCATTCATCTCTTCACAACCATTTCAACTCTGACTCTTCCCCTATTATCCCATCATGTCATCCACTCGTTCATCACTTACTGCCGTTCCTACCATTACCAATATTTACATTTCAAACCCAAATGACGATGGCAGCAATGCATTAGACAAAAAGTTATCCTCTTATGCCAACTCAGTTTCACTAACTATTGACAATAACACAGATGATCTAAACACATCTCGCAAAACTCGTTGTGCTACCATTGTATCACACTTGCGACATTTCAAGCAAAAAGTAAGTATATAAAATGACACAATGTAGCCAGTATCTCATGCCATGCTATAGCACAGAGAATTTCTGGCTGAATTCATAGGTACCATGATTCTCATCTTGTTAACGTGTGGCATATCTGCCGAAGAAACGCTTCAGATAGGACCTAACAAGTCCTGGCTGACCTCTTCACTTGGATCAGGTAAAGGCTTTCATCACAGATCAAACAAACAAACAACTCATTGCCGTATCTAAAAAGGTCTCGCCGTGCTTGTTGCTGTTTGTGTATCGGGCCATGTTTCTGTAAGTATGATTCCATTTTCATCATTCTCATTTCATCTGCATAATCAATTCATGATTTTACAGAAAACACTATATTTAGCACTCCTCTTTTAACATACACTATATAAATTCACTCCTGACGATCTTTCTTGTTTCTTTATTTAGGGTGCTCACATCAACCCTGCTGTCACTATCACGTTTTGCCTCTTTAGTGGGTTTCCCGTTAGAAAAGTGCCCACCTACCTCGCCGCTCAATTCATGGGCGCCTTTGCAGGCGCTGCTTTGTTATATACCATCATTGAACCCGCCATCACACAATTTGATCACGGCCAGCGTCATATTCTAGGTGAATTAGGCACTGCCGGTATCTTTGGTACATACCCTCCATTGTATGTTGGCATTGCTTCAGCTGCTGCCTCTGAGATTATCGGTACCGCATTGCTGTTGCTTGTCATCATGACCTCAGGACATCCCAACAACCTGCCATTTCGCACTGCTCAGGGCATCATGATTTCAGTGGGCGTAATGACAATTTGCCTAGGTTTAGGTTATACATCCGGTTTCTCGTTGAATCCTGCTCGTGATTTAGGTCCTCGCTTATTTACTGCTGTTGCTGGCTGGGGGTTTGAGGTGTTTAGCGTACATCATTTCTATGCATTTGTGCCCATGCTGGCTCCTATCTTTGGTGCTGCTCTGGGAGGGCTCATTTATACCATCTTTATTGATTAGAAACCTGTACTGTAATAAATTATTGACATCTCTCCAAATCAGCATGAATTTGAGGGCTCATCAGACGATAAATGGTCACATTACATCAAGCAGAAAAAAAGCTTCCATCCAAAAATACATCAAACCACATCTTTTCAACATCATGAACTTTTATCAACATGCTGGTCGAATTCTCGACAAATTAGCAAGACACGAAGGCACTATTAAGGGCTTGATCATCGGTGATCCTAAAGTCTGGGACAAGAAGAAGATGTATGCTCTCGTTTGCGAGACTTTGAAATGTAAGAATATGAGAGATTTGTAACGTTACAGTCAGTTACCAACCCGAAAGATTAGACAAGCAAGTCTTAAATGAGCTCATTGATGCATCCAAGATCTGTGAGGTTGAGAAGAAGGTGCGTACAATATATCTATCTCGTATCATTATACCAACATCCATTCACAACCAGCTCAAAAGATCACTTGCACTCGTTTTGATCCATGATTTACTATTCACAAAAAGAGGAATTACAGTTCGCAATGATGTACCATTGAAACAATGTGTGATGCGCCATCAAGCGAGACTCAAATCAGAATTGATCAAGATCAAGATCAAGAGAGGAGCAACTTCGGATGAAGATTTAGTGAGTCAGAAAGTAAAGGATGCAGGTAATGCGTGGGCATTTAGGTATAATACTCGGCTGAAGCTTATCTGACTGCATGACAGTATTGATTCCTAGATATGCTCGAGTCAATGAACACAAATTAACTGTACAAAAAGCCATCAAGAGCTTTCAGAATGAAGGATATACATTGGTTGATTGCCCTGAGGATTTGCGTGAATTGAAGTAAGATGGACTGTATTACCGCCTGGGCAAAAGTACTCATCTCTCGATTGTAGACTCAAAGAATTCTGTATCGACCGTCATCTCCATGACATGCTTATCTTTCATCAAAAGACCGATTTTCATGCCCATCCATTATACGTTTCAGGCAACATCATCTTACAGGTACGCTGTTGGAGAGCAGTAATAAGGATCAAATCAACTCAATGTTAAATGTATGCATAGGACAAAGCATCATGTTTTCCTGCTCATGTGTGTCAAGCTCCTCAGGGTGCTCATGCTATCGACGCTTGTGCTGCACCAGGAAACAAGACCTCGCATCTCTCTGCATTGATGAAGAATACAGGCAAAATCTGGGCTTTTGATCTGGATTCCAGACGCTTGGAGTTATTGAAGAAATTGACCAACAAAGCTGGATGTAAAAGTATGTGTCATGTCAGATGTTGACCATCCAAGAGATCAGATCACTTATTCAGTTGCATTTTAGATATTACACCTGTGCATGGCTCGTTTCTTGAAACCAATCCTGAAGACGCTCAATTCGCCAATGTAGAATATCTCTTATTGGATCCTTCTTGTTCTGGATCTGGTATCATCAGCCGATTGGATCATCTTGTGGATGATGAGGATGAGAAAGAGAGTAAGTAGCGACACCACGTTTGCATTACAATGGTATCATTGCTAATGATATGAGTAGATGATGGCAAAGATGCCAATGGTCAGACACAGGAAGAGAGATTAAAGAATTTATCTGATTTCCAAATATCCATTATTCAACATGCTATGAAATGTAAGTAGAGAAGGCTTTTTTTTTTTGTTTGTGGCAATGACCAATGTGTGCTTATTCTTGCCAAACAGTTCCTAAGGCTAAACGTATTGTATATTCAACTTGTTCAATTCACCCTGACGAGAACGAGCATGTGGTGAAAGCAATCCTCAAGAATAACCCCGAGTTTGAGTTGGCTGAAAGAGACAGCGTGTTACCTACTTGGGAGAGACGTGGTATCCCAGCAGAGATCAATGGTAACAAAGGTGAGTGCTTGTAGCTGTCGAACGAAAAGCCTAATTTACTTACACGTTACATCACTGTACAGATCTTGCTGACCGTTTAGTGCGTACTATTCCTGCTGAAGACTTGACAAACGGCTTCTTTGTTTCCTGTTTTATTAGAAAATCTTCTGCTTCTTCAGAATCAAGCAAACGACCTTTAGAACAAGGTCAACAAACAACTTCCAGCACATCACCCAACAAGAAGAAGAAGAAGAATAACAAGAAGAAGAAGGCTGCACTCACCCAATAGACTGATCAGTGACAGTAGTTGCAATAAAATGTGTACATGTGTCATACATGCCATCTGTTGGTATGGAAGACATGTAATGGTGAGGCACTTTACACATTTCATCATGAATGTCTGTGTATTGTATATAATTTCAATTCGTTTCATCTTTTTTTTGGTCAAAAGATACTGTGATTTCTCTTTAAATCCCTTTTGAGGCCTCAATTGAAAGCATGGCACATAGTACACTGAGTACAGTGTAGACCAGGATCGTTCGCGTCAGTTGTGGACAAAGGGGTGTTCATTTTTTGGTCTTTTTGGAATCCTGATTGCAATGTCAATTTGAGCACTTCAAGTTGCGCTTGAACGCCGTAGCTGTGTATTTGCTGCAGAGTAGGATTTGACCAAGATCGACACACTGTCTAGTTCATGTTACTTTGCAACAGACAAATATATAAGATCTGTCAAATTATTGAGGTGCATAGTGCCAAATACACTCGATACGAATTAGTCACCGTAACTGAGTTCAATTTTTTTTTTTTTTCATCAAATAATTCATTGATCTTTGACATCAAATCATCATTAATAAAATACCGTAAGAAGTACATGAAATTTGGATATATGATATTTACAATAGTATTTTATTTATATTCAATGCTTTTAGTAGCGTGTTATTTCGCCTCTTGCATTTATTGCAGCTTGACGTCTAGATGGCATACTTGCAACTAATCTCTCCGCCAGATCAAGATCCAAGTTATTCCACTCCTCATGGATACACGCAAGCAATTGTTCTGCATTATCAATGCGATGCCTCTTGCTCTCAATTCGCTTCTCCATGAATTTGGACTCATCGGATCAAACAACCTTTCTCCACTGTTCTGGCCCCCCATCCGACTTTGTCCAAGCACCAGGAGAGTCTTTTCAGCTTGTGCTCAGGTGCCAATGCTGGTTTGTGTGCAGTCTTATATGATTGAAAGTCAATCAGCTTTTTACACTTCCTGAACGTATCCATTGAAATCGATGGGCTGGCGTCACACCATAACTTCAGATGGTTCTTCATTGGTAACAACGGTGCAGAGCGAAGCTAACGTGCGAGCCTCTCTGATCTCTATTATCCATCTTCAATGGTGCTCCAGAACGTTTTGGAAGCAATCCGGTGCCTTTAGAACCTGCCCTCTTGATCACGGTGCTTACCGTAGACGGGGACAGGTTCATGGTCTTGCAGATCATACTTTCTTTGACACCTACTTTGTGGCAGTTTACTATACCACCAATTTGCCATTCTGAAAGACGAGATTTGGCTTGTCAATTGACCTGATCCTGATGTATACTCATTTAAAATTTTAAATTCGGTTAAGTAGTGAGATCTATGATTTTGAAGCATTCAAACATGTATTGGGGTTTTCGAATTTCTTAAAAATAAAAACAAACAGTGACCATTTCGGTGACTAATTCGTATCGAGTGTATAAGCTTGGAATAATCCTAGCTCACGTTTGACTGTATGCTCCTTGATGGCTCGTCAATATTGGCTAACTGTTTGATAATACATTGTATAGCTTCGCTGATCTAACACATAAATTTCAACTCACATTGCTTCTACCAAGAGCATCAAACGCATCATATTGTATTTCATCACATTTGGGGGGCAATCTTGCACAATTAAATATATGGAATATATATAAATATGCAGCATACTCTAGCTATTATAGTACTATCTTGCAATACGTGATCTACTTTTGATCAGCCTTCATCAAAAGCATTATTTACCTACGCAATTGTTGTTGCTAGCGGCCTCCCGCCAAACCCGGTTTAATTCTCGCTTAGCATTCTCCTCCGATTTGTCGATTTTCAAGCTTTTTGCATTTAATTCGACCTATTTTGCAAAATTAGACTATAAAAGTTGCGGCGATTTGGTCTCCTCTTCTAAGCTTTCTTAAAGTACTTTTCGAGGCGCATCTAATGGTATCAAGTAAGATAGATGTTTTGAATAAACTTACTGAGCAATTTATAAAGATATGAAAAGAGGTTTCTGGCCAAAATGTCGAAATTTTACGTATCAAAGCCCCACAAAGATGATTTCAGTGGTTACGTTAGATCGATAGAAACATTTTGATGTAATACATACCATAGTAAAAGTCTCCGTTATCAAGATCAAAAACGCGATCGTTTGGTTTTCAATGAAAACCATGAGGGGATACCTCATGCTTTTTGGTCGAATTTCGGTCGTGTTTTTTTGATCTCCAAAAAGTTGAGCAAAGGTGTCAGAAAGTAACTGCCAGATGAGAGCAATTGTTTGGTACTATTCTGACGATCTATAACAGCTTTTGACACGAGAAAATAAGGCCCGAATGTGTCCAAATTTCACTGTGTTTTACAGATTTTCAAGCATTAAGAGGTAATCTTGGTATGCTATTTGCTCGTATGCTTTTTTTTTTATTTCTCGAGATACAGTCATAAGGCAACTTGAAAGAGACGACATTGCAGCGACAGCTGCGTATAAAGAGCTATTATGTGATAATAAAAGGCTAAATGTGGTGTACATCAATAGAGTAATGTAGATTGCTCTATAAAGAGCTTATTGCACGCAGACGGTTAAATGGCCAAACGTTTATGATGAGACATACCGTCTCCATATAGACAAGGCAAGCTTGTAGTACCAACATGATTCCGGGGATGTGTATATGGGAGACGATCAAAATGAGAGCCATCTGGGGAACTGATCATCCACATCTCTTTTCCTCTTTAAATAATGTACAAGCAAATAAAATGAGCTCATATTTTGTTTGGAGGGGTGTTTTTTGATGGAACCCGTTTATCCATAGGTGATACGGTTAAAAATCAATCTACTTGAAACGGTGATCATCGGCATCATGATCAAATCGTGAACAAGTCTAATATTTTTTTTTTTTTTTTTTTCAAATGGAGATGCCAAATGATTTAGCATGCACATACTTGACGGCGCTTTAAATAGAATCGTAGCTGTTGGTAGTTATCAGATCTTTTTCAAATGTGGGAGCCATCTATAAAATAAATTTGTACTAACCACACAAATCAAACAATCTGATTATTTGCAAGGTACTTCTTGAACTAATAAGGAATTCAAAATCTGTATTTGGAAACCTGGTGCCCAAGTACAACGTTGTACCGCTTGATGGTACATTATTACACAGAATGAACCAGATTTCATTATCATGTCAATCTATTTCTCTCATTCTCGTCTTCTGGGTGCAATTATTAAACTTGATGCAAACCAACATTGCTGCATGCTTTATTGGTCTGAGCATGGATTTGAAACCAGGATTGTGAGTATTAATGTGGTAGGATGAATCTTCTTTCTTTGCATCTCTACCTCCACCTTATTGTTGGAGTCTTTTTGTTTTGTACAACAGACTCATGAAAAAAGATAGATGCAAGACCAGAGGAAAAAAAAAAAAAAACTCTCTTCACATCAAACCTTAGATAAAACAATTTACCAGATTAATACATTTCCTCACAATACATACACTTGATGATGATAGATCCATTTGATTCCGATATGTACGTATCACACCACCAATCATAGCGACATCTGATAAAATGTATTGTGAGCTCCGTATAAACCTTGCTTGATTTCTTTTTGTCATTATATAATGCCAATTCAATACTGCATGTAAATGTATCCAGCTAGCATGTAGCATAATAAATCCATTAATTTTCGCTGTACGTTTTACTTGGCTCACGACTATCAGATCAGGAAAGTACTAGAAAGCAGGGCCAAGATGTAATGAATACACCTTGCTATGAATGCCATTCAAGGACATATTACGAAAAAGATCTCCCCGGGTGGGGTTTTGAATTTCAAGAAAAGAAGAATCTGATAATTCCGTGGACTACTGAAATCAAATGTATTAAATAATTGTAGATGACCAAAATGAACATCTTCTAGCAGATCAAGGAATTCAGATCAGAAAAAAGCAATGCGCAGATCATGCTCAAGAAATGAGAAGCAGCAGTCTAACAAGAAACGTGATGCACAAAATCAATGTCTTTTTTTTTTTCAATATACAGATCATCCGTAGTCTTCTAATTTAAAGCGGGGAATGGAGTAAGAAGGAGGGATCCTTGTTACTACAGCGAGAATACCGGGTCCTACATTGAAATCATTCTTTTTTGGTCAAACTAAAAATATAAACGAGTACCCAAAGGGAATCCATCTGATAAAATGACTAAAATCAGATAATTTTGATCTATGAAACCCTTTCAACGATTGGCTGTTTAAATTTCTCTGTTTATGGGTCTTTATATATAAAGAGGCTATCATCGCTTGTCAATCCTTGCTTGTTTTCTCTTCTTTTTTGCCTTTCCTTCATTCTATATATCCAAACTTTACATACATACATACATACAATGGCTCAAGAAGATGAGGCTTTTTCTATTAGAACAACCAGTAATTTCTTTGTTGCCGGTTTAACTTATACCTTCTTTTGGTGGGCTCTCTTTGCTCTTTACTGTATTGGCTATCAATTGAATCGAATTCGTATTTATCGAATTAGAAAGAGCAGAATTGCTGGTAAAGAAGATAATGTAGTAACAGAATTGCCCTTGGTGAAATATTGGAACCGTCTTGATTATGTCGTTCGTATCCCCTACAGCACTGAGATGTTCCCTGTCAAGCATATCATCGGCATCACCTTGTTTTGTATCTTGAATGTGCTCTTTTGCTTGTTTGCTCCCTTTGCAATGACAGGTCCCTACATTCTTCCTGCTATCGGCCAAATGGATCGTCGTGCTGCCTTTGTTGGTATGGCTAATTGGGGCTTCGTTTTTTTCCTCGCTCAAAGAAACTCCCTCTTACCTAAAATGTCTGGTTTGACCTTTGAGGAATTGATTCCATTCCATCGTATTGTTGCTCGCATTGGTCTTGCTGAATTCATGCCTCATTTTGTGTGGCGTATGTAAGTTGCTTTTCGGTGTATTCATTCAAACTTGACATCTCACCTTTTCTCCCATTTCAAAATAGCATCAAGGGTTATCAAAAGAATTTTGTCGTTAAAGACGCTCTTTTCAGAGACACCGAACAAACTACCGGCACTATTGCCATGTTGGGTTTCTTGATCATGTTTGCTTCTTCACTCGAGTACATTCGTCGCAACTACTTTGAAGTGTTCTATTATTGCCATGTAGTGTGTCTCATCGTCGCCATTATCTTTTCCTGCTGGCACGAAACGACCTGTTTCGCCTTCTTTATCCCTGCCGTCATTCTCTGGTTCGCTGATCGTACGATCCGAACATACCAGTCTTGGTGTGTCAGGCCCACCATGGTACGCGTAGATCAAGTAGCTGCTCAAACTGCTACTCAAGATGGTATCGTACGCGTCTTGTATGAACAAAAAACTCTCAAAAACGCCAAGCCTGGTCAATACATCTTTGCTGCTTTTGTTATCAATGGCAAGAAGCTCTGGGAATACGCCAACTGGCATCCTTTCACTATCTCTGAAATTTTCCGCGTTAATGATTCAAGTGATAGTGGTATTGAAGAACGCGTGCTTGCCAGCAGCAACACTAATGAAAAGACAGAAGCAGCTGACCTCGATGAAAAGAAGAAGCATGCCTCCTCCCCCACTGAAAGTCTGACTGATGTTAGCTCTATGTCTGATTGCTCTAGTCTACGTCGTCGCGGTAATGGTGTTATGAACAAACAAACCAAATTAATGGCTTCTTTCCACATCAAAGCTTTGGGTACCAAGACAAGTGATCTCTTGAAAGCAGCTGCAGCTAATGACAAACTCAAAGTCTACATTGACGGACCCTTTGGCCCACAGTTGCAAGTACAAGATTTCCCAGTGGCCGCATTCTTCGCCACTGGTGTAGGTGTCACCCCTGCCATGTGTGTAATCAAGGATATTATTGACAAAAAGTCTGTGGGTTTGCGTACGATGACTACAGATCATATTTACTTGATTTGGGCTGTTAGAATCACTGGTAAGTGCCCTCTTGTATACATTTTCCTGCATAGGCTAACTTGTTTATTTAGATGAGGTCCCTGTATATATGGATATGTTCAGCTACTGGTCCGAAAGATGCAAGAATGCTGTTTCGCCTATCCGTTTGTCTGTCACTATATACATTACAAGAGAAAAGGAAGGTATCAGCCCACTAGACCAGTTTGAAGGCTTCAAGGTAATTTATGGAGCTAGACCACCCATTGCTGAGGAGATGGACCGAATCAAGACAGTCAATGGCAACCGTAGAGTATTCACCCATGCTTGTGGCTCTACACCATTTACTCGTGAAGTCGTGAATCAATCGGTTATTCGAGGATTTGAACCTCATAATGAACTCTTTGAATTCTAAAAGACTCTGTTACTCTTACCCGTTTATATTGTTGTATTATATATTTAATTCTAGAAAAACTAATCTTGTCCTTATCTCTCCCCCCCCCCCCTCCCCACTTGCTTCTTAAATTTCTCCATTCTACACAAAACTCCCCATCTCTTTCTCTCTGTTACTTTGTAAATGTAAATAATGAATTTTGACATATAGATCTATGTTGGATTTCCTTATACCTACATACTCTGTTTATATATATAACTTAAAATTCTAATAAAACCACCAATTATAATTCAAAATATTTCTGATCTGCACATTACTTGTGCTTAAATCAATATAAGGATATCTCCATGGTATACAGCTTATCCAGATGATGCTGGCCCAGTTGGGCAAGATCCTTGGCAAAATATAATGTACGACATTTTAGGATTACTGAATCCTGTTGCCATGATATTGAATAAATAAATTCAAAGCATATTTTAGATTTGCGCGGTAGCTGAGTAAATCTTTTATGATTTCGAAATGAATGTGTTCCTTAAATGTAGAAACCATACTCTTTTCCATATTAGCTTGCTTTTTTTTTCTAATGAAAGGCAATATCTGTGCATTCGCTTCTGATTTTTGCCATCATACGGGTAGATCATAACATGACATAATGAGCCAACATGTACCTAAATACGCTACAGCGATTCGGGTAGTATAAATGAAACCCAAGAAATGTCGTGCTTCGCTAGTTTTAGACATTTGTTAAGACCCGATGGGTGTATCTCCCCGCCTCTTGTACACTTTATGGTAACCGCACCCATACCATAGCATATCTATACTACTGGAGGTATCTACAGAAAATTTCACTTGCACTTCTTTTTTCAAATTTATACAGTGTTTATTCAAAGTGTTCTCTTGAATGGCTTTCAGTCTTATACAAAAGTGAGCCACTGCATTCGTTAACTTGACATATACTGCAATTACAGTTACAATTAGGGTTATCTGATGATCTGATGTATTCAAACGCCGTATCGCACTTTATCCAAGATCAAGCAATTCCTGTTGCGCGCTCAAAGTACAAAATCTAAGATATCACTGTCTGTTTTTGAGAGATCATTTGTCTACAAACACGTTTGGTCAGCTCGCTTGAACTACATGTTTCAATTAAAAGCGATGGATGTAGGTAGGAAACGCATTCTTGCAATTTTAGTATAGAAATGACTAGCCGATCTATCTCGCTACGCTCAATGCCGGCGTCGCCCTGAGAGCTCTCACCAAAGACATTTTAAATCAGATATAATAAAATTTTGGTATATCAAGTAGATTCTAAGCAATTTATTATTAGTAAAAAAAAAAAAAAAAAAAAAAAAAAAAAGGGTTATATTAGAGCCACCAGGAGGAGGAGAGGAGATGTCTCCCTCAGCATCCTTTTTGCTTACACTGATATCAAACGAAGCCTATTATTGGGGCAATGTGAAAGAAAATCCAGCTTTTATACAGCATTTGTACACCACAAACTCTATTTTCTGATAATAGAATTGTCATATCTTTCACTGCTGCTGATGCTCTTAATAAGATGGCGACATAAAGCTGGTCATAAATAAATACAGGACTTGTGTAAAGCCTACAGCGACTTTTTTGAGATATTGTCATTGCAAAAGACTCCTCCATTAGGTAAAGCTCCCCAAAAAACGTATTTGCGCTACGCAGTTGCCTTTTCAATTCCATGATCCCCATTTAATCAGCATCGCAATCATCATTGTCATCAACAGGAAGGCATTTTGGTCAGCCAGCAGCAAGCCGCCGCCAAAATCAATTAAAGCTCAGTTTATCTTTTTTGTTCAAGATTGGACAGATGCTGTCTTTCTTCGACTTCTTTAATCTATTTCGTGGTGTTCGACTATATAAACTGCGATGATTACCCTACGCTTTCTAATACATTCTTGGAGTACTTTTCCAGGCGCTTCCAATGGTGCTAACTGTAATAAGTGTTTTGACTGAAATTATTGAGCAATTTAATAAAATTTGAAATGAGGTTTTCAGCGAAGATAGCCATATTTTGCATATGAAAACCTCATAAAAGTGGCTTCATAGGTTGCTTTGGATCGAGAGAAACATTTTGATTTAATACATACCATAGTAAAAGTCTTCATTTTCAAAGTGAAAAATGCGATTGTTTGATTTTTGCTGAAAACCATGAGGTGTCCCTCATGCTTTTTAGTCGATTTTTGGCCATATTTTTTTTTTGGTCCAAAAGGTTGAGCAAAGGTTGTCGGGAAGTTACTACTACTCAAGTAAAATCGTTTGGCGTCATTCCGGTGGTTCATAAAGGTCTACATGTCAAGATACGAAGGCTTGAAAGCTTTCAATTTTGGTTATGTATTGCTTTATTATAGAGTTTTTTTACACGGCATGAATCATATCTTTGGAAACTACAGTTTACTGGAAAGGCGGTTCTGTAGCTCGAGGAATTTTTTAATTCGAATAGGAGGCATATTGATTTTGGTAAAGCTAATTCATGCAAATTTTGATGCGCTATGTTGCTGGCAAGTTTATTAACAATGGAAATAAAAACCCGAGTTTGCTGCTTAGATACTATGGTTTTGCATATTCGCTTCGCTACAATCAAGCCCTCGTATAGATCAATGCTATCAAATACTGGATTGGATGCTTAGTTGTCATAGGTTTGCACCTTTGCTTCGCTACGGCAAACCCCCCCCCCCCACAAATCAATGCTATCAAGTGTTGAATTAGACGCGTTATGTTCTTCCCCAAGCCCCCTTCCCATTGCCGGCTTTGCTGGTGGTTTTATTCACCTTGCACGGCACACAATTCTATAAAATTTTGAAAGGGCATGATTGACTTGTCTATTCTTTTTAAAAACATACTTTTCCATTATATATATATATATATATATATATATATTAATGATGATTTTTTTGCAGTTTGATAAATATCTTACATGTCAAAGAGTCATATCCCAAGTCAAGGAACTGTTTCTAGGTTTACCTACTACAACAACAACACCCTACACCATCACAAATCCATATTGAGAAACATCTCGGAGTCATTTACCACCTTCAATCGAATTTGAAAAGCATTTTTTGATCAGGTGCCAACGCCAATTCACTGTGAAAAACGTCTGTCAAGAAGGCATCATCTCCATTCCACTCTGAAAAACGGGTTTCAAAGCGAAATATCAAATGGTGGAGTTTGAATATCGCTGGATCGAATCCACAAAATTCAGGGGGAACTTCTTGTCATTCAGGGGCAAACTAATCAAACAACCAGTGTTCTCTTCCGTGTCAATCACTCCAAGTTGATTTCTTCTTTCTTAGACGACATGTAAGCAACCTCATGGTCCCTTACTGTCGCTTTCCTTATTCTCAATAGAAGACACTTTTAAATACAAAAAAAAAAGTTCTCTTCCGTATAGATCCAATGACACGTTGTGTAGTGTTTTGGAGTATTTTATAAACTTCCATAAATACACATGTCTGCACATAACACAACGATCATAACCCTCGAATTCATACATGTAGTACATTGCGATCCATACATGTACCAATTTTTGACATTTTAGGGTGCTACCTTAAGAGATACAGTACTCACCACACATAAACTGGTATATAAAATCTAGCATCAGTCCACTTGAATTAGTGGACCAGCTTTGTCAAGAAAAGCTCCATCTTTGAGTGTACAATATACATGGATCAACTCATCCATACACACAGCCTTATACAAATATTTGAGCTATACATAGTCCAAAGCGCATAAATGCAATTATTCAAACCGCAAGCGATGTATTCACAATGATAAAGCTTAATGCAGGAGTTAAAGGGTCCCTTTCTTCAGACTGCACATATGTTTATTTAAAAGAAATATGTGTTCTCCCTTCTCAATAGAAGCCTTTAGGTGTTTCCCCTTCCTCTTTTGCGTTGCAGTTTATTATCTCTTTCTTTTCCAACTATCTTACAACTATGAGAAACATTGTATTCGCTTTTGTGTTTGTTGTCTTGTTTAGTTTTGTTAAAGCAGATGTGCCATCTCCATCTCACAACTATAATGTGACATTGCCAGAGCCAAATGCACCTTACGTAGCTGGACAAATGCTCCCTATCAGTTACACGCTGCCTGATGATACTAATTTACCTAATCGTAAGTAGCTCTGATGTAAGCTTTTTGTGCTATAAAAGAGATTAAAGATGTGTTATCTAGTACTATCCTTGTCAGTGCTTTTCACTACCCAGGATCCCTCTCTCAACTTTACAGGTATTGTGATTACTTCAAATGCGGATATCTCTCAAGGCTTTAGTTTCAGACGAACACACAATACAATGGTTTACTTTGAGCATCAACTAAGTGTATGAGTAGAGCTATCATTATATATGTAGTAAAAAAAGAAAAAAAAAAGACTAACTACTGTAATTAACAGTATGCCATACCAAACAACACATTGCCTGGCAACTATATTGTATTATTTGTAGATTCCATCTCGAAATCCAACACATCTGTACCTATCCTAGTTCGACCCTATGCAGCCCCAGTTACTACACTGCCTACAAACCCCAATAGAGCACATCCTTCCAATGGTGGGTCTATATTTGCTTACCACAGCAATGATGCTAAAGCGAAACATCGCAGAAACTGGACACTAGCCAGCAGTTCATTGGGCCTTTTGTTGATTGCATTTAGTGCACTGTAAAATGCCTGATTACCTCTCCACTCCTTGTTTCTTGAAAGAGAAGAAAAAAAAAACAGGTGCTCCATCTTCCATATCATGTAATCACTCTTTCCCATCTAAATTATACGCTGCCATTCCTACCATTAGTATCCTTTTATTGCATATCTAATCTCCATGTAATCCAAATGTTTGAAATAAATTTGCACGCGCTCTAGGGGGGTTGAAATCACAGAATGATGATGACAACTATCAAACGTTAGGGGTAAACACAAAATGTCATGCAATTTCTCTTGTTTATCATGCTGCCCTGTTGCGTAACCTATTAAATCATCGGTACGCACTTGATTGCAAGTGCTTAATAGGAACGCATTTGAGCAAATCATTGTGTGCCTTTTCCCGGCTTTCGCAAACCCAGTTTCAATGAAACAATGAGCATCTGCCCTTGTGTGTTTTTGACGGGGATCTGTAGATTGCCTTTAATAGAAAATCAATACCAACAGGTAGCAATCTATCCATCAACACAATCTAGAATCCTGTAAAAAAAAAAAAAGAAAAAAAAAAAAAAGTGCTATTCGTCATTCATTCATTGTGAGGCACTAGTTTAATTATTATTTTTTTTAGTGTCATTTTCATGAACACAAAGCAATTTGCCTTTTCAACACTGCAACATGACGCTGTTTGTATACAAAATCCCAAGAAGATCCCAAAATGAACATAGAAACACACCATGTCATGCCAAAATAGCCGGGAGCTCCGTTTCAATCCTCACACAAGGTATAAATTAAAAAAGGTTGCCAATACGTTGATTTACTTTTTTTTTTTTTTTTTTTTTTTTTTGTTTCCTTCTTGTTTCTATTGAATCATATACCCCGTTTTTTTATACTACAAAAAATGGATCATTTATACCAACTGCTTTGTATACCAAAAGCGCCTTCTCTCCAAATCTCTGATTTGAAGACGGGTAACTTTAACCAATTCCTCGATGTGTCCATGAAATCATCAGCCAGCATTGAGAAAAACCGCCAACTCAAGAATGATGCCGCAAAGGAATTTGCCAAGCTTGTCGCTGCCAAGAGCCATAGTCCTAGCAACACAATGCGAACCATCAATGACATCTTCAAGAGCGCTTCGGGTGCCTGTCATTTGGATCGCGAGCGTGCCTTGATTGATTGGCTTCAAGTCTGTGTCTCTACTGCTGTTGAATTTGCTTTAGATCCCGAGAAGGCTCAACCTGTCCATAATGAAAAGCCTCTTCCTACGCCTGCCAGTCCAAAGAAACAAACATCGGCCAAGAAAGGCAAGAAGCAACAGCCACAAGAAGACGATGAGTATGAGCTAGAAACAGATGTGTCTTGGGAGGAGGATGATGGGGATAGATATGACATGATTGGAAGCTCTGATGATGATTATGTTCCTTCCATGGAGGATGGTGTTATACCTTCCAAGCCTCGCCCTTCAAGAAAGAGTGGTAACGGCACCACCCCCGCCAAGAAGGTGCCTCGTAAGAAGAAGAACCAAGATCAAGTGGTGCCTCCTTCTCCACCAAAGAATAACAAAGAAGCCACCATCCCCATCATCAAGGAAGGTGCTGGTCCAAAGGCGCTTCAAAAGTATTTTGCTGATCTCGAGCATGTGGATCCTGGATTCAAGTCAACATCGGATGCTGTTCTACCTGGTGGCTACTTTGCAAGAGCCTTCTTTTTCCCTTCCAAAGATAGTTTCAATGTAATGCAATGAAATCATGTTTAGTGATACCTTGATACTGACCGCAATCTCTTTTATTTGCCCAATCTACAATAGGCCTTTTTGTCAGTCTTGTATTCAGCCACGAAAACGATCGATATCTGTGTGTTTGCATTTACGGATGATGATGTCGCTGATGCATTGATTGCTGCCAAGAAGCGTGGTGTAGCTATCAAGATTATTACGGATAATCAACAAGCGGCTGGTAAGGGTGCTGATGCAAAGCGATTGCAAGAGTCGTATGGTATTCCCTTCAAAACAGACAATACGTAAGTTTTTTTTTTTTTTTTTTTTTTTTGCATACTGTGCATTGAGTAGGAGAGAATGACAATATTGATTTTGATCTGTAGCACTGGTTACATGCACAACAAGTTTGCCATTGTCGATAGTGCGACTCTTATCAACGGTAGCTTCAATTGGTCCAAGGGGTGAGTTGTCTTGTGAGTTGCAGTCAAAGATACATTGTCGCTCATACATCATGATGTAGTGCACGATTCAAGAACAGAGAAAACGTCTTGATCACCAATATTCCTATCTGTATCAAGGAATTCCAGGGCCAATTCGACTCGCTTTGGGCAGAGTTCTAAGCATATCAACATCTATACTTGATTTATACACCACCATTTAATTTCTAATGAATAAATACTATCTACCATGCCTATGCACTCGTTACATCATTTAGGAGAGGATAGGTTGCTGTACCAAGGAGACAATGCGTCAATTACACACACACACACACACACACACGCTTTATTTACAATACTAAAAGGGCGTTGATTTTGATTGCCTGTTGTGGTAAAATAACCTTGGTTTGGTAGTGAGACGTAGGAGACGAAATCTTGGTGAAATGAAGATTATTTCGTTCAAACTCGTGGGTCTCGCGCTGATCTCCTCGCTCGGTTGTAATGATATTTGATCCCAATGCGTAAGTGACACTTAATTCTCTCAATTGGCGTGATTTTGAAAGATCCAAATAAATATAATCAGCAAGAGGATGGTCGACTTTGTTTTGACCCAATGTAATGGATCCAAATTCCAAATAAATCATCCTCAATGAGCCTTGCAAGCCTTCTAGTACGCTTCGCAAGATCGTATTTGTCTCTACAAGTGTTTGGCAGTCTCTTTTGATGTTTAATTTTGTGATGGTCAAGTATTCCAATCGAGGAAATAATTTTGTTGTTACTGAATGCTGTGCAAATACTTTCGAGACTGAAACATGACGGAGAGCCAGCGACCGTAATGATCTGCAATAGGTCAAAATCTGGAGCAAATGAGCCAGTTCGCAGGATCGACCAAAGGTACAGTTGAACTCCAAGGTTGTCAATTGCGAGAATGCAGATAATGACTGAAATAAGGAGGTATCGAATGGTTGAAACTCTTCTCTCAATGCTCTCTTTTGTGTATATTCGTAATGACCGCCGGCATAGTTGCTCTGTATGCTCAAGCGCTGTATCTGACTGGACTGATTTGACTCTGATAACACGGCAAGTTGTTTCTTCAAGTCAGCATTGTTTGTTGTTGCAAAACCAAGTGTATGCAACTTGATCTTGTTTTCGTCCATGGCATTAATCAACTCTTTTGTAATGGGATAAAGTATGATCTTGAAAGCTGACAGACGCTGACACGAGGCCATCATGGGAAGCATGCTTAGAGCGTGTTCATCCTTGTAATCTGTTGATCTCATGGATATATTGCATTTCAATGTAAAAGATACCAAATCCATGTACTTTGATGCTACTTGTTGTATCCAGAATTTAACAAGTTCATGTGGTTGGGGCCCATTCAAGCCTGTTCCTGAATGCAAGTCAATGTGGAGGTGTCGAAGACCGGATGCCTGCTTACTGGGGAGGTTGCTGACATACTCCATCTGTTGACGAACATTGTAATATGGGTATACTGCATTCTCATTCAATCGAAGCGTTGTATTGATGAGTGATAATGATCGTAAACCGGGCACATTCTCATGAATTGCATCAAGGTCTTGCCAAAACACATGCATTTCTTCCAGTGTCAAGTGTCGCAGGGCAATGGCTAATCGCAGGCTGTGTACAAATTGATGTTTTCGGACAATGTACGTTTGCATATGAAGAGTGTGCTTGCTGAATTCGTCATAATCCAACATTTTGATATGCAATTCAGTCAAGTTGGCGAGCGTTGCTCCTGCAGCTCCGGCTGTTTCCAACCATAATGAAGTAAAAAGTGGGGTTGAGTAATTGTTTTCGGTTATAGATACGATTGATGGTGTCCAGTATGGGATGCTGGCAAGTGATTCAATCTGGTGGCGATACTCAATTTCGCTGAGTATTACATCTGTGCCGTAAAGACTTAAATGGAGATGCCGCACATTTGGAAACAAACCAGGAAGTGCAAAAACCTTTTCCATGGAGGATGGCAAGTAATACACATCACGAACATGGTGCGCCAAGTCTTGACATTTCTCATAAGGCGCGATGTCTATTGTGTCATCCATAATCCTGACAGAGTGATGAATCAAATCATCGGTGATCATTGCATACCAACGTTTGCATACAAGTCGACATTCCTTTGGATTGCAGGCATTTGAAAATACAGTGTATCGCAATTCACTCGGTAAGCGTTCCATGATTGTAATGTGAGTTGGAAAAAAAAAAAAGGCTGGTATACACTGTATATATTTACCTGAACAGCTTTTTGAGTTGCCGTTTTACATCATCATGTGAAAACAAAGCTGATTTAAGGTTTCTCTCTTTTGGACAGGTATACATTGACATTTATTTACATGGGCAAAAAAGGGGGTGGTGGTATCTTCTAAGCAAATCGAGTTTGGCCAGCAGACTCCCAACTTAGGCCAGTTACTTCACTTCCAAAGCCTGATCCATCTAATGCTAATGCACCATCTGAATCGGCATAGTAATTGGTAGGTCCTGTGTCTAGTACACCAGCATTTTTTCTATCATAAAACATGAGTATCATCTACCCATCTGCTGTGAATCATCACCCACCTTTTTCTCTCTGCTGCGTTGAGAGCGATCGCTGTGCCAATCGTTCTCTTTTTCAAGCCCTTGTCGGTTGGCTTACCATCGCATTCGAAGGAATGATCCATAATTTCCTGCTTGGGAAACATCATGTAGCATAGTGGACATTGCTTATTGCCCATTTCACGTCTCTCAGCCTCCTAGAACGCCATATGCACATGAGCTTTGCCATAGCCTTTGAGCCGGAGCCACCCTACTTACCTTGAGCTCATCACTAAACAGTTTTCGTCTACTGCTGACATGATTGATGTACAGCTCCAAATCCTCTTCTTCTCCATCCTCATCATCAATACCGTATATCACCTTCTTTTTAATGAATGCAGGCCGACTGAATAAACTTGAGTTTTGGGGCGAACTGATGGGTCTTTTGAGAGTAGGTGCTGGTGGTGAGTTTAATGAGTTGGGTGAAAACAGGCTGCTTTGTCTTGGTTCCTGACTACAACGACTGCCGCCATGCATCTTTCTTGGCGGTGATGATGAAACGACATGTCTCTTTTCCATGGCGGCAGGAGAAGATCGCATTGTTTGGCTGGATGTTGGCGTTGTTGATGTTGATGAAGGTGCTGAAGTAGATGAGGTTGGTTCAGGGCTACTTGAAGCGAATATCGCTGCTAATTCTTTGTCCGTTTCACATTTTTTCGATATATCTATAGCTGATGGGCTCTTAGACAGGCCGGAGCAAGGGCGCTTAGCTGCTTTTGTCAATGTCACAGTTCGTGCATCTCTTTGGAACAATTTGTTAATGCTATTCAGCGGAACAGAGTTCTCTGATGGCCTTGTCTCGGGGGAATAAATGACAACAGGCGCAGGGATTGCATTTGGCAAGTTATTGTGATGGATCTTTGATGTGCCGGGTCTTTTGGGAGATGCTGGTGCTGGCGCTGGTGTTTTTGGCTTTGAGTGAACTTTTGCTTTACTAGGAGATAGAGGAGGAGGAGGAGGAGGAGCAGGCCTTGGTGAACTGGCCGTTGGTTTTGAGGGCAGTATTGATTTGGGTAAAGTCTTTACTTCTGGAGACGGTGGCAAGGATTGTTTCTTTGATGCCAAATCCTTTAAACTACAAGAGGTGATTGCTTGCGCTTTCGAGGAAGATGGTGGCTGATGTTTGGGTGCAGGCTTCGTATTAGTAACATTTGGTAGTTTTTTGAGGGTTGGTGGAGGTCTTTTTGATACACGTTGCTGGTTATCTTGTGATAATACAGCTTCCCTGCTAACCTTCTTCACAGGTAACGAAGGCTTTATGGATGGGGCGTACTCCAGTATTTCTACAACATCGTCATCATCGTCTGAATCGATAAGGATAGTAACTTTACTCATTAGCCTATTGAAATGGATGTGATAATAATATGGCACTGAGCAAGAAAGTTTAATGCATTTGAAAAGGCAGTACCTTTTTGATGATAACCCATTGAATTCCAACCTGTGCTAAACCAACTCCGAAGAAGAGATGTTGTACAGCTCATGTATATTTAATCACTAACCTGTTGGATTAAACTATTGAATTGAAATACTATCTCAAATCTATGTGAAATACACAACATCTTTATTTCCGCAAATGCGGCTGCATCCCTGACAGGTTGAGCAATACCAACGAGCCAAGTATTATTACACTCTCCTAGTTGTAGTTGTACTTTGACTCTGCCGAAACAATTGGCCAACAGTAGTTGATATTACGAAATACAGAAAGTGGGTCAGAATGCATGCAATAAATTTCATAGAGTGCCCTACAGATACAATACCAATATATCGACTAAATCAAAGTCTACAAACGAAGCAAAGCAAAATTAACTGGCATTCATTAGTTATTTCATTGTTAAGTATGATTCATAAAGACTCTGGACAAAACCATTCTTTTTTTGATTAGAGTGGATCAGTCACGACATGGTATGTTGCATAAATGTGAAGAGCAGTTTTACAATTTTTGAAAACCACCGTGTCCTCGACAACACTAGGTAAGCATAGTACATTGTTGTTTCAACTTCAACTCTGCAATGCTGCCCTAATTCTTCCTTTTATTGAAGCACATGTTCGTATTTTTCACCTTAAACAGCAAGTCGATTCGACGACTAGACTTACTTTGCGATCTAATGTGTCGGCCGCATTATCTCCCAAGATTTGCCCTTCATGATAGTGTACATCGACTCATCAAGCAAAGTTTACAATCCTCGACAAGGGCGTCTCTTTTTTTTTTTTTTTTTTTTTGCAGGTGCCAACTTGTTTTTCCTTGGGAGCTTGGCGCTGCAAATTCTAACGTTTTCTTAAATCGCGAGTCAAGAGAAGCTTTGTCAGCTGTAGTCAATGTTTAGAAATTTTTTTTGCTTTTCGTACACTGTAGGAAGTGAATACCTACTGGTGCTTGATAAATAGAATCACAACGCTACTTGTGGAATACACCCACTCTGATCTGCATTTCGACAGTTCATCCAGTTACCAGATTTAAATATAAGCCATGTGTGCACTGGATTAGATGTACGATACGGATTTATACTGCAAGAAGATATGAACTTCAGATACGCTAGTACTACCAGTGTCACACTATATAAGATATAGGCTATAGACGGCGCCATGGACATGGATGGCGCTGTAGACTTATACTTGCACTTCGATATTGACTACAGATGTTTGCCATCTTTGGATAAGCATCAAGAACGATGCAATATGGGCTTGTTGCTTCAGATGAGCACTTCATGATCCACACTATAAGACACATGCTTATATCAATGGTATTAGCTACAGATACATCATATACTACAGACTTGTACTATATGTGAGATATACTATAGACATACATAGAATATGATATAGACATGCCCTATACCAGGCCAGTAGAGATTCTTCAATTTATTTTACACCTGTCAGTTTGATAATAAATATACATTTATCAAGGCGACTCTGTTGTTTTTTATATTCTTTTTTTTTTTTGTGAATCTCGACTTACAAAAGCCTCGAATTCCACAAAGATGTTATATCTGCCAAAGAGAGCAAACTTTGCATTCAACTTGACCCACCTATAGAAGCAGCGGTATTTTAATATATGAAAAGCCCAGCCTTCATACTGCTCTGAATGAAAGATAATGGATATCTGAAATCTTTCAATCTCAAAATCATGCGATCTTGATAATAACACTGCTTTACAGCTGAACTGCACTTGGGGTAGAATTTAAAGAAAAATCTAGTGATACCGTTCTTAAACGCAAACGTCTGAAAGATTAGACCGATTTTTGATACAATAGCTTTTGCAATTTTTTGGCTTTTTTCAAAAGATTACTCAGTATCTGTCATCAAAAAATTATGTTAAGCATTACTAAACATTGTAGACCAAAAATTTTTATATCGAATGAGCCATTGCTTGAAGCTCTGGTATGGCTCTATCATGAAATATTGACAATCTTGTCCTGACCAAAAAATTCGATGAAGATTTTCCCCTTGCTATCACAGGCAGATTCTGAACAAAAATTCATGGTTTTGCATGGTACCCTTTTTTTTGGTTGTATCTCGGAAAGAGAGCATCGTATTTCAATATAACAGCAAGCAATCAAGTGCTCTTCTACGTTGTATCTATGCTGATGTAAAAGCTCTAATTTCTAGAATTACGTTCCCTTCATGGTTTGGCTCAAAATCCGGTATTCTACGACCATTAGGCAAGAAAGTTGTGAGACAATTCCTAATGCAGCCATTGCAGCCACGTAAGTTGATACAAAATAGAAATGAATATAAAATGGTACGACACATGTAAACAATGATGTATAGATTGTATATTGATAAGCTGTTTATTAGCCATGTATATATGTTGGAGGCTTTCTGAAGAGAGTATGTACTGAATCTGGACCACTTTACCTATGGTACTATTGTCCATTGTGTAGGCTCAAAGCTCAAGGGCTTATCATTCCTCAAGCCTTCTTAATCAAAGCTGTAACGTCAATTGTCATGAATCTGCACTGCAAAAATGTTGTGGATCCATGGGTACGGACTGTAATGAAGCGAGACCGAAGTTGAGGAAGTAGGAGGGCATCTGGGTTCTTCAGGGAGTTACTAGGCTTGGGGATTCTGTGTGAAATCTAGGATGTTGGATGATGGTGAGTCGTGTTTGGTTGGTGCTACGTTTTGGGGCGTGTTTGTGTGGACTTGTAATAAGGGGGCTGTTGAGGTCGTTATAGAAGAACTAATAAATGTCTCAATGTGAGAGCTTAATTAGTCATAGTAGATCAAATGTTGATTTTTGGTAAGGGCTTGGGTTTGGTCGTCGCTTATAGAGATGTGAAGACAGAGGGCTTCTTCTAACAGGAGAATACGGTTCCGGTCTCAAGATGAGCAATGGTGGTAGACAGTTGCAAAATGGGGTCGCTTTGTTGTGGAGAGCCTTTGTGGTAAAGATCAGGTGGGGATGGCGACGACGTATGATGGTGAGAAAACGAAAATCTGGGAGATGCGATGGGAGGAAGACCTTGTATTGGAAAGGCTGTTGTGAAGCCTTTATTAGCGTAAGAGCGCATATGAGGTGGGGACGATGTTATGATACAGTTATATTTGGTGAAGGAGCTTGGTGATTTACTTGATTTTTTGACAACACAACCGATTAGACCTTTTTTTTTTAGCCAGATTCTCTCCAAATCTAGCCATTTTGAAGAACGAATAGCTCACGCTACAAAGAGTTCTGGACGCTTGGAATAACGCCAAATGGCTCTTCTTGGCTACGCTTTATTTACTGATGCTTTATCTCAATTTTTTTTCGGTCATCATGGCAAATCGATGAAAATTCTAATATTTTTCTGAGTACTAGGAAGGAAAAATTCTCAGAAATCAAACAATCGCGTTTTTCATCACCCCAGAAATGAAGACTTTTTTTATGAAACATATTATACCAAATTGATCGTAGAGATGGAATGCAACATTGAAGACTACTTCTATGGGGTCTACATATACTACATTTTGATATATTCACAAAAAATCTGTTTTCATATTTTTGCGAATTGCTCATTATTTTCAGTCTAAAAGCAGGATGTAATCAGTACCATTCGATGCGGCTTTTTTTTTTAATTTTCTAGAGGTGTATCAGAAGGTTGTTAGGTGTTATAATGAGAGTCTTCATAGGCAAATTTAGCAAAAACGTTTGAAGGATGTGAAATCAAGTCAAGTTTGAACACGAAAATACCACTGCACAATTTCAAATTAAATTGCCGCATTTACGGCTGCTGCCACTGCAAAAGACTGAAACCAAATCTACTGGCCGTGACGTCGGATAGGGCGCCCTCTCATTTTTCCATACCCCCCTTTTTTTTCCCTTTTTGTAAAACGCGTCTAGTATCAAACCATGGTGGTTTTAGAAACCATTTGATTGATAACAACACTCTAGCTTCTGATAACGCTGTATTGTACCGTGAGAAAAACTTGATGCTGCTTCTTTGAAGTGGATACATCAGGTACCATTCAATAACGAGCACTAGAAGGCATAGAATTAGCACTCATTGAATTTGTTTATTAGGTTTTGATAATTTTTTTGCCTGGTTGACGTGGGTGCTGCTGCCCTTCCTTTTCTGCTATCTCTGCAGTCTGCCTCTTTGGTCTTTGTCTGGTGGCCTTCATTCTTTGGTTTTTCTACGGTGCTGGTGTTGCTGCTGCTGCTGCAAATCTGCTCTTTCCTGGTCTATTGTCTTTGGTGCATGCTCGTTCTCTGGTCTATATCCGGTGATTGCGTATCTTCTGTTCTATCTGTAGCTGTGGTAAGTGGTAAGTATCTTCTTTCTTCTGGTCGCAATGATATAAAACTTCTTTGAACGTTTATATTATTACTTCCTTTCTCGGGATGATGCATTCATAATGTTTGCCTTATTGCGCTTTCTTTTTTTTTGTTGTTGGTAGTGGTATTTCCTCTGTGGCTTCACATGAAACAACATTAGTCATTATGTTGTATTGCAAATTTATAATACCACTGTTGCTTTTGCAGTTGTGCGTATTTGTGCCATGTTGCTTTACATGACTATTACTACCATGCACGTTGCTTATATACGCATTTTATTGCAACAGCAACGAGCTTTTTTGAACATCTTTGATGTTATGTCTGCTATACTTTTCTTAAAATCGCTTCATGTGAGCGTCTCTTTTTTGCCTACATAATACTATACTCTTATAGTATTATGTTCTTTTCTTCTTTCTTTTATTATTATTATGTTTCTTTTGAAGCATACCGTTTTTTACGTTGTGTGGATGTGCCTATCCCTGAAGCTCAACAAGACTTTATCCGAGGCTAGGAGGTAGATAGGCTGCCTCCACTTGGTTATCGCTACTTACTTTAGTGATGATTGAGAGTCTCAACGCCAGAATCTAAAGCTAGGTGGTGTAAGTAAGGCATGCTCTAGCACCTGAGGGAAATTTGATGATAGTAACAGCTATATTGCTATATATAGCGGCGCTTAAAATTTTGCCTCATATCAAAACAAGGGGAAACCCTCGCAAATTTTTTTTTAGATCAGCGGAGTTTTCAAGAAATCTGATTGGCTCAGGGGTTGAAGTAGCAAAGGGTTACAGCTGTTTAGAATAACGAAATATAGACAGAGTAAATACAATTAGAACTGAATATATTTATTAAGCTATTCCAAGAGAATGAAGATCAAAACTAGTGTAGATTTCGAAGGTATTTATAGTTATTTGACAGTGCCACAGCAATAGGACCTTGATCTTGAATGCGGGATAATTGTATAAGCCTTGAACCAGTTAACGAGAATGTGCTGCACAAGAGCTCATGAACCACCAGTCAAGGATAAACAACAAAGATGATCCAAGATAGAATGTTCTTCCTAATAGCTTTGACGGAAGAACATTTGTCGGAATTGAAACCCACTTCCAGGGACGAAAGGCCATAGGTTACCACTCTCTAGGAACCAGGATATAGATTAGCCATTTGATGGCACCACTCATGTTCCTTCGTGCTGCTTGAATAAAGACCTCTCACTTCTACTATGCATCTCTGCTCATTCTCAGATCCACTTATGCAATATACAGCGCCTAATACATTTGCCTCTCAGAGATGATCTATATCCTAAACAACAACTAGTTGATTTCCCATTGATTTGTCATTTAATATAATTTTGTGTTTGTAATAAAAAAAAAGTATCTAAATAGATACAATTTAAATTCTTCTTTATTCAAAAGTGATAGCATCATGGGCGGGTACAATTGCCATAATAGATTGTAATAGCTTTAGAGTGATAACATAGGGATCTGTCAATTAATGCAAAATCTGTAAATAGATGCCATACAGAATAATAGTAGTATAAATCTCTGAGTGTGGATTAATAATAGATCTGTTTGTAGCCATTGGCTTGTAACTGAGTGTATCCTGATTCTTGAATCAGATTCTAAAATTATGGCATTGCTAAACAGCATGCTATAGAACTTGTTGCTTATTTGTAGATGCGATGTTAGTATGGGCAAATTATATACAACATTGTAAAAGCAAGCACATCTAAAATAGATGGCCTTTGTGCTTGCATGACTCAATATAATAGAATCCCTTTATCTATATGCAGTTAAATCAAGATGGCCCGAGTTTGGCAGCCAATATGTCTTGCTACAATTTGTGTTGAAGTATCTATGCATGAAATCAAATGCCATACGCATTAAAAAATATCAGCCTTATAACTGCTTTGGCTTTGAGGATAAAACAAGTACTTTGAATGGAATTGCTTGAGTAACAATACGTTTAAACTTGCCTTTAGTGCACGTATACTTATTATAAAGGGTTGCTTTTTCGTAAATGATGGTAAAAAGTCTACCTAGAAATTAGAAATAAAAGGCGAGTCTGTAAAGGCAATAAGATAAATAACAAAGTCGATTCCAAAGAAAACCTGGGATTGGGTATTACTTTTTGAATGAATCAACCTACTTTACCAGATACCAACATTTGCTATTTTAGAATTCTGCACGCAATCAACAGGGAGACAGTGACACAGAAGAAGTGTGCTTTTCAAAAGTGGCTGGGGATTATCTGTACAATGTACAACCTGACAATACCTTCAGCAGGCTTAGATTTTTTATTTATTTGTCCAAATACAACTCTAGTCAAGCATATCTAACATATGATTGAGCTATCCAGCAAACTGTTATTATTTTTATCTAAGCCCTCTACCATACCATCTAAAGCTATATGTCTATTTCAATACTTCAGTTTCTCGTCTTCTTTTTTCTTTTGTTTATTTTTTAAATAATCATCTTCATGTCCAGTAACAACAGATCGGCCATTGCTACTGGCATTATTTGCTCAGAATACAAGCATGAAACTGACCAATTCATCTTTATCTCAAAGAATAACGACACTGGTAGTCCTGAAGATTACCATCTAAACATTTACAACAACAGCAACAGAACCATGTTGTCGCCAGTGCCATTACTCAAGATTGCGCACTTTCCAAATGCCGCCAATCTTCGTTTTGGAGGTCTTTGTTCGTATGCTGATAGCAGATCTTCATTCTATATGAATTTTGAAGAGTGTAAGTGTATTTTCAGATGAATTATACAACCTTTTGCTTATTGAAATGATGTACATACATGTAGTGTCAACCACAAATAATACAACTACCACGACATTTATCTATCAACTCCAGCTCGAAAATTCCACAAGTTTGCCACTGCAATTTCAAAAAACGTCTGTTGAGCTTTTCAATATTACATTATCATCCTTCGTTTATGCAGCATCCAGTATCGCCAATGCTACGTCTAATCTAGCCTACATCTCAACATCATCCACAACTCACCAGAGCTCATTGAGTTTAGCCAACTTGGATCATCCTCAACAGCAAACTACTAAAAATATCTCTTCTGATCTGGGATTATTAGCTGTTGGTGGAACGGAATCACAAAGCCTCTATTTTATACAAAATCATGCCGTCGATGTATACAGATTAGACACCCTGCAGTACAGCCACACGACGATACACACCAACATAACCCTAGAGGGCTTGAGGAGAGGCACCACAGGGCATGTTTTCTCAGCCAACAACAAGGAGTACATTTCGTTCTATCATTCAAACAGCGGACAAATGGATATTCTTGGTATCAGTCCTTCTTTGGTCAAGTATACATCTACCTCAGTGTCTAAAAATGGGTACATTGATCTATCAAAAACAGGCGCACCAATGCCTGCCATCAGACAATTGTCAAACGCATCCCATATTTTGAGTATGAATGAAGAGAAAAAGCATCATAAACGAGACATGAAGGCGTCCAAACGATCACTACTGAAAGCCTTTTCTAACAAGTTTTATCTAAAGAGTAAGTTTGGTCAGCCTCGTAAAAATTCAACTACCAATATTTGCTTTTTAGGAGGAGTTGCCAACAGAGCACTGAAGAAGCGAGCAATCGATACCAGCAACGACAACATGCAGACATCTTCTGACGGCTCAGTCAGTTATCACAGTGCACGGGTCGTGCCAGACAACGGTGAGAAGCTACCACAAGCTGCTATACTCGTTCCTGCAGCGTCCAACAGTAATAACGCCATATACGATTATGCCGTGCTCTCTGAAAGTGGTGCTAATCCAAATCAATTCAGTGTCACTACAGAGTCCACAACTCGGTCTCAAGTTCCAGTCATTGAAACACCCACAGACAATAGTATCTTGGAAAACGCTTCAGCAGCTAGTCATTTGGGTGGAGGCGCTATTGCTGGTATTGTCATCAGTGTGATAGCCTTCATTGCCATTATTGCGGGTCTCTTGTTCTACTCCAAGAAGCGAAAAGATAGAGTCTATGCTTCAAGCATCAGCCGTAGCATGAAGCCAGCGATGACTACTTATAATAGCGGTACACCGCTATCCATTCAGCCAGGTGATTTTGTTGGTGCTCGTTATTCTGGTGGTGCTGGTGGCGCTGGTGTTGGAATCAATCAATTAGACGACAACCATACAAACACAAGCAGCATCTTGCAAGCCACCACATTCATACCGGAGGAATACCATGATGGCAGTCGACCTGATATTCGTCCCTTGTCTTACAGTGACGAGGCCATCGACTATGCGCAACTATCAAGCGAGGAGCTGTCTCAACTGGAGCCCGATGTCCAAGGCCCTTTGTTTTTGTTTAGTGGCGTGTATACCTCGTCAGCAGAGGAGCGTGTTACTTATTTACAAGATGGATACGCCATTCGTACATTTGACGCCAAGGACGGTATGAAGCATACGGTGCATTACTTTTCTGCTTCTCATCTAGATACATTTGTCCGTTCTGTGCACGCCGTGTTGCGAACATCACCTTCCAGTAGATCTAAGCGATCAAGTCTCGTCTCACCCAGCTACATTATCAAGAGCGAAAGAGCTATTGCCCTCAGTTCACCGACACCACTCAACCATTACCAGTATATTTGGATCACATCACCCATGCTACCAGAGCATTCACTCCATTACTTGCTGTTTGAAAGAACAAAATGGACGTTTATCGATTACAACAATACTGACTACAAGATTTGGTCCGTCTATTCACTGTTGAAGGGTGTAGAAACCTTGCACAGCCATAAATTTGTTCATTTAGCCATTGATCCCAAAGCGTTTTATTTTGACCATGAAATGAAGGCAACAGATTGGAAATTGGGTAATCTCGGCTACGCTATATCCATGTCATCACGACACAAGGGCGGCGACATTGTCTTGCCAGCACATAGCCCATTCACTGCACCAGAAATCATCCAAACCAAAGACAATCTGAACTTGGAAGCTGCTGACATGTGGTCTCTGGGGTGTGTCATTTACACGGTGGTAACGGGTGGCCAAGTATTATTTCAAGATGCTGAAGAGGTCAAGCGTCTGGCCGTATTCCACGATGATATGAAGCAGCATCTCAAATCCAAGATACGACAACATGTGGAAAACGAAGTGTTTCAAAATATACTAGACAGAGTACTTCATGTGGATCCAAGTGAACGCAAGCATATCAAGAATATATTGGACTATTGGGATAGCATTTACAATATGGAAGAATAGCATGTTGCCCCTGTCAACAAGATGGTTCCGGATCATGCATTAATGGGAACGGCGACATGTCAAACCATCCAAATGCTTAATAAAAATGACTGCTTAAAAATCATTCTCGGTCCTTCTGCAGACAAAAATGTTGGCTATAAAACATGGAAAATATTTTTCAGAGCCTTTTTCATCTCTCTTTCATCTCATCCTATATATACAAAATGTCTGAGCCCCTGTTTGTTGATCTCAGCGAGAGTAAGCCCACTGAAATCGAGAGTATGTGTATGAAATGTCATGAAAATGTAAGTTGATTTGGCCTTGAATACTGCATAGAGATCTTGACTGACATATCTGATGCAGGGCATCACTCGTATCTTGCTCTCCAAGATTCCTCATTTCAAGGAAATCATCATCATGGCATTCGAATGTCCTCACTGTGGATTCCGTAACAATGAACTTCAAAGTGCTGGTGTATTCAACGAAAGAGGCCATATTATCACCTTGACCATCAAGTCCAAAGAGGTAGGTTTTGATATTGCAAAATATCTGGGTGCACACCCTCTAATGCATGCAAGTGCCTTTAGGATATGAACCGTCAACTCGTTAAATCCGATTTCTGTTCTGTCAAGTTTGAGGAACTCGATCTAGAGATTCCTGCCAACAACAACCGTGGTCTTCTTACAACAGTCGAAGGTTTGGTTGATAATGTCATTGATGATTTGGCTGCTGGTCAACCCATCCGTAAAGCCACCGAGGAGGCTGTATACAACAGAATCGAGGAGATTATTGCCACTTTAAACAGCTACAAGGAAGGAAGCGCATTTACTCTCAAGCTTGATGATCCCTCTGGTAATTCCTACGTCGAGAACAAGTGTCTCCCCAACCAAGATCCCCAAATCAAGTTGAGATGGTACACGCGTACGCCTGAGCAACAAGCTTTCCTCGGTCTTCAAGCTGAGAATCAACAAACACCTGCTGAACAAGCTGCTGCGTTAGCACTTCAACGCACAGGCACTGCATCCGAGATGGTGAATGAAAAGACCGGTCTTCCCGAAGTTATGTCTTTCCCTGCCAATTGTCCCAGCTGTAACTCTCCTTGTTCCACCAACATGCATGTGATGGAGATTCCTCATTTCAAGGAAGTCGTCATCATGGCTACCAACTGTGAGCATTGTGGTTACAAGAGTAACGAAGTCAAGGCCGGCGGACCCATTTCTGAAAAGGGTAAGCGTATTACACTCAAGATCACCGACCCAGAGGATTTGTCCAGAGATATTTTGAAATCAGAGACTTGTGGTTTGAGCATTCCCGAAATCAACTTGGAGTTGACACAAGGTACTTTGGGTGGCCGCTTCACCACAGTAGAGGGTTTGTTGAGACAAGTGCATACAGAATTACGTGATCGTGCACCCTTCATTGAAGGTGATTCTGGCACGGATTCGGGGAAGGACAGATGGGCTCGCTTCTTGAACAATTTGACATTGGTTGCTGATGGCAAGATGATGCCTGTCACTCTCATCATTGATGATCCCTTGTCTAATTCATACTTGCAAAACTTGTATGCCCCTGATCCAGACCCAGAAATGACCATTGAAGATTACGAACGTCCTTGGGAGGTGAATGAGGATTTGGGATTGAATGATATGAAGTTGGAGAATTACGAAGAAGAACACAAGAGACAGCAACAAGCTGAAGAAACCGAGCATGCTTGACTCGAGGAGAATAAGCGTCGAAGATTAAACTAGGTTTAGCTTCCATGTAGTTTATTATAAATAGTACCGCAATAAAATCATCACCCAATGTACATTAATATATACACTCCTTTGAAAGGTTTATCAACATGGAGAGAAAGAGTGGCTTGAAGCTACCGATTTGGTGGCTTTATGACATTATAAAGGTATTAGCCTCTAGAGACTCCAGCACAACCTCCACCAAGTTCTCTGATCCCAATGAGTTCAATAGCACCTTTAGCGGCTTTATTAGCTATTCCAACAGCACTTCATCAGGTTTAAATAGTATTTCAAGAGTTAATGCAGAAATAGGTTCGCCGAGTAGGACACCTAATCTGAGTGCCCTGTCGTCAATTCCATTAGCAGGTTTGAGATTTTGAGATTCTTCACATCCCCTAGTTCCCAGCTTACTAGGGCTACTATTAAAAACCTTAGTGGCGAAAGTCTTTTCGACCTGCAGGCGCGGCTTAAGTAGCAGTGAACAGTAAACAAGGAACAGGAGGCCGAGAAGTCGCTTGGTTTGCATTCTGATAAGCATCAAGGCATTTTTTAGGCTTTCACTATTTTGCCTGTATATTGCATTATAGAACATATAACGCTGATAAAGCAATGTATCAGTGCATACAGATTGAGGTAGTTTATAGGTAGGGGATCAAAGTATTATCATGACAACACTCCACAAGGTCAATACTGCATACCTGTTACATTTACATTTTAGTAGTGATATCTAGCATAAATGCTTAGATTAGCCAATAAAAGTTTCTTTTCTGCACGCAACAGCTGAAACTATTCTTACAAGATTTAAACATAACAAGCTATACTTGATATAATCAAATAAAGAAATCTAGTAAATATCAATTGAGCGGCTCTAACGGAAATCCAGAAATCTACATCGCACTATCCATTTCATAGACCAACGCACCACAAAAGGTCGCAGTTACAGTCAAATAATACTTGAAATAGCGCATTGTAGCTTCTACAAGCATTTCCTGACGCTCAGAAGCATACCAAACGATTGCTCTCATTGAATAGGCATATCCTGACACAGTTTCTCAATTTTTTTTTGGGATCGTCATTTTGCCTCCATTTTTCCTTGTGTATACACGTCCAAAAATCACGATTTTCAAACATTGCAGTTTTTGACCCCCAAAAACAAAGCTTTTTACCAAGACATATTAGCTCAAATTATGCGCAAAAGCTCAATCTTTGATCTGGCTATCCTCGCTTAGGGCTCAAGTGGAAAAAGTATGGTGTTTTTGACGAAAAACGATTTTTAGGAAATCGCAAATTGCTCAGCATGTTTAGTGACACATACTTCCAAAAGTACCATTATTCGATAGCTACAGCTAATATCTCTTAATTATCTATAGAATGTGTAAAGTCTTTACATAGTAGATTCTAGACATTTTTCAAAAAATGTCTAAAATCGACAATTTGGAGGGTTTGGAGATTAGATCTGATCCATGGCTATTTGAAAGCCCGACATATCTGCCCAGGCGATTGAATGGTTCTAAATCAGCTGCAGGATCATCGAACAGGGCCAAGGAGAGGCTTTAGGTAGATACATAAAGAATATAGAGTAGAGTGAACTCAGAATAGGCCTCGTAAGCTATTATTTTGGCCCTGTCTGCTCATCTCTTTCCTGTACTTAACCGTGACATACTTTGGGGGGAGAACTTTGATAGGTCTGCCATCGTAATGAAGTGCCAACAAAAATATGGCATTGAAAGCAGTTCAAAGAAAAGGTTTGTTCTTATTTCAAACGATTCACTACCATTGAGGGAGCGATTAATCAATTCATTGAACATGGATGTCAGCTTTTGAGATGTGAACCCAAATGATGCTGTAGATCTGAAACTATTCCGTTTGGTCAAGGGCCACACAAACAATAGAGATATGCGCATGTAGCAAGACGGGCTCAAATGCTGATGATTCGGTGCTTGATCACCACGGAGTATGTTGCTGGATCAATGGCATTGTAAAATGATGGAGTTAGAATTACAAGGCGCGTCGCGTACATGTCAAAAACAAAAGGGACCGCACGAGAGCGAGCAAACGAGGGGGCAGAGAAAGAGATGTATAATTTAGTTTCAACGCGGTTCACAGTATCCTTTTTTTTTTTTTACTATTTCTTTCTTTTATTGTCAAAACGATATGGGCAAATTGATTCGTATCGAAGTTGAAAACTTCAAATCCTACAAGGGTCATCAAACCATTGGTCCTTTTCACCAATTCACCAGTGTTATTGGTCCTAATGGTGCAGGTACGTAATAGTTGTGTCTGCACACATTTGACAGCTTCCTCACTTACTTGCTCTCTGCAGGTAAATCCAACCTGATGGACGCTATTTCATTTGTCTTGGGTGTCCACTCTAGTCATTTACGTTCACAAAACCTCAAGGACATGATTTATCGTTCTGAAGCCTTACGCAAAGAAGGAGACACAACTACGCCAAGCAGTGGTGTCCATACCCGTTCACCCAAGAAAGCACATGTCACTGCCGTGTATGAGACCAGTCAAGGCCGTGAAATTCGTTTTATGCGTGCCATCAACACCAATGGACAATCTGAATACCGCATCAATGACAGAGTTGTGCAATACACGGATTACAACAAGGCACTGGAGAAGGAAAACATTCTTGTCAAGGCTAAAAACTTTTTAGTGTTTCAAGGCGATGTAGAGTCGGTTGCTAGTCAACATCCCAAGGATTTGACTCGTCTGATTGAGCAAATCAGTGGTTCCTGGGACTACAGAGATCAGTATGAAGATTTGAAGCAAAAGCGAGACGAAGCAATTGAAGAGAGTGCGCATACATTCAACAGGAAGCGCGGCATTGCTGCTGAAATCAAGTTGTATGAAGAGCAAAAGGAAGAGGCAGAAAAGTTTGAAAAACTGGTGGCCGACAAGCGTGATTTGACCGTACAGTATTTGCTTTGGAAATTGTTTCACGTAGAAGAAAAGGCCAGAGCGTTGGAAGAGGAGAGCTCCGCAAAGAATTCAGACAAGGACGATCTTCAGTTTGAAGTGGCTGGTATGGAAGACAATTTCAAGAAGGCAAGAGAAGAGAAGGCGCTTATTCACAGAGAGAAGATCAAGTGCGAATTGCATATTCGTAAGATCAACAGAGAGCTGGATGAGCAGGTAAGCATATTTAATGCAAAGGTCACAATAAAAGCTATTTACACACTATATTCCATAGCATCCTACTTCTGTCAGCAACAAGGAAAAGATTACTCAATTAGAGAAAAAAATGAAACAAACCGAACAAAGCATTGAACGCATCAAGCGAGATGGTCAACAACAAGAGCAAGTCGTAGCTACATTGGAAAAGGACCTTGAACTATTGCAGCACACAGAGCAGCAGTTTGAAGCATCCATCCCTACGACAGCAGGCTTGGCCAATGGTCCCGTTTTAACAGGTGCTCAATTGATGGACTACGAGCGAAGAAAGCAAGAAGTCAGTATCAAGGCGGTGGAAGAGCAACACTTGTTGCAACAATACCAGCGTCAGTACAAGACTGAAAAGCAACGCCTCGATGAACAAAAGTCCAAGATGGAGAAACTGCAAGCATCTGAAGCAGAGACGTTGGATGATTTGCGTCAAGTCAATGAAGAAAAGGCAACATTGACGCAAGAAGCAGAGGCCATTCAAGAACGTCTTGGTGTGCGTCAATCCGAGCTCAAGAGGCTTGAAAATGAACGTACCACGACACATCAACGCGAGGTGAAATTGAACGAACAGTTGCAAGACGTCTTGAGCAAGTTGATGGAAGCCAGTGTCACGCAACAAGAGTCAGAAAAGGATTCCAGATTCAATGAAAGTGTAGCCACACTCAAGCAGATCTATCCCAACGTACACGGTAAATTGTCTGATTTATGTAAACCCAATCAACGTAAATACGACACGGCCATCGCCACTGTGTTGGGAAGAAACATGGACGCTATTGTGGTGGAGGATGAACAAACTGCCTCTGAGTGCATTGAATACATGAGAGAACAGCATGTCGGTGTCGCTACGTTCTTGCCTATTCATTCGCTGTCTTTGCCTCCCATCAATGACCGTTACCGTAATTTTGTCAAGGGTGCTCGTCTCGCTTACGATGTGCTCAAGTTTGACAAGCAATACAATAGCGTGATTCAGTATGCTTGTGGAAGTACTTTGATCTGTGATAATCTCACCATTGCCAAGCAGATTTGTTTCGAGATGAATGAAAATGTCAGAAGTAAGTTGCTCTCCAGAGACCATGGTAACCAACAGACGAATTGATTGTATGTGTTTTAGCTGTTACATTGGACGGCTCTGTTATTCATCAGAGTGGTTTAATGACTGGTGGTCAAAGTGGTGCACAGACTACAAAGAAGTGGGCTCAAAGTGATGTGGAAGGTAACTAGCTGGACTATTACGTGGCATGATACACAGGATACTGATACAGTATGTCTACTATTAGATTTGATGCGCAGTAGAGACAAGCTTTTGGAAGAGCTCAATCAAATTAGCAAAACCAAGCGTATGGGTAGTGCTGAAGATTCTGCCAAGAGCGATTGCTCCAATCTCAACAGCCAGTTGAATACACTCAAGGAGGAATTGGTAAACTATTTATATAACCCAAAAGCAATACGAGGGCTAACATGTATCCTTTCAGATCACACTGGAGAGACGCATTGAAGGCCTTCAAGGCACACTTGAAAACACGCGCAAGAACCTGGCTGCAGCTGTTCAGCCTTACGAGCAACAAAAGCACGGTTTGGATCAACTTGAAGCCAACATCAACCGCGTTCAAGAAGAAATCAACCGCGTAGAAGATCACGTCTTTGAGGATTTCTGTGCCGAGATCAATGTGCCCACCATTCGTGATTATGAAGCCATGCAATATGGTGTCTCTGACGAGGTCACTGAACAACGCGCTCAATTCTCATCACAAAAATCCAGATTGGAGACACAACTAGCTTTCGAAAAGGACCAACTCGACGAACTGATTGCACGTCTCAAGAAACTGGAAACTACCTTGACCAACGATGCTACACAAAAGAGCAAACTCGAAGCCGATGTCGCTGGCATGGCTGGCAAGACAGAACAACTCCAATCCAAATTAAAGTCGTATGAGGTGGACTTGCAGAAGCAAATTCATTTGGAAGAGCAAAAGCAAGTCGAAATCAATGAAGTGAGTCGTGCATTGGAGGCCAAGGGCAAAAACGTAGAGGAGCTGTTGAGAGAGTTCCTTGCTGTGGAAAGCGAGTACGAAAAGGTGCGTGCTGAGCGTGTCGCCATCTTTAGAAAGTGTAAGCTGGAGGGCATCAACTTGCCACTGACGCGCGGATCCATGGACGATATCATCATTGAAGAAACCAACAACAATGCTACACAGCAAACCGACGACAGTGAGTCTGTTTCGGATGCTTCCTCTGTTACAGGCAGTGTCAGCAGCAGCCATTCCAATATCAACAGTACCAGCACAGACATGGACTTGGATGTTCCTGTGTCTCAAATGTCGATCCAATCAACTGACTGGGAAGTGGAAGTCGATTTCTCCTCTGTGGGTCCATCTCAACGTCGCGATGACAGCGCACGCTTAGATCGTGAATTCCAAGAGCAAATCAAGAAGTACGGTGATGAGATTGAACAAATGGCACCCAACTTGAAGGCTGTTTCTCGCTTAGAAGGTGTGCATGAGCGACTCAAGGTAGCCGAACAAGAATTCAACACAGCCAGAGCCACAGCCAAATCCGCCAAAGAAGCCTTCAACCTGGTCAAGCAAAAGAGATACTCTAAATTCTTTGCCGCCTTTAGCCATATATCTGAAAAGATTGATACCGTATACAAGGATCTTACCAAGAGCCCTACATTTACTTTGGGTGGTACCGCTTACTTAACTGCAGAAGATGAAGACGAGCCCTATCTGGAGGGTATTACCTATCATGCCATGCCGCCCATGAAGCGATTCAGAGACATGGAGCAGCTGTCTGGTGGTGAGAAGAGTGTAGCAGCGTTGGCCTTGTTGTTTGCTATTCATAGCTTCAAACCTTCACCCTTCTTTGTCTTGGATGAAGTTGACGCAGCACTGGATAATACCAACGTGAGCACAGTGGCCAGCTACATTCGACAACATGCCACACCTGATTTCCAATTTATCGTCATCTCACTTAAACACATTTTGTACGAAAAGGCTGAGAGTTTGGTTGGTATTTATCGGGATCAAGATTTGAATTCGAGTAAAACAATGACATTGATGGTAAGTTTCTTTTTCTTGACTCTGAACTGGATGACTCATGCTTTTTCTTTTATATGCGTAGTTGGATCAATATCAAAACTAAATACGTGTGTTTTTTTCTACTATAAATATAAACAAAAATAAATCAAAAGTTTTTGGAATAGTTTTTTTAGTCTGTGTGTGTGTGTGTGTGTGTGTGTGTGTGTGTGTGTGTGTGTGTGTGTGTTCCTTTTTGTTGCTCTCTCCCTGTCCTGTCCCTTTTTTTGAGCTCCCCCTTTTTTATATAAATCATCTATACATATCGCTATTTGTCTCTCTCTTTCTTCTCTCTTAAATATATACCAAACACTCGACATCTATCATGGCCACACCAATTCAACAGGTAACTTGGCAACAAGAGCGATGCATGGCACACGATGTAGATGTACTCATGCACACACACAAATGATGACTTTTAGACAGCTTTAAACAGCTACGTCGGTTTCGATACAATCACTCAACAAATTGAGAAGAAATCACTTAAAAGAGGATTTCAGTTCAATGTCATGGTTGTTGGTAAGCTTTTGGGGAATAGGAGAGAAAGAGACAATAGATTAACACCAAATTGAAGGACAAACTGGTTTGGGAAAATCCACCTTGGTCAACACTTTGTTTGCTTCACATCTCATCGATAGTAAAGGCCGTCAACATGTCCAAGACTTACACAAACAAACAACCCAAATTGAATCTGTATCTCATGGTAAGCATCTCGTTGAGAGGAACCATAAACATTCTAACATCCTTATTATAGTCATTGAGGAAAATGGAGTTCGCCTGAGATTGAACATTGTTGATACACCTGGTTATGGTGATCAAGTGGATAACGAGAATTGGTAAGTGTGTGTGTGTGTGTGTGTTTGTGGAGATGAAGGGATGCTGTGTGCTGTTACCAACACCAAATTTTCGCTTAGCTGGGAACCCATCATCAAGTACATCAAAGACCAACATTCAGCCTACCTCCGTAAAGAACTCACTGCTCAGCGTGAAAAAGTGATTCAAGATAACCGAGTCCATTGTTGTCTTTACTTTATTGCACCTTCTGGCCACTCGTAAGTTTTTCTTGTAATGAAAAGTTACACCAATATAAAATTAATTTTATATTTATCCTATGCAGTTTAAAGCCAATTGATGTGATTGTGCTCAAGAAACTCGTTCAAGTCGTCAATGTGGTCCCTGTCATTGCAAAATCAGACTCACTCACCATTGAGGAAAGAAGCGCATTCAAGCAACGCATTAATGCAGAGTTGGCCTTCCATCAAATTGATTTATATCCCTATGATACCACAGAAGATTACGACGATGAAGAACGTGCATTGAATGCTCACATTAGACAATTGCTTCCCTTTGCCGTCGTTGGTTCAGAGAGGCAGGTAGTGGTCAATGGAAAAGCAGTAATTGGACGCAAAAACAGATGGGGCACCATCATTGTCGAGGATGAGAATCATTGCGAATTCATTCATCTTCGCAACTTTTTGACCAGAACCCATTTACAAGATTTGGTAGAGACAACTGCTATGGTTCATTACGAGACATTCCGTTCAAATCAATTGATGGCTCTGAAGGGCGCTGTGGCTGCAAGCCCTGCTTCTGAAATCAGCTCTCCTTTATCAGTAGCAGCAACAGTATCACCCTCTTCTACCACCCTCAATAGCAACAATACGAATGCTGCTACTGCTGCTATTCCAACAAAGGCCTTTCCTCCATTCGCTTAGAAAGAACTCGTCCTTTAGAATATTGTACTTGTTTCAAAATGCATTTTTTCCTCCTCCAAACGACATTATCTTTTTGTACTCTAAACAACTCACCCACACAAACACAAATTTTATTAAAAATCTATATATATTATATATCACACTAATCATCAATTTGCCATGTGTCCGTTGTGCTGGTCTTGTTTAGTTCTAAATCGTGGTGCTTTTGCTTATTCTTGTCTCCTCTTTGTACATAGGGTTTCAGCCCCTGGTCAAAGTTACGCATGGCCAAGATCCCCAGCACCATGGTAGCAACATCGACTGCGATGCCAATCCAAACTGCATGTATACTGAGAGATTAGTAAACAAGGCTAGGCTGTTTCTTAGTCCAATAGATGACTTACCAAATGTAATCCAGGTATACCAATTGTTATTGGGTTGAAATGTTTGATCCAGCACCAGGGCAAAATGAATAATGACAATCGCTTGAAAGCAGACAAAGGTAATCATACGTCCTTCACTTTCAGTGCTTCCAGCCGTTCTTGCAAAATAAAGCATTGGCAGCATCAAGATGGTCACTGCTAGTTGGATCCATGTATCCCATTGGGTTCCGTTTTCTTTGACGGCAAATTGAATGAGGTAAAAGATGGAAATCAAAAACTCGGTAAAGATATCAATCTTGAGCGCTAATACAAAGAATTGAAAGATTCTGTACATCTTTTGTATACGCACATCAGCACCAATCTTTTTGTAAATGTTCCAGCCAAACTGCTTGGACATTTCATAGGAGAGATAGGACATGACAATGGCAAATGCCAGAATAACGACAGCTAATGCAATCTCCATTTTTTCTGCATTGGCCAGTGGCCACACGGGATATTGTGTTTGTTGTAACTGATTCAGCCATTTCACACCATCCACTACTTCCAATGCACCGAGCATAGCACAGAAGCAGTTGAGCACGGCAAGTACCAAGATTTCTGCTGTATTCTGATAGACTGTCTATGATTCGTGAGATTAGACTATAGGAGGGGCTTTTTTTCTTTTTAATTGACAACTTGGACACTTACTGCATCGACTGCCATGCCAAAAAACCATGCTTGAAATCCCATAAATGCAATATTTTCCCATTTAATGCGGCCCAATCTATCTTTTGCTCTTATAGGTATTGTATCTGCACTCGATGTTGTTGACAATAGCAGGCTTGAATCATTGCCAATGTCTGGCAGCAAGTTAGCTTGTAGTGTATTTTGTGAACAAATGGATGCTTGTAATGTAATGATGAATATGCATTGCAATAACGCCATTGAAATGTATAGTTTCGACCAGCGAGTTTCGGTGATACGACGAACCTAGGTGATGTCTTTGTTTGAGTATACATGTTGTACATTATGAATGAGGGTCTAGGCGCTTACAATCTTGTTGAATGTCACCATGATTAGTGTATTATGTATTATGTAAGTGGAAGTGTAGTTTAGAAAAGCGAATTAAAGTAATACTAATATTGTTATATACGGCTATTTATTAAACAGCAAATCCAGTTTGCTGCAATAGAGAAAACAAGCAGGTGGGAGGTATGCAAAATAGAGATACGAGAGAAAAAGAAGGGAGGAAAGGCCAAGTAAAAGCAATATAGATATTTATAACTAGCAGCTCTATAATACATAATAGATTTGATCAAATTTAATAATCTGGTCATGTTGCACTGAGCAAATTTCTTGTGTAAGCTATGATAGTAAGTTATCCCTCCTTTTGATTTCATGTTGTACAATGGATAAAGTGTAATTGTTATTGTAATTGATTCTTGGGTTTCTTTAATTTGATGAAATAAAAGAGATGGAATTAGATGATGTGTTGTATGAGATCAGAATTGTCTGTTTAAATTATACGCGGTACCTGGAAGAAAATACGTTTAGATGTGGTTGTGCAGAGATGGGAGAAATGCTTATTGTTCATTGAATTACCGAGTGAGCTATAAATATCTCTCTTTTGTCATTGATAGATGGCATGATAAATCTATGGAATTCAAGCTACTGAATTTGCTTCAGTATAATACACAGTATGGACAATAAAACATGGCCGCGTAGTACGCTGCGTGTGTTCCAGTGCTATAAACAAAATAGAGCGGGATAAGCGAACACGACATCAGTCATTGGGGAATATGTGCCCTAACGCCATTGATATAGCTATCAGATCGGTTCAAGCGCTGCCAAATGTAGTATTTGTAATTCATTTTTGGTAGGCGATTTTATGTATATATATAGTCTCGTAGTACTACGATTTACTCTAGTGGGTATCTTGAAAATGTTCATAGAATATGACATTCATGAAAAGCAGGTGTGATGAAGAAGGCATTCGTTCGCTGTCATTTTATCTTGACTTGTCCATTTTAAGGAATAACATCTGATGGTCAATGGCATGCTAAGGCTCGTATGTTCTTGAGTGCTCGCAAAAGCTGCACCAAAGCTGTAAGCATCAGACGGCATATTGCCAAGTCAAGTTTTTCTTATGAAACAGGTTGGCCAACGCAAAAAAAAATCACACAAACCATGACATTTATTGATTTAAGAGTTGCAATGGTGAGGTTTATGGATCTTTTTTTTTTGCATAGATTTGATTGTCCAAGGTTACATCTTCCACAGATCACAAGATTTGCTCGCAACAAGAGGTTAATCAAAACTTGTAAACTTCTGATTCCTTTTATCAGCAAATGAAGGCAGGTAGTAATCCAGATTATGATTACTCAATATACGCCAATGTAAACATGGTCTTATTAGGTAAATACATTGCCTGAAGCCATTGCTATTTCCAGATTACTCTCTGAAAATATTGTCCAAGAGGCGTTTATGTGAAAACAAGCGGGATGTTGGTCTGACTTGCAATATCGTCAGCATATTGTATGTGCTGCGGTAGGTGCAATGGTATAGAGATGATTTTATTACTAAATGCTAATATATCTTAATACCAGAAAGGCATTGGGTCAGCCAGCAGCGCCAAAATCGATTTAAACGCCAAACACTTTTTCTGCTCAAGATTGGACAAACTTTGCCTTTTCAAGACTTGGTTACGCTACAAATGGAGACGAACCTGCCTTACATTGATACCATACTGATATTTAAAGAAGCAAGAAGCTACAAGAACAACTTAAAAGATGGGGCCATGAACCTGATTATTGAAACAATGAATAGTCTTCTTGCAAACTGCCGACCAGATTTTACCGATACACCCATCAACATCAACACTTGTTTAACTTTACCACTGCCCACCATCTACAAGGACTGGGAAGGCTCGGAAACTGCAGACTACCTCAGGAACCCTACAGCCAAGAGAAGCCTAGTGCAGGATTTTTTTCAAGCCTAATCACAATTACACAACCCTCGAATATAAGACTAGACAAGAATGCAAATCACCGCAGATACTGTACAAGCTCAAAAGAGACCACAGCAATAGCCAGTTACACCTCCAAGATTTCTTCAGCAACTTGCTTCCTCCAACAACTCAACACTCAACCCACCAGGAAGACGCAACAAGTCTAATTCAACATTTTGAGCACAGCAGCAACATCATTTGGCTCTGCAAGAACAAAATAATCAGACAACTGCTACTCAAACAACTGCCAAAAGATCACAACAAAAATATCAACCCCAAGCAATGGAAAGCTTTCTACAGATTACATATGCACCAGTCATCACGAAACTTATGCCTCAAGATCATATATAACAAAGTCCCCTGCAGAAGTTTCCTATACCAAAGTCAAATCAAAGATGTAGAAAACAACAGATGCATACAATGTAACGAAGTAGAAGTCGTCGGACACCTTCTCAAGGTCAACATCTTCGACCTTTTTGCTACCATAATCCGAGTAATCTGGGCCCACCATTTCTTCGTACACTACCGTGGTACCCCTTTTGAGCCTCAAACAGTTATTAGCAATATCAACAGAGAACTGGACAAGCTGTCCAAAATGGATAGTACAGTATTGATTTATAAAATTTTATAAGATACAATACGGCAAATCACTTTACCTAGTATACATTTGATCCATTTATACAATGATTTTATTAACTATTTATTCATAACTACTCAATAAAACTTTCATTCCATACAAAAAAAATAAAAAATAAAAAATTCAAGACTTGGTTGATCTATTTTACAAGATTCGACTATACAAACTGTGCTTATTATGCGGTACTTCCTTAAGCGGCCTGTGGTGGTAGGGCGAAGTGGTTAAGCATTCAGCATGCCATCTGGATGATCCCAGTTCAAATCCCAGTGAACGCATTTTGATTAATTATTTACGGTCATACTGATGTCCTCGTTTGGTGAATGTTCTCTTATCCAGTATCTCTGTATGACAACTTAGCATGGTTGTATTGGCTCTAAGTGCCGCACCTTATTTGTAGTATTTCTTTCCTGACTTCCTTCCCATAATTTATCCCCCCCCCCCACCATGACTGACATTGGATCCACCAACAGTCTTTTCTATCACTCAGTATGACATTTAGAGGACTTTAAATAAAACCTGGAGCTCGTCTCCCCTACAAACGTACTTCCTTAAGCGTTCTAAGAGTACTTTTTATAGCGCATCTAATGGTACTAAATAAAGGAGATGTTTTGAATAAGCTTCCCGAGCAATGTTTGAGAATATGGAATGTGGTTTTTGGCCAAAATGTTGAGATTGTGCATATGAAGACCACACAAAAGTGGTTTCAGAGGTTGTCTTGGATTGGGAGAAACATGTTGATCTAATATATATCATAGTAGAAGTCTTCATTTTTAAGGTGAAAAACGCGATCGTTTGATTTTCGTTCGAAACTATGAAGGGTACCTCATGGTTTGGAGTTGATTTTTAGTCATGTTTTTTGGGTCCCCAAAAAGTAGAGCAAAAGTGCCAGGAAGCTACTGCTACTCGAGTACAATCGTTTAGCGTTATTCCGATGGCTCAGAAAGACCTACATGTCAAGATATTAAGGGTTAAAAGCTGTCAAATTTGGCTGTGCGTTATTCATTTACTCGTCAAAAGGCGCGTTTTTGTTGCGATACAAATGCTGCAATAAACTTGAACTCTCTTTCACATCATCTCAATAGTAGCCTTCGTTTAATTTTCGTGTATAAGCAAAGGGAGGGGAGATGCTATCCCTCCCTGAATCGGATATAACCTTTCTTTTACTACTAATTGTTTGTTCAAAATATACTTGATATACCAAATTTTTATTATCGCAGAGCGACGCCGTTATCGAGTGTAGCGATATTGATCGACTAGTACTTACATATACTCTTATTTATTGCTTAATATGCATTGTAAAAGTATACATGTGCTCTTCAAAAGAGCAACAAGAGTTGCTCAGCCCCTCAACTGCTCTGAGAAACGAAGCTTCAATTGCGTATTCAGCGTAGTATGCCGGTTCTGTTGATTTGAGTCCAAAATATTTTTTCAAGCACTGATTTTCCTATCGTCTTTGCTCTTGAGCCAGAGAATTATGATAGTTTCTTTGAGCAGCGGTTTTACCCAAGTCAAAATGGCACTACTGCTTGATCGCATTACTTTTAAAAAGATCTCAGGATGAGGGTTTGGCAAGTTTGAATAAAGCAACTGGAGCTGTTTGACATAATAAACTCGATAAAATTTCCTACCATTCCGGCAAAAATCAGCGACCCATAAAAAAAAGTAAGTAGAGCCACAGGCGATAGCTATTACCTATTCATCTATACTCTGCATAAATTTAAGGCTTCATATACACAAATCACAGATCAACCTCTCTGCCAAGGATTACCAAAACCATCAATGCTTGATAAGGCACAGCGATTGCAGGTTAAATAGTCTGCTCTAGGTGATAAGGATTGCCCAAGTGTAAATCATGGATTGCCCAAGTGTAAATCATGAATTGCCCAAGTGTAAATCATGAATTGCTTTTTTGGAGATGAGCTAATACTGAGAAGTCCTGCCAATGCCTGTTTCTCATTTCAAAATGTAATTGTGTGGCCATTGATCGATATGCATCCACTGGTAAACTTCAGCCTTCAGTGCGATTTCTTCCTGATACAAGGGCCAAATGCGAACTATAATAAAGTATATATGAACATTTTGAAGGGTTTTTTTTTATGTAACAAATTGAGCGATTCGCCATAGTTTTTCTATTTGCATGATACACTTTGTCCAAAGTTTAATAAAACACGTGCTGGCCCCTTCCTTGTGGATGGCTTTAGAGTTCAGCAACAGCAATAGCAAGAGACTGATTACATTTTACGGATTCTTTTTTCCTTTTCTCTCTCCCTTTAATATTTAAAAAGAACCCTCTCCCCAATGTCCTTCAAGTCAAAACAGAGAGCCAAACATGGCCATTTATTTGGCGATGGTACGTAAGTTTGAATTGAGAATGAGTTTTCATGATCCTAATTAACCAGCATCACAGATCCTCTCAACGCAACGCTCGTCGCTGCCTCAGACGATCCATTGTTCTCTCCTGCCATGAGCAGCAAAGCTCAGAGTCAAAGCAGTCGAACCAATTCACCTAGTATTGCCAATGATCCACTCTCGCGTTCAACAGATACCAGCAGCAGCACGCCACTATCGCCTGCTCGTCGTAGTGCAACGACAAAGTCCAGCCCAAGTAGCAGTATTTTTGGAGATATCGATGTCTCTAAATTGGGCACATCTAATGGTAAGAAACATACAATGCGTTCTCCTGCTTTGAGAAGCAAGCAGTACGATGTGGAAGATGAAGAGGATTTATTTGGCGGTGGACATAGAACAAGGAAATCCTCCAAAGTGACGACGCCGACACCCTCCGTAAAGAGCCCAACGACGCATCAACAAGATATACCAGCAGTAAAGAAAGCAAGCACATCGCCTCCCCCACCTTCAGTACCCTCGCCATTACCTTCATCACCAGTTATTCAACAGCAAAAAGCAGCAGTAGTGCAGCAAAAGCAGCCCACTGTGAGTAAACCAGTGCTGGAGCAGCCTGTGCAGCAGCCTGCCAAGAACGAGACATCTGCAGTCAAAGAAGAAAAGCCAACAGTGTCTTCATCCTCGTCTTCATTCTTTCGTTTTTTCAAATCATCCAACAACAACAGTAATGCCAATTTAAAAAATGCGTCATCTGCCTCTTCCATTGCCTCTGTAAATGCACCCTTTCCTATTGTTGCAAAGGATCATGACACTGTAAATAGTACGACTACAACAACAACCCCCCTTCCACCACCACCAGCGCCTCCAATGGGTCAATCGGCACCAGCACCATCACCTCTATCACAGCAACAACAACAACAGCAGCAGCCAATGCAAAGATCAACTGGTATTCAGCAAAGGCAGGTAGTAGCACAGAAGGAGGAGGAAGATGAGGAGGAAGAAGAAGAAGACAAAGAACCGATGCCAATCATTGAGGATGAAGCAACACGGGCATTTGCAGAGGATAATGTCATTTCGTTCAAGCCCTCGTTATTAAATTATAGAGCCATCTCACCTGAATTGACCATGGACGCACTCAAGATTGATATACCTACGCACACACCCACCTCAAAAAAGCTGGTACCTTCCATTAGTACACCAACCAACAATGTGGACGATCCATGGTCCAACCCACTTTTAATGCAGCCTACAGTGGAACCGTCCATCAGCTCGCCATTAGCGGTAAAAGTACAAGACATTGAGCCACAGAAACGAACCGCATTTGCAGACTTGATCAACAGTTGGAACACGGGCAAATCCAACAACAAGGAATACACAAACAATCAAGATCCCAAAGAATTTTTTGATCATGTCGCTGAAGAAAGACGTGATGTTGGTTTTGCTGGTATTCGGGAACATGATGATGACGACGAAGATGAAGGCCATTATCGTCGTCAACAGCAACTGGATTATCAAGATGAAATCAATCCATGGAATTAGATGGGATTTTGAGTTTTATTCTTTATTAAACAAAGTATAGATATGCAAAAAAAAAAAAAAATACAATCAAGCTAGTTCATCTTGGTCCTGCAGCTCCTTGCTGTTGATACATTTTTAGCGTATTTTCCAGTTCTTCCACCTTGACAAGATAGTTTGATAGCTCTTGTTGTAGCTGCTTGATGTGATCCACTGATTTTCTCAAGATGGCACCTTTGTTCGGTTTATTGTTAGGACCGAGATTGGATCCCTCTAAAGCTGTTTCTGGCAGTAAACTGCACAGTTCTTGGATACGATCATTAATGTTATCCCTTCTTCTTCTTTCCACAGCGTTGTGGGATTCCCTTCTACGTCGACGCTTCTCCATCATGAGCTGCATGCTGCAGATGTATTTATACGATGAGACAACCTTATTTCTCAGAATACCACCACTCTTAAAACTTACTTCATTTGTACCTGGTAATCGTCCTCAAAACTTCTTGCTGCCACGCTATTACTTGCAGATGTACCTGAAGCACCATTTTCCAACGCATCCTGCTGTCCATGTCCCCCTGCTCCAGCCGGCGTAGCAGCTACATGAAAGCTGTGATAATCATACATGTTGGCAGGCGCTGACATGGCCAACGAATGAGAGGCAGAATTTACATTAGCAGCACTGCCACTTGGAATGAACATTGGCTGTTGGTTGTGATATGCATTTTGTAATGAGATGTCTGTTGCAGCTGAAGAGCGGCGATGGTGATCGATAGCCGAACTAAACGAGCTTCTATCGTATAAACTGGGATTCTGTTGATATTCCAGGTGATCATCATGATCTGACATGGGATGCATGATGTGTTGGGAAAAGGAGTCGTTGAAATCAATACTGTTCCGCTGTTGATGGTCCGACATAGGGTCTCTTGTGGCTGTGTGGTAGGGAGGACTCAGTTGCTGATGGTGTGGTTGCTGTTGCATATCGATATCGGTTAAGGGATGGGGAGCATTTGCGTAGTTGCCATTGTTTAAAGCAGACAGATGATAAGGCGTTGGATGGGTAAGCTTTAGAGATTGCTGAGGTTGATAATGTTGTGGTTGTGTGTGCTGCGACATGTTGATGATAAACTCAAAGAAAAAAGGTATTATTGTTGTTGTTGGGAAAAAAAAAACCAAGAAAAAGACAAAAGAAAGAGAGAGGGACCTTTTTAAATAGATGTAGAATTTCCCCACACACAAAGCAAATGCACTAATAAGCTATCAAAGGTCTCACCGACATGTAATGCGGGCGCACCAATAGACGATTCCTTAATGCTTTTTAATATACTTGCTACATTTCATTGGTTGGCTATTGGTAATTATGATGCTACTTGTTTAATTGTTGGGATTCTTTCTTTTTTGACACAAAGGCACCAGCATGTTGGAGCACAGTAAAAGAGGATTTTCATTCAATGGATGACGGAAGAAAAAGCTTAAATTTCATGGTACATGAGCATTGATTTGCCGATTGTTTTCTGTGCAATGCACGGTGCAGGTATTGTAGTGCAAATGATGTGTATAGATGACCTCCACTCAGACACAGACAGGTATTTACGTTACGTCTGCTATCCAGGATGAGTATATACGGAAACAGATCCCCTATTGGCTATTTCCTTGGGCTCGATACCATAGGGTTATGTTTTAGATGCCGTTTGCCTTGGTTTCTAATTCATGCATGAAATTTAGGTATTTTACGCAGTTGTTTATTGGATCATATCATGAATACGATATTGTTTTGTAGATCCATGCAGATTGACTGTACTGAAATGCTCAATTGTGTTTCCATGGAAACCAATCTATTATAACGTGTCTGTTCGCATCTTGGGATGAAGAAACATTTGAAATACGAATTCTGTATAAATATCCTCTCTTTTATCATTCACTATAGTAGGATTAATGGGTCGAAGTGAAGTGGCGGGTGCAATTGAAAAGAAAATAAAAAGAGGGTAAACTATTAACTAAACTAACCTAAACAGAACTTTCGAAACTATCTAAACTACAAGAGGGAGTGGATTTGATCCTCATCCACTGTCTGGCGAACAGTGGAGCGGATATTCACCAGAATCGCCTCAGGGACAAGGATGATGTTGTCAAAAACAAAGCGCATATGGGCTAGCCATATTTGAGACAGGGTGATGAGTAGGACTCTGTATGGATGGATGCCTTTGACTTGGGAGTACCAGATATCCGAAAAAGTCCAGGGACAGAAGAGCCTCTTTGATGTCAGGGATGGACGTGGTGGGCCATAGGAATTCAAAAATGACGCCTTGCCATACCTTTTCTTTGGATCGACAGTCAAAGAGCAGGTGGCTGGCAGTTTCATTGGGAGACAAGCAGGCAGGACAATTGTGAGACTCGAAGACTCCAGGCATCATGTAGTGTAATCTGCTTCGAGAAGGGATACAGCCTGTGATGAGCCGGTATATCACATTACGTTGAATGTAGGTAAGAGACAGGGACCAAAAGAATTTCCAATGAGAAACAGAAATATGCTGCAAGACCAAGGGTTGTTCCATCGACGACAGCACAGACAGACGAAATGTCTTGGCCGAAGCCTGAGCATTTCCAAGGGGTTGGCCATCGTGCAGACAAAATTGATCCACTAGCGGCGCAAAAGAGACTCCAGGATCCACAAGGGGGGGCCGGGCTACACACTGGGAGGAAGTAGGGCTGGAATTTAAGGGTGCCAGATGCGAGGCCTCTGAACACTGTTGAAGGGACTCGCTTCCAACTGAGGAGGAAAGGGTCATGAGTGTCTTTCCAATGTACAAAGTTAAGTCGGGCATCGTACTGAAATACATCAGAAACCATCATCTCTTTGACTTTAAGAGGAACAACCAGTGAGGAGGATGGAGGAACATAGAAAGCCGCATGTAATGGAAGAGCCATGGCAGTTGCAGTATTGATCGGGGCCGCATCAAACGACTTGGGAAGATGTTTCTTCTCAAGAACTGAATAGCCAGAGAGCGCAGCTGCTTGAAATCCGCTTGAGTCAAAGGCGTAACACGCAGGATGTACCATAGCTTGGACAGCAAAAGAGAGTTCAGCACTGTAGCCTTTCCAACGACCGACAAGGAGCGACCAGAATGAATCTGGATGGCAGTTTTGATCTTGGTTACCAAAGCACCCATAAAATGAACACGTTGTATCCTACTTTGGACGAGGGGAAATCCCAGATAGGTTAACGGTTCATCGTTCTCAACAGAATGAAGATGTGTGATGCCCATTTGAGATAATGGACCCTCCCACATATCCCACATATCCCACGTATCCCGACCAGATACTGAAAAGGCTTCCACCTTGGCATTATTAAACTTGGCGTTGGAGGCAGCACAGTAACGAGTCATATGGAGCTGTAACCGGGTCAAATCATTGGAGTCATGGATAAACACCAAAGCGTCATCAGCATAGCACAGGAGTTTTGTTCGTTCAGTACCCATCAAGTAGCCTTGAATTTGACGATCATGCAGGATTGCAAGCAGAAAAGGTTCAAATGCCAAGTTGTACAGTACAGGAGAGAGAGGATCCTCCCTGCTTTAAGCCACGAAGTTTCGCCACTTCAGTTGACAAATGACCATTGATGTTGATACGTATGAGGTTGTCACCCATCAACTTGGAGATACACTTGATCAGAGGGCGAGGAAACCCAAATTTCCTCAATACCTTCGTCAAATATTCCAAATTCACCCGATCGTATGCCTTTTCTTGGTCCAGAAGAAGACCAATGTCAGAATCCAAGGTGCTAAAGGTAGGATTATTTTCCTGTTGTTCAGCAATAGACCATTTACGTTGTGCATCTTCCATTAGCAGCTGGCAGATCATTCCATTTTCAGCAATGAATCGACCAGGAATGAAACCAAGCTGTTGTCGGCTGATCAAGTTGGAAGAGACTTCCATGATTCGACGGTTAACATTGCGAGTGAAGAGCTTGTAATCCGAATTAGCCAAAGACAGAGGGCGGTAGTTCTTCATGTCAGTTGGATCGCCTTTCTTGTAAAGCAGACACATGACGGATTCGTTCCAAGATGGCGGGGACTTACCCTTCTTTAAAGCTTCATTGTAGACTAATTGGATGAGATCATGGAACGGTGGAAATTTCATTACCAAGTACAGGATTTCATAAGGTAATCCATCAGGTCCAGGACTACTCAAACGACGCGTCTGTTTGCTATCGGTCAAGAGTTCCTCCACATCAATCGGCATCATCAATGATTCCTGCTGATCGCTGTTGAGCTTCAAATGACCTGGGATGTTGCGAATTATAACACTGAGGGCTGTTGAATCCAGAGCCTCCGGTGTGAAAAGTGAGGTGTAAAAGTTGGTAGCAATGTTGGAGATGCTAGGTTGATCTTGGCATAGATCGCCAGTCGTAAGGTTCCTGAGTTCCACAATTGAACGACGATTTTCTCGAGACACCATAGAGCGCTTCAGGAAGCCTGGAGATTTCTCACCATGTTCCCGCCAAAATTTTCCTGCCTTCAAGATCTCTATTTCTGCAAGAGAGTGCTGGAGAGATTGAATGTGTTGATTAACCATGTCCAAGCCTTGAAGAACCAAGCCTCTTGTCTTCTTATGCCGCATCATCTTGTTTCTCTTTGATAGCAGTCGGTGTAACTGTTGTTTCCGCCAGTTCAAGTCCTCCATTTGATATTGTTTGATAAACATCTTTACTTCGGCTTTGATCCAATCTCATTGTTGTTGTGGAGTGGAGAAACGCTTGATATCTGCCAGACGTGCCTCACTATCAATGAGGAATTCTGCCAATGCCTTCTTAAATGTTTTGTTGCAAGCCAAGAACGGATTTGCCCTCCAGTTACCAGGACCACGGCCATTCGCATCTTGAAATCGAAAAGAGAATCCCAAGAGTTCATGGTCGGTCCAGGCAGGAGAGAGATACTACTGGTTGGTGCTAATGACTAAATGATGAGCGTTTGAACTACAAAAGATGTAATCCAGAACCCCTGCATTGCTTCCACTATGCCAAGTGTTATGTTTATCATTCCCAAAAACGTCAATAAAGTAATCATCGAGTAGATCGGTCCATTCTACTGGTGCACCGGTGAGGGTGCCATCGACTCGACGATCCCTGTACTGGTAGTTGAAGTCTCCCATGATAAAGGTGTTGCTTGTTGTATTAGTAATAGTATCTTTGACAATTTGTGTGTCAATGAGTTCTGAATAGAATGCTGATCGGTCGGTGTGAGCGGACGCACGACCGTAAATATTAAGTATTGTTGCTATTGGTGGTAAATTGGGTGAAGTTTCCAAGTCTCGAGTAAGATGAAGGGAAGCCAAGATAAATCGACCCCTCCCCATCAATGCCTTCTGAGATGTGTTTGAGTGTGTAATGAGTGTTGAGGGAAATGATGCCGCAGTGTTGAGTCCAAAGACTCGACTTGCAAGTAAATTGAGTGTTGAGTATGTCTATAAATGTGTTGTCTGTTGCATGTGTTTCTTGAAGCACTAAGATGTCATATCCTAATGTTCAAAGATATCTAATAAATTGTTGTCTTTTTTTTTGGTGTTATCTGTTTTTTTTAGGCCCACGGCAATTGAGGGTGGCTATTTTCACTGTATTTTGCTGATTAATCATATTAATGTTGGGGAGATGAAGGAGGGCCTGTCAAGCCGAGTTGGTGTCCAGTCTCTACTTCATTAGATGCAGCTTGCTGTTTGGCAGAACTAACATCATCCGCGCCATTAAATTTACCAATCTTCTTCGCAGGGCGTTCAGGGCGCTCCTCTCGTTCATTGGCAGAATGGGTAGAAGAGTCGTACATGACAATATCATTGGAAGCTCCTTTCCCATCGACTTTTTTTAACTTGGAGTTCTAGAAGATCATCCATTTGAACATCTCTGTCAACTACCTGCTTTCTAGCACCTGTTTGACTATCAGCGTCACCTTGAGAGCTACCTTGCTGGGCAGCAGCAGTTCGATTATCGGAATCGCCTTGGGGTCCACCAGATGCACCATCTTGGCCTTTTCTTTGGGCACCACCTTTGTTTCCAACTGGAGCACTACCAGGCGTTACTTTGGAGCCACCTTGAGTACCCTTTTTACCCTCTTTGGCCACCTGAGAGCCCTTTCGGGGTTTGGCAGGAGTGTTTTCCACCGCACGGACCTTGTTTGGGCTGTCATTGCGACTGCAGTTCTTCACCACATGTCCAGTTTCATTGCAATGATGGCAGCGAACCCACTTCTTGTAGTCAGGACAATCAGCCCGACAGTGTTTAGAGCTCTGACAATTACGACAGAAAGCCGGCATTTGATCCCATTGGAGTAAAACTTTTCGTTGATCCGAAGCTGTCAAATCCCAGACAATGACACGGCTGAGTTTCTCCAAATGGCGATGACCAGGGCAAGATTTACCATCGGGATGTAACTCTTGACATTCATAACCAGAGCTGGAAGGAACCGTTAGATTAAGAGTAGCATAACCTTCTCCTTGATAGATCCCATCAGTTCTCGAGATGCCGTGATCCAAGACATCCCCGAACGCAGAAAGACGGGCAGCCATTTCCTCCTTCAACTGAAGGGCAGACAAGAAAGGGAGATTCTCCAGGGTCAGTTTCACAATCCTAGCATCAGCGTGGTACGAGGCAAACCCTTTCACAAAGGTGCCATCCTCTAGAGTGATACCTTCTTCAATGAGAGTCTTACGACCTTTGCTGTTGGGCAGCCACATGGTTTCCAAGAAGGCATGGTTGAGGTAGTGTCGAGGTTGTTTCCTGTATCCAAGGAATTCTTCATACATGTCTTCAGCATTGGAGGATTCGTTGAATTGAAGAAGAGCCTTGTTCAAGAGATTGCGATCCTTGATAGGTCTCAGATCGATGAAGACGGGATCCTGTTCCACGCCTTTGAGGAATGGACGGATGACCGCCTGAGGTGTTGGCAAAGTATCCCCATCGATGGCCTGTTGCGAGGCTTCTGCTTCAGTAACAGGTCGTTTGACGATGGTGGGAATGAAAGAGACGATGGATTGTTGTTGTCTGTTGTTGCCTTTGCGGCGTGAGTTAACCACATGAGTTCACAACAGTGGAGCCGCAGTGTCAGCTTGCGAGGAACGTTGGTGTACTTGACTAGTGTCTGACATGCGAAGAAATACGACCCATAAATAGATGAAAGAAGTCGAAAAAAAGATAAAATAGATTAAAGAAGTCGATAAAAGACGAAATGTGACCAATATTGAGCAGAATAAATAAGCAAAGTTGGAATGAGTTTTGGCAGCGGCGGCGGGCGACGGGCGGCGCTGATGCTGGCTGGAGCAATTGTCTCTCTAATCCTGACATTGACGATGACAATGCTGATTATGATGCTGATTAAATGGGGATCATGAATTTAAAAGAACAACCCATTAGCTTGAATCATTTTTCTTTGGTTTTATTGGGATCCTTTTCCCTATAAAGGTATTTTTGCAATGATAACCTCATAAAAAAGTTGCTGTAGATCTGATAAAAGAAGACTTGTTGAATGTAGTTTTCAAATAAATAATGTACAAATTGCAGCTCAAAATCTTTTTTTTTTTGCCTCCACAAGCTCCAGCAACATGATTTAACCTGACAAATGGTCTGCCATTGCAATGTTTCCAGTGGCACAAGCTTACTAACATAAAAGCAGTTGTTATCATGGAAAGATTGTTGAGTGTTGGGATTGATTCCCAGTATAGCAATAACCACCCTCATCAGATGAATTGAGAAATGAAAAAGTAAACTTTCTTAGTTTCCATCATCATATTCAACACAATGTAGTGCAAAAATGATGTTCCTTCTATACACTGTCATGTGAACAGCAAGAATGATCCCTACTCCTCCATGGCACGCATTAAATACTACAGCATCAAGATGTAATTGAATAATGTTTATTACAAAAGGTATATGAAGATGATGATGATAATAATAATAATAATAATAATGATAATAATAATAATAAGATGCCAATGAATATTCTATACATTTGTTGTTTGTTGTTGAAGATTATTTCGAGTGATTAAGCAGTGACATAATTACTTGGAAAGACACCAGACAATGGTTTGTTGGCACCGCCATCCTTGTAGCCCAACCACCAGATATTATCTGTAGTATCTGTCACAACAATAGTATCACCTGCTTCGAGATTCAATTCACCATATTCTTGCGCTTTGAAGGGGTATTTTGCATGGAACACTTTTGGATTTGTCTCACTAATCGCATCTGCATGACTTGATTTGGCTGCTGCTGCCAACATGGCGTCAAACGACAGCACGCCAGCTGCTGGTGCACTGATGGGTAGAGGATTGTTGACGATCGTAGTTGTTGGCGATATACCTAAATCACCTGCATCGTCATGCGTAAATGCAGACCTTGAGGTGGCATTGGAAGGTCCTGCTGCAACCGATCGACTGGTAGCAAAAGCAGCGGCAGCAGCACCAGCACCGGCACCAAGACCAGTTGCTGTAGCGGTAGGTCCAGTGGCAGAAATAGCAGATGCGCCTAATGTACCGGTATTGAACAAGCCAAATGTATCAACCAATCGATTACTGGGCGACCAAGGTGGCATAGCATTTGGCCCTTGTGTATTTTTGTGTTGTCTGTACAAGAACAGCAAACCAAGGCTGCTCATAGCGAATAGGATACCAGTAGATATAGCAATAGATATCAAAATGACAGCAGCTACGGACAGATATTCTATGCGGAAAGGTGTTTAGCATCACTTTTCATGAATATCACGCTAGAAACTTACTGCGCGCTTTCTTGATGCCATTGAAATCCGTCGCATGAATGATCTGATGAATGACACCAGGTCGTCCATTAATTTGCGTTGTCAGGAGGAAAGGGTGCCAAACAGATCCATCGTACAAGGCTGCGCTCGTGTTTCCAAACTGGTTGATGTTTAAATGACCTACAGCCAACAACATGTTTTGTGTGCCAGATGGAAATCGTTGTTCTGAAGTGGTGTTGGTGACAGGTACCAAAAGTAGTTGACTGATGTTGGTGCCTGGACCCAAATTTGCAGCCAATGAAGTAAATTGACCGTCATTCACAGCACCTACAAAGTAACCAGAAGAGGAGGTGCTTTGACCGGCAACCAAGATCTCGGATTCGAGCCCGTTGACAGCTGTTGTAGGTACGCCAGGTAACGGATCTGCAGTGGTCGTCGTAGTCCAAAAGGTATCCGTGTTGGAGAGCGTAGCAAAGTTGGTGGGGATGTTCTGTATCTGTAGATCGCCGATCGCTGTTAATTTCTGTCCATCTTGGCCTGGATAGGTGACAATGTCGTAAATGATGCCTGAGAGACCCAAAGCAAGGTTGTTCCATTGTCGAATATTGGGGTCCATGACGCATACAGCATCGCAATCGAATGATCCTACGCGAGTGAACTGACCTCCAATCACGATACGTTTACCATCAGGGTGTATTTTGATGGTATTGACAATCCCGGGGTTTCCAGTGGCATCTAGCAGGATGATGGCCTAATTAACAACACAAGAACAGCATGATTTACCCCAAGAGGCTTACCTAGAGGGCCACCTAGTGCCAGCATCTTGTTCTGGTCGCCCAAACTATACATGGCTAAACTGGCAGATCGATTCTGTGTAGACTGAAATTGGCCACCGACTAAAAGCCTGTTCTCAAAGGCAGCCAACGAGTTGACCTGTCCCTGAAACACATCAATCAGGGTCCATGCTTTATTATTGTACATGGAAACCGCTGTAGTGGTATTCTGTTGATTGTAGGCAGCAACAATAGCGACAGGCGTAAATGGTCTCGTTTGATTGTTCATCCATGTCACGCCTGCTGTGATGATGCTACTGGATTGATTCAACACAACAGACGATGCACTGCCGAGATGATTGGATGTAACAAGATCGGCACGGTAGGTCTGTGCTCCAAGTAAAGCGCCTGCAAAATAGCGTTGCTGTTGATGTGTTACGTCTGTCGCAATGCTGCCTACTAGAAGGGACTCGCGCTCGATCCATGATTTTGTGTTGATGTCCCAAGCAGCATTGCCGATGGACACTTTCGGGTCTGGTGCGAATCGATACGTGAATGCTCCTGATACTGTCAATGTGTCATTTGTGGGAGATAAAATAAGGTTTTCGACAGGACCATCCACTCCCTGTAGAAAGACGATGAGTTGGTGTGTTTTGCAAATTCAAACTATCCGCTATTTACATTGCCCATTGAACTCCAGGTCTGCTGTACAATATCAAACTGTGCTATATTTGCTGAGGTTGTTGTATTAAACTCGCCTCCTACAAATAGAGCTGATGCAAATGTTATTGTTTGGTTCCTGATTTGAAATGTTTGTTACACAGTTCTAAAATAGGCCCTTACTTGTCGCATGCAATAACAACTTTGACACTTTTCCGTTTAATCCTGACGTGGTTGTGTTTTGCAATGGCAACAGCTGGCCCAAAGCGTTGTTGTAAGACACAATGTTTTGATATCCATTCGTGGTGGTGTTGGTGCTTGATGTGAATTGTCCTCCAATGTAGAGTACATTGCCATCGGATGCATCGATGGAGTACACTGTACTTCCCAGAGGCAATTGTTCTATGAACGGGAGGAGCGATTACATCACGACATGTGCATAAAAACTCTCGAAAAACCACTACTTACGATTCAGTGGTTTCCATGCGATGGTGGTATTATCTGTCGCGTTATTCAAAGATGGGGTATATTCCAAAATGCTGACTAATGGAGGCGCTGTGACATTTCTCACAAATTCAATAGTATCTGCCATGATACTGACATTCTCTCCATCTGGCTTCGTTGCATTTGTGGCTGGTTTCAGTGTAATCGAGGGTCTGAATGTAGAGGACACAGGTGAAATGAATCCGCTGTACAACAAGGTACGACGGTCTGAAAAGGTGTTTTGATCGGATAGCACCGTACTGACGACGCCTGGCGATAGTTGCAATGTGTATTCAACCTGAGTTCTTTGGAAGCAGTTAGAGCTACCTACACATCCAGGTGTAGTTGCATAAATATCGTATTGACCCTGTGTAGGGATATTTCTAAAAAAAAATAAAAATAAAGGGAACAGATTAGGAGGTCTGTACATTTGCATATGCATTGTTTCTTTCAGCATGGCTATTCCAGGACGTACGGTTCATAAATCAGTGCTATGTTGGATGTGGCTAGCTCTGAATAAGGCAGATTGGCTTGCAATACAGTTTGGTAGTAGCCATAGACATAGACATCTTGCCAATTGCCAATCACTGTTGTTTGTGTCGATGATGCAGAAGGGTTACATTGAGAATGACTGTCTGTATTGAGATGAGGGTTTACAGATATATCTATTTGTACACATAAAAATAAGCATCATACATCATTACCATCTGTACTAGAGAGTTATACCTGACTGAAATATCTGAACAAAGCCCAATCCACCACCTTGGCCATACCAGCTGTTGATATTGATACGAACACCGCTGGACGTCATTGAGTCCAACACAGTGAAATCTTGATAGGTATCATTCGATAAAATACAGTCTGTCGAGCACTGTACTGTTTGCTGCGTGATGGGGTCCACATACGAGAGGTTGTAGTATTCGTTTAGCCCCAAAGCCAGTATATTGAATGACACAGTGCCTCTGTCTGTATGCGTATTAGCTAATCGAAACACAGTGGGTTGTACTGGATTGATAAAGTTTGCATCCCAATAACCAGGGACACCGTCTTGCAGGTACCATGGATTGCCTGTGGTGGATTCGGGTGATGGTTTCGATGGACACACAATGCTACTGGGATCATTAAAGGTACCAAATCGAGCTCCATTGCCTGACGATATAGACTAAAAAATAAATAAATAGAATCAGTATGAGATATAGGGAGTTGAGTGCATTTAGTATTAAAAAAAATAAACCAATTTACAGTAGGTGAACTCAATGGTATAAGTTGGCTTGTATTTGAATTAAAGAACTGCTCATCGCCGGTCGCATCAAATCGACCTCCAAACAAGAGAGAGTTGTATTGTTTGTTTTTTGTAATGATGTACACAGGTCCATTAAACCCTTTCCAAGGTACAGGTGTCCATTGGCTTGTTTTGATATCCCACTGAATCGCATGCGCAGTGAAATTTCCACCTACATAGACAATCTGATCCACATCATCGCAATACAGGCTATAAACAGATCCATTTATGCCTTGTCCCAGCGCTTGAAATTGATTTGATTGTGTATTGTATCTCACAATATGATTAAACGGTGTTTCATTAACAGTTTCAAAGTATCCACCAAAATATATGTCGTTTTCCAGTGCGCAATAGCTGGTGATCTTGCCATTGAATGCTGCCATGTTTTCAAAGAGGCCGTCTTTTTGTTGTATTAGGTGATGGGTATCAGGTGTTGGTAGTAAGAGTGCTTCGAATTGTAAGGTACTTTTCGCATTAGAGATGCCTGCATAGTTTCCAGCGAAACCCAGCTGTCCAATTCCATCTATATCCAGGCAGTGGATCTCACGTAGCGGTAACAGTAAAAGACTCAGAAAAGTGAGGATGCTGCTGCTGCTAAACCACATTCTATGTCGTCTTGAGGTAAATCTAGATTAATATGTACAAATAGTTTGAGAAAAGAGAGGAACAAGAAGAAAAAGGGAAACAACACTCTAAAACAAGTAAATGAAAAACAAATTTAAATGCGTAACATTAATCCCCTTTTTCAGATCTCCCTTGTGGGCCCCCTCCTAAATAGCATCTAATTCAGGACACAGCACCCCGTCCCAAGCCTACTCAAGATTAACAGTGGTTATCCCAATCTCTGTTGAATAACGCTAGCCGTGGCCTACATTGAATCAGCTAGCGCGTAAGGCACATTCAGAATTGCTGTGCTGTTCGATCCTTTTTTTGCATAAAGAATACGGCTACCATACAGAGGCGGACATCATCAGAACACCATAACACTTTCAAAGCCTAAAAAAGAAAAATAGTTGATCTTGCAAGTATTTTGGTAGACTTGCGTTATTAATGAAAAAAAAATACTTTAAAGAGGAATGGTATGGCTAAAGGCAGTTTTCCATTAGCTTCAAAAGCATCTATCATTGCCTCCATGATGGAGTTTGGCACCACTCGCCATGATTAATTCCAACTCAGACTTACAGTATGCTCAAGATTGGCCAAATTCTATTTTTTTTGGACTTGATTAAACTATTACTATAGATTCGACTATTAAAATCGGATAATCATCTCATGCTTCTCTAAGCTTTCTTGGAGTGCTTTTCAAGGCGCATCCAATGGTACCAAATAAGATGGATGCTCTGAATAAAGCTACAGAGCAATTTATAAAAATATGAAAAGAGGTTTCTGGCCAAAAAGTCGAAATTTTACATACCAAGGACCCACAAGAATGATTTCAGGGGCTGCGTTAGATTGAGAGAGTCATTTTGAATTAATATATGCCATAATGAAAGTCTTCGCTTTTAGCGTCAAAAATACGGTCGTTTGATTTTTGCTGAAAAGCATAAGGGGTACCTCATGGTTTGGAGTCGATTTTTGGTCATGTTTTTTTTTAGGTTTCAAAAAAGTCGAGCAATCATGACAGCCAGTAACTTCCAGATGAGAGTGTGATTCTGACCATCTAAAACAGCCTTTAACGCGAGAAAACACAGCTCAAATGCACTGTGTTAGGCGCACTCTTTGTTAGAAAGGGGACAATACCAGTATGCTGCTTGCCCGAATATGAATTTTGTACATGTATACGGGTGTGGAACATCACATAAGAGTCAGATCCTCAGATAGTATGGAGGTTTTTATCTGTAAGTGGCGTTCTCACCGAAGCAAAGGTAGAGAGTCATCTAAAGCATAACGGCACTCGTATACTTAAAAGTCCATGGCCCTGTCTTTGATCATCTATCCCGAGAAACGGGTATCAAACTGACCTGCTGTGTTGTATTTTTACCTCATTCATGCTGATGTTGTCTTGCAAGATTGAACACCCGAACTTCAATCCATCAGAGCAGGTTCCTTCCCCTGATGTTTGTGTCGTCAATTCGCTAAATTACCAAGTTTTACTACGACAAAAAAAGGGGGGGCTGTGAACCACATTGCCCAGACGATGCTATTCCAAAAGTTCTCATCGATACAACGAGAAATTATAGTTTCTTGAAGAAGCAACTGTGGCAATACCCTATGAAGGCGAGTCCAGAGTGCTAAACATGTCCAATATATCTAGTGAATACGTCACGTTACACTGTCTCTTTTCCCTATTTCTACATTTCCCCTACTTTTTTTTTTCTTCTGGATCTCTTTTTCTCTTTACACTTTTTATATTGAAAAAAAAAATATATCGCAATAAATGGCTCAGTATGTGTTGGCTCAATGGGATTACACAGCAGAAGGCAATTTCGAGCTTTCATTTAAAGAGGGAGACAAGATCAAATTGCTGGAGAAACACAACGACGATTGGTAACGATGAACGCATCTCGTTGGCATCCTTGGAGCGAGCGAAAGACAGCTAAATTGAATTTCTGTAGGTGGGAAGGTATTATCGAGGGTTTCATATAGGGTTTGACGCATGCATTAAAAGCCACTGTTGTACATGTTGCAGGCGAATTGAATGATGAAATAGGCTTCTTTCCTGCAAACAGAACCAGGATGTATTCAGAAGATCAACTCATGATTGGTACGTATATCCACACGAGCATACGACAAAGTGGTTGGCGCTAACGTTTGCTGTAGATCTAGTTAAAGTAACGTTGATATGTCAGGTCTCTGGATAGTGTGTATACTCATGATTCAAAGAATAGAAAGCATCGATATCATCTACGACTTCATCATCCACGACTGCAAGTCGTACAATAGCAGCATCAGGCAACTCCGACGAGTACAACACCAACAGCAACGGACCCACATCATCAGAACGACCCAATCTACTTGCCGTTGGATCCAATCACTCGATATCACACAGCAACCCATACCACCATCAAACATCTGCTAAAATAGGGAATGACAGAGAAACAGTATCTGCGCCTGCAATGCCTCGTGTTGCAAAGGAGAATCTATTGGTTGATATTTCCACCGAGAATGATGAGGATGTACCCGCTCCATGGAGTCATTCGCAAGGTAAAGTACCAGTGTTGAGATAGGTGCGTGAGGTGTATGGTGCTTACCTGCAAGTAGATGAAGCAGGTACTGCCTTCTTTTTCAAAGAACCCTCGGATACATCACAGCGAGACAAGTCAGACATTAGGGCAATGCAGGATCCATCATCTCATCAGATTGTACCATCCGCACCTCCCCTTCCTACTACGCCTCCTTCTTTGCTGAAAAAGCTCGAGGACATGGATGTGAATGAGCTGGCATACGATATCCAAAAGCTGGTAAGTCATCGTCTATCATCGCCATCCAATATGGGAGTGCAATCGACTATAACGAGACATGAGTATGTAGAATCTGGAGGCATTACACCCAAATTGGATCCGAATCCAAAGCAGCTTGCAGATCAAAGTGGCTTCATCCACCACAGGAGAAACAGAACTACCATGGAAAGATTATTATGGTGTAGTAACAAATGGATTTCTGCTTGTCTACAAGGAAGGATTACATAAACTGGGAAGGGTTTGTAATTCAACGGATGGGAGAAAAAAGGAGGAGACGTCTGATAGCAAAGCATTGATCCTATAGAGACCTTCCTCCATAAAACCGGTACCTGCTTATTTCACTGTCGATTTAAAGCCAAGTGAAATCATACCAGCCACGAAGACAGATACCCGCAAGAAGTACGCCTTCATCATCAGCCTAGCCAACCATAAAATCTTTGTCCACCTTCAAACGGAATCACTGTATGCGGAATGGCTGGATGCCATGATGCGAGAGATGATTCGCGTGACAGAGAATACAGAGCAGCAAGATGTAGATTTAGTGCAACTCTTGGCCTCGATACCCTTGCAACACAAGCTGGAATCCACCGCAGCAACGCTCAACGATGCGAATCCAGAGGATGCAAAATCAGGCAGTAAATCATTGACAAGATGGTTCTCAAGGTCGAGTCGAAATAGCGTTCATCGATCTCAAACACTTCCTGCTCCTAGTCATTCCGCCAGCACAGGTATTTTTTTTTATCATTCTATAAATGCTTCTTTATGCTCATGATTTTCATCTTGCAGCGGCATCAGCAGCATCAGCATCAGTAACAACAGCTGGTCATGATGTCTTTGGCGGCCCACTGAAACTGGAGCACGATGGTCAAATTCCTCAGGTTGTTCGTCTCTGTATTGAACAGGTAGATCAACGTGGGTTAGATGTGGTTGGCATCTATCGACTTTCTGGACAGACAACCAGCATACAAAAGTACAAAGCACTGTTTAATTCAAGTAAGATATAGCTGCGTGTGATAAGCCACTATACTGATGTACCCCCCCCCCATAGAACCCGATCAAGACATCCATCTAGATCAAGAGCATGACATCAATGTCATTACAGGACTATTGAAACTCTACTTTCGAGAACTCAAGAACCCGTTGTTGACATTCGAATACTATGATCGTTTCATTGAAGCAGCTCGACTCCAAGACTACGATGAACGCATGTTTCGAATAAAATCCATCATCCAAGTGTTGCCTGTGGTCAATTACAAGGTACTTTTCCATGTAGCACGCCATCTGGAGCGAGTCAAGAACCACAGCCACATCAACAAGATGGAGGCATCCAACTTGGCATTGATCTTTTCCATGGGCTTATTGAGACCGAAACATGACGATGTATCGGCTTCCATTATGCACAATGATTTATCCAGCATCATTGTAGAGACCATCATTACGCATGTGGATTGGTTTTTTGATACAGATACGACAACGTCGACAGATGATGATGCCAGTAGCGTGCTGATGCAGAATAACAGTAGTCTTGTGTGATCAAAATAAACAAATGTGTGTGTGTGTGTGTGTGTCAATAGAACGATGCTTTATTTAAACAGTGTGTAGTTTTGGTGGTGGCAAAACTACAACCGCACGATCAAGCATTTTCTTTCTGCTTCATCTTTACATGTGTTGACGTGCTTATCATTGATTGTTGCTATTGGCACCATAATAGGTGTACAATTTTACCGTGTGTAAAGTCAAGAGAGTAAATCCTAGGAGTACGGATACAACAAAAGAAAATAAGACGCTGCAAGTCTAGTGTGAATAATATGTGTTGTTGTCATAATAAACAAGCACAATTAGGGTCTTTTATAAATGATCGCCACTTTATATATTCATGTGATGGCCTATACAGATTGCTATTTAGGCTGTATTTATATCAAATCATGGGATTTCATCTTACAGACATGGCTTTATATTTCAGGAGATGTTTGCTCATCGCGTAATTTTACGTTGCTTTTGTGTGGTGTAAATCAACCTCGCTTTTTTTTTTTTTTGATCGCTTTTTAGATTGGCGAATTGGCTCTTGTATACTTTCTCCTTGCTCCTCGAGCTACATTGACGCTTAAATAAAACCCCTCATGCCTACATGGACATGGAAACAATTCAAATGACATTGGCATGGTCATACATCCATTTATAATTAGATTTATGATAAACCGGGATTCAAGAAAGATAGACATTTAGCATTGTTTGTGCTACCACGCACAAAAAAAGTATTTTTAAATCCATACAGATGAAACGATTTGACATTTCAGTGGCATCCCAAATAACCATGTTGACAATGAATTCATCAAAGCACTTGGTTGCATAGCAAAGAGAGGTGAAAATGCAGCAGCGCTTTAGAGCAGAGGAGAGACGACGATGACCACACACAGGGGATGATGGCGAGCACACCACACACACACACAAAAAAAAAAGACAAACCAGAAAGAAAATGAAAGAATGAGGAGAAAAAAGGGGTTATTTATATTTGTATAAATGTTGATTTCCCTCTTTCCATCTCTCTCTCTCTCTCTCTCTCTCTCTTACTCTTTTGCTTTCTCTCTCTTCTTGTTCTCTTACTCTTTTTGTAACATATTATAATAGTAGTCGTTGTGTATGCCGTTGTAGACTAATAATATCCATTATCATTTTGCCACTTGCTTCTCCTTCCTTCCCCCTTCTTTTTCTTTCCTTTTTTTTTTTTTTTTTTTTTTTTTTGTAAATCAACATCTTGTTGCAAATTCCTTAATCGTCTTATTATATGAAATCAATGCTGCTTCAACATCCACAGCAACAATATGATATCAATGATCATCATGTGCAACAGAATTGCTGCTGTTGTTGTTGTTATTGTTGTTGCTATCATCAACAAAGCAGCAGCAGTAGTGGTAGTAACAACGTCGTCTCTTCTTCTTCTCGTCCTCAAATACCGCCATGGTCTTCCTTCTCGCCTTCCTCTCCATGTGACGCAAAGCCAACATTGGATTCCATATGCTCTTGTTGCAGCTGTATATCCAACGATCAAGGCACACCTGCTCAAGCAGAAGATGAGCAAGAACCAGAAGATCGCCATTCAACTAGATGCACAACACCGACCATGGATGACCATCCGCTCAAAACGACGGATGATGCCGACAAATTACAGAGAAAGAAAATGCATGCCATTGAAGAGCTTCTGCAGACGGAGCGCGACTATGTCCAAGATCTAAGCTACCTCGTTCAAGTAAGCGCTGCTGATGTACTTGTCTTGAGACCCACTGTATATATTGACATTGCTAGCTTAGGTGTGCCTCGAAGTATTATCTCGTCAAACATGGATTGTACCAGATCATAAATCCATCATCATACGAAATTCGCATGCCATTCTATCCTTTCACAGACAGTTTATTATTTCCTACGATACATTGTCCGTGTACGACTACAATGGATCTCGCATTGCAAAGGCATTTCTTGATCAGGTACATCAAAGCCAATGATTTTCGGGATAGAACCACACACACAGAGAGAGAGACTCATTCAAAAGAATAGATTGGCCAATTTTCTCTTTACAAGCATTACTGTGATCTGCACGCAGAAGCATGGGCTCTAACGTCCGAATACCGAGATCGACCAGAATGGGCTTGTTTTCTCAAAGATTGCACTATACTCGATTCATATTCCATACCATTGAACTTGAACACACTGTCAGCAGCAGCATCCACCACACCAACCACACCAGTCGAACAACAGCAGCAGCAAGTGAAAAAACTCCATTTCGAAGATTACCTCATTAAAGTAAGCATCCCCTCACTCACTCACTCACTCACTCACTCTCCACTCCATTTCACACTCGCACATCACCAAAACTAACCCCCTTTGGTTGACTTTTAAATGATCTATAGCCGGTACAGAGAATATGTCGATACCAGTTATTGATCAAGGAAATTATTCGCTACACATCACCACAGACTGCAGAATACGATTTATGGAACAGTGTTTTGGCTGAAATGCAAGACATTGTAGGTGAAATTGACGATTTGAAATTTCAACGAGAAATGAAGGAACGTACCGATCGATTCATCGAGCGTTTAGACGGTGACTGGAGGATCAGTAAACGCCATGTCTCTCAACTAGGCAATCTACTACTTGCTGGTGCTATTGAAATCACGTATTCAGCACTAGGTCAAAGTGTGTCTAAACCTAGGTACTTGGGTTGCTTTATATTTCAGACCTACATCATCATGGTGAGACCCAAGAAAATAACCAGTTACGAGCCCAAGCATTGGTTTCCTTTGAGAATGGCTGATTTTGAAGATTTAGGTGACATTGAAGGTAAATGACTAGTGGAATATGGGGATTGACAAAGCACAGCATGTTCTCATGCATTGCATTAGGACAACGAGAACATGCATTTGTAGTCAAATGCAAAAAGCATACATTTGCATTCAGTGCAAGCTGTTCACAGGAAAAGCAGCTGTGGGTCAAGAAACTGCAAGAAGCTATTGTCACTGCAAAAATTGAGGCGTCGGACGAAAACCTCTCAGCGCAGGATTACATTGTCTCCTCGCTCCCTGGCATCACAAGCAAACGATCTCCTCAGAGTATACGGCTCTCGAGATCATTTACAAATATACTCGACATGACTCTTGCAGGTGCAAATGCTCACACTAGCAGCAGCAGCAGTAGTAATGATCAAACCATGTCCTTTTCAGAGCGAAAGACATTGAGAAGATCAGCATCTACCAGCATTCAATTTGAGGACATCATGAGAATGACACAACCCACCACAGCAGAGCCTCCTCCACCGACGCCTCCTCTTTTGCCGATCATCACCAACAACACCAGCAAGCTGAAAAAGAGGTATTCTGCAGACTATTCATATCGTCACCCATCGCCCAACAATGGGTTCGCGCTGAAACCGAGAAACAATTCAGAAATGTACATTAAACCGGATGCATTTGGTGGCAAACGAAGGCCCAGTTCGCTTGATTTGCTGTCTTCCACTAACAATACCAGCATGATTGGGAAAATGTCATTTCAGTTCAAGAACAACCATCAAAATGCGCTGCGTGTTACTGTAGATCACAAGTTGCGAGATGTTTGCACGCAAGAGTACCTGAGCTCCAGAGCATGGCACATGAGAGACAGAGAGCATAATGCTAGTTTCCAGTCTTCCATTGATCTCTTATCGCTATCCACCACAACAGACAGCAATCTCAATTCACCCGTCATTGGCAACAATAGCAGCAGTAACAATGACCTGCTGCTCAAAAAACGAAAATCCTCCTCCTTTATTCGATCCTCTGCTTCCAGCTTCTCTCTTATGATACCCAAACGCACAAGCGATTCCAGGCAGTCCAACAGCTCAAGGCTCCAACAGCAGCAGACACCCTCAGAAGATGTACAATCCAATCACTCAAGTTCGTGCGCTAGTTCCATGGACCACTGTATATCACCCATGACTCACAAGAGCAACAACAGCCGTAGACCATCGCAATCCAGTCAGCTACTTCGGCAGCTATCACAGAACCGAGGCTGTTTCTCTGAATCGCCGCATTCTTTTGAAAGCAGTGAATACAGTTTTGCAACGAGCCATCAGAAGCGACTGGAACGAAGTCCCAGCAGGAAATCCATTTTTGTAGGCAAAGTGCTGAGGAGAATTGCTAGTTTGCATTATAAGTCACCATCACCATCAGGTCTTGATCAGGAATCCATCGAGGTATGTCAAATGCGTTGTTGAGTGTAATAAGCTATAACCAAGCAATGGATCTTCTACAGGTCAAAAAGGCGGCGCCTGTGGATTCAAAGGCCAGCAAGCTCAAGTGGCCAAGGCACAAGCAACAACAACAGCAACAACACGAGGCATTAACCCAATTAAAAACAAGTGATCGACCTTGTAAAACTACTACCATAGCAAGTGACAATAATGAGGAGCAAAACGACGACAACGACAATGAGGAACAGGAGGAAAACAAGGGAGTTCAGCAAGGGGGAGGAGATATACAAACAACACTATCCGCATTTGCATATGCCTCTACCCCACCTCCACCAGTCTTAAAACGGCAATCCCAATTACTGCATTCAACCACAAGAGATGATACTAGCAATAGCAAGTGGAAGAGTAGATTGAGCCTCATACGACCCACAGCAGCCAGTTTTCTCAAACTTAACAACAACAACAACAACAACAACAACAACAACAACAGCAACAGCAACAGCAATACAACCATCATCCATGGAACATGATGGCTATACATCTTTGTAGCATATTTTCACTACCTTAATAAATAATTTACATGCTTATATATATATATATATATCCAAATCTACACAATAGCAATTGTCCCATCTCTTTAACATGATCTTTATATATACTACAGTTTGTCCAGAAAAAGTTATAAGGCTTTTGTCGGAATCTTTTTGAAAATTTGGCGCAACCATAAACGCAGCCATAAACGCAGCCATAAAGGGAAATGTGAGTTACCACAATAATTTTAGTGTGATCTTTTTAGGCACTACTCCCCTCAAGTTATACATTTACACTATCAGTTCAACGTTTTATCTTTCTATAATTTGTCATTTGTCTATCAAACTTCACTCTGTTATCTGTTTCAGTAGCATTAAGGTATGGAATGCATTTTATATTGACAATTTTATTATGCAGATATTAAGGTGGTATAGCAGGCGTCGAGCCTATATTGTTTCGGCTATTTGAAATGCTCTGACATTAAGCCATATCAACCCACATTTAAATATAAAGTAAAACAAATAAAGATGGAGTTACTTTGTTCGGGAGGTTTCCGCAGATGACGAGGTTGTAGGGATAATAGCTCTACTTCGCTTGTTTAAGCAATGATCGAGCCAATGTGCATTGTTGGGGCTGGCAGTTTGAGAAAGTCTAACACTTTGATATAAACTTCTAACCAATTGCTTCAGATGATATACTTGCACGAGTACCGGAAGAACCTGCTCGCCAAAACCTCCAACGTCAACTGGTATTTGTAGAGGTTTTCCTTCATTGACTCTTGTGATGTATCCATTTGGTCGATCGACTGAAATAACTTGCATATGTAGGCCTTTGATTCAGAAACACAGAGCATATATCAGTTATCATAAACAATACATAGAGCAATTTCTTATCTTACCAGAATGCACAATACCGAATGTACATAGATTACTACTATCTCCTTGCTTTTCTTGCAAAAGCATATCCAGCATGTCTTTTAAGACTCTTGGTAGCTTCGCATTTCTTTCGATTATCGTTTTGTTGCTGTTGAAGTCGTAATTTTTAGCCACCTCTGCCGCACCATACTCCAAACTATTGGTGCTTTTTGGGTGATTTTCTCTTATTAGGAAATCAAATCGTCTACCCATATTTTTTTCTAGTCGAGTTGTATACGACTTGTAAAATTCTTTTGGCGTTTTTTCTTGCAGCAGATGCCACCGATGCCCCCCTCGCCTCTAAAAACGCTTGACAATTAATACAAAAGATTAAATAGGAATGCATGAAGATGTGTTTACCTTATAATTTCGATTCCTTTTAGATTTCCAAAGCATCTGTCGATAATGCACCACAAGTGTATATCATACCAATTCTCGGAGTGATCATTTGCGAAGCTACCAAGTTCGTACTCTTGTAAAAGCATATTTATCAGCTTTCTTTCGTATGGCAAACATTACACGTAGTAGAGCAAATTCAAACGATCCAGCTGCGGCTAGATCACCCTCTACCACCCAAATGGATACTCCATGGCCAGTTGTCACCGCTGGCAAGGGCAAAAATCGTAGTAAAAAGCAACATCAGCTTATTTCTTTCAAGCCTACGTTTGTTCAGCCTCGAGCCTCCACCACGGAATCCACCCAAGCTTTGACTGACCAGCCTCCTCCAGCTCCTGTTGGGCTTGTTGTACCTTACATCAAGGGTGCTGAGAAAGGCTCTGTACTTATTGACATCACCCACGTCAAGAATTTCTACCTGTTGCGTGAAGCATTGGATGCCTTTAACAAGAATGCTGATACTAGCGGTAGGGACTACAACGAATTTCTAGGTCGTTGTGAAAAGAACCGCACCTATCTGAATCATGAGTACATGGAAACTCTCTGGGCTGCTAATACGGCATCGTACAATACGATTGTCAATGAAGGTATTATTCTCTCTGATAATACCTTCATAAAAGGATTTCCGTCTTACCCTGCTGACGCCTCCATCGTCCGTCTATCTTTGTCTAGACTGCCTTTCCTCCAACTTCCTTTATTGAAGACGACATTGAAAGAATGGCTAACTCGCTTTGGTGAAGTGCTAGATTTTGGGCTTAGCAAGAAGGATGGTTACTATGTCGGTGGTGGTTACGCCACTATTGCAATCCCTCCCAGCAAACCTTGCGCTGAAGAGTCCTGTCAATTGGACCATACTCACTTTGATCCCCTTCAACGGGCTGTTCCTTGGACCGAGGATGACGGGGACTAACGTAAGATTCTACTTACTTGGGATGCCATGCCAGATTTTTACCGAGTCTGTGGATCCTCCGACCATTGTCGTGCAGACTGCCCTGATCGTCTGAGCTGGTTGAAATGCTACAACTGCAATCAAAAAGGACATGAATGGAAGCACTGCCCTCGCAATAATGATGCCAAAGGTACCGAAGCTCCCAGCAAAGCTCGAGCTGTTCCTGAAGCTGCCAAGAAGACGAGTCGTGAAATTCCTCTAAAGGTTAACAACTCGACTACCTCTCCCATGATTGTGGGTAATCCTACACAATCTCCTGTCGTTGTTCAGGGAAATTCTGGCTCTCGTCCTGAAGACTTAGGCTCTCCAGCTCCTCCCGAGGATGCTGATATGGACGAAGCCAATCCTCCTCCTCACCAACAATTGTCAATTGACAACCACGTCGGACAAGCTGCACCGATTAATGAAGCTGGATCAACCTCCACCAAACAGTATAAGAATCGCTCACAATCACCGAAGCCACAGGATCACATGAAAATAGCTAAAACCAATGACTCTAGCGATGTCACTGCCCGTCGCAACCAACATAGTCAAGGTCAACCAACTAATACTGACAATATGCAGAGTATTAATATATCGGGAAGAAATGAAGGTGATCTTCACCATGCTGAATCTAATGACAGCAGTCAGCCTCATACTACCCAACAATAATTAATATTATGACACCCTCTACAATCAAAATTGCCACACTCAATTGCCGTGGCCTCAGAAAAATCAAGTATCCAAAAAAAAAAAAAAAAAAAAAAAAAAAACGACAACTATATATTCGACATCTACGCTCTTTGGGCTATGATGTTTTACTACTACGAGAAACTCATGCAATCAACCAACAAATAATACAGGACTTCAACTTCCTCTTTCAAACAACCTCAAGTCATTGGACTCAACACTGCGGCATTGTTAGTCTTAACAATAGATACAGCATAGATATTCTTCAGGATGGTATCGATGGTGGTTGCTTCATCCTAGCAAATATCAGACTTACTGCAACACCGGAGGATGACTTAACAACAGGTCCCATCGTAGTTACAGTTTTAAACATCTACGGACGAGCTGGAGCCCATCCCCAGCGCTCAGCATTTTTCTCTGAATTGCTCAGTATTCCCATCGTCTCAACCACTCTCAACAACGCCTATCGCTCTCCTACTTTAGTCATGGGCGATGTCAACTATTCCTTTGACACGCACCGACTAGCAGATGGATCCTTAGCAAGTGCTCCTACTTCATGGACTTCACTTCTCAATGACCATTACGTCGATTGCTTCAAGGATCAAAAACAACCCGCCTGGTCCGTCAACTCCAGCTCATCTACTATTGACTATATATTCTGTGACACAATTTCGCATCATAGAGTGAATGATGTTGAACAGGTCTTTATCAGCAGTACGTGGACAGATCATGACCTCCTAGGCATAACTTTCCAATATGATAATCCTAACCGCCGAGGTCCCGGTGTATGGAAAGCAAACCCTCTTTTTGCTCAGAGTAAGCAGTTTCGATCAGAATTAGCTCAACATTTACAATCTAGACAATCTGACCTTGCTTCTATTCAATCCTCCTCAACGCCTCAACAAACATGGGATTGGGTCAAAGGGGATGTCAAAACTTTTATCAAATCCTACCAACTCGCCGATAACAACTGGAGGGCAAAGGAATTGAAGAGACTACAAAAGAAACGAAATATGATGCTTAGACAGTCCAGAAACCGAGGCCTCTATTTTCAAGTTTTGGAGACAATCAACATTCAGATTGGAGCCTTGCAGGAATCAGTAGCCGAAGTACAAGCTTTGAAGGCGGGGAAGAATTGGCGTGAAAAAAGGGGAAAAGTGTGCTGGCTATCTTAAACGCACAGCTACTACCAAAGAGGCCCAGAGGAGTATTAATGCTCTGCTTGATCCTAACACCAACACTGTCCATACCGATCAACCCAATAAGCTCAGAATTGCCCAGGAATTTTACACATCTCTATTCACCCCAGATGTGGTAGAACCTACAGTTATTCAAGAATTGTTGTCGTCCGTCCCTGCCGAACTACGCCTAGATACTACTGACCAATCTCTGTTGACATCTACGGTTGCCTTTGAGGACATCCTGGAGGTTTTGAAGGAATCCCCTCGGAAATCAAGTCCTGGAGCAGATGGCTTACCATTTGAAATCTTGAATCTTGTGGTCCGCTTTCCACCACTCAGAGAAATACTCACCCAGGTTTTCAATGATGCGTTGGAACAAGCTCTCTTTCCGGATTCATGGAACGTTTCTGTTATGACCTTGCTGAAAAAGAAGGGCGATTCAAAGAACATGGGAAATTATCGTCCACTTAGTTTGGCCAACTGCGATTACAAATGTTTTACCAAAATTCTCAACCAACGCATGATGATTGTATCACCCAAATTGATCAACTCAAACCAAATTGGCTTCATCCCTGGCAAATACATAGCTGAAAATGGTCTTCGCTGTCAAGTACTGATGGAGGATGCTGAATTGAAATGGAAGCTCGCCAACCAGCAGGGTACAACTTCTACTATCCATCGAGACATTGGGCTGCTCCTTGACCAAGAAAAAGCTTATGACCGTGTTAATCTGTCTTACTTTCGGGCTGTCTTGAATCGCTTTGGATTTCCAGCGAGTATTGTTAATTGTCTCTACAATCTCATGGCACACAAACCAAATCAAGATCAACATCAATGGATACTTTACTGATCCAATAGCTAAGCTACGTGGATTCAAACAGGGTGACCCTATCTCTGCTTCCGTCGTTCCTCAACGATTGGCTGCCATAGCATCTCCCCAATGGTCGTTTTTCTGGTCTTTGTCCCTGACCATGATCCAAAGAAATGTCGTATATCGATTCATCAACAATTGCATTCCCCATCAGTCTCTATTGAATCTGAGGTCCCCCTCTGTTTACTTGCCCCCCCCCCCCTTGTGCTTTGTCTGTTTCTCAGTTGAAGATTCCACTGACCACTTCCTTTTTGAATGTCCACCCAAGGCAGCGGTCTGGCAGGGTATTATCTCTGAGTTCCTCTGGCCCACGGTAACCACTGATGATATCCGCCATTCCCTCCTCACTCTCGACTTTTACTATATTCGATATAGTCAGCGGCCTCGTGCTTCCTCCCATCATATAGTCATCATTGCGATGTCTAACATTTGGAAAGCTCACTATCGTCTAATCTTCGATCAAACTTCCTTCGCTCCCGCCGCTGTGTAATACTCAATATCAGACACTATTATATTATAAAGAGAATAAGTAGCTATTGACCTATTTTATAATGTTGTTAAGATTGTCATTACTTCTCAAGATATTAAAGATTTTTAAAGCAGAAAAAGAAAAAGAAACTGGATGCGCGTTTATGGTTGCGTCAAAAACCTTATAACTTTCTCCAGACAGACTGTACTTTTCCAAAGATAGAACTCAAGCCCTCTTATTCGGACGAATTCCAATCTGTATATATAAGCATGTAAATTATTTATTAAGGTAGTGAAAATATGCTACAAAGATGTATAGCCATCATGTTCCATGGATGATGGTTGTATTGCTGTTGTTGTTGTTGTTAAGTTTGAGAAAACTGACTGCTGTGGGTCGTATGAGGCTCAATCTACTCTTCCACTTGCTATTGCTAGTATCATCTCTTGTGGTTGAATGCAGTAATTGGGATTGCCGTTTTAAGACTGGTGGAGGTGGGGTAGAGGCATATGCAAATGCGGATAGTGTTGTTTGTATATCTCCTCCCCCTTGCTGAACTCCCTTGTTTTCCTCCTGTTCCTCATTGTCGTTGTCGTCGTTTTGCTCCTCATTATTGTCACTTGCTATGGTAACCGCACTTTGGCATTGGAACGATTGGTACAGTACAGCAGAGCAAAAACCAACTCACAAAAACTTTTGGTTCAGTAGACAAGATCAGCACTTGCTCTCTTCTCCTCCTTTTCTTTTCATTCATTCTTTCTTTCTTTCTTTCCCTCCCCCCCCCCTCCCCCTTAATACAACAATTAACCAAGAATGTTTCGCCATATCTCTAAATTTACAGCATCTACATTCAAATATACCACTTCTCTGTTCTTACAATGCAATCATGATTACTCTCCAACATCATCATCAGTAGAATTATGGCTACAGGACATCCATATAGGTTTAGTAAGTGGCTTTTGCTTTGCTTTGTCAACAGTACAATAATGGCTTATGTGTATAGGACGCTTTGCTTGACGACCGTATCATAGAAGCAGAGGACATCTTTCTCCAAAACAAGTCATCTCCAATTCATGCATTTGGTTATGCTTTGGTCTTGTACACAAAAGCCATGCTGTCGAATGAGCCATCCAAGGTGGAAGAAGCCGTGGAATATATCTCTAATCTAGAGACTCACATCAAACGCATACTACTTCATAGAAAGAAACGCAAAGGTCATGCCAAAATACCTACATCATGCTCTGTACCGCTGGACATTCAATTTGAAAATCACACATTATGCGATCAAGATGAATACCTTCATATGCAGTTTGAACTGATCTATGCGAATTGCATACTCATGTTGGCTACACTGCAGTTTTTGCGTGATAGTTGGATAGATCATGTCAAAGCAGCATATGATTTGCGAAAGGCTTACAAGATGTACGAACGCATATTTAAAGCACTGACGGGCATGAGCATCTTGGAATACCAAACAACGGCAATAACAACACCATTCACAAGGCATACCATGACACCAACGAGAAGAACTGTATCCTGTGATGACGGCAGATTTGCTCATCAGTCATCCACTACTGCTACTGCCTCTACATATCATCAAACAGTGGAGCATGGTGCTTATTTTGGCATTGGCTTATTCCACATCATATTTTCATTGCTGCCGTCCAAAGGTAACGTGCCACTCCATAGCATGGATAATACTCATCTCTCTCATTGTAGTGGGCAAGCTCCTCAACAACATTGGGTTCCATCCTTGCAGATCAACAGCCATCCATTTATTACGTGTAACCCACAGCGGCGCATCCATGTACTCTTCACTCAGCGCGCTTGTACTGTTGACATTCTACACCAACATCACCATGTACATACAGCCCAACATCAACCGTTTTTTTGTCTTTAAAGATGCAAACGCCGTACTGCAAAAGATGCAATCAAAATACCCCAATGGCAGGCTCTGGCAATTGATTCAGGGCAAATTTAAACGCATCGAGTGTAACTTGGCAGATGCAGTGGCATTATTTACAAAAGCCAAGGAACCGCAGCATGTACAGCAAGAGAATAACAGTAAGCAGCAATTAGACGCGCACAACTATTTTCGAAATGCCTCTATCAACGAGTTTACTCAGTTTCGATCGTTTGCCATCTATGAGACGGGATGGTATGCCATGTTTGCTTCTCATACAACGCCTACCTAACTTTATAACGCATAGGGCCCACATTTACGCTGGCAATTATACGCAAGCTTCTGAAGCCTTCTTTTGTCTAGAGAGCATTTGCAACTGGTCTCGCCTGTTTTATCACTACATTGCCACTTGCTGCATGATAGCTGAAGGCATGTACGAGAAAGCAGCTCTAGAATCTATCCAAATGATCAACATGTTTGAACAAAAAAGGAAACTAGGCCACCGCATCTCCAGCAACGAGCACTATGCAGAGTCCAAAGTCGCTTCTTGGATAGCCATGTCAACATCCCTCCCTTCTCAATCACTCGAGGAGACACTCCACACGGTAGCAAACCCGATTTGGGAACTCGTCTACCTGTGGCATGGTACATGTTATTGGACCCATGAGGTGATTTCAGACATCAAATCACACGCCACTCGTAGCAACAGCAGTGATCCCATGCTGTATTTGATTCTGGGTGTCTTGTACAGAGACATGGACAGGAACTTGGAACTGGCCATGGAACAGTTCAACCTGATCTTGATGATGAAAAAAGAAGCAGCTGGTTGGATTTACCCGTATGCCATGTATGAAATCGCTGCTACTCAATGCACGACTTTCAATAGTGGCACAATTCTTGTTATTGTGACAGATTGGGTGCAATGCATAGAAGCCTATTACCAACAGCATCCGCAAGACAAAGAATGGGAATGTCGTATGCAATTGAGGTGCCAACTTTTATTGGAATCCTGTTGTGTGTAGTATATAATAAACTGTATATCATTTGATAAACCAACTCCTTAAACTACAAAATGATTTAAGAGAGAGAAAACAAGAAAAAAATGCGACATATTTAGGTGGGTGTAAAAATACAAATAATAACTGTGTGTAGTGCTTATAAAAAGTAATCTGGCAACGCCTTCTTTTGAGGTGTACCACGGAAATCCTGCTGTAGACAAGGTGTTAATTGATGGCACCAGTCCACGCACAACTCTGCTTACCTGAGACGCTGCCTCAAACAGCTTGTACTCCTTTTCCAAATAATCATCCAACTTCAATATCGCAGCAATATTACCACATCGATAACAGTAGTTAGGTGCCGACCACACGGTAACAATGGTATTGTTAAACATTGGCTTATATCCCTCCATGACCAACTGATGTGCGCGAGCAATGAAATCCAAATTGTTCTTGTGCAAAAACTGCTCCACTACATCTGCGCCAAAGAGATACCCTGCACCTCGAGGACTGTAGCCCCAGCCATCGATTTCTTCTGGATCTGACCAAAGTAAATCACACATGGCACCGTCGTGAGGTACCTCTTGCTTTCTATCAATCGTTCGGATTTGGTCTAATGTATTGATACTGGGTGACAATCCACCATGCACGCAAAATACTTTATCGTCAATAATGGCACTGAGACTGAGGTAGTCAAAAATTTCGCAGCAATATCGCCAGACATTAGCAGATCCAAACTTGCGTGTGCATTCGTCGTAAAACCCGTACACTTGTGTGATTTGTCGACTCTCGTGGTTGCCTCGAATCAATGTAATCTTGTCAGGGTATCTCACTTTAAGAGCTAGTAGCAGCAGAAATGTCTCTACTGAATAGTAGCCACGATCAACAAAATCGCCTATGAATGTATCCCTGTTAATATAGAGAGAACCATGTGGAGAGCTTTTTTTTTTTTTTTTTTTTTTTTTTTTTTTTTTTTTTTTTTTTACCCATGAACAGATAATTTGTATCTGGGCATTCACCGCCCACTCTAAACAGCTCTTTTAAATCATGAAATTGGCCTAATCATCCACTTTGCTTTTTAGTAAACATATTTTCTCTCCAGGTCCTTCATCATCCGTATCATGTACCATGAATATCTCCACAAATCTAACAAACGAGAAGGCATTAATGACAACCATGGCATGTCGATGTTTGTGCTCTGTATTTACAGTGACGGGAGCATCTACTCTTTGAACATTGCTTTCTTCAATCAATATCTCTCTTGCTTTTGTACATAGTTCTTTCACTTCTTGTTCTGTAATGATTTCTCCTCGTCTCAATTGCTCAAGTTGTCTAGATGAAAAACCGCGTTATTTTTTTCAACATCTAGAGCGTGCGTCTTGTTTACAGGCATGTGAATACCTATCAAGGTCTGCCATGATGCTGTATTAATTAAATAAATAGAAAGAGAGAGAGAGAGAGAAAGAAAAAAGTTTTTTTAACGTGAGGTGGGGAGGGGAGGCGAAAGAAATAAAGAAGAAAGAAAAAAAAAAAAAAAAAAAAAGAAAGAAATACAATAGGCTGGTGGTACTTTATCTTTATATTCATGTTGAATCCCAATTTAAAATGTGTGGAGAGACAGAGAGACTAGAATTGTTTATTGCGCTTTCTACTATTAATACTACAGCAATCATTATTTTCGTTTTGACTATAAGCTTCAATGATGGATCTAAGTGATTGAATTTCTTTGGTTTGTTTAGCTACGAGGTTCATCAGTGTGTGAATGCGTTTAATGTATTGCAATTCAGTTGCTGTAGGTGGTGGTCGAGCATCCTCTAAGGGAGGAGTGTCTGGTTGCATATCTTGATAAGATGATGTGAGAAGCCTACTTGGCTGTGATTGTTGTTGTGCTTGTGGGTCTTTGTAATGTATAAATTGAAAGTTATTGCTATTTACTGTGGTGGAGGATGATGTAGTGGATGTGGAATTATTATTTACAATCTGGGGTATCTTGGTATCGCTGTGTGTGCCATCTAGGATGTATTGGATCTTTTGCTTGTCTTGCATGTCTGTATTATAATAGTAATTTGTTGTTGTAGCTTCTTGACAGTAAGACATGGTATGTGTATATATGTATAATTTGTATAGGTTGTTATATAGAAAAGAGTAAGAAAAGAAAAAAATCAACTCGAGATGAAAATGATCCAGCTATTTATACTATTTGAAATCCTTTGTTCAACATGTCATATCTACGTTTTACTAAAAAGTAAGGCTGAGAAAAAATAGAGTCAAACAAATCAATACTAAATTCAAGCCTCATGTCTTTCCATTTCATTTAAAAGCCCTGGGAGACATGGAGAGGTAAATGTAGTGTGTGTGTGTGTGTGTGTGTATGTGCGTGTATAAATAACTGTCCATACACTGTTCAGCCATCTATAGTCTCGGGTTTGAACCAGTTTATGTATACACATCTACTATATACACACAACGACTAAGATTCTACCATGTAGTAGAAAAAGTGTGCTATTTACTTTGCTAAGCCCTGAAGACATATTTGATTTCTCTTCCTTTTTTTTTTTTTTTCGAGACGCCACTATTTGTGTAACTGGTTGACTAAATATAGACCTTCTTCCCTGATTTTTATAACCGAGACGAAAATAACGACAACAATAACATAAAACTAAAAGTAGCCAATGCACAACAAAATTTAGGGTTTCTTTCCTTGGATGGTATATGGTAGTAATATTAATCACTGCATCATATCCCTGAGAAAATAAAAGACTCGAGTAATAGCTGTCATTTCATCTCAAGCCATGTGTTCATTCCGGTCAAATCATTCCGAACTCCATGGCATAGGTTAGCAAACAGACGAACAATGATCAAGTGTAGTCTCAGATGCCTCGAGATCATCGAGATGAAACAATACCCTTACAACATGCTAAATACATACATAAGCATTGACCATATATATATATATATATATATATATATATATAAGTATATCCACCTTTAAATTTCGCATCCCAATAAACTGATTTTGGCCAACGTTCGTTGCGGTAAAGATACAATTTTTGCTTTTGCAAGCCAAATCAGAAAAAAAAATTGGATTATTGTCGGCACTGATCAGTTGTATCGGCCAAATTGCTCGCCTCTCTTCTAGTTACTTCCATTGATCTATAGCTTTAATCTATCGCTTTCTGCTTCATATCTCCTTGTTTCAGCTGTAGTAGCTTCATGCGTCCGTGCAGTGCTGGACGAGGCCAACCACAAACTTATCAAATCGCAAAAAAGAGATATGTGTGCCATCAACGCATGTGTTAGAATGGATGCCGTATGTATTCTAATCAACGGCACTGTGATACCAGCTCACAACAAGAATATCCAACCTCCAGATGTGGAGAGCCTTGGTTTGATAGCAAAGGTAAGCCCACAGCAACCATTGAACAGCATTCATTAGCGGAGCGCCTTGCTTTGCTCGTGTCCCTCGAAGAATTTCGCGATGAAACTCAATGCAAAAATGGACGCTCAAAAACTAATTATTGACAACAACAACAACAACAACAAGGCACATACTACCATGACTTATTCAATGGAGATATATATATATATATCGAAACAGCTGTAAGTTATCACATCTTTCAGACATTCTCAATTTGGCCATGTTGGGCAGAGGATGTTGAGGGAAGTGCAAACTTTCCTGACTAGAATGTGTATTATTTGAAGCACAAGAAAAAGGTTTTGCTCACCTTCTTAAGCGTCATAGACAGATCAGCAACTATCAATCAGAAGAAGACCATGTCAAGCGAATGAAGGAGATGAAAGACAGCTCGGATAATAAGCAGAGTAATTTCTGATTGAATAGTCCATTTGTTATTAGAAGGTACATGTTGCATGTCGCGTTGGAAATACATGTCCTTCTTTGCATTTAATACATGTAGCTATAGGATTACGTCTTTGTTATTTAGCAACGTAAATCAAATCTGTTTACATGTTGATCAAATATAGTTAGTGACATTTATCCAAGTTGTCATAAAATCATATTACAAGTGCTCAAGCCCAACATTTTGTATATATTAGGACACTTGTGAAAGATGATACATTCATGTACGATGCTATCTTGACATGAATAAAGACATGGCATGTCGATATATTCCAGCCAAAAATGTGCTCTCTGAGCTGTTGAGCAATACAACACTTTGTTTGATTTACCCTACTGTGTGCACACATTCGATTACTCTTTTCTTAGTCATGCAACACTATCAAACAATCGCAAAATTTGATATAACAATGATTGAGGCGTCTATCGGAATGGGGCGTACACATGTATCGTTTCGATTTGCTCTGCTTTTTTTGGTTTACATCATTGTGCGGGCGCATATTACTCTTCTTTTTACATGGCAGCCCAGACACGGCTTCTATACTGTCATTACTAGAAAAAGAGTTCGTTTGTTGGCGTCAAACGCACTAAACCTCTTTACGTCAGTCATTGAGAAAAACCAGCCTCATTCCATTTACAACAGTCATCTAAGCTTTTCCGCTTGCTCGGTTGCTGTATAATGTTCCTTTATTGTATCACATCCAGTTGCACAAACAGAATGTTGTGTACTGTACACACACACACACACACAGTTTTGTGCGTGTGTAAATAATACACAAATCAAGAAATATTTTCGATGGATGAATTAAAATACATTACATTGCTGGACACTACGCACGACAACACTGGGCACTTTTTTTGATTAAAACGTTATGTTTTTGGATCAACACGCAAACTAGAAGGTAAATTCTTTTGTTTAATTCAATTTTTTGTGTCATTGCCGTCTTGCTACCAAAATGTCCGTCATTCTCTGTCGCTGCATCGATTCAGGTGAGATAGTTGGACAAGATATCAACAACTTGATTCATTGAGGGCCTCTATAGTAAAATATATAAGTGAGGTGGATGGACGCCTTGAATTTATAGCTGCCATACCATTGTAGGGTCTGAATCCCACATTTCCATGATCAAAACCAGCAGCTGGTGAGGGTATATTTGACTCAATTTACCAAGAGGAGGCCTGGTTCGATAATCTTTCACAGCTACATAAAGTGCATGCTCTGTCAAGTCTAGGTCGAAACGTATCATTTAATACACTTGAGCAAATAAGCATTCCATCTAAAAATATACCTTGAAAAGGATAGCCATATTCCCCCCAACTCAAGATCTCCCAGAATATGAGCCCACATGCGTAGATCTATCAGGACAGTCAACAAATAGCGCAGTATATCACTCTAGATAACCTACATCAACCTTAGAAGAAGATTAGTGCATACTCTTTAGAATACATTGAAGGAGTCCATACTTTTTCTGTATAACTTGGATTAGAGGACCAATACTCTGGAGCTAAGCCAATGAATGTATATGAGGATTTTGTGTATCATCTCAAGATGCTTGTATTTACCTTGCCTATGTAGAATGAAAGCAAGTTAGCAATGCTCAACACTAAAGCTGCCTGATCCATGTCACTGTACCAATTTGGTGTTCCACAATGCGTGTGCATTAATATATTTGCTTTCGGGCGTATTCTGGCTAATCCGAAATCATTGACTTTGGCTCTATCATCGCCTGAGATCTAAAGACATTTTAGCAGCGCTCATTATCAGTGTAAATGTGAAAAACAAACCAGAATATTCATAGATTTCAAATCCTGCAAACACAGTTAGTCGGTTGTCGTGTTTGGCTCGAATACATATAACTACATACTCTATGTATAATGGATGGCCTGAATAGATCTTATTAATATACACATCTACCAGTCTCCTCTATATAGATATACCTTCTTGTGTGTAGATAGGACACGCCTAGCGCAATATCATACATGTACATCACCTAAAGTATGTTTTGTTAATATCAAGTCAACTACAAGCACCCGCACTCTTGTGTACCAATTGCGAGAAATTGGGCTTTTTGTAGCATCGAATAACGTCAAACAAATCGCCCTTTGCACATAATTCAGTGATGATACATAAATGCTGAGGATGAGTACACACACCTATGAATCGAATCACATTTTCATGTCGTAGTTGCCTATGTGTTTTGAATCATGAGAGCTCATAATGGGCTTTTCGCTATAGATAGATTACTTTAGAACGTTGATTTCATGCTTGATTTCATCAAGATCCACTTGATTAAAGTGCGTCAAACGTAGTTCACCAATAGCCACAGGTTCCTGATACATAGTAAACTCGATGAGCTTGAATATCACACATGCCAACACGTGCCTCTACTTGCCCCTTTGTACATGCCTGTAAAAAGAGAGACTTTTTGAGTATACGTTGAGCAGACATAGATGCTTCAGATAGTTACCCGTATAGCAGTCTTTGAATCCTCCACTACCAAGCTTTTTTCCTACAACCAACGCATGATATGGAATGTCAAAATCAGGGTTTTTATCGTCCAGAAATAGCATGGACAAGTCTCTTGAATTCAACTCTAAGCGCTGCTGAGGTGGTAAAGTGGAGGATGAGTCTGGCAGTAGTTCCAGTGCTGTGTAGAGTCTCGGCGTAGAGGGTGCAGGGATCAATCGAATGTTTTCTTTCTGCTCACTTGAATCAGCGTTTGGTGACATTGTTATAAGAGCAGCATAGTTACCCAACTTATCAGATCCTCTATTAAATCTGCTTTGGCCCCTTCGGTTTTCAAACCTAAGGGCCTACATTGAGTAATGCAGAAATAGACAACGTGGTAAATTCAGTTCATACCTCTTTCCTGACAGTACTCTATAATATCAGCAAGCATCAATTTATCAAGCGAATCTCGGTCGATCATCTTTAATGCAAAAGTTCATTATCTCAGCTTCAAAGAGCTTCTTTTTAATATGCTAACCTCTAAAGATGAGTCCACATGTCGATTTAATGTCTCGAATATCATTCAACTAACACACAAAAAAAAACAGATAAAGTGGATAAAAGGATTGTTATTACTCCAGGAACGTTATTCTTTTAAATTGCTAGTAATCAGCTGATGCGGAAAGGGGTTCCCCTGGCCGAGATGCTTTGAGATGGTGACACGCCATGTGATTGCATGATTTACGATTTATTGGTTTCCATCAAGATACTAGTTGTCTACTCTTGCTTTTGCTCGACGAGAAGGTTGCTCTAAATTGATGTTTGATGCTTGCGACTTTGATTTGCTAAAGAACTGACATTACACAGCGTGGTGGTAATCTTCAGGCTTTAATGGAGTGCATATAAGCAAAAGACTCTACTTTATTGCTCTCTATTATGAACATTACGAGTATCACTGCGGGAGAGGCTATTAAAGTTGCAATGTATTTAGTATTTAGTACTTCGCATTTCGGTAAGGCAATGCGTAACGATAAAGTTTCACAAGAGTAAAAATTTGCAATAAAGACATGAATCAATAGCCAGGCTAGACTTTTGTACCTTAGAGATTGCACTCATATTCTTTGTTGCTTTAAAAACATCGAGTACCTTCATGCAAAAATGGCATGTATGATCTTGCCAGCAGCCAGCCGCCACCGATATTGGTTTAATCTCCGCTTGCCATTCTGTCGTGGTGATTTGTTCATTTATGAAATTTTTGGACATTGTTTGACCTATTTTGCAAGATTCGACTATATAAGTCGCAACGATCAGCCCATGCTTTCTAATGCATTCTTGGAGCACTTTTCAGGGTGCATCCAATGGTGCTATTTATAATAAGTATATTAAACAAAATTATCGAGCAATCTTGGCAAATGCAAAATGAGTTTTTTTTTTGCAAAAATGTCGAAATTTTGTATATCAAGACCTCACAAACGTGATTTCAGGGGCTGCCCTGAAATCAAAAGAATCATTTTGACTTGATATATGCTATAGCAAAAGTCTTCATTTTTGAGGTCAAAAACGCGATCGTTTGATTTTCGATGAAAACCATGAGGTATCCCTCATGGTTTATGGTCGAATTTTGGTAACCCCAAAAAAGTTGTGCAAACGTGTCAGTAAGCTCGTGCCAGACGAGAGCAATTGTTTGGTGTTATTCTGATGGGCTAAAAAGGCTCCCAACACGAGAAAATACTGCTCTAATACGTCCAGATGACGCTGTTTTTTTTTTGCATGCTTTCGAGTTGACAGAGGTAATGAAAGTAAGCTGACGGCCAGGACATAAGCTGCTTCTATTGATACAGACATAATGTGTCGTAAAAGAGCCATATCCAATGTCACAGATCGGTTTAGAGTATGCTCTGGGTCGTAAATTAGCTTGCAATACGGCTTGCAGCGCTGATGGTGATGCCGAAACCGCTGATTTAGGCACTACAAAAAGCAGCGGTAATGGAAACACTGGTAGTGCTGTTATTGACGACGCTGATGAGGAGGGCGTGTTGGTATTTGGATCCACCAATGCCGTTATCTTCAATAACGGCATGATGTTGAATAATGTCGAACAGTAAATAAATAAAGAAACAGAAAAAGCATCATGCTAAACACATCAAGCAAACCAAGACTGTTTGCTGACGTTCTAGCAATGATCTGATTGAGAAGCCATGCAGATGAAGCAACGGCATTGCTGCCACCATCATTCAAAGTTGCCTATTGCGCTGTCTCTAGATAGCTTTTGGATAATTGAGCATGTGATTTGATAGATAGGAACGACCTGTTATGTAACGGAGATGGTATGGCTCAAGCTATTAGTAGCATATGCAATACACTCAGCGAGTGCCATGAGCCCTGAGTTTATGGTATAAGAGAAATATTATATTTATTTAAGCTTGTAAGCAACTGCTGCAACCGCAATGGCAATAATAAATAGGGATGTTGTAGTATTAATTAAGGCATTAGACTTCACATCTTGACTGTTAAGCGCTCGAATAAAAGAGCAAAAAATGAGCATCAAATGAATACAATTGTAGTATGTATATCTTACCTCTTTGCAGCAGGCTCCTTGGCATGCAATGTCTTCCAACTGTTGCTAATGAAGAGGCTCTTACTTTTCAAGGAAGAGGTGAGCCAGCTTCCCACACTGAGACCGCCAAAGAGAGGAAGAACACCGGCACCTTGCTTGCTACCAAAGGTAATAAAGATACCGTCAGGGCCCTTCTTGTACTCTGCAGTGGGGGTTCCCTTCTTGACAGCAATTTGCACTAGATTCTCAACTACTACGGGGACATGAGAACGAATACGGAAAGCCAGCTTGGTTTCTTTGAAATCGGCAACATCACCCAGCACGAAAATATTGGACGCATCAGCATGATCTACTTGGAGGGATTTCTTGACCTTGATGTAGCCATTTGCGTTGACAATATCAGCACCAAAAGCAGAGTTCTTTAACCAGGCAGTTGCAGGACGATTACCGAAAGCTAGCAAGACGAGATCGACATTTTCAATGGACTGACCCTTCTTTGTTTTGACAATACCAGCTTCAGGGCGGTAGAAATGATCCTTGAGATCAGTGGGCAAATCAACGGCATCATTAAAGATGGTATCAATCTTGTTCTTTTGAGCCAAATCCAGCAAGCTTTTTCTGAATTTAGCATTGGGGCTACTAGCTTCATCCATAAAGTTGTCCTTGTCGTGTACAATTGTGATCTTTTTGTCGGCGTACACCTCACGGATCTCGCCAGCCAATTCGATACCAACGGGCCCACCACCTACAATGACAACTGATTTTGCAAGTTTGATATCGGCACGAAGAGATTTGAGATTAGCATGAGTGGCTTCATAGCTCAGAGCAGACGCCTTGGCAGGTGCAGGGTAAAGTGTGCCAGTAGCAAGGATCAAGTAGTCAAAAGCGATACGATCACCAAACTCCTCAAAGGATTGGTCCAAAACGATTTCGTTCTTCTCGAGTTGCACTGCGCTTGCTTGAACAACCTTGTTTTTCTTATTTTGGAACAAATCAGTGTAAGGTACCATGATGCGAGCGTCCCAGTCGCGCACAGCAGATCTGAGACCAGCGATGGCGTGATAGAAATGAGATTTCTACAAGAGATACATACAAAATTGAATCAGTCATACACGTATTAGCGTCCTGTTGATGATTCCGTACCGATTCAATCAAGATGATGCGATGTTCTCGGTCGTTTGATGCAGCCAATGACTTTTCAAGGGCATTAGCAACAGCTGTGCCGGCGAATCCGCCGCCAACGATAACAATGTTTTTAGTCATTTGTAGATTAGGACGATAGAGAGATCAGGAAATACTGAAAACGAGACAACCAGAAAGTAGGTACAGGTCTATTTATACCCTATTGTTTTGTGCAAATCACATTAATTTGTCAGCCAGGGCAATCCAATAGGAGATGATGGAAGCAAATGCTTCCGGTGGATCATTATTAATGTGTTTGTAATGAAAAGTGATTGTCCTCGAATAAAATCGACTTGTTCACATCTTCATTGCAGGAGCTACACCCCTCTGTTTCTTCTATCTGGTTGGCGCTCACTACGTTTTGTAGTGGTTTTAGATTTGTTGGTGACCGATGAGGGTGCTCTGGTTGCTCTTGGTGTTGCTTACAGTGCATTTTAGAAGTATCATTGGCGATGTGTCATAGACGAGGAGCCTAGGATAGTATCTGCTGCTATCAACATGGTTCGTCAAGACCATGGTACACTCTTTTCCGTTCTTTCTTTGGCAAGTGTTTCAAACTGGCACTTGGGCCTTGCTTGTAAATACTGTATAGACATCTAAACTTCAAAGTGAATAAAGATACACTTTAATACTAAAAAAAAAAAGGTTGTTCAGGTTGATTTCTGCCAATGCATGCTGTTTGGTCTGAGATTCGCACCATTTGAGCTGTCAATAGCCAGTTTGGGTTGCAAACGTTTGAAAAAGATGTGCCTTGTGCCTAATCCAATAGGACGAATTTGAATGTCTGGAGAAGTTGATACTCATGGCTTACATTCGTGATATCTTTGTTTGTCTGCTTCCATATCCAGCGCGGCAATACAGTTAAAGATTGCTCTAGAGCAGCCAGCAGAAATGCTTGTACATGCGTGAAAGACTGAAGGGTATGTCATTCTCTCTGATTTTGGGTTTTCTTTGGTAATCTTGTCACGCAGTTTTTTTTTTTTTTTTTTTTTTGTTATATTCTTCATTGATGGCTTGATTTTGACTCTACCCAACCTTGTTGACATAGGTAATTGACAAAGTGTCGAAGCGCCTTTTTCCTCTGCAGGTGGAGGGAACATGAATGTCATGAATCTGGGATAAGTGGCTACGTAATCTTGTCGAATCAGTCAACGGATAGTGGCAATGGCTGCAGCAGAACTGCCCTTCCAGAAACGTACAGCTGTCAGAGGTGTGATTCATGCCGTGTAAATAAAAGCTATTTATACAGCAAAAACATAACCAAACTTGACAGCTTTCAAGCCTTCATATCTTGACATGTAGGCCTTTTTGAGTCACCAGCATGACGCCAAACAACTGCACTTGAGTAGTAGTAACTTTCTGTCACATTCGCTCAACTTTTTTGGGACCAAAAAAAACATGACCAAAAAAATCGACCAAAAAGCATGAGGGGATACCTCATGGTTTTCATCGAAAATCAAACGATCGCGTTTTTCCACCATGAAAATGAAGACTTTTTACTATGGCATGCATTGAATTAAAATGTTTCTCTCGATTCAAAGCAACTTCTGAAACTACTTCAATGAGGTTTTCGTATGCAAAATGTCGACATTTTGGCCAAAAACTTTATTTCACATTTTCTGGGATGGCTCAATAAGTTTATTCAAAACATCTATTTTACTTGGCATGATCGGAAGCGCCTTGAAAAGTACTCTTGGAGTGTATTAGGAAGCATCGAATGATCATTACAGTTTATATAGTCGAAGATCACAAAATAGATCTGTCGAGTCGAAAAAAAAGACACAATCCGTCCAATCTTGAACAAAAATAAATTGCCTGAGTTTGAATCAATTTTAGCAGCGGGCAGCGCTGCTGTTGGCTGAACCACATGTCTTTCTAATGATTGCGATGCTGATCAAACACCACAACGCCTTCGTCTCTTGACTCCAATGAGACCAAACTATGGAGAAGAACATGCGATACATTTCTGGAAGACTTTCCTGAAATACATGCGGACAAATGATCATAAAGACAGAGATTTGATGTCTCATATATCCATGGCAACAAATCGACACGATAACATGAGGAGACAGTCTGCATGAAATACTATAAATTAAAATGCGGGGGGGGGGGGGGAGAAGGCACAAGGCAACCCTTTTTCTTTTTCGCAATACTGGTTTGCTCATCAGATACGATACACCAACATCCACGCTTGAACACTTTATGCGCTCCTCATGCGTTCCCATATAATACATCTGCGTGCAAGTACGATTTAAATGTGTATAATTTATTTTCTTAATATATAGTGTACAAATGAGTATACATGCTTAATCTACAATCTTGCAACAGCATGGCTCAAAAATCGATCCTGATCAAGTCAAGCAGAGGCACCCTTGTAGCCGAGCTCGTTCAAAGAGTTGGCCAAAGCGCTCTCCACCTTCTTGATGTGTTGACGTTCATCTTCCATGACAGAGATACCCATATGGCCAATTCTGAAATATTCAGTAGCACGGTCCTTGAGGATACCACCAGCGATTTGAACACCCTTACCAGCAAGACCACCAACAAGAGCACCAACTTGAACACCTTCAGGGAGCCAGATGGCGGTCATGCCGTTAGCAGAACAAGCTTCACATTGAGCCACTTGCTTGAGACCCCAGTTCTTGACAGTTTGTCTGAATTGAGAAGCGACTTGACGGTGCTTTTCAAAACGAACTTCAAGAGGTTGGCTGAGGACCTTGGTCAAAGAAGCGTGAAGAGCATAGATGAGTTGAACAGCGGGAGTGGCAAAGTAAGAAGGCTTGCGAGCTTCGTAGGCTTGCATGACGGGAAGCCACTTGTTCCAGTTGGAGTAGTATGAAGGCACAGGTGTCTTTCTCTCTTGGACGACCTGGAGAGCTCTTTGACTAGCAACAACAATGGAGAGACCAGGAGGAACACCAAGACCCTTTTGGGAGCCAGTAATGACGATATCCAAGTTCCAGGCGTCGAAACGGATCTCTTCAGAACCAACAGAGCAGACGCCATCAACAACAACCAAAGTGTTGGGAGAAACAGACTTGACAGTTTCAGCAACAGCCTTGATATCAGAGAGGACACCAGTGCTGTAGGCGCGTTTCTGTGAGTAGATTGTTTCATTGCAACATCAAGAGGGCATGTACTTACGAGGTATCAACGTGGGTAACAGTGACAAATTTGAATTGAGTCTTGGAACAAGCTTCCTTGATAGCTTCTTGGCTAGGACGAGAACCCACTTCAGCACCGAGTTGAGTGACCTTGGCACCATAGGTTTCAAGACTATACATGATGAAGGCGATCAGTCAACATTGGGGAGACGACCGCATCGCGACACTAACGATGCTGACATTATGTGCACTTACCATTGAGCGAAATGAGAACCAAAGTAACCAGTGTTGAGAAGAAGGACTTCATCACCTTGTTCAATCAAGTTGACCATCATGTCCCAACCAAGGGTACCTGAACCAGACACAATGAAAGGTTGAGCAGTTTCGGAAATGACAACCTTGCGGACCATTTCGATCACCTCACCAAAGACGGGGACAAAGTTGGGATCAACATGAGAAGTAGCGGGAGTTCCCATGGCGGCCAAAACATCCTCATGGAATTCAATGGGGCCAGGAATCATACAAATTTTACGGTCAACAGTCATTTTAGATAACAAGAAGTGTTGTGTGTGTGTGTAAAGAACAAGCGAAAACAAGGAGAAAGCTCAAGTATTTATGGGTAAATTTTTGATGGGGGTAACACAAAACACTTAATAGTTGCTTTTTAGTAAGGCAAAGGGAAAAAAAAAAAAAAAAGCAAGATAGACTGCTTTAAGACTTGACGTGTAGTGAATGAATGGCACTCAATGTTTGATGTACCAGGAACAAGTGGATACTATTTTGGCATATATAAATACGGCTTTTGAGTTCAATGGGCTATATTCGCTTTATATTACAAATCAACTTTTTCGAAAATGAACATGTGGACAGGCACAACATGTCGCAGCACTAGCAGATGATGGATGTCAATATTTGCATGGATGATCCAATCTCTATGTGCATCAGCTCGGCCATACAGCAGTAGAGATCTGATATGACAAGGAGGACATATACGTGCACTGGACAGCAGCCGCAAACGTTGACTCTGAAGCGAACCGTCGTCATCTCATTTGATTCAACAGGTAGCAGCATTTGGCCATATAAAGACAGCAGATGCGCCCTTATATTTCAACTTTTTGAGCAATTCCATTCATCGTGAGAAGTTTAAATGTTTTTGACATGGAAAAGTTCCACAAATATGAATGTTTCTATTATTTATATATTTACAATTTTAGAGTTGAATGACATCTGAACTATCCAAAGGTAGAGGCACACCGTCAGGGTGCTCTTTTTCATACTGAAGACAGGCAGCTTTCAAGTTGCCAATGAAGGCTGGAACGCCAGTCTTTGCAGCCCAGTTGATGACAGATTTCGGAATGTTTCCCTATGTGTGCAAGATGAGCTTGATGTACACTCTCCATGCCATGTTACAAATCCAGCTTACCTTGGGATCATCAAAATAATCCATAAACACTAAACATCCTTTTCCATCGTCTCCAGCAGTGATGCAGATGTTTTGCATGTAGGTATCGATGCGAATGACACCTTTACGCTCAGGAAAGCTGGTAGAGGGTAACGATTCACCGAGAATCACCTGATATTCCTTGTTACTCCCATCCGACTCCTTGACCACCTTTCTTTCAATGGTGTAAGCGTAATCTCGGTTGGAAAGAGGCCATGGATACTTCATTTCAAAATGGTTGCCATTGTTTTTTTCGCCCGAGGATGTATCTTCCACCTTGAAATATTGATGTGATTGCATGTTCTTGTCCCACTTTTTTCTAAATTCTAAATCCAAGTAAACATGAGCTAATGTGTCTGATTTGACATCACTCCAACCACCAAAGGAGCGATACTCGTATAGATTTGGGTTTCGATCATGAGCAGGTCGGCGATAAACTGTAAAGTCTGGATTCTTGACATAAAACTCCCACTCTCCATCGAGCTTAGTCTGGTCTTTGCATTGCTTGACAAAGTCGCGAAATGTGTCTTCAGGGAAAAAGGGCATTCAAAATGTTATCAGAGTAGAGGAGGGGGGGGGGGGAAAGAAAGGAAAAATAGTTAAACAGACAGAAACATCTCAGCCCTCTCTCTCTCTCTCTCTATATTTATATATAATTTCCTTGATATGATTCAAAATACATTCATTTTTCCATCTACTCTTAATCTCTTCATAACTGGGTGGAGTTCGTGACCGCAGCTGAGAGTGTCTCTGATTCCAAAGCGATTGCCCATCCAAAAGAAAAGTGTCGCTAATGGAGAATGCTAAATATAGCCATGATGGTTGGTTGGCTCTAATGATGATGCGAATGACTCTACTTGTGCGTAACTCTCTCTTTTTCTTCTTTTTTATTCGAGATTCTATTTTTACTAAAAAGCGATAAGGATAATCAGGACATCATATTACCCTATGCCCTTGCGTGCGTGCCAATTCAAATGTAATGCAGACTATTACGAGGCTATGAGCGAGTCCAATTCAATACCAGCCTTTAATTGTACAAGTTACCATTTATATACATATTTTCTATTGTACTCAAACCTGTCTTTTTTTGGGGGGGAAGAGTTCTAGCAAAAGATGTGCTGGATCACTTTACACTTTCTCCTTTTTAGCATACACAGCCCCCCCCAAATCATTATATCACTCTGGTGTAAATATGTAATATGGTGCACAACATTTGGCAAGACTGCCTTTCATGCTGATTTGGTGCTTGTATTTGTTTGTTTATCTAGACGAGCTTGAGGTTATGACACTTTAGTACTGTCATCATCATCATGATAGATTGATAGCTTTTCAAAGGGTATAAAAAGAGGCCGGTGATCGTTTCGTTTCAATCCATTCTTCTTCTACATCTCTTAACACTTTAATCATACGCAATGGATAACAACCAACAACAAGCTAGCATTAGTAACTTTGTCACTAATCCCTATGTCAGATCCTCTTGGATTGCCTTCTTTACTCTCTGGGTTCTCTGGGGCCTCGCTTACTTTCTGCGCCATGCCTTTGGCTATGACCATGTAAATCATACTGCTACCACGAAAACAGGTACTACCGCTGTTCCGGGGGCACATCAGGACCCAGAGACAGCTGTTGGCAGTGGAGTTGATGGTGAAGCTGCTGGTACCAAAAAGCCTAGATTGCAGGGATTCCATACTTCCATGACCGATCGTTTGAGAAGAGCTCATGAAATCTTGCTTGAAAATACCTTGTTGCTTCTGTCTGTCTTGACATTGAACACATTTGGCTCAGGTTCTACTCGTGCTGTCATGATCTTGGCCTGGATCTTCTTTGCTTTTACTGTCATCCATGCCTTTACTGAAATCGGAATCAACCATCACTTCATTCGAATGATCTTTAACATTATCTTTTACGGTGTCACTCTTGCTATTGGTGGTCTTGCATTCCACGAGGGATGGCACGTCGTTGGCTCTGTATTCTAAACCCTCTTTTATTTGTAATTAGTCCTTTTTGCCCAAGCAGTTAGTAATATATAATACCTTGAACCGTTTAATCCTCCTCCTCCTCCTCCTCCTCTTAATCGCATTAATTTCTTATATTTTTTTTTTACAAATAAAGACCAGAGCAAGCTTTTACTGAACCATATAAACCGATTACAAATTAAAAAAAAAAAAAAAAAAAATGACAGCTGACTTTTCCTTGAATTGTTGTTGTCAGAAATGTTCATATAAGAAATCCCTTTGAGCTACCATCAACACGACATGCATGTAAACAAACATGGCATGGAAAAAGTAGTTTTTCCTTTTGATAACAAGACTAAACGACGCAATGCAAAGAGCTGTGTGGTGAGAGTATATCTCGTGCTATAAACACACATGATCATTTTCTCAAGTACATGTCATGTTTCTTTTTTTTTTACAGCATTTCACCGCAATGCAATGAGCCTATATCATATGAAAAACAAAAAAGAGGGGGGCTTTATTGTTGTATACTGTTTAAACAGTTTCACTTCTATCCCTATTGCCAGCAGCAGTGCTACTATGACAATGACTACTTGTACTTGATCCGCTTGTTTGGTTGCTTGTGCTGCCGTTCTTTCGACTTAACCGAGCCCCAAGTTGCGCAAAACCTTGTTTCAATCCGTTTGACTTTCGTGTAATAGCTTGTTGTTGTCTAGACAAGATCCTGTCGGCTTCCTCAGATTGTCTTCCCGTCAGTGTAGCAAATGGCAAAGATTCATGCTGCTCTTGGTGAAGCTGTGGTGGGGATATGATGTGTTGTTGTTGTTGTTGTTGTTGTTGTTGTTGTTGTTGTTGTTGTTGTTGTTGTTGTTGTTGTTGATGCTGATGATGATTCTGCATTGCACTGATTCGCAGTAAACTGGTGGAGGATGACCTTGGGCGTAATGCAATGTTGGTCGTGGTGGACAAGGATGACAAAGATGGGGATGGTTGTAGCAATGAGGAGGGTGATGAAGATGGTTGCGGTGGATATATGGTGGGAGACGCACTCGCTGCTGCAGAAATAAAAGAGGATGACGATGCCAATGCTTCATTTTCTGCGGTCGTGGGTACACAAAGTATATCCTCACTACTGCTGTAAAGAGGGTGATGTCGTGAATGATGATTAAAGTAGTCTTGTTGTGGCAGCAAGTTTTCTTCTGAGACGGGCGATGATGGCGTAGACAGACCGGCTGTTTCAATCGCTACTGGTGGCAATTGCATTGTAGTAGTAGTAGTAGTAGTAGTAGTAGTAGTAGTAGTAGTAGTAGTAGTAGGTGAATGCGTCGTGTGTGCAAGTGGTTGCTGCTGTTGCTGCTTGTAATACGGTGTCGAGAACATGGCAGAAATACGGTCATTTTCATCCGTCCAATGAGCACAACACAGCTTGTAATCCAATGTGATCACTTGTCTAGCGGTTCTTTCAATGAACCGACTGCGAGTAACACAAGATTCAAAATAGGGCCCAAAACAAAACGAGCATGTTTGCTCTTGCTTGAAATAATCAGCAATATGATGATGTGATAATGACACGGGCAATGGAATTTTGGATTTCACCATGTGTCTAGCACACAGCTCGAACAAACTGGGTGGATCGTGTGACAATGTGTGTATCATCTCTTGCTCAAACGCACATGCCTCAGCTGTCAATTTTCGAAGCGATTTCAGTGCAGCTATCTCGGCGGGAATGGTTTTCAGTGGGTTGTGCGATATGTTCAAGGTGATCATGCCGTTTAAATTGGCCAGTGCTCGGGGTAGATGTGCTAGTTGGTTGTGGTTGAGAATGACAATGATGAGACTGGGTAAGCTACCAATGCCTATGGGTAACGATGTCAGTTTGTTATGGCTGAAATTGATGGCCTTGAGTTTGCTCAGTGATGTAATGGCGTCTGGTATGGTTTCCAGTTGGTTTTTGGATGCATTGAATATACGAAGATTCTTTAACCGGCCAATGGCTCTTGGTAAGCTGATCATTTGATTGTCTGATCTGTAGACATGGGGTTAATGCAAACTCTCTTTCCACATACACACACACTTGTATGCTTACAAGTCTAATTTGGTAAGGTTATCCAAATAGCCAATGCTCGAGCTCAATTTGATCAATGATTTCCCAGACAAGTCCACTGCCAGCAGAGGTGAAGAGACCAATCTTTTGCTCGGTGTTACTTCTCCAAACGTGAGTCTGGACCAGCCTTCTTCGTCTCGCAACGTGTATGTATCGTCTTCATCTTGATCTGTGTCGTTCTCGTCTACAGCGATGGTATCATGGTCTACACTGGCATTGGAGGCAGACGAGGTAGCAGCAGTGGCAGCTGAGTTGTGCATCACAGCTGGTGTCGATGCGTTCAACTCATGGTCCTCTTCATCGTCTTCCTCGTAATGCACAATGTTGGGATAGTAAGTTTCATCAATGTAGTGTAAATCATCGGCAAGATCTCTTCGCACCAGTGATAGTCGCTTGTTTTGTCTACAATGTGTGCACGGTGAATTGGTTTGCTCAGCAACAATCATGGGGTAAGGGGCCTTGTTGGATGAGCAATGCTGGCATGTCGATTCCAGTTGATAGAGATGAGGGTTATCAAGCACAAAGTCAGGCGACGACGGGCCGCAAGTGCGTTGATCTCGGTTAAAGTAGGCGTTTTCTTCCTCCTCTTCCTCAAGCGGATGATTGTTGCTAATGTAACCAAATGTCAACGGTGCATGTGCTTTACTTGATTGCTGCTGACCCATTTTTTTTTTAGCCTTGAGAAATAAATAAATAAAAAAAAGAAGAGAGAAAGGAAAGAGAGACAGCAACCATGTTTCCAAGAATATCTTATATCAATATATGTGTGTGGAGAAAAAAAGCAAGAGAGCAAGAACTAAAAAATTATCAGGTCTGGTGTAACTGGTCCAGTAACACAATAAAGTCTTCAAATGCTGCAACTCGTTCCTGTAGTTGTTGATGATGGACAATGTGTCGGTTTAATATTAAAAAAAAAAATATATATGTATATATACAGCAGAGAGAGGGGAATTTTTTTTTTTTTTTGTGGTTTACTAATTAGATGTAGGATTTGATTTCAGTGACGATACGTTGCAATTGTCGGTTTTGAGCTATACATTGTCTGTTAGTATCGTGTTGAATAGCATGCGGATGCCTCTACATTACCTAGTACAGGAAGTATCTGCTTTAAAATGTCATTTTTTGTTAATGTACCCTATACACACACATGTTAAACGCTTGATGCTTGCATCCTGTTCAATGTGAATTTACCATGATCGTAGGTTCCCATTGAGCAAATTCCGAGGTCCTGGATGAAAAAGAGTCATGTTAGTCATGTCTCTCGTATGACAACAGCCTTAAGAATACTTTACGCAAATGGAGGTCCCATCAACCATCTACACAGCTCCTGCACTTTATCCTGAGCATTTTCTTCTGATAACTTTCTGGCATAATACATCATCCAGTCTGAATATTCGTTTGGCGAGTCCAACAAGGCTGCTACTGCTAACTGGGTCTACATGCAACAAAAAAGATGAGATGACATGAATACACTGGAAATCAAGCCAAGTACCTCAATATGACTGATGGTAATCACCGCTGTAGTGCTCTCATCTGTATTCGCCATATCCAAGATCAGTTTGGTAGTTGGATCCACACCATTGCCATGCAATGTCATGCGCGAAGACAGCCAACCCAGCGGATTTTCAGCACTGCTCATGTTGGGTTGCAAACCGGATCCCCAGAATTCAGATAAGATGTACCAAGCATCGCTGATTCTCACCCACACCTTCATATCCAAATGATACACAAACGCTTGCTGCAAACTCGTGATCAGTATAGGAATGCCGTTCTTTTGAATGCGTACATCCTTGATGCGAGGTGCTTTATGCGTGCTCCCTTCTGTCAATTTGGCGACTTGTAAAATAGGTGCAATCGAGATGCCGTCCAACATGCTCTTCATGTTGACCACATCCCATGTATAAGCCAATCCCGTTGCGGTTAAACAAATGAGCCATTGCGCTGAACATTGCAATACCACGGCTGTGCTCTCTAGGATGATGGGTGGTAATAAGCGTCTCCCAGTAGCTGAATACATCACAAGCGAACCATCCTCACAGGCGATGACGGTATACAGGTGATTTCCAGTCATCAATGTGGCGGCACTGGGCAGGTAGTCTTTCCACAAAACCACGCCTTGTTTGTTGGCGATAATCTTGGTGCGTACATGCACAGAAGGGTCTTGTAAACTGGGTGCATTGTGGCATTCAACCACGACGGTTGGATCATTGGCGTTGAGTTTCGCTGACAAGATGGACTTTACTTTGGGAACACCCATTTTCACTTGACTCTTTTGAACCACGGGAGGTACAACGGCTGAATCAAGCCATTCTGGCCTGGTTCTTGCTGATTTATTGCCTCCTTCTACTTGGTCTTCGTTTGCATCCTCTTTTTTACGCTTGTTCCCGATGGCTGTAGTTGCTATGCCTGATGTGGGTATGACGGGATCATCGTATGCTGTGAGTTGTAGATGGGTGGGCCTGGATGCCATGGTGGCAGTAGCATGGTGGTTGGTGCTGCTGGCAGTGTGAGATGGCGCTGTACCTGTTGCTGAGGAGGTGGATGTCGAGGAAGTCAATGAGGAGGAAGAACCACTGCTCAACATCATGGGCTGGATGCGCTTCTTGCCGTTCTTGAGGATGGTTATTTTTTGATCAGTTGCTTTCAAAGTAGGAGCATTGGATGAAGATGTGATTTTGTTTGTGGTGGTGGTGGTGGTGCTGGTGGTGGTAGTAGTAGTGGTGGGTGCCTGAGGTTCTGCTTCCATCATTGTCACATCCACAACAGCGTGCTTTAATGTAGGTGATGACGATGTCTCTATGCTGGTATTTCCTGTCATCAATTCAGCCAGTCGTTTCGATGTAGATGCTTTTGACACGATGGCATAATCCTCCTCCAGTTCCAGCTGAGATGGCGTCTCTGGTAATTGTGTGTTTTTCCGACCGTACCCATACTTTGTCAGTTCCTTGTAAATCACATCATCCGGTGCTACATCGCTCAGCTCTGTGTCCAGCAATAAACAGGCCACTGTACCGTCTTGTGAACAAGCAAACAAGCTCTTTCCATCCGGTGACCAAGCGAGATCGTATACATTGTTGTCAAAGATATCAGCTGCTACGCATACGGGGCGATTGAACTGAGTGACCCAAATCGAGATGCTTCTGTCCTGACTTCCCAAGGCACAAATAGTGGCTAATGCCTTGTCGGATGTCTCATCTCGTTTGACGTAAAACATCTTGGGGTTGTATGCTGTTACTTCTATAGGCAACTGGTGTCCAACAAGTGATACATCTGCATTCCAATCATCTCGGTTGATAATAGCTGCAATACACTGAATCCCATTGACAGCGTTGGCTGCTGCTATGTTTGCTCCGTCTGGTGACCAACTCAATCGTCTGAATAATGTAGTGCCGGGTGCATTGATGAATGGACTGATGAGATCTGTCTCTAATCCCCAGTCTGAAGTTCGAAATACTTTGACCATCTTATCGTCAGACTACATGTAGGCGTGTCAATATTGCATTCGCTACCCATATCAACTCTTTTTTTTTTTTTTTTTTTTTTTTTTTTTTTTACCTGAGATGCAAGAAATTTGCCTGCGGGATCCCATGTGACACCTTTGACAAAATCGCTGTGTTGATCAATCTTGGTGATTTGTTCTACATCACAAGCATTTGTTACGCTAATTGCCTCACCAACGCTGCTCTTTGTTTTCTTACCAAATGTTGTGCCACTCCATACAATCACAAATCCATCCACACCACACGATGCCAAGTATTTGTTATCCGCTGACCAAGCTAAATCCTGTACATCCGAATCATGTCCTCGCAAGTATTTGACAGGTCGCCATGCCTCATGGTTGACATCGCTGCTACCAAATACAGAACCCGTCGTTGCATTTCTATGGCATGCAAGCCGTCATCAGCGCTCATAGATCCATGACGACATGTGTGTGTTTATATGATTTCTTACCTATCACGCTCCCAAATAATAATGACATTGTCATTATCAGAACTGGATGCTAGATAGCGACCGCCTTCATTTGACCAACGTACACACAATACAGCACCTAGTATCCAAAATATAGCCATGAGCCAATCTCTCTATTTATATGTGCACACACACAAACACATCCCAGCAAAGCAAGCCTACCATTATGCATCGTCATTGTACAAAGCAACTTGTGACAGTTGGGATCCTTTTGAGCATCCTCATTGAAAATTGGCTTTGTATTCCAAATTTTTACAGTACCATCTATTTTTTTTTTTTTTTTTTTCATCAATATAAGCGAGATGAACTCGGACCAGTCAATGATTCTTACCTAAACTTCCTGTGGCCAATCTCTCCCCATCCGGATGTACATCGATAGAATAAATGCATGGCTTCTTGTTTTTGGCATCCTGAGTACGATCTAAACAAGTGTAAAATAAGCTTCAGCTACAGTGAACATTTCAAATGTTTTGAATTGATATATGTATATACCTGCGTGGGATACCCAATCTGGCTTGATGATGATCATAGTTGTTGAATTACGCGCTCTCTTGAATTGTTATGGCTTGTCGCTCTCAAATGTGGATATCTAGAAATTTGTAGAAAATCTCAAAATGTAACGATTTTATAATGTGTATTGGTCTTGATGTGAAAAAAAAAAGGAGAGAAAGAGAGAAAGAGAGAGAGGGGTGTTTAGAGAAGTTACAAAGATGTTGGTAATGTACAAAGTCAACACAGCGATGAAAAAATCAATTAAAAACAACAATATACGTGACGGCTAGGATGGGGTAAGGTGCTCACCAAGTGGATCCTCTGATATCAGAAATAGGTAGCAGTAGACAGCTGGTGTGGTTGCATTTTCAGCAATTGGGATCAAATGAACTCAAAAACCCAACATCCACATTAACCTTTTTTTTTTGATTTGGTTGCCTTATTAAGAAATGCTGTATGGTTCCTGAATTTCAAGAAGCTTTTGATCGTTTGCCTTTGTTTCCCTGATGTTCATCTTGAGATGTTCCTTGTGGAGCATAACGAGGTGGAGTGTCTTGAACTAAAAGCTTTTTTTTTTTTTTTTTTTTTTTGCGGTGAAATGTTGGCTGTTGCCATGGACAATTTTTTTCGAGCATCTGATCGGGTACAGAATCCAATATCCGACATGTTGGTTGATTCGATGCTCTCATGTGGTAGCTGGATCCAATCTCATCGAGTCTGCCATAGTAGCTAGATACATGGCACGATGGATTCAAAGCATCAGTCGAAGAATCAAGCTTATTGTATAACCTTCTATGATTCAATTCCATTTCTGGTGTGCGCATTGCAACTCCAAATAGTCACACAAGCATTGTGTTCAAACACCGGGAAAGCCTACATGATAATGCCACATCGCCTCATCTCTCTCATGCTTCTCTTTATTTTCTCAATTAATTTATTATAACCATGGCTATCGTGGCCAAATTTCTGACTATTGCTTTGGCTCTCAACTTGGTCCAATCTTCGTTGCAATCGTATTTCATTCAGGATGACATATTGGCATTTCCTCGCTATAAAGTAGTGGTAACAAGAGAGAAAGTCTCCAATACAGATGTAAGCTTAAAGCACGTCGAGGTAGGATTTTGATAAATCTCGCATAACTGTTTTGAAATACTGATTCAGTCTACATCCAGGCATCATCAAATACCATCATGATGACATCTTCGTTAGGACAACCCTTTTCTTGCATCATTCCAGACGTTCAGGTAGAGCAAGAGCGTTTAGAACGAGAGAAGGAGGAAAGCACACAAGACGAAACCGAACAAGATGTCAACAAAATCATAGAAAAGGGTTTGGAATTGCTAGAACCCATTGGATCCAACTGTATTCGCTTTTTTACCAGCGTAAGTAGTGATAGCAGCATACATTGACCCCTCAATGTAAATTGACTCAATCTAAAAAGACACATCAGTATTGGGCATACGAGTATTGTCATAATCAATATGTGCGTCAATTTCACGTTGAGCGCTCTCATGACGGTAAAGTAGAAAAGGAGCAAGAAACAGCTTCCTTCTTTTTAGGTCTTTATCCTGGCCTATCTAAAGAGAGTTTGATCAATGCTGACAAGAAAGCGGTGGCTGCAACAACAAAGAAAGATCATGCAAGAGTAAAGACAGAATTGAAAAAGAATGGAGATCAGCGCTATTTGGTTCAAAAGTGGGGCGATGGTTCAAGATGTGATTTAACAGAGAAACCTCGTACCATCGAGGTTCAGGTAAGTGCGTCGTCATTGGAGACAGCCATTGCAAGCATTAACCCAACTCGTTTGCAGTACCATTGCGATCTTCAGGGCCAAGATCGTGTTTCTAGCTTTGTCGAATTATCCACATGCAACTATCAAATCATTATATCCACACCTCGTTTATGCGAAGATATGAATTTGTCGCATCGACACCACATTGAACCTCATAAAATCAAATGTCGACCTGTAGTATCTGATCAATTACTCGAGCAAGAGCAACAACAACAACAACAACAACAACAACAACAACAACAACAACAACAACAACAACAACAGGAAAGAGAAAGAGAAAGAGAGCGGGAAGGGGAGCAAATCAGTAACGATAAACATCAACCATTGGCAAAAGCAGAACATCAACCTCAACAAGCAGATGAACAGGAGGCCAGCGATCGCACTGACAAAGTATTACTAAACATGATATCCGACTTGACAGAGCAAATCAATCAGCTCAAGCTTCAAATGAACGCCATGCCTGCCGATGCCCCCCACATCCGACCTGATTTTTCCTTCTTTACATTAGATGATCAAGGCAACGTAATTCCAGGGGTCGACCTTGCCAAACTATTTGCTACAGCTAAACAGCAGCAACAACCGCAAAAGCAGCATAACACAGCCAATACCGAGAAGAAGCAGCCAGCAAAAGATCAACATGAAAACAAGCAAGCATACCAACAAAAGTACATTGCTGCTTGAATAAAAATAAAATTTCATCACCCTTGACTATTATGATGATTTGAATTGAATAGCCGCGCCATCATTCTAAATAATACCAAAACATCTCGTTGAAGGGGGTTGCTCTATACTTTTTTCCTCTTGTTCAATATTTATTATGGGTGCATCACAATCAAAAACAACACAAGCAGAACCTGTCATTTTTTACAACCCCAATGTGCCACTTCAGGTATAAATTGTTAGAAGTACACATACTGCCATGCTTTGTTTCATTGACACACACACACACATATATACACACACATACACACACACACACACGTACATGATACAGTTCTCTCAAAGTTTAGTTGGTACACTTGAAAAGAAGGCAGAACAATCAACAGAGCGAGTACAAGCACGTCAAGTAGAGAACCTTGTTCGCCAACGTGTCGCTGAGGAATTAGAAAAGATCAAGCAAAATGAATCAGAATTAAGCGAAAAGTTTTATATCCAGTTGACCGAGGAAAATGCTGAGAAGGATAATTTAGATGCTGTTGCTATCAACAACGACATTGAATCCATGGTTCAGCGCATCTCTAGGTAGGTGTACATTGCATGGGTAAAGCAGAGAGGATGTGTTATTCATACATAACGGGGACATGTAGATCAACTGCAAAGGAACTCCCCGCTCAAGTCAAGACATGTCAAGACGAAGTGATTGCATGCTACAAGTAAGAGAACACACATGATCCACCATGTTGTACTGACATGCAATGTGCTCTCTTTTCTCTTAGTAATAACAAATCTAGATCTCTTGATTGCTGGAAGGAAGTCGCCAAGTTCAAGGAAGCAGTTGCTGAAGAGCAAAAGAAGTTTGTTGCCGCTCATCAAAAATAAACATCGCTTTGGCTTTATTAGAAAGAGCATGGGGGATTTGTGTTGGATGAGTCTGTTTAAGCGCATTCGTGTCTGCTCTTGACTGTAGAGGCTGCCTCCATCGTAAGGTCAACAGAACAATAGTGCTTGATGTTGATGAGAGTGAGTGAGTTAAAGAGGGGGAGGGGGGGGGGAAGACGGCCTAAATGTACCTTGATTGTATGCAATGCAATGGGATGAATATCATTATTGGTGCTCTTTGTTTTATAATAAACTGTATATCATGATTTAATACAAAAAAAAATGTATGTCGATATCAAAGTGATATGCTGGAAAGTCTCTCTTCTTTTAATCAAGACAGTGCAACACGACTTATCAACAGGCGGGTCCTGTAACTAACCGACGGCAAGGCCTATACCTTAAAGTCATCGCGCGCGTCTTTTCTCTATTCGCTTTTGTTTCTCTTTTGATTTCTCTTTGAAATTCTCTTTGAAATTCAAATTGAATATTCGCTTTGAAAGTAGCATATTCCTATAGCGATTTTTTGCGGAGAAGACGATGGAGCAATTGGATTTTAGATAGGATGCGTTGCTGATGAGAAATGAGAGATTTTTTGAAATTTGCGAATTTTGGACAGAAGCTATTAGCAAAACGTTTGGAAGAGTATAGAAAGGTGGGTGATATGTCTAGTAAAAGTTACAGAGGGTACTTTTGTTGAGTAGAGGATGTTTGACTTGGGGTTATTGAGAAGAATGTGGATGAGTAATGGGGAAAAAGAGTCAAAATAATCAAATATCAAAGGGTCGTACCTCAGGATTTTACTAAGTGAACCCGAGCTTAAAGCTTAATAGTTTTTGTTTCTTTTTCAATTCTCTATACGATGGTATGGTTATTATAGGTAAATAAATAAAAAGTTGAATATCTCCTGCTTGTGGCCAAATGAAATATAAGATTTTGAGCGAATTTATGAAGGGAATGTACATCTGGTACTTCAAACCCTTACATTATGATGGATCTAATGTAGAGCTATTGAATTGTTTTTGTCTTGTGTGCATCCGGTGAGTGCTCGTCGAGATATGGCCAAAAAAAAAAGGGGGTATCATGCAAAATTATCGACTTTTCTTCAAAATCTGCCTGTGATAACAAGCGAAAAAATTGGGTGACCTTTTTTTGGTCAGGACAATATTGTCAATATTTCATGATAGAATCATGCTAGAGCTTCGAGCAATAGCTCATTTGATAGGAAATTTTTTGGTCTACAATGTTTAGTAATACTCAACAGAATGTTTTGATGACAGACACTGATTAATCTTTAGAAAACAGTGAAAAAATCGCAAAAACTCTCTTATCAAAAAATCAGGCTAATAACTTGGGCTAAACCACCTAACAGTAGCATCATTCGATTCTCCTCTAAAATTTACCCCAAGTTTGATTTAGCTGGAATGCAGTGTAATCACCACAATCGCATGGTCTTGAGGTTGAAAGATTTTGGACATCCATGGACCCTTATTTTGAGCAATATGCTGGGCTATGAATATTTTGAAATACCGTCTTTTCAGTGTGTGACTAAATTGGAATGCAAAATTTGCTACCTTGGTTGAATACAGCCTCTTAATTACAATTGACCGATCGATAAACAAGGTGTTGGCAAATCATGTAGTAAAAACTGCTAACCCAATCTTGCTTTGCTGTCATGTAAGCAAGCTGTCAAGTCTCCAGTGCTTACTCCATGTTATATGGAGACGAGTAACGGTTTTCAATCCCAGTTTTTAATTAGCTAGCATTCTTCCCTTTTTATATTATTAGCGTCTTCCCCCTTTTTAATCATTTTGCAAACCTTTTACTAATGAAACAAAACTACCTTTGTTGATGGAACTAAGGCAAGTATGATTGACAACTGCTCAATAAACGTAGGATACAACGTTATATTAACGCGTTTTGTACTGTAACTATACAGGAAATTGTTCTATTTTGGGACCCATTTCTAGTAGTAGTCTTTTCTGCGTATTTGGTGGCGCTCGCGTTGATGGTCTGTTGTTGCTTCTGTGGTGTTTCCCTGGTGCTTGCGTATCCTTTGGTCTGATGTCTTTGTTGTATTATGCTGGCTTTCTGGTCTATTATCTTGGGTTGTGGTGGTAAGTGGTAAGTATCTTTTTTTCATCTGGTCGCAATAATATAAAGCTTTTTTGGACGTTTGTATTATTATTACTTCCTTCTCGTGATAGTGCATTCATAATGTTTGCGTTGTTGCGTTTTCTTTTTCTTTTTTTTTTTTTCTTTTGTTGGCTGTGGCATGATCAGCTCAACGAATAACTACAATGTTGTTGCTTCTATATATGAACAACAAGCATCATGCACCACTATATTCTTGTATTACCGCTGTAATACGTTGTTATATGGCCGCGGGCTGTTGTTTGTGTTGCTTCATATGAAACAATATTAGTTGTTATGTTGTATTACACACTCATACTACTGCTGTTGCTCCTGCAATTGTGCATATTTGCGTTGCTTTACATCAGATTATTACCATACACGTTGCTCATGTATGTATTTCTGTTGCAACAACAATGAGCTGTTGTGAACATCTTTGATTTTCTATTTGTTATCCTTTTTTTTGACTCATTGCGTGTGAGTATCCTTCTTTTTTCTTTGCCTACATATACTACTATACTCCTACAGTAATTATTATGTTCGCTTCTTTTATTATTATGTTTCTTTGAAACATACCTTTTTTTACGTTGTGTGGATGTGCCTATCCCTGAAGCTCAACAAGACTCTATACGAGGCTAGGAGGTAGATAGGCCGCCTCCACTTGGTTATCGCTACTTACTTTAGCGATGATTGACAGTCTCAACGTCAGAATCTAAAGCTAGGTGGTGTAAGTAAGGCATGCTCTAGCAACTGGGGGAAGTTTGATGACAGCGCACACTGCTAGATTTGGTATATCTAGCGGCGCTTAAAATTTTGCCTCACATCAAAACAGGGGGAAACCCTCGCAAATTTTTTTTCAGGTCAGTGGAGTTTTCAAGCGATTTGATTGGCTCAGAGGCTGAGTTACCAAAGCATTTTAGCTAGTTGATCTTCTATTGATGTATCACTTAAAATTATTTTGTGTTTGTAATAAAAGGGTAGCAAAATATTTACCATTTAAAGCCTACTTCATTTAATAGTAAGATAATATAGTGCAACTATTCAATCTGGCATCCATTGCACAACAGTTCAATATGAGGAATTTCTTTTAAATTTATTATGCGGGAAAGTTGTATTGGTGCTACTTTAGCGCAGTATTGTTTATTATTGCATTGGTTGATTTATCAGAAATAAATTATTTATAAAAATGAGTATGAAATTAATTAGGTAAAGAATATCGTTTATTACATTGAAAATAAGAGGGTTTATATACTATTCGAATTGAGGTATTTGATGTGAGGATAAGGTATTAGATGGGTTGACTTGGGTGATATGATAATAGATCCAATCTATTATCCTGAACATGCCATGATATGGATCGTAACTGAATCCTGTTTCATGTCAAAATTTATGGTCTGATGTGATCGGTGCTTGAACTGCTTGTTTCTACGCATTTGGAGATCCGGTTTAGAAATGATACATCATTGATGTTATAACAATATTCTGGCCATCCCATTACCAAGCAGTAGTTAACTATTGAAAACTATAATAAAACGTTTTATGCTTCAAGGAGTACAACAACTTTTTTCCTGCTGTAAATGCATAGGGCTACATATTCATTTGATTCCACAATTTTCCTCCACAAAGATTGCCTATATGAGTCAAATGAATCAATTGAACAGTAAATATCTTCCAAGACGGTATTGATTTTGGGCTACTACCTGCGACAAAAACACTCCCTAACAAAAAAAAATTTTTTTGATTTCGATATTGGGTCGTCCAAAATTGAGGTTTGAGGTATTAATGCTAGAGCTTTGAAAGTAGCATGCTCGTATGAGGAAGTTTGCGATAAAAACGGCAGTGTAAAATTGGATTTTAGATTGGAAGGGTTATTATTGTTGAGAAATGGAAATAAGGCAATGTTGAACCATGATGTTCCTATGAGAAGCTGTTGATTACAAGCGGTTATGAGTAGTGTTTCGACGCTATTATCTGTACAAGTGGCAACTCAACCAAGCATTAATCAAGTGTTGCTGCTCTGTGTTTGCTCTACAAAACGAAACCTTTTAAGTATTTTCAATGCTTCCTTGCGTTTTTCTTTTAATAATAGCACCACGGAAACGTCCATGTGGTGCTCAACTCTAATAAACAAACTTGGGGCGCGAAATGGCTAAAAGTAAAGCACAACAAGAATTATATATGCTCCACTCTAGCAAAAGTTGGCCTTGAGCGTTCGTTTTTTTTAACGATTTGGCAGGGGATGGCCTATTGGATGTTGTAGATTCATGAGAACTGATGCTAAAGCTTCGAACAAGACCTCAAATGATAGGCAACTTCTGAATCTACCCAATAAACACAACCATAGGCAAGTTTTTACAGATATGCAGATGCTTTCCTGAAAAAATGAATCCCAACTCGTTTGAATACAATCTGTGGGAAAACTATCAAGGGTAGTGCCATTCGATGCACATTTTAATTCGGTACAAACTTGCTATGAACTAAGAAGAATGGTTACTATCGGAAAGAGTACGTTTGAGTGATTGGAAGTTCCAACTTTTGGACCATCCAAAATCGAGTTTCGAAATATTGATGCTACAGTTTTGAAAGTAGCAATGTTTCGCTATTAGCTGTAGCGTTCAGCAGGTACCACCTTACTGCTTGACATGCCAACGTTTTTTGAGTTCTCACATTATACATAGTCCATCTGTTGGCAGTTGCTCTTATTGCGCTATCTAGATCATAAGCAAAACGATGTCTCTCTAGCCAACTAGTTTACAACCTTCCTATTTGATCTCCATGCCAACAATAATGGTGGAAAAGGGAAGAGCTGCATCATCCTCAAGTTACCGTCCTTCTTCAGATGATCTGAATGCTTTGATGTGATCTTCTCTCAACGATATCGCTTACAAGAGCCCCTGATATGGTCAAGAGAGATAATGTATTAATAAAGCTTCCATCACTCAAAGCTCGTCGTTTCTCGCTCTGAGATGATACTACTTGCAACGGATCACTTTTTCCGTCGACTGAGCTATTATTCTAGAAGATCTGATCTTTAGAAGAAAAATGTAATTCCATTTAAATGCAAAACAGTAGACTCAAGAGATACTAAATGCATCAAAAGCTTCATCCTCAAGCCCTGCTGTCAACGTTGCACCATTAGCTGAATTGATTGGCAATCAGATATCCCTATGGCCACATTCTCAATTCCAAGGTATTCTTACAGAACATCTCAATGTCGAGTATGACTCAATGTGAATCACTAAAATCATTTTCAGCTACCGTTTTTGGCAGCATGGTGGTTTGATTTACTCCTGTTAGATTGGTAGAAAAGTCTAAATTGTCTTGTGCACACATGGAAATAACAACTCCCCCTGATTTGGTTCACGTTATTTGTTGGTTTATTTCAAAGAACTGACAGAATGTTTCTTGAATCAGAAAAAAAAAAAAAAAAAAAAAAAAAGCATGTTGTATAGTACAAGTGTTTTTTTTTTTTTTTTTAATCAGGACGAGAAGGAATGAAAAGTATATATATATAAAATATGCAAAAATTTGGCTATTGTTCAGGGTGAGAGATGTTACATGATAATGCAAGCTATGTAATAAATAGAAACAGAAAAGGGGGGGGGGGGGGAAAATAACTACAGATAATTGTTTGTCATGATTTCATCCAAAGGCGAATGTGCTGTACTTGGACTACTATTAAATAGCTGCTGTTGTTGCTGGTATCCTCCTTGTAATTGTGGTGGCGATGTATTGTTATTAGTATTTGTATTGGTGTTATTGGTGTTGTTAAACGGTGGGCTGTAGCCTGGGAATCCCAACGTAGGTGTTCCCAATGTAGGTGTGTTCAAGTACATTGGTTGTTGATATGCTGTAGGTGTATTCAGAGTAGGTGGAGAAGCATCTTCTGGCTGTGATCCCGGTGATCCAGGTGTATCTCCCTTTGATTTTTTACTACTCTTTCTAGCCTGTGTATTTGCCGCTGTTGTGTTACTTTCATATCTTTGCCTCTTCTTGATTATGTCAGTCTTCATAGATAAAGGTCGACGCTCATGATGCAATTTAAGACTAAAAATATAAAACAGTAAATTTCTCTTTGTACTGTCTCTTCTCACCAACTAATCAACTTACTATAAACCACATGCGTTACACAGTGGAGCACCTTCATCATCTCTTCTCCATAATGGCGTTGTCGTTGTTGAACAATTTGAACACACCAACTGTGAAGCCTCGTCATCCCTTGCTTCTTTTCTTGCATTGTGGGGCTTCAACGTTTTAGGTCTGGGAGCGTTATGCAATTTTTGACTAAAGAAAATCACACACGGTAAGCAAATAAACACCCTGCCATCATGCACCTTTAGCATGTACTTACTATAAACCACACGCATTACATAACAATTCATCCTCTGCTGATCTTCTCCACAGGGGAGTACTTGTAGCACCGCAGTTTGTGCACACGGGTTTTGCTTGGCTGTCCAAACTGCCAGGCATACTACAAGACAAGGCTGCCGTCTTTTTGAGTTTGGCTGCTTCAAATGAACCATGAGCAAGCATAGGAGGTGAATTTGGAGCCGAAGCAGAGAATCTTCTTTGTTGAAGACTGTCCGAAAATTCCGTATACCTATTGCATTGAGATTGGTTCATACTAGACAAAAAAAAAAAAAAGAGAGAGAACCTTAAATACCCCAGTTTCCTCTACAACTACGCACAACCAAGCACCCTGTTTTTTTTTTTTTTTTTTTTTTTACTTACATGTTGGTGCCAATCGAACTGTCATCCATCAGTGAGCCCATTTGAACGGAATCCATAGTCGATGCACTAGAAGAGGCAGACATGGGAGGTGTTTGGTGATTGTTGCTGTTCATTCTTTGGCTGGAACTGTTGAATCGCATTTGTTGTTGATGCATGGTGCCCAAAATCTTGTTCCTCAGAGTAGCAGTTGGGGGAGGTGGCATGGCAGATCCAGAAACGTACATGGCATCACCTTCATTTTGGGGTATTATTTGTGATGGAGACTGTTGTTGTGGTTGCTGCTGCTGTTGTTGAGGATGTATTAAGCTATTGTCGAATGCTCCTAATAAATGAGGGCTTGTGGCATTAGTGTTATTATTGGTACTGATTTGTTGTTGTTGCTGTTGAGAATTTGGAGATGGTGGGGTTGTAGTGATATTGGGCTGAGATGGCGAGTAATAGGGATTGGTAGGAGATGGGTAGCCGAAATCCCACCCATCAGCCATATTCATATCATTTGAGGTAGGAATATTAAAGCTGTTCCCATTGAATGCATTGAATATGTCGTCCAACTCGACAATATCTCCAGTATTTTGATCCGATGTGAACTGAGGTAATGCAAAGTTGGTGTTGACATTTGCTGATGCGGCAGATGTATTTGTTCCAAAGAAATTGGCGCCCAACAAGGATTGATCTTCCACAGGAATGATCATGCTTTGCTGTTGCTGTTGCTGTTGCATCATTTGCTGTTGCTGTTGCTGTTGCTGTAATTGCTGCTGTAAATCCTGTTGCTGCTGTTGCACCATATGTTGTTGATATTGCTGCTGCTGCTGCTGTTGGGAGAATATGTCTAGGGGGATTGCTGTCATTGCCTCGGATTTTACAGTCAACTCCTTTAATGGTAAATTTTTGTTTGCGCTCAATCTTCGTGCGGTAGTAAGCGATAGTTTTCGAAACGACTTTTGCTTGGATTTTTCCGTCAATAAATGCTGTCGAAACCAGAGTCTCCAAGATAAATTTTCCAAGCGGGAGCCATTTTCAAGCGAATCCTTGACTTTGGAGCACACCCGCCATGCCCTTGAAAGATCGTCCTCGGAGGCTAGTGTCGAAAATGGAGAAAAGGTTTTGTTACCTTTGATTTTCAACACAAGTGGTGCCATGTAGTGTAAATATGGGTTAAAATTTGGAAAGAAGAGAGAAAAATCTGGGTAATCAAAAATCTAAATTAAATAAAAAATTTGTTGCTAAACAAGAGACACTTGAGGATCCGACGTTTGAAAGTTAACGAGTCGTAACAGAGCAATAGGATGTAGCCAATCATACAGGTCCGTGCGTTGCCATGTTGGCATGCAGTAATTCACTGATGAAGGGTCCCCTTCTTTATTGTAACTATTACTAATCATGTCTATGCTGGATAATGGGAGCCAAGAAACTGTTACCGTTGATGATTTGAGTCGTTGCAACCAAGTAATCTCGGCCTGTATCCCCAAATGTAAAATTTAATATATTGTGTATTCGGACTATTTTGGAGAAGAGAGCCCTGGATGGGCGCCTTTCAACTTACCTTCATCATGCTGAGCCAAGAATCGAACAGCCGATACTTCCGTATGAGTACAACCGCCCAAAAAGAAGATGATAGTCGTTTTTCCGTGTTGAAGTCCATGTCTCTTTGCTCGTGCCATGGCTGCATTCGTTTCAGCTCCATACTCCACTGTTTGTTTGATATCAAACGCTTGTCCGGGTAATAATTTTAGTATATCCTCCGATCCACGCCAGCCACCATTTGCAGCAGCACCATTTGCACCAGTGGCAGAGGTGTGGTGATGGTGCTTTTCATTATCTCGAATGAAGTTGGCTGTACTGGTGCCTACATACGAAAAGAGACTAGCAGCACTACTACCTGTTGTCTGGATAGACCCCTGCCCCAACTTTTGCATTGCACATTGAACGAGTCGAATACTCAATGGTGCGTAACCAGAGTACACGTACGAGATGTCATTGGGATGTAACTCATCCACATCGTCAACAATAAGACGTAGCATACGTCTACATTGTGCAAATGTGCTGCGGGAAGCGGCTGAATTTGTTCTTTTCGTCCAAAGTCCAAGTTTTTCCAGTCGGTGTAACGTTTCAATATGTTCATATCCATATGCCTGGAATTTTTGATTAAATTGCCCTGTATAAAATTTGATTAGGCTTCGACTTACTTGGACAATCTCTCTTTCAAAATGATCAAACAGCTTTTGTTTCAAACCACCTTGAGCTAACGACATGAGACATAGTAATCGCAATACTTGAACAAGCGGCTTTTGTTTGTTGATCATCTCCTCAATGTAGTCTGGCTCTTTGTTGCCATCAATGCCTGCAACGACATCTATTAATAGACAAGGGAAGAAATGTCAGGCAACAATTTTGATATCGCTGCATGTGTAACATTGGCTGCTATCTTACTTTGCTGCACTTCCAACACCTTATTGAACTCATCTGTCACTGTATGTCCTATAATCTCTTCGGCAATTCCAGTATCTACATGCAAAAAAAAAAAAAAAAATGTGAGCAGATTATGCCTCATGCAAGATAAACCCAGAATAAAAATCATACGAATTTTCAAGGATTGATGCTCTTGTTGAAGCTCGCCTAATCGACCAACGAAATCTCGGATCTGAGCAACCGTTTTGGCATTATGTCTCTCCTAGTAATAATACGTGAATAACTCTTACCCGTGATTTTTGACTGGCCTTATTTCTTTACCTCATAGTTTTCGTTAATTCTCTTGGCAATCTTGTTCAGCATGCCACCCACAACAGCAAAGTTTTGATCTCTCAGCTGGCCAAACAATTTATCAGAGGAATTCAAGACGTACTTTTTCTTCTTCATGGGCGATGTGGTATTGGTCGATGTTGCTGGAGGCGTAGATACTTGAGGTGTATTGAGTCCCTTGGGCGCTGTTCCTGCTGCTGCTGCTGGTTGAGCAGGATTGATCAAGTTGGCATCCAACTCGACAAAACAATGCTTAATGCCGATCGTCTCATCAATCAAACCTTCGTAAGTCAATTCAGTACACAAAGGTGTGACAAGATCGACATTTCGATCAATAATAATGAACTGATCAATGTGATTTGATACAGTGTTCAACAAAGAGGGCGTTTTGGCCGCTGTGATGCTGGAAACTTCATCTGTCACGGATTGTTCTCTTCTCATACGCAGCAACATGTCTGCCAGTTGCTATCGTTGCATCTTAGACAAGTTTTCCGTCTGCCCAAAAGTGTATTTGCTTACCTTTGCGCCATCTCCTTTACCGATGATTCGAGGAAAAAGACCATAAATTGACTGGAGTCGCATCAATGATTTGGCTGCATAATAAATGGATGTTTGATCTCCGTCCTAGCAAAATGTTGGATTTGCAAACATCAATATCCATGTGGATCCCAAGCAGAACCTTACTTACCAGGTAGATTTCCTTCCATGTGGAGGGATCCAATTCCATTGAAATCAAGTCATCTTCACAAGGTATCCAGTCCATGGCATAATCGCCAATCGTGATATCTCCTTTGACACCTTCCTCTTCCAGCACTCGTTCGCATACCATTGTACGTTCAGGTACGAAAAATAACCAGCAATCAATCTTGGATGTATTCGAAAAGTGCTTGATATGGTCTGTGTGTATATGTATCATATAAGAATGAGTGCATTCTGCCAATTACCATGACTTACTGGCAATGTAGCGCATGTATTTCAGTTTGGGTCTACAAATGTAAATCAATCCAGGGCACTCTGTTTCGAGGGTATCAGACTCCAAATGATAAATCTTTTCTACACCATGGTCCTAGAGAATCGCAACTGTTTACATATCATACATGATCCCTTTGATACTGCTGCAACGGCTCACCTTAAGCAAGGTGAATTCTGCTATCAAACTGAGTGGCCCGGTCAATGTAGGGTCAAGTACAAGCCCTTTCTTTCCTCGAACCTGACAAAATCGAAACAAGTTCATGTGTTTTATTCTCTATTACCAAGAATGCGTTTTCTTTTACCTTGTCCAGAATTTCTGGTAACTCTCTTCGTGAGAGCTCTCTTAGCTTTGCTAAATTCAAAGGTGTATTCCCAAGATGAGTGCCTGTACTGCTCATAGTGTATGTCGAAAATTTTGTCGATGCCTGGACAAGAACAAAAAGGGGGAAAAAAAAAGGTGTGCTGCTTGTTATCCGCGTCTTCAACTCGTCTTGAATGCAAGTTTCAGCTGAGTTGTTATCTTACCAAGCAGTTGCCCCTCTCATCTACGTCACATGGAGGGCCACCATTGTGCCTCTCTCTCTCTCTCTCTCTCTTTCTTGCTCTTTTTCTCACCATGTCAAATGAAATTCTATCTGATGCGGTCAACACAATAGACTTATTGCAGTCGATCTATTTTGACAAAGAATTCGAATTTCAACGAAATGAAGATGAAGCAGCGTACAAAATGTTGCAAGGATGCTGGGAATCAGACACATGGCCAGCCTCCTTCAGCCCTCCTTTGCCTAGCAGCCTCGCATTCACCATCAAGGCGCCTGTAGAACTCACAGACCAAGAACAGCATGACCAAGACGACGCTATCTATCTCACCTTCAATGGACAGATATCGCTCACATCCATTACAGACTATCAATTAACATTACCATCAGCAGCCAATCTCTGGCTCTCAAGAGAAGATCACGAAACGCTTGTCAATACATTGAACAATGAGATACAGTTGGACCCATCTGATGATCGCTCTACTTGGGTCATTGAAAAGATGCAGCAGTTACAAAACATCGCAGAACCCTATGCGCTTAGCAAACTACAGAAATCAAAAGAAGAGAGCGAAAAGCTGAAATCACTACGAGAGGGTGGTCCTGTCCGATTTCTGAGAGATTGGATTTGGTTTCCCATGATTTACACTCGAGAAAAAGTAAGAGCATTTATTCAATTGAGCATGTATACGCATACTCATCTGCCCACAGAGAGGCGATATCATTGATTGGGCTCCCAAATACAACATCACTGGTTTCTTATGTCCTGGCAAGCCTGGTGCCATGTGCCTGGAAGGGCCCGAAAAGAAAGTGATTCAATTTGTCAACGATATCAAGACGATTTCTTGGGCAAGCATCAATCCAAGCCATCGCAAAATGACATCTCGATGGAAACAGACAGTGGATTGCAGTAACGATGCACAGCTCAATGCGGAGCGCTTGTTTGAGGGCATGACAGAGATCAAGTTTGATATTCATGGAAAGTTTTCAAACCACAATGATCTAAGTAAGCTGCAGTTGTGGCTCAAGGAGAAGGGATGTGGGGAGGCGTTTGATCATTTGTTTGATTATGATAGTTAGTAGGAAGAGAGAAAAATTTAGATTTATAGAATAAATTGTACTTTTAGAAGCATTTATCAATGGAACGACTAGATTCAGGCACGCTTTCTTTGATCGCATGTAGCTCAATCTTCCCAGAGATATACAGTGTCATGAAAAAGTCTTGTGGTGCGTGTGTATGTGTGTGCTAACCACAAAACTTTGTCAAGCAATAACAAGTGCCTTTACTACTATCGTCGTTTTTTGCAACGGCGGTTCACGCTGCTGGTCGCCTTTGTCCATCTCATTAAAATGCTATCAGCTTCATCGACTATGCTACTGATATAACCTTCTCAACTCTCCATGTCACCCGTGAATCCACCAGAGAAGCCGACAATGGGGAGGAGGTTTGAGGGGATTACCGTAGCGAAACAAAGGTGCAAAGCCATGGTAAGTTGCACAGGCTGCAGAACTACCCTTCCAGAAGATTTCAGCTACCAAAGATGTGATTCATGCCGTGTAAGTAAAAGTCATAAAGCAAAACATGGCCAAAAATCGATCAAACACCATGAGGGGTACCTCATAGTTTTCATCGAAAATCAAACAATTGTTGTTTTTACCTCAAAAACGCAAACTTTCATTATAGCACATATTAGATAAGTATGTTCCTCTTGATCCAAGACAACCCTGAAAGTTAGTTTATTGGACCTTCATATGTAAAACTTTGACATTTTGGCTAAAAACCTCATTTTGTATTTTCAAACAATGCTCAATACGCTTGTTGGAAACACTCTTAAAGATTAGCACCATCGTATTCGCCTTCAAAAGTACGTCTAGGAAGCTTAAGGGGGGGGGGTATAGGATAATCATGACAGTTTATATAGTCGAATCTTGAAAAATAGTCCAAACGAGTCGAAAAATCGATCAAAATTCCCATTTTGAACCAAAAGACGAACGGAGATTTAATTCCTTTGGCGGCTGGCGACATCTCACTCATGCCATTCCTACACAAGGTAATCGTTGTTTGCGAGACAAATGAAAAGAGAATTACAATGTAATGCTTGGCCAGAACACTTTTTCTGTGCAGTTTTATATCTGGTAAAGCTATATTCAGCACTAGTAAAATGCTTGAGTTCCTTTATTAGGATTTGAAAGTTGTCTAACGACTAAATATTTAATGTACGGTTATGATTCTAATCCACCTTCTTTCCAGCACTCTTTTGCTCTGCAGCAATCAATTTCTCTTGCTCTAACTGCTCCAACAGCTTTGACAAGGGCATGATCTTTTCCTGCACCAGTTCCTTTTCAATCTGCATCTTGAACTCTTGGAATTTGACCTCAAACTCCATGACCGTTAACTGAGGTTGATGCGTAATCCAAAGCTGATTAAACTTGTAAAACAAATAGCAGTAAAACTCCTGGAAGGTAGCCACGTCTGTACCGTATTGAAACAAGTATAGTTGTAACTTTTTTGATTCTAATGTTTGATAGGCAAACTTTGTGATATTAATGCCTACAATGGCATAGGGGTACCAATAGACGGGATGAGAAGCGTGTTGTAAACAGCAGAGTGCATGATCGGCATGTGTTTGTATAAAGTACAGCAAATCGTTCAAGCCTTGGATACCCATACCACGGAAATCGGTGGCTGGATCGTTCCCTTGAAATCCAATCTCGACCCACTGTTTCGTGATTCTTGACTCGAGTTCCGTATCAGGCATCATTTCACTCCACAACTAAAAGGTGGTTGATCACATGAGTCATTGTGTATTTATCGCATGTTGCGATTTTCATGGTGGTACCTTTAGTAACTTTTCTTCGTGTAGATCATTTGTTGCGTCGTATTTAGTTTTCACAAGCCCCTCGACTGTGTTGAGTAGCACGTTGGATTGATGAATGCGGTCCAAGCTCTTTGCGAGCACATGAGCGGCAGGTGTATCCATCGAGTGTCGAGGAAATTGTTTCTTTGTAACAATGGCTTCCAGTACGTTGTTGAGCTGGCAATCGTTCTCGATCAATTGCAGCTTCTCTTGAACAAGCTGCTTTGAATAGAATATAGATTTATCTATGCGATATACAATGTCTTTTGGTACTGCGATGGATGCTGTGTCTGTCACTAGATGCTCCTTTTCGTCGGTGCCCTCGTATTCCAGCTGTCGACTCGTTGCGATAGTGGAATTGCATAATCGATACAGTTCAGATGTCGAGGTGGAGACACGGATGATATACTTGAACGCTTTGTAAGCTGATAGCAGCAGAGGTGTCTGATATATTCTACTCAGAATAAATAGCAGCACCCAACCCATCGTGTAGTTTTATTAGAAAGAGAAAAGAAGATGATTACTCTTTTACTTTCTGCTTTGACGACAAGTTAAAGGAGGGCGAGAGAGCGGCAGATCAAATACAATCCAACAACATGAACAGGAATATTACGCAGCCAGAAAATCTTTTTCCCTTTAGCATACACAAGCATCTTTCATGGTTCCATCTAATAATCGAAATAAAAGAGGCAACCTGACACTAGATGAACTATTTAAACGACTACCACCACAGAAGCGACCTTCAAGTGAGGACGAAGATTTACAGCTAGCCATGGAGATGAGTCAACGAGAGCATATCAATGAACAAAAGAGATTACTCGAGCAATATGCATTACTAAGTCAAAAGCAGTTCAGGCCATCCACGCCTTCACTTGCTACTGCTACAATGATCGCCAAAAAGAAAAGACTGATCAAGGTTGAACCTGAAGAAGAGGAAGAACGAATAGAGAACTTTACGGATGATGATGACAGTCAATGGTTCCAAACAGTATCGATGCGATCCCAGCAACCTCCAGTCAAGAAAGCACCATCAAAGCCAAAGCCAAAGCCCAAACCCAAACAAAAAGAGGCCTCCAAACAAAAAAGCAAGCGTCATATACCACTACCACCACCTACATTCACGTCTGCAACTGCATCTACCTCCTCCATGCACAATGATACCAGCAGCAACATCACAATTGTCAAACGAGAAGATGCAGGCGAGGTCCTTTTAGACATTGACGATGTAGATGAATGGCTTGAAGTCAAAGCTGAGCACACCGAAGCATCCGAACCAGCTCTAGAAATTACAGACTTAGATGCCTATCTCGACAATTACCAAAACGAAGAGGATATGGATCAAGAGCCGAAATCTGTCATCACCATTGACGATCAAGAAGAGCAGCACGATATACCACCATCTCCTCAAGCATCATCTCCTCACTGTATGCCATGTCCCATGTGCCAAAAGCTATTTAAACAAGGAAGAGACATACAAGAACATGCAGCCAGCTGTAATAATATGGTATCAGATACAGATTCGGATTCGGATTGCGATATTATTGATTTAATTAATCCTGCAAATACGGTGATAAGCAAACAAACATCCACTCCACCACCATCATTAGCCGAAGCATCGACACCGGTACTCATCGAGGGAGAGGAGGAGGATGGCTATCTTTCTCCCCTGGAAGGATTCACCAGTATCAAAAACAATCAAAACGAAGCATTTAACCCGTATTTTCAACAATTGCAGCAACCCACACCTAAACCACGAAAGGCTCGTGCAACAAGGAAATCAACAACAACAAAGCGAGGTAATGGCAGAGGAAGGTTTAGACCGTACAGACGTAAAAAGAAGTCTTAAAATAGACAGATTAAAGGATTTGATATTGCATTTATTAAAAAAAAAAAACATGAAAATGTGTGTGTATCCCGAGAAGAAGAATTAAGCTTTTGGGTTTAGCTTGTGTGTATACTTTGAAAGCACTTTTTTTTTTTCGAATCAAAAAGGGTTATATTAGAAAGCTTATACTAACAACATTTAGCTCGCGCACTCTCTTTCTCTCTCTTAGCTTTCTACCACTCTCTCCTTTGTCTAAATTCACGCTGTATGTAAACAAACATGAAGGGATATCTATAGCGCTTCTCTCTCTCTCTCTTGTCATAAAAAATCGTCTTTTTCCCGAAGCAGATCTTTTTGCTCTTTGTTTCTCTATCCTACCTATATATAAAAGGCCTTGTTTTTTTTTGCCCCTTAATCTTCCCCACTCAAGAAGGCCCCCTTAAATTATTGTGAAATGTAGAGTCTATATATAAAGTTTTTTTTTTAATTTTCGATTTTCTTTCGCTTTCTTTCTGTTTGTTTGCTACCATCTCATCTCTTTTTTTTTCTCTCAACTGTTTCTCAGCACCACATACGCACATACTCACGACAATGATTGAAAACAAAAAGAATCTCGGTGATAATGATTGCTTAATGTATCGTCCATTTCAATCCGAGAATGAGCGCAACATTTACATCAAGAGAGACCATTATTCAACTTCGCTGGATCCTCGGGGCTACATTCCTGGTAAGCAAGCAATATGCATATCTCGTGTAGATTTTGCAAATGACTGACATGGCATGACAGTGTATGAATACATTATCAATGGAACGCCCATCATGTGGGATCGAGAAACAGGTATACCGTCAATTGGTTTGACACTGACTGTTGCAGCATGACTAAATCGTACTTTACAGGCTATGTTCACTTTACTGGCATCTGGAAGGCATTGGGCAACTCAAAGTCTGATATTGTAAAGATGGTGGATTCAAATCCTGAATTGGGCACAAAGAAGATTAGAGGAGGTTTTTTGCGTATACAAGGCACATGGTAAGACCACACGAAATTCACATTTTCTTTCTTTCGGGTAGACTAAAAAAAACTCGGTATTCAATATAGGATTCCTTATGACTATGCCCATTTGCTCTGTAAACGTACCGCATGGAGCATCCGTAAAGAACTAGTCCCCATCTTTGGCCAACGCTTTGCCCTGGAAGCACTTCGTCCCGATCATGAAGATTATGGCTGTCTCTTGTTGGATCCAAAAAGCAAATCACATGTCTTTAAAAAGACCGGCTATCATCAAAAGCAACAACGTAATACAACAATGCGTCAAAAGCCTTACACAAAACAACAAACTACCAAAAGAAACAGTCTTCGTAATACCATATCAAAGCCCTTGAAAGCTAAAAATACCATCCCATTCAAACAACAACAACAACAACAACAACAACAACAACAGCAGCAGCAGCAGCAACAACAACAAAAGAAGAAGATCAATAGCCAAATTGCTTCCAGTATGTCTGTTACGCGTCTTTTGAATAGCCAACAAGCCATGTCAGCAGAGAAGGGTATTGGTTATGAGGAAGAGGAGCTGGAGGGCTTGGAGGAAGAGGATGATGATTTATTGACACTGTCTGATGAATCTTCATTATCCTCGTTTGAATCCACTTCAGTAGCAGCATCCTTTCCGACTTTCCGTGTGATTCAAACTTATCCACCCGAGGATTGGTCAGATCAATGTGGCAATCATTCTACTAGTAGTGGCCCCTTATTACCTCCTATTTGCAACATTACAGAACAACAACAACAGCAACAACAAAAGCTTCCTTCTATTGATACTTCATCGCCCAGCATGATGGACTCTGGCAGCTCAGCTTCATCCATCTCTTCATCGCCATCTCTTGTTTGGTCTTCCTCACCTATGATGTCTCCTGTAGCACCCACACATGTCGCTCAAGATATCATAGACACGATTAGTGCCACCATCCTATTACAAAGATTGTCCCAAGACGATGGAGCGAGACCATTCAAACCATTGGAATCATCCGTCATCCCGTCCAAAGTAATTGTTGGCCATCAGGAATTCACCATCTGCTGGGACTAAGCTTGCCTTGCTCTCTATTTATTTATTATTGTATCATTCTCTCACTCACGCGCGCGCTTTCTCTCTCTCGCTCTCTTTTTTTTTTTTTTTTTCCTAAAGCATTTACAAAACCACTCTTCATCCTATTCTTATTATTTCAGCACCAAGAAATCATCAAAATTACACACACACACACACACACACACACAAATATATACAAACACACACACTCTCTCTCTCTGTTTCCTTATTTTTCAATGCATGATCAAATAAAAAAAAAGGAATTTAACTTTAATTGGAAGAATTGAATATCAAACGATAATTGCAAATATAAACTTACTGGTGCTGCTACTAGAACAAATGAGCTTGCTGATGTGTGTGTCTTTTTTTTTTTTTTTTTTTTTTTTTTTTTTCTCCTTGATGATCAGCTATCAAAATTTTCCCGGGAAAAACTGCGTGGTAAATGCGTGATACTATTTTGACACTGTGTGGCGAGATTTGATGTTTGAATTGGTCAAGACTCTAATCTTTGATGCCCCCCTATATCGTATAGCCTTTTTTGGAATGGAATCTGATCGAGATTTCTTTGAGTGATGCTCTTGAAGAAATCCGGCATGTCAATCTCTCTCTCTCTGTGTGTGTGTGTGTGTGCCCCCCTTTTGGCCATCCTACCTCGATGGATTGCCCTAAATTTTCATGTCCATTCCTTCTTGAATCCATATATAAGATTTCACGCGAAAATAGCACCATGGTGGAATCACGAGGATGTTACAACAGGAGAATACACAAGAAAGATGATCATCGTGCAACAATAACACAAGGAGCAAACGAGAAATTTAGAAACAACCAAAGACAACGAAATTTGGCCCCGGTTCAATTTTCTCTCGCTTGACCTCCCACAACAGGTTAGATTTTGTGTTGCTTAGTGTGTGTGTGTGTCCCTTCACTTGATATCACCCCTCCTTTCTTTTGCTATCACTATTGTCCAGATTGTTCACGGGGTGTTTGTTGTTATTCCTTTCTCGAGCCAAGGCAAGTGCTACTCTCACTTGATGAAACATGTATAGTATGACATGCCGAGAAAATATATAGTATACGTGCCACCTACATTTAAATTTTAGCTGCAGATGTTCCATTCTGTGAGAAAACGCCAGCACTGCACATATCATATCAACAGATATGCCGACCTTTTTTTTTCAATTCGAGCTGCTTCATTCTATACTCTCAAGAGATGTACAAGCTGATTTGTCCTATACATACAAGAAATGTTGAGGAGTGCATACCATTGCGGTTCCTTCTACAGTGTAATATTTACGGACGACATGTTGATTTATTTGTCATGTATCAATGCAATATAATGTATTGTTCTATTTAATCTTTTGTAATGTGATACACATCTTCAATTCGGATGGAAGGAATTGCAAGAGGATCTTCATCAATGTTGGTAGCAGCACTAAAACTGCTTGATCGACTACTGCCGCCTAGTAATGTGGGTGTTGTAGCACCGCTTCTTGTAAAGTAATGACCAATCCCCAGGAATCCAGGATTCTCGTCCGAGTTGGCTTTGTTGTAGCTCCAATTGAACAAATGATGATCATGCAAAGTGTCCAGCACCTTGTTTTGATGGAATATGGTTGGTATCTTGACATTGGTAAGGTTGAAGCTACTGGAACTGGAGCTACGGCTTGCAACAGGCGTGGGTGCGACTTTCATCTTGCTAATGTAGTCAGCTGTAGTGTGGTAGCGAGAGAAACAGTTTGATTAGAATCAAAGCCTTCTTTGATAGCGTGCCCAATAGAAAACTTACCATCAAAATCAGGGAATGCTTTAGGTCCATATTCATTGATCAAGTTTGTGATATTGACAGATAAAATCTCTCTGTTTTGTCGCAAAGTTTCTGCACCTGAAGGGTCTAATACAGACACAATCATTGGCTTCAAAGACCTGGGTCAAACTATTTAGCATATGTATTTCTCGTGATATGCTCAAGAATCCTCCTTACTTTGCAATATCTAACCCAATTTCACCAAACTGAAGAGATGCCAGTGTAACGGCAGCAATACTGAACCATGTAGCGATGGCAATACGAACCAGAGTCCCGATATCGTAGTGTGTCGTTTTAAATAACACCAAGAATACAACAAAACTATAGAAAGAGTACAATGAAGGGACAAGAACAAGGCCAACAAGTAATTTCCATGTAGCGAGAACATCACGACCAGCAATTTTGACTGAAGAGCCTTTTAAGGCAGCTATCAAGGTGTGTCAGCTTGTTGAGGTTTTTTCATTTACATGATAAAAGACTCACCATCTGCTTTCTTTTGACTAATAATTCTTGCAATAACAATGACAGGTAGATTGAGAATAGCTCTAATATTGAAAGCATGTAAGCATTCATCATCAAGTACTGCAGCAGCGCTTCAGATCCACTTCTTACCCCGGAAAGTCCAATAGTGCTAACAATGACATGATAATAAACCTTTTGAAAATAAGGTACACTGTATGCTTCCCTCCCAACTTTGTCTTTTGAACCTGATGATCACGAATGCCATGGTACTTGAGCAACTGGTTGTAAGCAAGCACACGCTGCTCCAATTCTTTAACCTTGGGTTCATCTTTAAACATGTTGTACCCTATGAGGAAGCGTCTGTTTAAATCAACCACTTGAGAAATGTGTAGTTTGCGATTAGCAGGCTTGTAGAGTCTTCTTGCTGCTTGGATCAACTATGAAATATGTATCAGCTCTACCCAATCCATTGTTCGATATCTATACCCACCATCAATGTCTCGTAGCTTTCAGCATTCAATGTGACAGATTTCAATGAATCGTAAATTTTACCCAGCAAGGTGCCACATGCTAATCGTTTCTCCTCACCGCCGTTTTTGAACATCTCTACGTAGCGTTCAGAGATAGTCAAAGGTTCACCAAACTCAATGACTGCTCTCGATCTAAATCTATGCGCATGGAAGTAATTCAAACCAACAGGCACAATCTTGACATCCAGGCCAGGATATTGTGCCATGGCACCCAAAGCCATCAAGGTGACACCAGCTGTTATCGTGGCCAGATCAGTCCTATAATCTCTTGTAGTCTTGAATGCTACTCTTACCTTTCAAAGGCAACATTTCCACTCGGTCATGACTACCGCCCTCAGGAAAAATAGTGATACAACCACCTCGATTCAATTCTTCGTGCACTGCTTTGAAGACAGACGATTGCTCCACATGAGGAATACACTTGTACTTGAATTGTTCATTCTCCAGAGAAATAGTGCTTTTAAACGGGTGCTTTATAACGAGTTCTGTATCTGAAATGACTTGCACGACTTCAGCTTTACATCCTTCTGTATGAGGTCCTACTAGCACAAGCGTATCTTTTGGAAATAATTGCTTTGTAAATTCGGTTTTTGTGCCCAAAATGTATGTTTGCTGCCCTCCTCCTCCTTCTTCTTTTGAGTCAGAAACAGAGACTGTGCCTTTTCCTCTGGTTGCTAGATCTTGAGGGCGAATGACAGGAACTATCAATGTATGAATAAAAAAAGCCATCTAACGGACCATCCATATAGGAAATGACTTACTAGCATTCAGCATGCGTGCAAATGTGCCAACACCTCTTTGATGCATTGATTTCTCTGCAATCAGCATGGATGTTCTTCTTCCACACTCTTTCATTACCAGTAAAGGGTCCACAAATTGATTTGCATGAGGAGCTACTACAAAGATAACTGGGCCTTCTTTAGGTATACGATGTGAGCCTCTGGGACGCACTTCTCTAAAGAAAATGTAGACCAAAAAGCTGAGTAGACATACGGTCAGGTCGTATGATAAATAGGATAGTTCTGTAAACATAATGATAGAACGTAATGAAGAAAAAATTAATTACAAACGGCCATTTATATATATATTTGTAGAACGAGAGCATTGGCCATGAAATATAGAATTGGAGCATGTCTATAGAATATTATTATTGTATCACCATGAAGCTTCAAATTACTAGCTTTCACATGTTAATCTATATATAAAGCTTTTGTAGGATGATGAATATTGCAAGAGATAGAAAAGCTTGATATCAACCTGTATTCAATTGAATCGATGCAACTCTATTAACCTCTTTGATTTAAAGTTCTGGGACATTGGGACATGTCTTGTGGAGTCAAAACGTTTACACCGCAAACAAAACTACGCTTTATATCATGAGCATGATTTTATGATAAATCTGATAGAATTTGGAAATTGAAATCATGTTGAGCCATGCTTTTGGTATGACTTTGAAGAGAATGTTTATCATCTCTTTGGATTTATAATTTGAAATGAATCAGAGCAAACTGTCATGTGTTGATGAATTATGGAGAACGTCGCTATTATTATTTACCATCATGTTATCCTTCCACTACATTTTAAAAGTTGCTCCCACTTGGGCTCTGCCCTCTGGTTGCTTTCAAAACTCGATTCGTAAAAGCTTCTCTCAAAATACCATGATATGCAATCAAGCACAATTTGGAAGAAACGAATTAGTGGCACTTTGCCTAAAACAGGCTGCGGGGGGCCAGGGATCACCCATTTGAATTGTGCTCTTATTAAGTGTATGATTGATCGGAAAAGCTCAATACTAGATGGTAATAAGCGACTGAATATGCCTTGGTAAATTGTAAAGTATGTTTTTGGACTATCTCTGTATATATTGCGACGATCATTCTGAAATCCATATGAAAAAAAGATTTTGTGTATTCTAATGTTCATGTTGATTGTGTGAGTTAAACTAATAATCTGCTTATAATTTTCTTTGACAAGAAATTGCTTCAGTGCATGTTCTGCTTCCTTGCTGACGAACAGCATGGCAAGCTTTCGGTGGTGGATTTGGAAGATTTTTGCCAGTTTTTCTTCTAAATGGCTTTAAAGGCAGCCTGAGCAATACACATTGTCGATGAAATTTACACCACGTTTTACAGGCACTACAGAGAGTGAATAAAGGCCAAAAAAAAAAAAAAAAAAAAAAAAGTCGTTTGAACGAGAGGTACCCTCTATGGTTTCTGCAATGCTGGAAACTACTCATCCCTTACAGCATTCGATGGGTTATTTTGTGGGCACAAGGGCATTCTTTGTTGACTGAAATCAAGTGGTATGCGTCTCATTCCTTATATGAAAAATGCTTCTAGGCCGCTGCGTAAATAACTTTGCCTTCCTCTTCCGCTGGTTGCGTAGATAGGAACTTGTATTTTCCCTCTCTTTGGAAATGCTCCTTCTGCGTATACGAAATTTACAGACGAATTGCAAATGCTTCGATATATGATTGCTATCACTATCTTTCGCTGTGATCCAACCAGTCTATAAAAACAAGGCACGCAATAGGTTTGTGTTCCAGTCAGCGGATGGGGGGGGGCGATACAACTATGATTTGACATGACTTCGTGAGAGGCTCAAATTGCTGGCAGTTATCATTTTCAGGCCCTTGAAGCATTCCAAGAAAGAAGCTAGGATCTTCCTCCCAGTTGCAGATAACTGTGCTCTATCTTTTGAATGTAATTCGACATATTTGAAAAAGATGCGTTTGACAAATAATCCCAAATCTTTGTCCATTGCATCTATACGTTTCATCTAACAAATGTCAAGTTAGAAAATGTATACATGTCGAATATGTTAATCCAAGCAATGTCTCTGCCCAGCGCTCTGGCGATCGCACATTAACAGAACTGCCAGCTATTTCAATCCATCCACCAATGTAGACGCCTGTCGAAAGTTAGATTACAATATACGCTTAATCGACAACGTTGACTTGCAAAAATGTCCTTATTATGTGTCAAATATAACAGCAGTGTAGTATTTGTATTGATAAGGGGAGTATTGGTTTGCCAGCGAGCAGCCAATATCGGTTGATTCTCCGCTCAACGGTTTGTCCTGATTTGTTTATTTTCAAACATTTTGGATTTGATTCGACCTATTCTGCAAGATTTAGATCAGTCTCCATAATTAGTCCCCCCAATATATATCCAGTCTTTTTTCCTCTCCCATCTAATAGGCGTACGTAAAAGGACTTTAAATAAAGCAATACAATTGCCCTACAAAAAAAAAATATTCTGCAAGATTCGACTATAAAAATCGCGATGCTCAACGATGCTTTTTAATGCGCCCCTGGTGGTAGGGCGAAGTGGTAAAACTCCCGTATGCCAACGGGAGGATCCCGGTTCAAATCCTGGTGAACGCAAGTTGTTTGATTTTTTTGGCGTAGTACTGATGTCCTCGTTTGGTGTTTTGTGCTCTTATCCATTATCTATATTTTGACGATTTCCGCAAGACTGTATTGGCTCTAGGTGTCGCACCTTATTAGTAGTAGATTTCTTTCCCAACTTAATTCAAAAAATATCTTATTCCCCTTCTTTGCAGACATTGGGTCCACCAACAGTCTTTTCTTTCCCTCAGCATGACATTTTAAGGACTTTAAATAAAACTTGGAGCTCGACTCCCCTACAAAAAAATGCTTTTTAATGCATTTCTGCAGTACGTTTCAAGGCGCATCCAATGATGCTATTTATACCAAGTGTTTTGAACAAATTTATTGAGCAATTTTGGAAAAAATGAAATGAGGTTTTTGGCCAAAATATCGAAATTTTGCATATGAAAACCTCATGAAAGTGGTTTTAGAAGTTGTTTTGGATCGAGAGAAACATTTTGATTCAATACATACCATAGTAAAAGTCTTCATTTTTGGTGTCAAAAACGCGATTGTTTGATTTTTGATGGAAATCATGAGGTATCCCTCATGCTTTTTGGTCGATTTTTGGTCATGTTTTTTTTGGTCCCAAAAAAGTGGAGCAAATGTGTCTGTAAGCAACTGCTAGCTAAAAGCAGTTGTTTAGTGCTATTCTGGCGGTTTAAAACAAATTATAACGCGAGAAATCACTACTCGAATGCACCCAGATTTTACTGTGCTTTGCATACTTTTAGGTAATAAGAGGTCGTGTAAGTATGCTGTATGCCCGTATAATTCTTTTTTTTTTCCATTGCTACAGACGTAGAGCACCTTAGAAGAGTTCAATCAGTAATTGCAGATGCTCTTTAAAGAATTTCCAGATGATATCCGAGTGTCAGAAAATGAAATTTTGGTATAATAGTGCGTATATTTGCTACTCAAGACACACCATTCACTGACACATCATTTGATAGCAATACATGCCCTTGATTCATCCTCAAATAGCGCATGGCATAGCCAGATAGCTTCCCTGAATTTCACAGATTTCTCTAATGTGATTCTCCTGTCAGTATCTGCATGACGCCGGAACACCATTTAACAAGTATCAAAATCAGTTCATCTAGTATTGCTACTTTAGAGTAGATAAATCGAACAGGTACTTTTGCAAAAAAAAAAAAAAAAAAAAAAAAAAAAAAAAGGCGGCCTACTATGACTAGAAATCCATCGACATACATGAACGGCTTCATCTTAAGAGGTAATGCATATAATATCTTGAACATCATATATTCGGCTACATTAAATAAAGGTGCACTTTGCTTTGCTGTGCATATGTGAGCCAACTCGAAACATTAAACTACATTTGCCTACCATCAGCTTCGTCAGCTCTCTCATGTGCTTGGTTTGTGCCTTGAAAAATCCATCGGTTTTGATTCGCAGATCTCTAGGGTGATCATCCCATTACTACTTGCTGCTAATCGGGACCTTGATCGATGTATAGACTGTTTAACATCCAACAAACGGTTAGAAGCAGTCTGACAGTGGCTTGTTTAAAAAATATTTTTCAAACGGTTATAAAAAGCCAGTGGAAGTTAGCAAGTGTATTGATTCTTTACATATTAACACCTGCCTCTATCCTGTGGTCTTTCCTTATAGACAAAACTGTGGATTGTGCCCTTCGGGAAAGGTAGGATAGATATACGTGGTTATGTCTATTCTTGCAGAAGCATATTCTCGGTTTATGTTTTAGCAATTGGATTAACCTACATACATCTCTTATGATTATTAAACTTTGAAATTATAAATGAAAAAAAAAATTCATCCCAAAATGCAATCAAAGGGCTACACCCCATGTATACACTGTATCTTTCTGTCTATTTGGACGTGAGATAATATACAAAAGATGCTTCTGTTATTGTATTTTGTGATCAATTACGTAGATTTGGTCTTTATTTCGTGAAATAAACAAACATTAGACATACCATATAGATAATATACACGGAATCAATCCTTGAAATCTTATACTCTCTCACAAATATAGTACTGACATGTCTGCTTTATTGTTTCTACAGTAAATTTCACTATTGCAATACTTAAAATCACCAATCAAACTTTTAGTGCCGCATCAACTGATCCCAGAGTCAACAGCTGCAAAACAAAAGGCTGTCAGCAACGATGCTATTAAAACTGACAGCACTGTTTCGAAGACGGCATGCGAGCATCGTCTTGGCCTCTCCTTGACTATGAGCTCTACCATTGACATTTATAACAAACAGGGTCGGGACGAGACCAAGTCCAGGGACGGTTGTCGTAGACAGACAGCTCAGCTTCTAGTTTTCTGCAGGATTGCCTAGGAGAGGACTATGTTCAAGCCTAACAGGGCCTCCAGCAGAAAATGGTAGAAGCATTTTCCGTTTAGATAGCATTGCAAAGAATACATCGACATTTGTATGAAAATATCTAATTCACTTTGGAGATTGCACAGCCGTTGGTTGAGAAAAGATGCGATGAAGATGCCCTCACCGTACAAGAAGAGTATACGCCAACAAGCTCACAGCAGCAGCATAAACTACAACATCTTTTCATACTTGACGTCTTTACTAAATTTCTCCTTTCTCTCCTTTTAAATTTAAATTTATTTATTTTTCGAAATTGAAGTGAATAAACTGTATATTTGTACAAGGAAGGTCAAGATAACCATTGGTTATAAGCTTTTAGTAGTGTACGTTGATTTGTACCTCTTCCACCTTGCACATCTCGTTCCATGACAAATATCGCATCCTGCACTGTCACTTTTCTATCCGCTTTATCCTTGATCAACAGTGGTTTCTTTGACTTTATCGAGTACCAGCCCTTTTTCGTAATAGTAGGATCGTGTTGTCCCTCCTCCTCGTCTTCTTCATCTATAGGGTCGAGATCCAATTCAGTTTGCCTTGACACATGCTCAATGGCTTCCAGTTGTAACTTGACATTTTGCTTGACTTGTATCTTGAAGAGCGGATGTCCATCTTGGGTTAATGGTGGCTTCTGAAACGGGTCAAATGTACGGTGCTTTGATGCTGATACCATGGATTCCAGCATTGTGCGAATTCTATCTTGTGTAGCTAATGCCATATAGGATACAAAATCACTGTCGATTTTCTTGATATTTACACATTTGGCTAACATATGAATGATCAGACCTCAATCCTCTTGTCTCGCACATAAAAAAAAAAAAAAAACTTACCATATTTTAATATTTGTTTCGTCAATAGTTCGGTGTTCATGAAATCTTGCACTTTTGATCTATCTACACCATCTGGTAATATACCTCCTGATCCATCACCATCCTTCATAAAATGCTCTGCTTCCTCTTTAAGATCCACGCCAGCATAACCCATCACATCGGTCAACGTGTCATAATCAATTCTATCGCCTCCACCGCCACCTCCTCCACTACTGCTTGTAGTCGTTGCTGCCGTTGTCATGGCGCTCGCTGTGGCTGCTGTTCCATTGGGCGCTGTAGGTTTACTAATAAACAGCGCTAATTAATTGCACACTTTCCTTCAACACACTAAATCAAACATTACCTCGTGGATTGTGGTGTATTAGCTTTAGAAGGTATCTGCAATCCAGGTGTACCAGGCACAGCAGGCGTTTTGAATACAGGTGTAGATGTAGCTTGGCTGGTAGTAGCAGGAGCAGCAGCAGTGATGTTGACGGTAGGTGTTTGTGCCGTGGCAGGTGATGGTGTTACTGGCTGATGTGATTGCTGTGGTTGTATCTGTGGCTGTAATGGAGAAGCTTGCTGCTGCTGCTGCTGCTGTTGTTGTTGTTGTTGCTGTAATTGTAACTGTTGTTGCTGTAACAATTGCATCTGATGTTGTTGTTGCAACTGCATTTGTAGCTGTTGCAATTGCTGTTGCTGCTGTAATGTTTGAGGAGGGTGGAATTGCGGTGGTAAAGCGTTAGTTGGTATATGCTCAGTTTTCGCTCGTTTCAGCTGAGGTGTGCTATAGTTGCGTATATGTCAATATCTCCACTTTATTCACCACTCACGAGGCACGTTACTTACACGATGCCGGACATGGATCTCTGAGCATCCTCCTGCCTCAACTGCTGACTAGATAATGCCCTCTTCCTATGCTCGTCCTCTTGATTTGCACTGTTGGCAGGTGAAGGCGATGCTGCTGGTTTCTGAGAAGCAGGCTTATTTTTCAAATCCTCCAACTGCTGGTATTGCTGCTGCCCTAATAGTAATTTGGCTTTTGACAGGAACTGGTTGGCAGACACTGCGCTTGTTTGTAATTCTCTAAACAACTGGATGAACTTTTCTTTTCGATCCGGTGGTAACTGTGCTGTTATGTTATCTAGTAAGGTAGTAGATGATGCTACAAAAGATCATTAGTCAAACAAGGCCACGCTCTCCAAATGTAAAATAGTTACGCTGCTGTTGTGGCTGTGATGTAGGCTGCGAGGATTGACGAGATACAGGTTGTGGTAGTATTGGTTGCGAAGTAGTAGTCGTATTCGATGAGGTATTAGGCGATGGTTGAATGACTGGCGTATAATTCGCTGTAGATGGCGCTGTTGTTGTAGTAGTACTAGTGGAGGAGGGGGTAGACACTGCTACTGCTGCTGTTGCTATGGTTGCATTTGTTGGCATGATGGTTGAAGCAGTGCTGTTTGCTCTCACAGGCACAGGAGGAGATGGTGTCATTGATTGCTGTGGAGAGGATTGAAGAAATGATGATGAAGCACCGGGCCTGTCCCAGATAGTTGACATGTTTCCCTGCAGAAGAGACGCGTCCGAATTTGTGCCTTGCACGGATAGCAGATCGTCTGTTTCATTAGTGTTGAATAAATCCTGCAATTCGGCTGGTAAATGGGCGTACGATGGTGCGATGTGTTCATCGTTATTGTTGTTGCTTAGCGTCTGTACAATCGATTGAAAGGAAGAGTCATTGACATCGTGATTATTGCTAAGAATGTCATTAATAGAAAAGTTTAAATCTTGATGCACTAATTGAGCCTGCTGTTGCTGTTGAGGCGGTGTTTCTTGGGATGTTGCATTAGGTTCATTCGTTCCTTCACCGTCTACTGACATTATATAATACACAGAAAAAAGAGAGATGCTCCGTTTCTTTTCTGTTGTGTGTTGAGTGGGTTAGAAGGATGGTTTGAAAGAAAGATGGAAAATTTGCAAAAAAAAACATTTGTGAAAACCTGTGCTAGAATCGCGGTACTTCAACAGGCTTGTCACGTCACTTTGATGTATCAATATATAGCCATCATTTGGACTCTCTTCATTCATCTAGCAACGATAGTTACAAGGCCTGATAAATGACAGCATCTCAGCAACCCACTTGACCATAGAAGCGATATAAATGCCTTTTATTCACAACATGTCATGTAATCCATTACATTTATAAACACACATTCTATCGCAAATCAGCCACCAACATGAGAAACGATGATATATATTCATTATTGCTTTTTAGCAGGTGGTCTTGCTGGAGATGATGATCTCGATCGACGTCCAATCTTGTCAAACACAGATAACCGCTGCACCTTCTTCTCCACATTGCCTACGTCGTCCTCATCTGAACTACTATCTGAAGAATCAGAACCCTTTGAATTCAAACTGGATATACTCGAATGGCTGTTGATACGAAACATGCCGCTAAGACGGTTGGCTTTCTTGGCCGCTTTTTCGGCCTTTTTTTGTTGTTGTTTCTTGACCTTGTTCTCAGGTCGAACCACAACGACTGGTACAGGCGAATGTTGCAAACAGTATTTGGATACACTGTTCATAAACATCCCCTTTAATTCAGACATGCCTCGCGTACCTACAATCAGCATCGAGGGTTGATAGACAGAAATCTGATAGTATGTTGAGTTGAAAAGCTGGCAAATGATCCTTATGATTGCTTACCATTTGTTGAATGGTTTCTTGAACTTTTCCAATGACGAACTCAATCACTGCACTGATCTAGAGCCATCCATAGTCGACGCATAAGATCTCTACTCCTCGTTTGCTTATTTTTGGCATAGTTACCTTTAATTCTTGACTTCCAGCGGCCATGATTCTGTTCATCACGATAGTGGCTCTCTCTTTAGATGCTAATTCCTCGTGTCTCAACATGGATTTCAGGTTGGGTCTGTTCTCTGCCATATCAAACGTATCAATATCTACAACACTACAAAAGACGTGTTATCCATCTCACCACTCATGTCTACCGTGAGAACACGGAGGACGATAACTTCATCGCCATCATCAATCACATTCTATCAATAGATACCATATTAATCCCAGTTGGCTGATGTATATACAGTAGTCTACCTCAATAGCCCAATCAAGCGCATAGTCGCTGTAATTTTCAAGGTCGGTAGCAACGAGGAAGGTTCTGCTTCGTCGAGTACGTTGATACCCTTGTGTTTTGCCTCGAAGCGTGAAAGAATAATCAGGCTGATCTTGGTCTGTCATTGTATCAAAAGAGACACCACGTACATAGTTTTCTTGTTGCTGCAGTACTGGGATGGTTGCCATTTTTTAAAGTTTGTATATTGTGGAGAAGAAAAAGCGAAATCCTGGGATAAATTTCATCTTTCCAGCTATTCTCGGTCCATGCATTGTGTAACATGATTTCAAGCTAAATCCTCCACACATCATCATTCATTACGATAGGCTAACATGTATGATACAATGCTGGATTCCTTTTACTCATAGATCTAAAAAGTATAGTACATATTACCATGTCTACAAGAACAATAAGATGATTTGTTTGACAGCTGGGTTCAAATCACCATGGCAACGGCTGATGTTGTTCAGGGGCAACAGATCAGATTGAGTTAGATGTTACTGTTGAATGTAAATCATGTGTGAATACATGTTTATAAAGTAATAATAGAATACCCTCTTCGGATTAATAAAATTTGCAAAGCAGCATTCAGTAGATCAACGATACATTGGTCTGCTTAGCAGTTCAATGTAAGTGTTGTCGCTAAATTTCAAGTACCCTGCAGACATCGTTTACTTTAGTTTAGTTGATTTGTAAATCCTCATTGAAATTGTTATAAAGACACAAATTGATATGAAACAATTATAGCAACGTTAATGAAAGAGACTGATGCTAATATGTGCTTTGTATTGTTGAGATGTTGCCAATTTGCGATGTTAATTAATCAAAAAACTAGTGCGTAATTTACCTGCAATTTGCCATGGTGCCATGATGCTACAACTCAATACAGCAAATTTCAAGACGCCTTAAAAAATGATTTCGTTCGAAAAAAAACACAAAATGCCATGTTGCTCCTTACTCTCAGGAGACATTCATGGATATTCTAGCCGCTCAAATCACACCCGCTTAGTATCGCATTTTACTTGCTTTCTTTGAAAACTGAGTGCATGATACTAAGCCTTTTCTACATTGTGTTCATGTATAAATGTAATTAAAATATCCAAAATGGACATAATAATTAAGCAAGGTGTGTTCAGTTGAATTAATAAATCTCGAGTAACTTGCAAGTTACACTGGAAACAATTGTCTTTTTTAGTTTTGGTAAAAATAACCTTAATGTGAGGGCAACACAGCGTGTATTTTATGAGCTTGCGCTGTGGTAGTTGGTACGACAAGCATTTAATTGATGCAAAATTAAGCTTCTATTTAAATCAAACGCTTTTTTTTTTGCTCTGTCTCTCTGTCTCTTCTTTTCTTTTCTCCTTTCTTGCTTTTCGTATAGTATTCATTCACATGTATCAATACAACAATCCACAGAATAACGGAAATGCAAGTCCATTGCCTTCAGCGAGGATGCCAACAAGACCTCGATTCAATACAGGCGAAGAGTATTCGATGCAGCAGACATCCTACAGTAGTAATGCTTCTACAGTGACTCCAGGATATAATTCAGCCAGTGATAACACATTGGGCTATTACGAGTCATCCATTCCAGGCAGTAACACTATGCAGCAACCTTTATTAGGCACACCAAATGGCAGTGCCATGTCTTCTTCCATCGGTGGTGCAAGTCCTGGAGGTGGTGGAGGAGGAGGAGCAAGATTTGGCTCGCCTCCTTCTAACATGATTGGTGGCGGACCTGGCGATTTTGGCATCGCTCCCAGAAGACAGCAGCGAAGATACAAAACAAGTATTGTATTGGGGGGCTATAGAAAACAACGTGCAAGTTACTAACATGACCTCTCTCAAGTTCGAAAGGTCAAATTGACGGGTGGTAATTTGATTTTGGATAACCCTGTGCCCAACAAGTATCTGCAACGAGTGAAACGAAAAGATCAAAATGAATTTACACACATGAGGTGGGTTTCAAGATTTCATCATCGACATGTTTGATCTGATCAAATTACTGCGTGTTTTTATAGATACATCGCTGCTACATGTGATCCAGCAGACTTTCAAAAGGACGGCTATACACTTCGACAAAACTTGATGCACAGAGAGACTGAATTGTTCATTGTCCTCACTATGTATAACGTGAGTACACTAGAGGAGGCGTATGTAACATGTCAACTTAATCGCAGAGATGTCCATATAGGAGGATGAAGTGCTATTCTGTAGAACCATGAACGGTGTCATGAAGAACATTTCTCATCTTTGTTCTCGTAACAGATCCAAGACATGGGGTCCTGAAGGATGGAAAAAGGTAGTTGTGTGTATTGTGTCTGATGGGCGTACAAAGATCCACCCACGCACGTTATCTGTGCTTGCAGCAATGGGTGTCTATCAAGACGGTTTAGCCAAGAACATTGTGGAGGGCAAGCCAGTAACTGCTCATATTTACGAGGTATGTATATGATATATAAAGTTTAATTGGTTTGTAACGTGGTACTAAAACATTATATAACAGCATACAACGCAGATATCTGTAGATTCCGAAATGAATTTCAGAGGAACAGAAAAGGGCGTGGTGCCAGTACAAGTCCTGTTCTGTCTCAAGGAAAAGAACCAAAAGAAGATTAATTCGCATCGTTGGTTCTTTCAAGCATTCGGCCCTTTATTGAGGCCAAATGTCTGTGTCTTGCTGGATGTGGGCACAAAACCTGGAGGAAGATCTATTTATAACCTATGGAAATCGTTTGATATTAACCGTAATGTCGCTGGTGCTTGTGGTGAAATTAAAGCCATGCTGGGTACGGCTGGTGTGCAACTGTTGAATCCCTTGGTGGCCTCTCAGAACTTTGAGTACAAAATGTCCAATATCCTTGATAAACCTTTGGAGTCCGTATTTGGTCATATTTCTGTGTTGCCTGGTGCCTTCTCAGCCTATCGATATACAGCTCTGCAAAATGACATGCATGGCGAGGGCCCACTTGAAAAGTACTTTTTGGGTGAAAAGATGCATGGTAGTGATGCCGATATCTTTACCGCCAACATGTATCTCGCTGAGGATCGTATCTTGTGTTATGAACTCGTGGCCAAGAAGAATGCTGCGTGGGTGCTTCATTATTGTTCTAATGCCTCTGGCGAAACAGATGTGCCTGACACTGTACCAGAATTCATCTCTCAGCGTCGTCGTTGGCTGAATGGTTCCTTCTTTGCCGGTTTATACTCGATGGTGCATTGGCGCAAGGTCTGGAGCTCAGATCACAACATTTTCCGTAAGCTTGTCTTTATGTTCAACGACTTGTATCAACTGTACAATCTCGTGTTCTCTTGGTTTGCGATCGGTAACTTTTATTTGGTATTCTACATCATGACCACCTCCATTACTCGTGTCCCCAATCCTCCCTACAGCGAGAATGCTGGCACCATCGTGCATACGGTACTCAATTATATCTACGTCTTGCTGCTGATCCTGCAATTTATCATTGCGATGGGTAATCGTCCTCAAGGTTTCAAGTGGGCTTACACGATGATCATTGTCTTTTTTGCGTTACTGATGGGATATGTCATGTTCTGTACCATCTGGATCACAGTGCGAGGTGTACAAGGCGCTGTTCAAGTGGCTGCAGCCGAAGCCGGTAAAGGTCTTAATGAGCAGGTTCTTGCGCTCATCAAGCAAAGCACGTTCCGAAATGTCATCATCTCCGTGTGTTCCACCTATCTCATGTACTTTGTCGCAAGTTTCTTGTTTTTGGATCCATGGCACATGTTTACCAGTCTTTTGCAATACATCTTCATGTCGCCTAGCTATATCAACGTGCTCAATATTTATGCATTCTGTAACACACACGATGTCTCTTGGGGTACCAAAGGTGATAACGGCGTCTCAACTGATTTAGGTGTCGTAAAAGGAAAAAAGACCAAAGATGGTGAGCATGAAGTCGAAGTGGCTGTGCCTACCGAGCAAAAGGATTTGAATGAGCAATACGATGAAGCCTGTCTTGATTTGAAAGCGGTGGTGATACCCGAAGTGACAAAACGTGATGCCAAAACTAAACAAGAAGATTACTATCGTTCATTTAGAACCAAGCTGGTTACTGTGTGGATCTTTACCAACATGGTGCTCGTTACCATTATCACCAACGGACAAGATGTCTTTAGCTGGTTTGGCAATTACAATGACAGAGCAACTGCTTATTTGGGTTTTATTCTGTGGTCTGTTGCTGGTCTATCTGCGGTGAGATTTGTTGGTGCATGTCTTTACTTGTTCCTCAAGATCTTTACAGGATAAGCATGTTCTTCCCTCCTTCCTTTTGATACATTAGTTTTTTTTTTTCCTTTATCACATACATATATAATAGCATATTTATAAGAAAGTAGATTCTTCAAGTCAAAATATCATTAAATTATTTCACTATCTCGAGCATTTAATCATGGCATTCTCGATCTGTTATTTGATTCAAGATCAGCTATATGGCAACTCGTGTTCAAAACAATTTCTGAACCCGGTACAACACACATTAGCCATATTGACAAGTGCAATCTAGATCTTCGGTATTGTTGAGGCAGTTACACCTAGTAGCTTGGCCCATGTGCTAAACTTGGTGGTAGATTTACCTTTCAAAAGGGGCCATCTTGTATCATACACTTTGCTATTCAAATCCAGTTGTCCAGGCAACGATATCTGAGATATTACCTCATTTTCTGTACGAGTCTTTGCTCTCATCATAAGCCTACACCATCTATTAGAAGATACCCCACCATAATAGGTATATTAAGCTTTTCTCACCTGGTTTGAAGCGGCATTCTTCTCCCAGTATCACTGACATTGACAGATCAAACGATGTTGCGTTACTTGTGACTCTACAGTGACCATCTTTACCCTAATTTTTTGAAAGAAAAAAGCTTTTCCCTAAATCTCAAGATTGCATTCTTTTTACAACCCACAATATATACAATGCCTGCTGCTGCTGCCAAAACAAAGAAGGATACCAAGGCACCTGCCAAGAAGGCTCCTGTTAAGAAGAGTGAAAAGGCAACCCCTGCCAAAAAAGAAACCGAAAGCTCAAAGAGAAAGCGTGTGTCATTCAAAGAAGAATCCTCTAACAAGAAGAAAGCAATCGGAAACAAGACAAAGAAGGTCGCTGTCAAGGAAGAGAAGCCAGTTGAACAAGAAGAGAGTGATGTTAGCGAAGACGAACAATCTGTAGAAAAGGTTGACGATGAGAAGGAGGTCGAGGAGGAAGATCTTACCGAAGAACAAGAGGAAGCTCTTAGAAAGGAGATTTTGGGTGATATGGCCAGCAGTGACGAGGACGAAGATTCTTCAGACGAGGAAGTGGATGCTATCGATAGCAACGAGAACATTGTAACCTTGGATGGAAAGAAGATGAAAGAAAGCATGACTGAGACCAAAAAGACATTTGACAAGAAATCAAAGGCTGCCAAGGTATGTTGATGTGTGTGTGTGTGTGTGGATGTTTTGATCTGAGGAACATGAATTGACATGTATAAATTGAATAGACTCCCAAGGTTGAGGAGAAGGGTGTTGTATATCTCGGTCGTATTCCCCACGGTTTCTATGAAAAGGAAATGAAAGGTTATTTCAGCCAATTTGGTGATATTTCCAGACTTCGTCTCTCACGTAACAAAAAGACTGGAAGATCAAAGCATTACGGTTTCATTGAATTTGAATCTGCTGATGTTGCTGAAATTGTTGCAGAGACCATGAACAACTACCTCTTATTTGAACACATGCTTCAATGTAAAGTGATTCCTGCTGAAAAGGTTCATGAAAATCTATTCGCTGGCGCCGACAAGGTGTACAAGCCTTTCAACACTGAGCTTCGCAACCGTCAAATCCACAACAAGAAGAAGACACCCGAGGAACTCGAACAAAAGTGCAAGGCTCTTAAGAAAACTGAACAAAGATTGCGCAAAGAGATCAAAGAAGCTGGCATCGATTACGATTTCCCCTCTTTCTCATAAATTTATACATACTTTTTATTGCTTACAACAACACACTCTCACTTGCTTTACTCATACACACGCCTCGATTTGATTTGACACAGTTTCAACTATCCATTGCTTTTATTTTTTTATTTTTTTTTTTTTTTTTTTGTTGAATAAAATTAGAACAGTTTTAAACATGATTATCTGTTTATCGCACAAAGTACCGTCTCCTCTATGAGATGTCCAGTTTGGAAATACGCATACTTTAGAGAGTCCAGAATAGCCAATACAGATTTAGTGTTTCTGAGTGCATGGATGGTTCTGGCACGTAAATGTAGCTGTTGATTGCACTTCAAACTTCTCGCACAAGATCCAAAACGGAACTGTCATTAAAACCCAAGATCGGACAGTACAGCTTTGAATCAGTAAAAAGTTCCAAATACATATGGTATTCTAGTTTTGCTGTTGAAACATCTGTCGTTGTTAGTTTTGATGTCAAAAATCAATTGCTGGTGATGAGTAAAGCTTTGCCTACGAAGCGTCAAGGGTCTCAGTGCAAGTAAGCGATCAGAAAGTGCTCAGGGCTCGAGAAGAACAGGAAGTATGTTGTTGGAAGGCAAACGAATGCCTGTCAAACGTATGCCTACAGAATAGTATGCTCTTTCATTGATCAAGACTAAACATATGTAGCTTGAGTGATTCTGATCTGTTCACAATTTAGGTAAGCCTTGGTCTAATTTCGAGTTCCTGATGTTGTAGTATATGATCCTTATTACTGTTAGGACAAGGAGAGGGGATTCGCAAGCGAACATTCGTGATGAAGAGCAATACAACTGATTTCAAACAGATGATTTCTGATTGAACACTTATCGGCAGCTCATTCGATGCGTCTTAAGCTTGAGTCTCGCTTTCTGACATCTCCCATCGATTCAGATATTAGATTATTTGTGCATCAGGTACTCAATACATACAGGAGTGGAGTAACTTCAGCAAAAAGGATACCTTATTAAACTGTAAATCAAAGTTCCATCTCATTCCATTGCTTAGTCTGCTCCGCAATACAGTCCAATATGACTTTGCTATACGTAAAATTGAAACTGACAGGCGACAGGGGCTATACCTTGGAATCTTCGCGCGCTCTCTTTTCTCTGTTGGGTTTTATTTCTCTTTTGATTTCTCTTTGAATTTCGCTTTGAAAGTAGCATATTCTTATAGCGATTTTATGCGGAGAAGACAATGGAGCAATTGGATTTTAGATAGGATACGTTGATGATGAGAAAGGAGAGATTTTTTGAAATTTGCAAAATTTGAGCAGATGCTACTAATAAAAGTCATTGAATTATTATATGAATGTTGATTGAATGTCTAGTAAGAGTTGTAGAGGGCACTTTGTTTGATTAGAGCGTGTTTTATTTGGGCTTGTTGAGAGCGATGTTGATGAGTAATGAGGAAAAATAGCCAAAATGATCAATTTTCAAAGGGCCATACCGCTGGACTTTACTAAGTGAACGAGAGCTTCAAGCTTAATAACTTTTGTCTCTTTTTCAATTCTCTATATGATGGTATAATTATTATAGATAAATAAATAAAAAGTTGAATATCCCCTGCTTGTAGCTCATAAAATATATGATTTTGAGCAAATTTATGAAGGGAACGTACACCTGGTACTTAAAACCATTATATTATAATGGATATAACGCAGCGCTATCGAATAGTCTTTTTCTTGTGCGAATTCAGTGAGTATTTGTCGAGATATGGTCAAAAAAAGAGTATCATGCAAAATCGGTTTTTTCTTAAAAATATGCCTGTGATAGCAAACGAAAAAATTGGGTGACCTTTTTTTGGTCAGGACAATATTGTCAATATTTCATGATAGAGTCATGCCAGAGCTTCCAGCAATAGCTCATTCGATAGGAAATTTTTTGGTTTACAATGTTTAATAATGCTTAACAAAATGTTTTGATGACAGATAGTGATTAACCTTTAGAAAACAGTCAAAAAATTGCAAAAACAATCGTACCAAATATCAGATGAAGAGTGTACACCAGGGACTTGATATAAATACCATTGTATTTTCCTTTAAATTCTCTACAAGTTTCATATAAGCTTGAAGGGGTAGTTATTATTAAGAAATGCGTATTTTTAAGGTCGATAGATTTCGGAATCCCATGTGCAGTGAAATCAGGTTTAATGGATTTCACAAAAAAAATAAAGCAAAGGTAAAATACAATAGAAATCAACTGTATTTTATTTTGTGTATAAAATGAACTGAAGATCCTCGAATTGAGTAAAAAAAAGAAGAGTATTTATACATTTGCATCTGGCTTGTAGGATTAGTGATGATAGAGAGCAATAGGTGCTGCTATTGCGATATCTGGCAAATGTTGTTGATGTTTGATTTAAAGTGGTAGTCAATGCAGGAGCACTGGCCATAAGGGTCGATTTGAGTAACCTTGATGGGCTTGGGTGAGCTATCGTCATAGCATGATTTAATGTAACCTTGATGGTTTAAAGTGTGATGTTTGTTATTGAAGCATGGAATCCTTTATCTGGGATATTGTGCAACTATGGCAGCAGGGCATAGTTGTCATATTTGAATATGCTTGTTATTGATTTAATTCTATTTGGATAAAGATACCATCACCTATTACGACCATCATGGGTGTGATTGAATACACTGTGATCAGGAGTGATTCATTCACACGATGTGCGATATAAGCGTGTATCTTTACTTTAGTATTTTTAAATGGGTTTTTGATGTACATTTGAGCGCTTTCATTAATAGATCCAAATAGCATGAATTTGAATGAGTGCTATTTGATGAACTTTGGTTTTCAATTAAGTTGCGTTTGGGTGGCTATTTCATTACACCATGGATCATCATTCAGAACAATAGAAATTGAAGCCCCGTTGAGCTTTTGCATGTGTACACCACACATGTATGTGTTGTGCCAGAAGGGCTACAACTGTCTATAAAGATTAAGGTATTCTTGATGGGTAGATATGCCTATGTTGTGCAACAACATGGACAAGCTATGATAATTGAAGTGCATCTCAGCTATCTAAATACTGAGGTTCACCAGATGTGATAAGCGTTGTACAAGATAAATTGCTACCTTGGCATTCAGAAATTAATATAAATAGAATAACTCTTGTTGTCCTCATCAATAAATCTTCAGTTTTTGTGTCTGATCTTATTCAAATAAGTCTTTTTTTGTTTTTATAATATCGAACATTTTTTATAAGCTACAAATAATAATCCTTTTATTCTTTGTGCTTAACAGTATGCATTTGACCGAGCATTTTAAAAATTAGAGCGTACGAAAAGGGCCATATTAACTTGTTGGTTTTAAGTTATCAATAGATACCTGACATGTTGAAGAATCTTGTTGTTAAGACTAGACAATTGTAGCTTGCTTTATTCAAGAAAAATAAGGTTTGCAATTTAAAGTATGTATATTCCCCCGCTTAAAAATAGCATCTCCAATGTTGATTATCTCATGAACTATTTCTTTCGAGAATTGCTCATATAGATATCTAGAAAAGAATTTTTGTTTTTTGTGGTGTATTTTTCACTCCAATGTCTTGCCACTGATGCGTAATACCTAATTGTTGAGAAATTTGTAATTGTATGATCTTCATTAATTTCAGACAGATGTAACCGGGAGAGGTCATCCAACTAGTAATTTGTTGCAGCGCTTTGTCTAGATTGACAGTCTTGAGTCAGAAAATTTTCAAGATGACTTGAAACAGCCCTAACTAGAAGGGTTTAAGGTACACTTGCTGCACATTTCACATAAAAACTGTGAACTCCAATTAGTTACAAGTAAACAAAAGCAATGAATCAATAGATGAGTAGTTGTAAAAGACTGTATTATCTAAGATCGCTTGGTTATACCTTGCTTCTTCATTGTAGTGTGGTAAAGGTTTAAAAGATGTGCTGCTACTTAAATCTAAAAATATAACAAAGTATACTTTGCTCGGACTCGTCAACCATTCTCCTAATATCTACTATTGTAGAAAGCAGACTTCTTAATAACACTGGCTAATATTTGATAATAAATTGCTGAATATCTACGGTAAATGTCCTCCATTCATGAATCTACATTTGTCGTCAAGTTAGAAATCGGCAGCGTTTGGTGGCGCACGACAACCTTTTGTAGGGTAGTAGTAGAATAAAAACAGCGGCAAAGTGTACATCTTATCTTGCTGGATAGTGTATATTATAAGGCAGTTATTTGGCTATTTGCCGCTTCAATTTCTTTGAAAATATTCAAAAATATCTATATATCATTCAAAACATAGTTCAACTTTAAAATTTTCAAAAGCATCTGTTTTTCAGTCTACAGAGTTCTTGAAAACCTACCATTTACCTGCAGAAAGGATATTAAATCAAAAAATTGCTACAGCGATGACAAACAAAAAATGTAGTACAGATATATTTGGCAATTTGCTTCCAATATTATCAAATTGCTCGTTTAGCTCAGGCGAAAATTTATGGTTGTTTATTGATTACAATGAATTAGCAATGTAAAAAATATAGACTTATATGCATGCGATCTTTGGATCATTAGTTGCAAGTCCTGAGAAGCGACGTACAGCAAAAAAGCTTAAATTGATAGTTTGATCTCCATGCAGGAACAACATGCAAGTGTCCAGAAAAGGGAAAGGTCCTAAACTAAAAATTAAACTGGTAAAAAAGAAGTACAGGCAGGAAAAAGAAGTAAAACAAGTGAGATAAAAGGGTAGAGAATAAGAAGCTATGGTGTATGAGACATGCAATTGAGGATACCTCGATGTTCAGACAGCAGCACAGACAAAATAAACCCACAGACCTCAGTGGCACAAAAAAAGCAAGAAAAAAAAGGAGAAAACGAGGCATTTGCATATAGCAAAATGAGTAGAGAGACAAGGACCAAACGAGAAAGAAGCAGAGAAGGAGGACAAAGTGAATACAGACACTACCACAAAGGCAGCAGAAACAGAAACAATGAGAGTGGGAATGAGAGAGCAAAACGATTTCAACAACAAGGTGTCAATCAGTTATCAGAAGACTCTGACATTTCAAAATCCTTGGTAGCAGAGAGAGTTGGGGAGACAGCATAAGCCAAGAGAGAGGCAGTTTCAGCATCATGATGCAAAAGGTAGCCAAGATAACTCAAACGTTGTTTCTTGGCTAAACGCTCTTGATCAGAGGATCGAGATGGTGGTTTAGCAGCAGCAGAGGAGGAGGAACGAGCAAGCATTTCTTCTTTCAAAATGGCATCAAATTGGGCTTGGTTGATGCGATCATACAAAAGAAAAGAACGAGCAACAGAAACACGGACAGAACGACGGACAAAAGACAGAGAACGAAGACAGCGAAGGTTTTCAACCTCAATGGCCTTTTGGACACGCAGATCAGGAGAGAGAGAAGCAAATTTGGGATCTTTGAGATTGACTGGATCACATGGATCAAAGTCAACCAACGGAGAACAGCCACGACCATGGAGATGCATGGCTTTGGTGAGGGTGAGAACATAGTCGTTGTGAACAAGGAAAGAAATCACATTCTGTACAGGATATTGAATATCCAGCACACGAGAGTTATTCAATCCTACGCCTTGAACAAGGCGACGCAGCTCAGAAAGACGACGGCGGACAGGAGTAGCATAGTACACAAATTGATAACCAGATGGTATATCACTTTGAGGAGCAAAAAGACGAGCAAGAGTAGCGGATGCCTTGGTGGCAGATGGAGGAGGACGAGCAGCAGGCTTCTTCTTACGCTTTGCACCTGTATTAGATGCAACGACGGCAGCAAAAGATGGTTGATTTCCTGGAGACAAAATGGTGGCAGAGGTAGCATTGGTGCATGTAGTTGATGCTGATGCTGTTGTGGTGGTAGTAGTAGCAGGAGGTGGGTGGGATGATGATGGTTTGGGAGCCAGGCTAGTTGTAGTACCAGTAGCAGCTGCAAGTTGGGCTTTGAGAGCGTGACGAGCAGCCTCAGACTCTGCCAGGGCTGTTTTTAACCGCTCAATTTCGACATGGGCGGTTTCCAGACGAGCTAAGCGATTTCGAACCTCAATCATAAAGGTTGAAAGTTGCTGTTCACTCGCTGGAGAGGCAGATGGAGGAGTTGTTGTTCCAAAATCAGTTGAAATGCTGATGATATCAACTGATGTTTGTGGATGATGGTGCTGAGAGGTTGGAGAGAGTGTCATTTTCTTTGTTTTTAACTGTTGAGTGAAATCTACAGCGAAAAAAGGTGGAGATCTTGAGGAACTTGGCCGTTTTTGACCTGGAGAAAGAGAGGACGCAGAGCTTAATGCCTGGTTTACTTTGGTGTCGTCTGGAATGGTGTTCTTGCTATGTATTGTATGGATTTGTAGAGTTGGGTCAATTTTTTCAATATTACTGGGCTTCAATGTATTAAAAAAATTGGTTAGCGGAAAGAAAGGTGCTCGTTTAGCTCAGTTTAAAGATTGTTTTTATTTATATACAATGTTTTATAATTGGGCACTCGGTATGAGCATATGCCATAAAACTAGTAACTATATAGACTAAAGAAAGAAAACCTCAACAGAGACAACGGAAAAGATGAGGAAAAAAGTTTGAGATGGCAGTAAAAGAGCAGAAGACTACTTGTAGTGGCACGATTGATCTTGAGGGATGAACCAACGGATGGGAACTTTGATTTGACTTACCACCGAGGCACCGCACAAAGAAAACAATCGGCCAAACGTTCATCTCAGTTAGCCATGAGAGGGAGGATAGAACCACAATGATCCGGGATCAGGATCAGGGGCGATAGTAGCCAAAGGGTGGACCAGACAGTCGATTGCATGAAGCAAAGATAGTAACGCAGACCAGTATACTGGAGGACCAGCAGAACCACTTATAGGCAGCATGTTCAGGGCATTGTCAATGACATGTACACCAGGAGGAGCAGCAGGCAGAGCATCCCACAGATCACGATCCAAAGCACGACATTGAGGGAAGTGATTTCGAGAGATGAAAGATCCATCCATGCAGGGACATTCCTCACGCATGTTTGCAAAACGACCAAGACGCCAACGAACCAAACGACTACGAGCCGATCGACCAATAGGTAAGTACAGTATGGGATCAGGGCGAGAGACAGAAGGACGGCACGCACGAAGCAGAACATGTTTACCAGTAGTAGTAGCAGCAGCCAGTTGTTGGTCAACCTGATCTTGCCAGAAGTCAGAGAAGTGAGCCTTGAGACCAGCAAATGAAGGGACAGGGTCAGGCAGAGATCTATACAAACTGTTTTCACAGATGTACCGATCCAGTCGAGTGTACGACAGAGCACCACGAAGAATCACCACAAGACTATCCTCAGGTAGAGTAGCAGAACGAAGAGCATACCTAGTTGCCAAGACATTATACCGATGTTTCATTGAAGGGAGACAGGTAATGTGCTTAGCAACGTTGAACCAGGAACCACCCACGAACATACCAACCAGCCGGTTTTGGAGCTTGTCAAGAGCCTCAAAGGTACGATAGTCAAGATGAGATATAGCGAGGCCATACTCAATCTTGGGTCTAACGAAAGCCTTGTACAGACGAGAACAGAGCAGCAGAGAGAAACCATTACGGTTGACACCAACAGAGTTCAGCAAAGCCATAACCTTGACAGCACCAGCGGACCGCAGAGACAAGATACTAGGAGCATGTAGCCCTTTATATCGAAATGGCATACCAAGGTACACAAACTCATCTACCACCGGCAGCGGCTCATTGTAGAGAGTAAGACGAGCATCAGAGAGGGCAGCAGGAGAACCGAGCACAGCACATTTAGATGGCTTCCACCTATAACCAAGACAGACAGAGTGTTCAGCAGCAAGATCCAACATAGACTGGACACCAGACAAAGACCCAAAGATAGCAACATCATCGGCAAAGAGCAATCTATTGATGGCAATAGGACGACTAGCACCAGGAGGACTGACCATCGTAGCACCAGTATCAACAGAACGCAAAAGATTCGGTAAGGAGTTGATATACAACGAATACAAATGAGGACTGAGTACTGAGCCTTGAAGTACACCAGTAACAGGAGAGAAAGCAGCAGAGGTATGATTAGCAATCAAGACTGAGACTGAGACATCGTCAAACATGTTCATCAAAAGACCCAGAACAGGACGAGGAAGTGTAGAACCAGACAGGGCTTGCCATATAACCCTACGATCGACAGTATCATAAGCAGACTTGATATCCAAGAAAGCCACCACAGGATAGCGACGGTGAGTCAGAAAGTAATCATGCATCAAGTCATGCAAGCAGAGGGCTTGATCCAGAGGACTACGTTGGGGACGGAAGCCACCTTGAGCAATATCCAGAGCAGGGGAGTGTTCATCCAGAGCCGGCATGAGACAGAACTCAAACAACTTACGCACCACCGAAGTGAGCGAAATTGGTCGATAATTACCAGGATCGGAAGCATCACCCTTCTTGAAAATCGGAAACACCTGGGCTTGGCGTCATAAACCAGGAGTATAAGACCATTGATAGCAGAGGTGAAACAGCAGAGAGAGCACTGGGGCAATTTCTGAGGTCAGAGCTTTTAACATCTCAGCCTTGATATGGTCAGGACCAGGAGCTTTGTGAGTCGGCAGACGTTTAATACACAGTACCAAGGTATCAGTATCAAACAGAGACATGTCCGCAGGGAGACAGAAAGGCAAGTCAGAGACCATAGGGGTGACAGGAGCAGGACGAGAAGCAGTATTTAACAGAGCACCTTCGTAGACCGTAGCCAAATGAGAGCCCATAGTAGCAACAGAAGCAGCAGGACCATCTGGGTGACTGTACGTAGGTGAAGACTCTTTATTGCGCTTGATGCGTTTTATAGCAGCAGTAGCTTTTGAGAAGTCTCTTTCCAGAGCACCACAGAACTTATGCCAGGACTTGCGCTTAGCAGACTGTACCAGAGAGCGAAAACGGCGATGAGCTTGCTTGTATAAGACCCAACAATCAATCTTAGTATACCCAAGGGCATACCGCCATCGACTGTAGAGACGATCCCGTTCAGTAGCAGCGTCTTGGATCTCTTGCGTCCAGTATTTCTTCCAATGGCCAGGACGACCAGATTTCACACCAATAGAACTATCCAGAGATTCATACAAACATTGATTCAAAGAATCGTTGAGTGCATCAATATCTGGACGAACACCAGGAGGAGCAGACACCAAACCAGAAAGAGTACCAACCAGAGGAGCAACAGAAGATCGAAAGGATTCACGGAGTAAGCCCAAAGGCTTCTCTTTCGTCAATTTCGAGAGCTTCCATTGACGCCGAGGAGCCAGAACAGAATCACCAGGAGCCACAGTGTCATCGAGAGGTGGCACATACCCGAAAGTAAGTGACATCAATCGATGGTCAGAACCAAGAGACAGATCAGACTCAACCACCAGTTGAGGATTCACCAAAGCAACATCACCAATATTTGTCAGAAACAAATCGATAATGCTACTCAATTCTTGCTGCTGCCGAAAAGAAGAATAAGTCTTGACACCAAAAGCCAAAGACGCATTAAGCACAGATAAGCAATGTTCGTCAAACCAAGGTTTGAGAGCATTACCACGAGCATTGGAGATAGCATCACCAGTCAGAGGACCCAACTGAGCATTGAAATCACCGCAGAGAATAGTATCCCTAGTCATAGGTAATGAGCTGAGGGCCGAGAGCACCCTATCAGAGGATAAGGGTGGAGGAAAGTAAACACAATGAACCGTTAGGGTGCCAACCTTGAGAGACAGAGTGTGCGGATTGTATGAAGGGAGTTGGAAGACCGTAAAGGGGCAAGAAGGAGATACAAAAGCAGTGATACCACCAGAACCACGGTTGAAAGCACCAGGTACTTTTGAACCATACAAGTGGTATTGAGACCAGTCAATCGGATAGGAACCAGAAGTGAGCCAAGTTTCAGTGACAAACAGAACATGAGTATCAACAATATGAGAAATAACATCATGAACTGTTGTTTGACGAAGACCATTCGCATTCCAAAGAGAGAGAGAGACAAAAACCGGGGGGACAGACACATTATTCAAATTACCAGACCATGATTCATTGTTAAGAGACATTAGATCTCCATTTCAGAATCAGTAGAAGTATCACGGCGACGCTTGAACAAGAAAGCAGCCTTTTTAGGGTCTTTTTCCTTTAGTCGGTCCATAGCACCAGCAACAGCCTCGTCCAGTTCGGCTTGACCTATCCATCCAAGATCCAGGAACCAACGGCCAACACTACTCACATTAAGTGGGCGGATATGGGACAGAGCATCTACGCTGCGAGCATTGACCATCTCAGCAATAAGATCCATTCGATCGTGTTCAGAGTAGGCATCGTACTTTGGGTCGGCAATATTAGCAGGATTCAACGGGTCAAAATCCTCCAATATTTCCGATTCACTTGCACGGAGCAGAGCCAAGAATTCAGCAACATATTGGGTATGCAAGAGAATACCAATAGCTTCGGAGGCAGGGAAGTTGATGTCGAGGATACGAGAAGTATCCACCCCAATGGCCTTGAGAGTGCGTCGAATTTCAGAGCGTAAGGTCTTGCCAGATCTACCAATATATACATATTGATATCCTTGGGGACCCTTAGTAGCAGACGTTTTGAAGAGACGACCGGCAGCCAACTTTCTCTTAGTAGCTTTAGTTGGATCAGGGCGATGTGCAGCCTTCTTAGCTATAGCAGAATAGCTAATAGTACCAGAATCAGTGGTGGCAGTAGCAGAGGTGGTGGATCCAGATGCCCCCTTGATGGGGGTGCTTGTAACAGAATCCTGTGACGTGGCTTGCAATTTTTCAATGACCAGATCCTTGTCGTGTAAAATTTTTTTCAAGGCTTGGTTTTCCTTTTCCAAAGCATCGAGACGAGCCAAAATACCATCATGTTGATTAACACGTTCAGAGAGTGAGGCAAGTTGTTGTTGTAACTGTTGCATGATAACAGTAACCTGATTCATATCAGTTGGGTGCTGAAACTCGGGCATATTGCTGATTATTTTTTTAGAAATTGTTGAAGATCCAAAAAAATATGAAGGAGATGTTCAATAAACTTGAAACTATAACACAATAGACAGAGACTAAAGGCAAGTATACTGGTATAGTTTTGGAGTTGATTGAGTTGCTGATTGTTGGGAAAATAGCGTTTTTCGTGATTCTAAGGAGACTTTTTACGGAGAGGGTGGCAAAAAGTGATGAAAAACGGAAAGAGATGCCTGCTCGTTTAGCTCAGTTTAATATTGGATTTTATTTATTTACAATTGTAGTCAACTGCGGAATCGGTATGATCATATGTTGCAAGACTAACAGTGATTCGGCGGGAAAAAGCATGTTTTAAATTAAAGGTTGAGGGAAGCTGCTAAAGGGAGGGGACCAATAAAGTAAACGGCATCAAAACCCACCAGAGAGGAGGAGAAACAGAGGGAGGAATGGCAATGGCCGCGCCGCAAGACGGGGGAGACGAACAGGACTCAAGGTAGAAACCGGCCAGACGCACCGCAGCACACCTAAACGTGCAAGCACAAATACCGAGTAACATGCCAGGTTAGAAAGGCGGAAAATATGGATGCGAAGGTGGGATTCGAACCCACGACCTCTCGGCATACTCACTGCTTCCGCATGAAGCTCTAACCAAGTGAGCCATTCAAGCATCCATGCTCGCTCGTTTAGCTCAGTTTAACGTTGATTTTTATTATATACATGAATTCAATGGGCACTCGATGGGAGCATTAGCCTAGAATTCTAGAAACAAAAGAGTAGCAGGTACAAAAAACCCTTATGGGGACACTAACTAAGAAAAAGGGAAAAAGGAAAGTGTGGTAGTGGCAAAGGAACGGCATGAATACTGGTATTGTTGATTTGATCTGGAGGAATGACCAACGGATGGGAACTTTGATAATTACTTACCACCGTGGCATCGCACCGAGAAAGCAAAAACAACAAACGTTCATCAATGGGCAGAAAACCAGAGCGATCCAGGATCTGGATCTGGTGGGATCACAGCCAGAGGATGCACAAGGCAATCAATGGCATGCAACAAAAGGAGCAAAGCAGACCAAAAGTACGGTGGACCAGCTGAAGCCTTGTCTGGAAGACAGTTCAGAGCATGATCAATGCGATGGATGCCAGGAGGAGCAGGTGGCAAAGCATCAAACAAAGTATGATCCAGAGCACGACATGTCAGAAAGTGATCTCGGGAGATGAACTCACCGGTAGTGCACGGACATTCTTCACGCATGTTGGTGAAACGTCCAAGACGCCACCGCACAAGACGACTACGAGCAGATCGACCAATAGGCAGATACAGAATGGGATCTGGACGAGAGACAGACGGACGACAAGCACGAAGGAGAGTCTGAGCACCAGTAGCAGCAGCGGTAGCAAGTTGACGATCCACTTGATCTTGCCAATACGAATCAAAGACTTCAGTAAGACCAGCAGTGGTGAATGGCGGCGGATCAGGCAGTGTCAGATACAACGGGTTTTGACAAATAAATCTGTCTAGACGAGTGTACCGTAAACCACGACGAAGCAGAACCAACAAGCAATCATCAGGAAGAGTATCAGCACGAAGAGCATAACGTGTTGCCAGGACATTATATCGATGCTTCATGCTGGGAATACAGGTCAAATGTTTGGCAACATTGTACCATGTACTACCAACAAACATACCAACCAATCGATTTTGCAGAGCATCAAGAGCCTTGAAGTCACGGAAAGAGAGATGAGATATAGCTAAGCCGTATTCCAGCTTGGGTCGAATAAAGCTTTTATACAGACGAGCACAAAGCAACAGAGAAAAACCATTTCGATTGACACCAACCGAATTCAACAATGCCATTGTCTTGATAGCACCAGAAGCACGCAGATTGAGAATCCCAGGGGCATACAGACCTTTATATCTAAACGGCATACCAAGATACATGAATTCCTCTACCACAGGAAGAGGTTCACCGTATAGGGACAATAGTTGACGAGTAAAGGCAGTGGGAGCACAAAGTACAGCACATTTTGATGGTTTCCATCTGTAGCCAAGAGAGAACGAGTGATCTGAAGCGACATCCAACATGGTTTGCACATCAGTACGAGAGCCAAATATGGCTACATCATCAGCAAAGAGCAGGCTATTCACGCAAACACTAGGCATCCCAGGTGGTGATACCATAGTACCGCGACTGACAGCAGAACGAAGAAGAGCAGGCAGAGAGTTGATGTACAAAGAGTACAAGTGAGGGCTGAGCACTGAACCCTGCAATACGCCAGTAGCAGGCGAAAAGGGAACAGAGGTGTGATTTGCAATCAACACAGACACGAGTACATCATCGAACATGTGGATGAGCAAACTGAGAACTGAACGAGGCAGAGAAGAACGAGAGAGAGCATCCCAAATTACTCGACGATCCACCGTATCATACGCTGATTTGATGTCCAGGAAAGCAACCACAGGATAGTGATGGTGGGTGAGGAAGTAGTCGTGCATCAAGTCATGTAAACAGAGGGCTTGATCCAGAGGACTACGCTGTGGGCGAAAACCACCTTGAGCTACATCAAGTGCAGGCGAATGTTCATCGAGAGCAGGCATCAGAGAGAATTCGAACAATTTACGCATCACCGAAGTAAGCGAAATTGGACGAAAATTAGCTGGATCAGAGGCATCACCCTTTTTGTGAATGGGGAAGACTTGAGCATGTCGCCATAGAGCTGGTGTATACGACCACTGAGAGCAGAGTGTAAAGAGCAGAGACAATACGGGTGCAATGTCAGATGCTAGAGCCTTCAGCATTTCAGCTTTCAAATGATCAGGACCAGGAGCTTTTCCATTTGGCAAACGCTTAATGTGGGAGACAAGTGTATCAGCATCAAATAGACCCAAATCAGCGGTGGACACATCATAAGGCAAATCAGAGAAATTGGACGGAGCAGCAAGGCGAGACGCATGATTCAACAGGGAGCCATCATAGACAGAGGCAAGATGAGACGCCATTGTGTTGACAGAGGCAGTTGGACCGTCTGGATGACTATACGTTGCAGAGCATTCCTTGTTTCTTTTAATGCGCTTGATTGCAGCAGTAGCTTTCGAAAAGTCCTTTTCTAAATCAGAGCAAAACTGATTCCACGATCGACGCTTAGCAGCTTGTACAAGAGAACGAAAACGCCTGTGAGCAGCTTGATAGAGATTCCATGTTTCGACTTTGGCAAAACGACTTGCCCACCCCCATCTACTATACATAGTATCTCTTTCACGAGCAGCATCCTCAATTTCCTGTGTCCAGTACTTTTTCCAGTGGCCAGGACGACCAGATTTCACACCAATTGAGCTATCCAGAGATTCATACAAACATTGATTCAAAGAATCGTTGAGTGCATCAATATCTGGACAAACACCAGGGGGAGCAGACACCAAACCAGAGAGAGAACCAACCAAAGGAGCAACAGAAGATCGAAAGGATTCACGAAGCAAGCCCAAAGGCCGCTTTTTCCTCAATTTCGAGAGCTTCCATTGCCGTCTAGGGGCCAAACCACCAGAGCTACCAGAACCAAGAGTATCATCGGGAGGGGGCACATACTCGAAAGTAAGTACCATCAACCGATGATCAGAGCCAAGAGACAAATCAGATTCAACCACCAGTTGAGGATGTAACAGAGCA